TAGTTCTAGGATAGATAGTTTTTAAGTATTCTTTGTACAAGACCTATAGGAATAAGATTCTCCCTAGTTATCGACTTTCCTAGTGCTCCTATACACCTTATAGTAGAATCGGAACCGTATCAGAGAATCTTATTACCTGCGTCGCTATACCTATATTTCTTTATACTTAGCATATATACTATATTTATTCTATTAACAGTTAATATATTGTTTAAGATATTTAGTAACTTTATCTTTTATATTTAGAAGCTTATAGTATTATCTAATAAGTTCTATAGTTCTTATAATTCTAGAATAACTATATAGTAGATTATTATAATAATTATATATTATTTCTTTTTAAAGGTTATCTAGTACTTAACTAGGTATATAGCATTTCTATAATACACGTATAATATTATTAAGCTATTATTATAGTCTAAGAGATCTATCTTAGTTAATCCTAAGTATAGTAGCTTTATTAATTATCTTTTTACCTACTAGGTTATATTCTTAGCTAAGAGCATCTACTCTACTATTATCTTTACCTAGGGTGTATAGAATCTTAAATTTATACTAGCTTAGTATTTCTAACTATCTAACTTATCTTTAGTTTAGAGTCTTAGTAGTAATAAAGTATACTAAGTTCTTATAATCTATATAGATTATAAGGTTTAAATAGCTTTCTATATATATTTACTAATATTCTAGGGATTATATAATTACTAATAGTTTCTTATTATATATGTTATAGCATTCTTTTAGTTCTAAGAACTTATGTTAGTAGTAAGTAATTAGGTGCTATTATCTATCTTTTTCTTGCATAATACATGCTCCTAATACTAAATCTAAGGTATCTATTTCTATTTAAAGTAGCTTATTACTCTTAAATATAATTAGTATTAGAGGGTTAATATATACTTATTATAATAACTTAAATATATTATCTTATTCTTTTCTCTATAAGAAGGGTATATCCTTCTATATAAGCTTTATAAGTAGTAAAGCCTTCTTTAAGTAATCTTTAATAAATTATCTATTAAAGTTAATAAACCTAAGGAATTCTTAAATCCCTTTAACTATTATTAGGGTAGGCTAATTCTTTACTATATTAATCTTAGTATTACTTATTTTAACTCTATATTATCCTATAATAAACCCTAAGAATTTAACTTCCTCCTTATACTATTTATACTTCTTAGGTTTTAGTTAGAGGTCTACTTACTTTAAGTATTCTAGCACTTCTATAATATATTATATATACTCTTCTAATATCTTAGAGTATACTAAGATATTATCTTAATATACTACTACTATTTTATTAAGGTATACTCTAAGAAAATTATTAATTAATTCCTAGTATATAGCTAGTATATTTATTAGACTAAATAGTATAACTAGGTACTTATAGAGTCTATATCTTATTCTAAGTACTATCTTTTATTCTTTATCTTCCTTTATATAGATTTGGTTATGTACTTCTCTTAAATCTAATATGTTAAAGTACTAAGCTTCTTATAATTAATTCTATAACTCTAATATATAAGGTAATAAATATTAATTCTTAATAGTAATATTATTATGCTTTTTAAAGTTAATATAAGGTTATAGCTTGCTATCTTTCTTTAGTATAAAGAGAATAGGGTACCCTGTAGGTAATTCTAATCTTCTAATAAATCCCTTTTAAAGGTTCTCCTTAATATACTTATATAGTATACTAAGTTCCTTTTCTAATGACTAGTATAGTAGCCTAAAAGTTAGTTACTTCCCTTCCTAGAGCTTAATCTTATAATTCTAGGGTTTATGCTTAGGTAGAGCTTTTACTATAAGCTCTTCTTTAAATATCTATATATATTGTTAATATATATCTAGGATGCTAGGAGTTGTATATTTCTTCTTAACTACTACTTTATAAGGCTAGGGCTAGTTACTCTCTATATAGTTAACTACTCTATCTTAGCATGTCTTAGTTAAAGTAATATTACTAATTGTCTTCTTATCTACTAACGTACCCTATAGGCGAGCAGATTAATGGGCGAGCGAATTACTTTTGCCAAGCCCCTACTAAAGTATCCTCTATATACTAATACCTTAACAACAACCTAATCTTAACGCGTTAAAGGAAGCTTAAATATAGCTTGCGCTTTAAGCTCTTAAACAAGACACAAAACTCTTATAGCAATGCGCTGCAGCTATCTATAATATTCCTTAAGCTATACTAAGCTATTAACTTACTAGATAACCTTTATAAGGCAATACTATGCCTAACTTATAAGAGCTAGATAATCTAGAGGAGTAGGTAATTATTAATTATATACTTAAGCTAGATAAGTAAGGATTTAGCCCTTAGCTAGCAGATATAGCTGCAATAGCTAATTCTCTGCGCGCAGAGTATAATCTAGGCCCTATTAGCATAAACTAGCCTAGTATGTTTATAAAGCGTTAACTAGAGCTTAAAGTAAAGTTTAATTATAGGTATAACTATAAGCAAGCCCTCTATAAGGATTCTAGGGTTATATAGGGCTAGTTTTCCCTAGTATAAAATATAAAAGCTAAGTATAGTATCCTAGATAATAATATATATAACTTTAACAAGATAGGCTTTATAATAGGCTAGATCTCCTAGGGAGCAGTTATTATAGCTTTAGAGAGATAAGAAAGGCTAAAGGCAGTCTAGCTAGGTAACTAGGAGTAGACAATAGTTATATAGGGTATTAATGCTAAAGGATAGGCTATTCTACTCTTTATTATCTTTAAGGTGCGCTACTACCTCTCTAGCTAGTATAAGGAGGAAGACCTACTCTAGGATTAGGTTATTATAGTCTCTAGTAACAGCTAGACTACTAATAAGCTTAGTTTTAAGTAGTTAAAGCACTTTAACACGCATATAAAGGAGCGTACTGCTAGTACCTACTAACTACTAGTTATTAATAGCTATAAGAGCTATAAATTGCTCTAATTCTAGAAATACTATAAGGATAATAAGATTATTACTCTATATATACCTCTATACTTATCGCACCTTCTATAGCTACTTAATATAGGCTATTTTGCCCCTTTAAAGATAGCATATAGGCGCTAAGCTAAATTGCTTATATATAACTAAATTAGCTATATTATAAAGACTAAGTTCCTGCTATACTTTAAAGCAGCCTATAATACAGTATTTACCTCTAGCAATATCTAAGAAGAGTTTTAAGGTGCTAGATTAGTCCCCTTTAACCTAGAATAGGTTATATTAGCCCTTAATATAAAGCTTTAGACTCTATTACTACTACTCCCTACTAATAACATACCCTAGCAGTTATAAACCCCTAGCAACACCCTAGAATTTAGGTTGCAATTAACTCTAATTTAAGAGAAGTATAAGAGGTAGCAGGGCAGCTTACTAAATTCTATTCTAAGCGCGCTTAAGCACTATATAAAGGGGGGAGCAATCTTATTCTATAAGCTAGTTTTAGCTTAATAGGAAATTAAGAAGCTTTAAGCAGCTAATAAGGCTGCTATATAACAAAAATTATATAAAAGAAAGCAAGTTTAGAAGGAAGGGACCCTAATAGTTAAAGATAGGCAGTAGCTAGCAGCTCTAAAGGAGTTTAGGGCGTGTAGTAATAGAAAGAGGGTAAAGAAGCAGGTGCGCACTTAAGAGGGCAAGCTAACCTAACAGCACTATAGAAGGTGCAATTAGATAGAATATAACGCGCAAACGTGCAAGATTAATATAGAAGAGGTCTCTAAATAATATTCTAGCCTATACTATACAATGCAGGACTAAAGTATAGTATTTTAGGCTATAATAGGTTAAGTTTTAGTAGGGGCTTAGTAAAAGTAATTCGCTTACCTGTTAATCTACTTGCCTATAGGGTATATTATTTCTTTTAATTATTAGTTAATATTATTTCTTTCTAGGTTATTTAGAGTTAATATAACTTAGACTATTCTACTTAGTAGTAATATTAGTTACTAAAGTAAAGTATTATCTATACTCTCTTTAGTATTAGACTTATCTACTAAAGTATAAAATAGGATAGTATATTCTTTAAGTACTTTAGATAAAGTATATTCTAGAAAGTCTAGAGTTAACTTTTATCTATATAAACTATATATCTACTTATAATAGTTAAGTTAACTTTACCTTTCTTACTATAGAAGTAATTAGAATATTAAACCTTTAAGTTAGAAGTATTAAGTAAGAAGATATATTAAAAAAGTATTAGAGTATATTCTATCTTAAGGTAAGACTAATTACTACCTTATAGTAATAGATAGATAGTCTAGTTATATACTATTCTACTCTACCCTATATAGGCTAACTCTAGCCTAGTATAGTACTCTTAGTTCTATTTAGGGCTTTAGTCCTAGCAGCTACTAGTAGTATACTTAGCAAACTTTAATTTAAAATCTAGAAAGAGAAGAGTTTATAAAATTATAATACAAAATTCAACCTAGGGTAGATTAGGCTCTAGGCTAGCACTATTGCCTACATAAAGAACTGTATTAGGTATAGAGTAATAATTTATATGTAGATGCTACAGTTATTGCTACCACAGTGCCTTGTCCTACATTGCTACACCTGAGATGTCGGTATCAATATAGAGTCCAATCCAGTAACAATCTTTAGGCATCTTTTCGGGCAGACCAAAGTACAACAGACCGCTGACAGATTGCTTACGACCAGGACAAACACCCGCATATTGAAATCCCACCTTGGAAGTACACACGATCAAGTTGTCGCCAGAACACTTGATGTAGTCCTTGTTCTGACCAACAGCACGGTACTGGAGGAAGTCCCATTTGCCGCTCTGGTTGGGGGCTACACCAGCCATGCCTGTCTTAGGCGCAATCTGGACCAAGGAGCCGTCCTGGCCAAATTGAAAAATGGAAGTCTGAGCTTTATACTCAACTGGGTTGAGGGCAACAGCAGCACCCTCGCCAGGGGAGACGGCGAGCCAACGCTTATCCATAACGGTACCACTGCCATCAGTCTTGATGCGGAAGCCACGCTGAGTTGGTGTGCCCACATAACCGTTGCTACCAGCGATAACGACATGAAAGTTGCCGCGATATTGGCCATCATTGACATTAACTTCGGGAGAGATCTTGCTGCTCCACCACACGCACTTGATGTTCGAGACACTAGGAGGGTCCAAGCATGAGGGATCGTTGGGGTCTACCGACGGATCACGCTCGAAGTAGATATTGAAAGAGGTACATCCAGAGATGGCATTGCACTTGTCAGCACAAGTTTGCACATCATAGGTATCCATCAAGGTGAAGCCTTGGTAGCCAGGTGCATTTGGGGAGGCCTTGGTGTCAGTGAAGACAGCGTTGAACCCAAGTGGAGTTTTGGCAGAGGTAGCTTGTTGAGAGTAGTAGTTATCGGCAAGAAAAGCTTCGGCAGTGTCAACGGCTACTTGACGGGCGATACCGGCAGGCTGAGGGTAGCAAATATTGGAGGTGCGCTTGAGCCTTTGAGCTCCAGCTGTTGCTGTAGCAGGCGCAGCCAGAGTAGTTGCAGTGACAAGAGGGTCGCTTGGAGCCGTCTGATAGACAACAGGAGGCCCTGGATAGGTGAGCGTAGGGGCGGCGGCAACGATGGTGGCCATGATGGCAGCAGCCGTAAAGGTGTTGATGAGCATGATGATTGATGATAAGATTGTACACTGATTACTTGAGGTGTTCGATGTTCTTGTTGTTTCCTTCTACAGCACGGCAAGAGCAGCTTTTTATACACACTGTTCAAAGACATTGTCTAGCGATCCGTTCTAAATTTACACAATGAGTGCTCAAGAAGGAGACGAACCTGTGGTACGCAAACGCACAGACTCGGAGATGAATTCGCGAGGCCTTTCTCGTATAGATCGTGCATTCTCGGCTTCTGGTGATTGTGGAGTGACTTTCGTCAAAGACACGTTCCACCAGTCTACACTCAACCGCAACAACACGATTGGCTGCTCTACCGTACAGATTATATTGTTGATAACTGTTACCTTGTGGTCTATGTGCGCTTGAGGAATCTAGATGCTTAGTTGGAGTCGAAATGTTAGAGCCTAAGCGTCATCTCGACATCCAAGTAGGGTAATCCAGAGTGGTCAAGAGTTAAGCGAAACAATTGTCAGCAAGGTACCGATAGTTGCGAAGTACTGACAATACGACAGACATTATCGATTGGCGTCAATACGAATGAGACTAACATGGCGCCGCTGTCTTCGAGGTCGTAGTGTGAAATAGTTGGTTCGGTGTTTGTTCCGACAGGTTCATGGCGTTAAAAGCTTTGCAAACCAACCATGCAACCTTGGATCGCTGTGCCTGACTAGGTGTAACAATCGGGCCGAGATTCTGTGAAAGAGGGTAGGAAGGTGTTTGCGGACACAGAACGCCCTTGTACATCTGGCAGTACGTGAGGTACACAAGGTGAGCTCGGTGCAGTCTACAATGACCGTCCAAGGTCTCCAAACTTCGTTCCTGTGCGGGCGGCAGTCTATGCAGATGACTCCCTCTGACACTCGGGCTCTACCTTAGGTAAGTGAGTAAAGACACGAGATAATAGCATGCGGCGGTCGATTCCCCGGATCTTGGATCAGGGCCAGTACGGTACCTAACCATGGCTGAGCCTCGCAAACTCGGCCCGAGTGGCTCAGCTGTGGCTGTGGGATGCAATCGTACGACAAATATGGCCTGTTTCGGGCCCAAACGTTTGCCGAAAGAAGGACTAGACCACCCAGGTGAGCTGAGATACGGGTTTGTTCACCACACTTGTGCACGTGCGAACACATGGTAACGGAGCGATGCCGGAGCCCGATCCGGGAAATTGTATGATTTGAAGTGCACAGGGCTAAGGGAGCACATCCGGGGGAAATCGTTAATATTCATCGCTGAAATGTGGATAATCTGAACACAAGATGCAATACCAGAACCTTAACCTTTCATGTACCTATGCGAAATTGTTCTCATGACGTCATGGCTGACGCATGCAGGACCAACAGGAGATGCAATGTGCGCATTCACATCTACAACTTCAATGCTCACTGAATGCAAGCCAGGAATTTGTCAATTAGCAGTTCCACTGCCGTCTACCTCAGCTCCATTCCATGGGTAGGCAAAGATGCGGCAATTGCTCTCACCGTTAGCGTCACATACGGTATTCGCACTTTAATTCACCAGACGATGTTCCAGACGTTGGAGATCTTGGAAGGAAACAACAGCATCGTAGCCCACAGAGCAATGCACTTACAGGCAACCTTGAAATATGGCGTTTGGTCAAGTCACCAGATCGAAGCTTCCATATTGTGAGCAAATCTGCTCCCGAGATTCCTAGCGCAACAATCTACTCTGGGCCTGGCTATTGGACTCGCTTAGCCGGCAGAGGTCTCCTCTAGATTGTATTATATAGCAATGAGGCGAACAACACCATGCGGCTCACAGGATCCGGAATGCTTGGGGATAAGCTTGCCTCAAATACCCAATCATGCGTCACTATTTGTTGATTGGCGAGATTAAAGTAAGGATCTAACTTGTGCAAAACCCCTTGGGCTGAATCTTGCTTATTGCGAGCGGGTGATTGAGTGCCTTGACGGCCCTGATTTTGAGTCTGAAGGCCAACAAGTACAGACGGTAAGATGTAGGTATATAAGCTGGTAGGAATCTGCTCAAACTTGCTCATTGGCAAAGAGAGAAACATCAAACAAGCATCAGACAAGCACTATACTAGCTCCACATCATGAAGCTTTCTACACCCCTCATTGTTGCCGCCGCAGCATCCTCGGCCACGGCGCACACTATCTTTGTTTCTCTGAACAACGGCGCTGTTGGCGATGGCGTCCGCGTTCCCTCATACGATGGCGTACGTCCAATAACACAGTCTGATGCCAAACCCCAATGTCCTTACTGACACACATCTAGCCCATCACTGATGTGACATCCAACGACATTGTTTGCAACGGCGGTCCTAACCCAACGACCAAGACCAACACCGTCATCACTGTTCAAGCTGGGTCTCAGGCGACTCTCACATGGCGCCATACCTTAACCTCTGGACCTAGCGATGTTATCGATTCGAGCCACAAGGGTCCCGTCATGGCGTACTTGAAGAAAGTCTCAGACGCGAAAACTGACTCTGGTGTCGGCAATGGATGGTTCAAGGTACCCTGCATTCTCACGCAGGTCGTCCATGTTCAACTAACAGCATACCAGATTGCAGAAGACTCCTTCGACGGTACGAACTGGGGTGTCGACAGACTCATCGCCAATCAAGGCAAGCAGACCATCACAATTCCAGCGTGTATTGCGCCAGGTCAATATCTGCTGCGCGGCGAGTTGATCGCGTTGCATTCGGCAAGTAGCTACCCTGGCGCCCAGTTTTATATGGAGTGCGCGCAGATCAACGTCATTGCTGGCAGTGCAAGTAAGACGCCTTCGACCGTGAGCTTGCCTGGTGCATACAAGGGATCGGATCCGGGAATCACGTACAACCTGTACACCGGATCAAAGACTTACACTGTGCCTGGGCCGGCGGTATTCAAGTGCTGAGTATAGGTAACCTTGAAGGTTCCTGGAGAGGCGGCCGCGAGAGTGTGCATACAGCGGTACTGCACAGCTCGAGCAGAAGACGGATGCATTTCGAACAGGCTTCCCACTGTTCTCCGAGATTGACCAAGGAAGTGCTAGTTGATAGAGTAGAGCATACGGTATATTACACCATTTTACACTTACACTCGACGATATTGACTTCTTATATCAACATTTTGCCTCACCAGCTGGTGCGGCGTCACCCCTTTCAGCCTCTTCTCTCTCCTCTTCACTTCTGATCCAACGCCGAAACGCTATTGTCATCAGCCCTCCCATGCCAACCTGAAACGCCTGAAAGATGATTGCGGGGATCTGCATCTTGCTCTGTTCCAATGGGCTGATGTTAATGTACATGACACTCGTGAGTGGGACAACCATGGCCAGCGCCTTCGCCGGGCAGCAGTAGCAACACGCAATAACATCCTTCTTAGGAAGCCATACAATGCTAGCAGTGAAACATAACGCCGTCCAGAGAAAGTAAAGAGTCGCGCAGATGAAGACAATGAAAATGATGTTGCTCTTTTTGACGCTTTCGAAGGCTTTATTTTGGAAAGCCTGGTCGAATGTTTGCCACACCAACGTCAGCAAGGCCAGGCTCGAGAGCTTCGTGAGTTTCCAGTCAACGAAGACTTTCTTGCACGTCCGGCCGAAGAAGTACTGAACTGCCTGTCCAACGGCCATGGGTAGAAACAGTGACAGCCCCAGCTGCATGAACACGCGCCGGTAGATCTCACCGTACCCACTTCCCTTTTCAAGGACTTGAGAGTACCACGCACCGGAGCTGAGATACATCTGCACGATGACTGGGCTTAGGAAGGGGCACAAGAACTGCCCTATTACGCTTTGGACGACAGTCAGCGCGGTGTTACCATGCGCCTGGCGCGTCATGACGACGTTCGAAGACATGGTGGTTGGCGCAGAACCGACAAATAGAAATCCGATCAGCAGCCAGGGATCCATGAATTTAGGGTTCGTGGCGCATAGCGAAACCATGGCAAAAGTAGCTGCTGAGCAGACGAGGTAGCATTGTAATTGCACGAAGAAATGCAGCTTCCACCGCATGTAGTTCTCGATCAACAGCCTTGTTGGCAATGTGCAGCCGTTGATAAAGAATATGACAGATACGGAGAGGTAGGTTATGACGGTTCGCTTGATCTTTTGCTGAGAGGCGGGGACTTGGACCTGTGAGGAGACAAGTATGATGGCGCACATGGCAAGAAGAAACCATTGGTCTTTGAGAAACCACAGTATCCATTGGGTGATGGTCTTGCATGTTGACATGCTGGGGGCGGTCTTGCCTGGGTGTTGCTGTAGGTCCGATGCGACCTCGCATGACGAGGGGGATTGGTATTCCTGCTGTCCGTTCTGGAAGTCTTGCAGGTTCTCGGTTTCCTTTGTCGTAGTTTCGGCTTCTGGGTCGATATGGCGGATGCCATCCTGGGGCGGGCTCTCGGACTGGGCCGTCATTGCTGCTGCTACAAGTGAAGTCCGAACAGGCTGGCTGTGTGCTGGAGTCGGCGTGCTACAGCAGCTTCAGGAATCAGCATCATGAAGCAGTAGCACAGACGGCAATCAATTAGGTGCGGGTATATGACGGCTATAACGAAGAGTCACGATGCAGACCAGTCTGGCCGATCACGGGCCACGTCTGGACGGATAAGGGCAGTAATGACGCGGGCGGCTTCCGTGGGAGTGACGGTAGCGACGGATAAGCAGACAAGGCGGCAGGGCCTCCCGGCAAGCTTGCATGGGAGCGGGCCTACATGCTGACGATACAGTACTGTGGATCAAACAGCTCCAGTGAGATGGTGAGATGGATGGCTGTTGGAGACCAGAGAGTGTGCAACGCTGCAGGCTAGCAGCTCGTATTCTCCGCAGCGGGGCGCGTCTGCACAATGCCCACCTGCACACGACCAGCTCTCGTGATGCCCTCGACCACGTCCCTTCCCTTGCATAAGGCGCCCACTCGAGTCTGGCGCTGCCCGCTGCCCACGCCGTCTGCAAACACACTGCCGCCATGACCGTGCCCGCATCCTCCGAGTCGCCGCGCAAGCTGCTTTGGGCAGGCGTGTACCAGCAGCTGCTGCGCCACGCGCTGCCGGACTCGCGCTTCAACTGCGACTTCCTCAAGGTCACGCCCGACTTCCGCGGCTCGTCGGACGCGGTCGCGCGCGTCGCCCGCCTGCCGTGCTACCGGGACGCCGACACGATCCTCGTCACGAGCGATAGCAGCCTGGAGGGGCTCCGACACCGCGCGCTGAAGGACGGCAAGAAGCTTCTGGTTGGCACGTACCGCCTGCGACGGGGCTTTGTGCTGCTGGACCCCAAGCACATAGCCGACAGCAGGCTCGAGCTTGCAGCGTGTCTCGACGGCATGGAGAAGCCTGGGCTGGGTCGGCGACTGGACCTGGCACAGCTGAAAGAGGACGGGCACCGCATTTCCATGTGCGCGCTGGGCGGCCTGGTTTTCAACGAGCAGGGCGTCGTCGTGTGGGAGGGCGCTGCCTTGTTCGAGGTCCAGTGGGCACTGCTGCAGGATCTGAAAGTGCTCGACGCCGCGGCCCCGGTCGTTGCTGTTGCCCACGAGTGCCAGGTCGTCGACGAGGCACAGCACGGACTGCCTGCGATCAAAGCAGACAAGAACGGCGAGGTCCAGTGCGACTTCGTCGTTACGCCGGAGCGCACACTGGAGATCAAAGGCGCTACAAAGCCATCGCGTGGAGTCGACTTCACCAAAGTGGACCCAGAGGCGCTGGACAACATCCCACCGCTGCAGGAGCTCAAAGGAATCCGCATGATGGAACAGATCATGGCCAGTTCCGGCTTTGGCACCACAAATGATAAGGAAGAAGAACTCAAGACGCCGTCTGCAGAGGAGCAGATGGGCATTGATATCGTTGAGCGACTAATGAAAGGTCTAAAGAGCTAAGGTGCAAACAATGGTGCAAATGATATCCCAACGCCGACGCTATGCAGCAAACATATCCCACGTAAAATGCTCGCCATACAAAAGGAAAGCGCCGCATCACCTGACCGCCTCTCCGTTCACAGAGCAACTCAACCGCGTAACTTTTACTAGCCTCCCCCCAGCCAGGAGCACGCCCTTGTCTGTTATGTCGAAAGTGACGACATCTTCCATCCCCTCGACACGCGCCGAGCATGCAACCCTCCAATCGTCCTTCTCAACACTCCCTGGCAGCATCGACAGCGATTCGCCTGCCTTGACAGCTGAAATCTGCACGCCTTGGATGTGAAGTGGGTCGCGCTCTAGCGCCAGCATTTGGCCAACGATGACTGTGAGGTGTTGGCTTTGGTCGCTTGTAGGTGCCTGGAGTGTTGTTGTATAGTGTGTGTTTTGTGGGCCGACGATGCGGAGGTCTACGGATGCAAGGCCTGGCAATGAAGCGGCTGGTGTTGGTGCTGATGCTGCCAGAGCGAGGATGCTCGTGAGGGCCGCGAGATAGTATGAAAGCATCGTGTTGCAGCTGAAGATCTTAATCGCAGTTTTGGGAGTAATGAGAGCGTTGGTTCGGAGGACGTTTTGGATGCAATGCATAACCGTTCGAGATACTGGCCATCTTTATTTCTCGCTCTTCTGTCTGCGCCGCAAGATCCAGCATGAGGCATAGCAAGCTAGTGCTGCAGGTGGGTCTAGGTGCTATGTATATCAGCCTCATGTTGGCGCTCGGCTGGTTTCCTGATGGAGCGCTGCCGGGCGCCTCGAGCCGCCAATCACAACGGTGCCGCATCGAACTTCACCATTTCGACCTCCTTTCCGGCCGTGCGATGCGCGACTGAGCGCGGCAATGGACCCGCACAGTCGGCCATTGAGAGATCAACATGTTGATAGCAATAGAGAATGGAGCTATTCCTGGTCATCAAGCGCAAGCAGAAACAACCTCTGGCCCACTTAGCCGGAGAAGGCAGTGCAGCCGTCCAATTAAAGGTAGGTAGACGTCGCATAGTAGATCCATTGGGTGAAACGCATAGGTAGGAATGCAGCGGTCATGACTACAAGCAGTTGCGAAGCAACAACACAACATTATGAGATGCACAAGGAACTATCGCAACAATGCTTGCATAAACACCTTCCTCCTTGTCACCAATTCTAGTTGAAGGGTTATGAAGAATGAAAGTTGAATGGAAACACATGCGACGAAACTATTCTAGCATCCCATAAGGAAAGTGTGCGCCCTTCAACTTTTGTGTTCTGATTCGTCTTTAACAGGTTGTACTCCCCATCAGATCATGGCCAAAGATTCGCAACGTCCAACTGGGCAAAGTGCACCCTAATCATCATGTGCACTGTTCCAACTTCTGGTCGCCATACATATGTGCAGTATGTTGTAAGTAGTGTTGGCACTGCAGTGAGTGTGTAGTCCTACGAATCGTGCCTTCGTCTTCGGCTTAGAATATGAACGGCCTTGTCTCACTCGCTGTGCTCCGCAGACCCTTTGCTAAGCCTTGCGTACCTATGTTCTTATCGTGCTTAATGACGAGGTTCAGATTCGTGTATCAAGTCGGTGCTCATAGTATTGTCAATTTACGATTGTGAAACAACAAATTTCGACAAGATCCAAAAATCTAGTTAGCCCTTCCAAGATCCTCATGTTCCCTGCGATCCCGACATCTGCATCGCCAGCCTTGTCACAACCACATGACAGGCGATGCAATCTTTCCATCCATCTCCCATCAGTACATGTTGAGTCTGCAAAGGACACCATCTGCCAGCCACGTCTCCTGGAGTTGTGTTCACCGCCTCACCCTCAGCTGGGGCTTCAAGCCCCACGGCTTCGTATACGGTGGGTAAATCCAGAGATTGTTTCACTGTATCATCCGGCAGCTGCTCGATTGGATTCGACCATAGAGGTTCTGGACAACGGTCATGTATTACGACTGGCTCCAGCTCTTGCGCTGGGTCCGATCGTGGCTCTGGCTCTGGATCTGGCTTTGGATCTGGCACAGATTCTACGACCGCCTCGCTCATATCAGAGCCAGGGTCTCGCATTACACTCTCCTCAGCAATACTGTCATACGAGCTCATCTCGGAAACGTACGCTATAGGTTCAGAAGAAGGCGGACCGCTGACCGTGCTTAAGTCATCGTCGAGTACTAAACTCTTTACATCCAGCCCACTGCTCTCTTCAACGATCGACTCTTTGGTGGCAGGCTGCTCAGATTTAAGTTCCCCTCGCTCCAGAATACGATCACGCGCGCTTTGGTTCAGAGCATTGAGCTCATGGCGCAGCTCCTTCTCTGTGGCGATCATATGTGAAAGTCTAGTGTTGTAGAGATTCACGGTACATCGTGTTATAAACTTGACTAGTGCTGCGTCGGCAAGGTCGTGGAGAAAGGCGTCTTTCGTGAACACTGTGTGGTCGTTTTCAAACGCTTTCTTGGACTGCTGGTTTAGAAAGTCGTGAACCCAGCTATCTGAATGAAGGCGCGAGAAGTCGTCGTCGATGACATCGAGCAACTCGAAAATGTCCAGGTAGGAACCATACGATTGGATCTGGCCAATAGCGAGGCGTTGCAAGCCGGGCATGTTATGGTCGCTTGTCGCGATAAACACTAGAATTGCAGCTTTGAGTTTGATGCGCGCTCGACCTGTCCAGCACTCGTCATCGGGAACAGGCGTCTCGTACACCCCTTTGTACAGGTAGTGGACTAGAGTATGACCAGTCTGTACATCTACGTCTGGGAAACAAAATCGCTCTCTCGTACCAGAGTCCGTCCATGTAGGGGGTAAGAAATGTGGGAGCACAAGGTAAGCGGTTTCACTTGGACCAAAGTGTAGTGTTACAGGGGCTTCAGCGTAGGGACTGTAGGGGCGCATTAGACCTGTCCAGTATCCTGAACTATTTCTGAGATACTCACGAAGTCCACGGCTTTTGTGGCGATTCTTCTGGGCCGAGATCCGTTTCTACAGTCGTTTCTCTCTCGCCCTCCAGCTCACTGTGGAATACGGGTGGCGGCAATGGCGGCTCTGAAATCGGCGCAGTATTGTCGTTCAGTCCCGCAACTGTTCTCCTGTAGATCCACTGCTCACTTTCGAGAACACTAGGTGAGGGTGGAAGTGGAGATGGCGGTGGCTCTGAGGGAGGCCCTACCGCAGAGGCGCGCTTCTTCGCTAGCCTCTCCTCCTTTGTCAGTTTCTTCATGGTGGATACCAATCGCAAGAAACGATTGTTCTAGTAAAGAGATAATAGAAGCGTTCCACCGCCAACAAGATGAAAAGTATATGGAACCCCCGGTCTGCGACACGACAACACATTTATATGCACCCACCACCGAATGACTTACCCCGCCATCCCAAGCCAGTCAGCATCAAGCACGTTGCATGCATAATGCCAGCAAACTGGTACATATCTAAAATGCATGTATCTAGTAACAAGACCTGTAACAGAATTCTATACTGCTTTAGAGAAGAACATGTTGGGGATGGTAGTGGTTCCTGGAGGAACCTACCTAGCCGCGCGGCTATCTATTCCTGCGCACTGTCAGCATGGTCATGTACAGCCCAATGGAAGATACTCAAGAGAAGCTCTTGGATTTGGATGATTATGTACCTAGAACTGATTGAGAGCTGAGGGGAGGACATTCCGCTGTCATGACGTGGCCAGGCGTGGGAGGCTACAGCCTTGCCGTTTTGTTATCAGATGGTATACAATCTGCATGAAATAGCCGAAGACATATCAGAATTGAGATTAATGCTTGAACATAAAGTATCTGACTTACTTACCGGCTTATCATACATAAGCACCCCGTTCCTTTACGCCTAGACGCAATCTCGCTGACAGGGAAGCAGCAAGTATGGAATACGTAGCGGTAACGTGTGGGCGGAAGTACAGGAAGTCAGTGATACCTTGAGAAGTAATCTTTGATTGAGACTGAGCTCGTCGAACTTGTGTCTTCGGGTGTCCGTTCGCCGCGTTGCGTGCAAGACTGTCGGAGCTTGCAGGCCCAGTCCGTGTATTCCCTGTGAAATGCACAACATCTTCGTGTCCTAAGTCCAAATGACCAAGCAAATTTTGATCTTGCGGGGAAAAAATACAGTGAAACATGGGAGCACTTCACAAGAACATGTCGCCGGTGGACAAAGTCGTCGGATTGTGGAGAGTAACGGAGGAGGTGCCTATTATTTCCGTTCGGGAACTAGCTTGTTTTCCCCAGCTTCTCCACATTTTGTTGGTCCCCGCACAATTCCTGCGAGAACCAACTGCCGTCATGATCATACCGCTGTCACTAGTGCCAGTTGCCTGTAAAGGGCTCCGCATCATCCCATCATGGTAATTTATCCACCACGCAGATTTTTAGTGGTGCAGATCAACAATGTTAGAAAAGCCGATAACAGGTCGTACATAGTGACCACATTTCTTGCTGTGAAAGACCATGGTCCTCGCAGTAACCAACTAAAATCAAATTAGATCATTGCTAGAAAGATATATATCCTTCAACGATGTATCTGCGCCAGGTTCTGCTGAATGGACTGCTGACCAGCAGTCTGCCCGGCGTGCTGAGCCATGCTGTCGGCAAGATTCGCACCGTCGTCACTACGGACATGGAGTCTGATGATCTGGCCTCGTTGGTGCGATACATATTGTATGCCAACGATCTCGAGAACCAGGGTCTTATCTACACGTCTAGTAAATTCCACTGGGAGGGCGATGGCGAAAACACACCCTTCTTCCTCCCGGATCGCGAGTACAACACCTCGCAGACATCCTGGCGCCCCACCGGTACGACCACAATCGAGGACTATTTGCTAAAGGCATACGCGGAGGTGTACCCAAATCTGCGTGTCCACGATCCGACGTATCCGACACCAGAGCATCTCCTTTCGATCACGGCGATTGGCAACGTCGACTTTGATGGCGAAATGGCCAAGAACACAGCCGGCTCGGATCTCATCAAGAGTCTCATCCTGGACAAGGATCCACGCACCCTGTACCTGCAGGCCTGGGGCGGCACCAACACGATCGCGCGCGCGCTGAAGTCGCTGGAAGATACACACTCGGCCTCGTTGCAGTGGAACACCACAAAGGCTGCCATCTCGCGTAAAGTCGTCATCCTCGCTAGTGGCTTTCAGGACAACACGTACATGGAGTATATTGCCCCACGCTGGCCCGTGCTGCGCGTCGAAGAGCTGTCCGCCGCGTACGACACCTGGGGGTTCAACTGCAACCGCGGCAGCGGCAATGTTCGCGGGCTTCCCGATAACAACATTTTCTACCAGGGTTCCTGGATCAAGCCCAATATTCAAACCGGACCGCTGGGGTCACTGTACCGCTCGTGGCTTGACGGACAAAGCACTATTGGCGGCGGCGACCAGCTCGACGTCTTTGGCGACCCAGAAAAGGCGCCAGAGGGTTGGTGCAAGCCAATGTCCAAATACGACTTCCTTTCTGAGGGCGACAACGTGGTGTTCAACCCTCTCCTTTCCACGGGCTTACAGGCTCCGAGCGACGCGAACCTTGGCAGCTGGGGCGGGCGACGGAAACAGAATAGCACAGTACCAAACCTGTGGGTGCTGATCGACAAGGAGACTGGGAGAAACGGAAGCCTGACCAAAGGTTGGACCACAGATCGCTGGGTAGAGGCGGCGCAAAACGACTTCGCGGCGCGTATACAGTGGACACTGGCGCCAGCGTACAAGGATGGAAATCACGCGCCTACCATTAAGATCGTGGGAAAGAAGATGATGAATGCGCGTGCGGGGTCGGATGTTAAGCTGTCTGCGAGAGTCAGCGATCCGGATGGCGACCGGGTAGCTGTGTCATGGTGGCAGTACCGCGAGGAGGGTACATATCCAGGAATCGTGAGTGTCATAGGATGCAACAGTGGTGCGATCGTTAAAGTGCCGCGGGATGCGGAAAAGGGGCAAACGATATCGATTATCGCGCAGGCAACGGACGATGACAAGTTCCCGTTGACAAGGTATGCTCGTGTCTCTGTTGTGGTGGTATAGATATGTGAACCTTGATATTCACAACAGTAAGCTAGTAGCTTGTTCTGCAGGAATCTGTTAGCTCACAAGTAATGCTGAAAGATCGCACATCTGACTACAACAATGTCATATCATTCGTCGGTGTACGACGTGACAAAGACCGATAGAGACGGTGGCAGGCGTCGATGAGAAATAGCAAGGGGCGCTCGTGATGAAATAAACCAACAAGATCGAAAACAACCTGTGCAAGCCAGATCAACGTCAAAGTACGAGCATGACTTAATCGTCTTAGGGCCAAGAGTCTGATCTAGAATGGCGGCCCTGCCAAATGTACATTACATTATATATTAGACTAAAACGTGTCTTCAAAGACAGCACGAGCAATCGTTACAGCTCGAATCGCGGATTGTGGGTGGCGCAGTGCACGTTGCCTGCGAGTTCCAAGGCACAGTGGTAGTGGCCGGCGCGTCGCCAGTGGGCGTCGTCTGTTTGACCAAAACTGGGATAGCAGCACCAGTCGCAAGCCTGAAGACGCGGTGGCCAAGTACTGTCATTGTGTCAGTGATGAATGTTTTCGCGGCTCCAGGATACACACCTCGCAGCAAACTGCCGATAGCGCCAGAGTGCGCGGTAATGGAGATGTATGTGGCGTCATCACTGCTAAAGATATCGTCCAAGACAGCCTTGGAGCGAATATCCTGCGCGGCCGAAGGCTCGGCTGTGAGTTCCTTCCAGTAGGGGTCGTGCTCGGCAAAACCCTGTTCGAACTCGAAGCTGGGGAAGTTTTGGTGGATGTACGACTTGCTGCTGCGGCGGTCGCAGGTATGCGCACTAATACCTTCGCGCAGAAACTCCTTTACAACAGGCACAAATGGCGACTTCTTAGGCAGCGCCAGGTCAGTGAAAGTAATTTTGGCGGTGTCTAGACAGCGATAGAGTGGGCTGGTGTAGTACGAGTCCGGAGGAGTGATTTTTTCATCGTTGATCAGGTGCTGCCAAAAGGCATTGACATCCTGAGCCTGCTTGATGCCGCTCTGAGTGAGCTTTGCATCCGCCCAGGTGACGGTACCATTGCCGTCAAGCTCGGACCAGTAGCAGTTCCAGGCTGGAGTGCCAAAGAAGGACTCAGCGGCGTTGTGGAAGCCTTCACCGTGACGACCGAGGAACAGCAGTGAGTAGCGGGTCTTTTTCTCCTTATTCAGGTACTTGATGTACTTGTTCAGACGCTGCCATTGTGTAGCATACTTGCTGTCGGGGGTCTTGGGGTCGCTGGGGTATGTGCGGTTGATGAGGCCGAAGTTGGACTTGATGAAGTCGAAAGTGCTGGGATCGGTGCTAGTTTCGTCTTGCTGGAAGATGCCCGTGACAACTTCGTACTTGATCTGCTTCTTGGGCGAGGCAGCGTCGACCCAGGAAGCGGCGACCAACAGACCGTAGAGGAGCGATGACGCGAGCATGTCGATGAGTGTGGTGTTGTACAAGGGGAATGACGAGGTCAACAGCTGGAGTTCCATGGCTGCTCTTATGGTTCTTATGGTCATGCGCGATTCCAAGACTGTTCCTTCGTCTGTCCAGGCGTCGGCGAATAGTTGGAGTGCGAGGTTGCAGGCGAGGCTGACAGCCAATCACTGGAGAACGTGATCCGGGCGAACTGCCCTTCGGAGCAACGTCGCACCCACATGGCGGCGGTCTTGCAGGAACATCGCTGGTCAAGATATGGGTGATGATGGCGGAGGAGATTTGGCGAAGACGGGCAGGAGCGTGGGCGAGGGGGGGGGGATGTGATTGGGAGGGCGTGTTTCGATTCGATGTATGCACGTGACCAATCAAGTGCGCAAATAGTGGTCGATGTCAACCGCTAGTACGTGGTAGATGGGGAACACAACCTCCTGACGAAGGAACAGGCAGGACAAGCAGCATAAGCAGCACAAGACTCGCGCGCTGCATTGGCAGGGCGTGTTTCGATTCGATGCGTGCACGTGACTGGTGGAGGCTGGCCCGGCTAGACCTGCCGTGGGCGAGCGGTCCACACAAAAGTTCCCTCGCTCGTCTACCTGGGCACTGCACCACCGCCGCCATGTTTGAGAACGTGTGCGCCATCCCGCTCGACTACGACGTCTTCGCGCAGGCGATCCACCCGCGCGAGCCGATTGTCGCGGTCGGGCTTGCGTCGGGCCATGTGCAGACGTTCCGGCTGCCCGGCGGCGACGACAGCGACAGCGGCGCGTTGGAGAGCGGCTTCGGGCACATTGACACGGTGTGGAAGACGCGGCGGCACAAGGGCAGCTGCCGCACGCTGGGCTTCAGCGTCGACGGGCTGCAGCTGTACTCGGCCGGCACCGACGCCATCGTCAAGGCGGCCGACGCGACGACGGGCCAGGTCGCCGCCAAAATCGCCGTCCCCCTCGACGCGTACGCCCCCGCCCGCCCGCCTCCCCTCTGCGCGTGCTGACCCCCGCAGCGCCGCCGGCGGCATCGACGCGCCCACGCTGGTGCACGCCCTCTCGCCGCAGACCCTGATCCTCGCCACCGACTCGTCCGCGCTGCACCTCTACGACCTGCGCGCCCTCGGCCCTGGCCCCGCGCCGCGCCCGCAGGCGACGCACCGCCCGCACGACGACTACATCTCATCGCTGACCCCGCTGCCGCCGTCCGAGGCCAGCACCAGCGGCTTCAGCAAGCAGTGGGTCACCACGGGCGGCAGCACCCTGGCCGTGACCGACCTGCGCCGCGGCGTCATGGTGCGCTCCGAGGACCAGGAGGAGGAGCTGCTGAGCTCCGTCATCGTGTCCGGCCTGTCCAAGAAGGGCTCCAACGTCGGCGAGAAGGTGCTGGTCGGCAGTGGCAACGGCGTGCTCACCCTGTGGGAGCGCGGCGTGTGGGACGACCAGGACGAGCGCATCACCGTCGACCGCTCCAAGGGCGGCGGCGAGAGCCTCGACGCCCTGGCCCTGCTGCCCGCCGGCGTGGGGCCGGGCGGCAAGATTGTCGCCGTGGGCCTGGGCAACGGCGACTTGCGCTTCGTCAAGATCGGCCAGAACAGAGTCGTCGCCGAGCTGAAGCACGACGAGCTGGCCCAGGAGGGCGTGATTGGCCTGGGCTTCGACGTCACGGGCCGCATGATCAGCGGCGGAGGGCGCACTGTCAAGGTCTGGGGTGAGAAGGGCGCCATGGGCCGTGCAGACGAGCAGGACGATGACGACGAAGACGAAGACGCAGACGAAGACGAGCCTCTCGCCGAGGCAGCCGCAAAGCGAGACCACGAGACCGATTCGGATGCCGGCAGCGACGACGCCGACTCCAGCAGCGACGAGGAGCAGCAGAGCAGGCGCAAGAAGCGCAAGCGCAACAAAGGCAGGCAGCAGAAGGGTCACGGCATCCTGAAGTTCACGGGTCTGGATTGAGATGAAACGCTGCACGATCCATAGACCTCGGCAGCGTTTTGCAGACTTTGAAAGCGTATGTATTGCAGAGTATTGGCGTCCACACGCAGTATAGGCGCAATCTCGCACACCTAAAACATAGATAACGATACCCACTCCCTACCATGATTTCTCTCGAATTCCGTCGATCGCTGCCCTTGCCACTGCTTGCCGAACCCGTACATGGCGCGCTGATGCGGGGACCATGTCACCGTTGCCTGTCACCGTTGCCATCGGTAGCAGGAGATCACGGCTGCCGTTTTCTGTTTGTTCACCGTGGCTGCGCCATCACGCAAGCCAGCGGGGGCCCCGCGGCACCCTCTGCGCGGAGTAACGGACATGGTTAGGGGTGGCGGTAGAACGGAGAAACACTCACGCATAAGATCGTCAACTCTGCCTTCGCTGCTCGCACACGGCAACGAACGGCTAGCAGCCGGTTTATGAAAGTCAGGTTCCGAAGATGCAACACATGTCCATGTCAGGTCGCCTCTCGGCAGTTGGCGCTGGATACTGACAACGGTCGGCGTGATGGAGCCGATGCTCGGCTCGTGCAGCACGGTGTGAGAACAGCCTGTAAAAACGTGTATAACAGGTGGGATATGAATGGCAGGTGGGATGCGATTGGCAGGTGGAATGTGATTGACAGGCGGGATATGTATAGCGGAGGGTTTGGACAGCAGGGAGATACAAATGGCAGGCTAGAGGGCTGCATGTGATACGCACAAGGATTCGGCAGCTTGCGGAGACCAGGTGCGCATGAGCCTTTTTCAATATGTAATCCTGTCAATCATTGATGGGCTCCTCAAGCAACATACACCTATTTGGGCGATGTCACGCTCGAGAGGGGAACCTTCGTGTTGAGTACTGTACCATCAACGATTGTCCCGACGGAACGGTCACTTGACGGACGGGACACAATATCCTGTATCGAGAAACACTTAGCTGACAAGGAACGTTCTGCAGGTGGTTGAGTATGAGGTTGAAAGCAGCAGCAGACATATCCTCTCTCTCTCGACTGTACTGTATACACAGGTATGAGTAATTGCTGGCTATACCATATCATGGGGAACTCATCCTATTGGCTGCGTGTATTGTTACAGGGCTTGAGGCGGATGTCGTCGATTTGTGTGGAGGCCTCCAGACGCCGCGGCCTCAAGACTTTCCTGCCAAGCAGGAAACCTGCATCATCGAAACAGTATCCATCGTGTATAGCTAATACGCGAATGTGTGATGGGAAACGGCAAGTACTCGACGTGGCTTGATCTCACCTCGTATACTGAAACACGCAACGGTCGGAAACATATCATCGTGCATAGCAGCGTTCGGGACCGCCACAGTGCCGAGCATCTGGCGTTCAAAGTGAGGGGTAGATCCAGCTTGCTTGGGTCATCACCATAGCAGTGATGAGTCGTGATGCATCCAAGTCCCAGAACATCAGATGCGCTCATCCTTGCATGGATCTGTACATGCGTTCTGCTGATGAGAACAAAGCTAATGAGCGTTTTGCTACAAGAAGCCAAAGTTTACGAAGAGCATGTCCGCGCTTGCTGCAGACTTGTCCTCCCCTGGCGGAGAGAGCTCCGATTCCCAGCATTTTGTTGGTGGCGGGACGGCATCAACCGCAGGATCGCTCTGCATGCATGCAACATCAACTCTGCTGCGTGAGCCAAGTACTAGAACAAGGTAGGTGTCGGGATATGAGCGCATATGCACGTCTGTGGCACCGAGGCGCGATGGCGAGAAGCAGGGTGCAGGACGCGTTTGAAGCGCATGCCTACCTGATGTACCGTGGTCAACCACCATGGCCCAAGTGGCCGGTCGATCTTGGGTGCGCATCGATTTCGACAGAACTGGCTGCACGGTACGAAATCTCACTCAGAGCACTGATTGCGTTTTGCTCCGCCAAAATGATCGAGTCCATCGTCATTCATACTGCAAGGTTTTGCAAGCACTTGGCCGAGAGGACAGAGCTCTACCCTTCTGGTCGTGGTCATCTGGAGGAGCTTCAAGATTCAGCTTCGCACTCTGATGGACCGAGCATGACGTTCCGCGGTTCGGTCTGCAAGGCTATGACGTTGAGCAAGTACCTACGAAACTGCCGTAGGGTGAAACACGAGCCACGAAACATGGCCTAGCTTACACAAACTTCGGAGGACCAAGGTGTAGCGTCCCGCGCACTGGGCCAGCCTTAAGAAAAGCCATGTTATGGAAGCAGGACCAGTGCCTCATGAGGTGGGGAAATGCCAGTGGTTCACAAATCGCAGGCCTTCTGAGCTCGCGATCAGGCTGGGCACGTTGGCCTAATCAAGATTCGTATACCAAGTGCATTTTGGCTGCGATAATCGAATTGAAGGTGCAGGTGTTGTGGTCCAGCGTTTTATGCGCTGTGTCCCTCAATGTCAATGTTTGGTCGCTGCCTTGACGGTAAAGGCGCGCTGAATGCGAGCAGCTATCAAGAACTGAGCAGTCTGCAAGATGGAAAATTGATCGCTGCAGGGATCGATATTCAAAGTCGAAGCTGACACTAAACGGCTGGAGAACTAACCTCAGACCCAGTAGATACTGGTAGTAAAGCCTGAGAGGTGACATTCTCTCGCTTGCATCGCATCTCTTCAAGCACATCTAGCGGATTTCAAGCGAGGAAGCATGGATGAGCTAGCGTAGCTGTTCCACACTTTAGCCGCGATTGTATCAGGTTAGTATGAGTCTCCGCGGCCACTACTTCCTTGCCTTGCTGGTAGCGTACTTCTACTTTGGGATGGCCCGACCGTCCCTTCCACTGGGGGTCAGATTCGAGTTGCTGCGAATCGGCTTGCGTCTGTACATGCGCTTTGCCGTGTGCCCTGCAGCTAGAATACTTGTTGGAGGTACCTGCGTCGGCCAACCAGTGTCACCGCTGTCAGCTCCGCGAGGAATTGTTGGTAGCCAACGAGCCACGAATGTCAAAGACGGAACATGCTCTCTTCGTGCAGTACCACAGTGTCATAGCGTATATCATCCCGGCAATAGACATGTCACCAAGAGTGCTTCTCAAATCCCTCGGTAAGGATGGGCGGAAGAGACCCTTTTTTGGGTAGATCCCACTCCCTGAAACGGCCGGGTCTTTGCGCGTTCAGGAACCATTGATAGACCCACTTCACGTGGCGAGCCCCGGTCGAGGTCCAGGTTCGGTGCACTATAGAATTGACCATATCCCTTTGGTGAGTGCGTCTGGGCTCTGAGGTTTCCAGCTTCTTCAAGGTCCATGCGACAAGAAACCTCCACCGGAAATCATCATCATGGCAATCCCCAATCGTGGGCCTGAACTCATCGGAGTCAACATTGCTTTCCTGGCTACCGCCATCATTGCGAACGCGTTGCGATGTATCGTTCGAGTGAAGATGGTTAAAGCGTTTGGCGTCGATGACTGGGTTATGGTCGCTTCAACAGTGGGTCATCTTGGGCTGACAGTACCGGTGTAGTCACTGACCAGTTGCAGATTTTCTTCATTGGATACGGTGCTTCCTCGACAATAGGCGCACACTACGGTACAGGCCGTCATCATATTGATCTCGAAGACTGGCAGATCGAGAAGGCACGAAAGTGCTGGTTCTACTGCTACCTCTTCTACTGTTGTTCTATGATCTTGTCCAAAATCTCCATCGGTTGCTTCTTGCTACGCATCTCCGTCAAGCGCATTCATACCTGGATCATCTACTCTGCTATGTTCGTGTCAACGTTTGCCTGCACGGCCTTCTTTTTCGTCACCCTCTTTCAATGTAAGCCCGTCAACTACTTCTGGGCAAAAAGTATGGAAGACGGAACTTGCATCAACAACACCATCATCATTGCTCTCGGGTTTGTCTACAGCATCTTCAGCATCATTGCGGATTTCACCTTCGCCTTACTCCCGGCTTTCCTGGTCTGGAATCTGCAACTAAAGAGGCGTACAAAGATTGCCTTAATACCACTCCTTACTATGGGCTGCGTTGCCAGCGCGGCCGTTATTGCGCGTCTGCCTTTCCTTCCTAAGCTCAACTCTGCTGATTTCCTCTGTAAGTCGTTGACGAAAGTAAGTAGGTACCAGCTGGTGCTTGTGCTAATACACTTCAGGGGACACACTTGACGTTGCTATTTGGTCCACCGTCGAACAGGGTCTCGCCATTACTGCTGGTAGTCTCGCGACTCTTCGTCCCCTCTTCGCTCTGGTCATGCATCAAATGGGAATCTCAACGCGCCCAACACAACCTCGACCTTCCAATTACGGACTGCAGACTCCCCCCGCTAGCCAGATGCTCAACAGTCGTCGTAAAGGGAGCAAAAACGACCTCGACATGTACAGAGGAACGACTGTCGAGGAGACACGAACATCAGATGAATCTATGGTCAAGCACGCGTCATTCCCCAGATCGCCAAACTGGTTCAATGGCAATGGGCCGCAACCAAGCATGACGAAGAGCCAAGTGCGGTCGGATAACGAGAGCGAAAGGAGCCTTAGGGTCAAGAGCTCGCGGAACAGCAGCGAAGATCAGATGCACATTATGGTATCAAAAACATTCTGGGTCGACGAGGAGAGGGCTTCAATGGCATCTCGAGGGCAAGGAGGGTTTATCTAATGAGTACAGCAATGTTCCGCGATTATGACATAATACTATACCCCATTTCTAATGTTATAACATCAATTGAGCATATCCTCTGCACGTGAGCAAGCGTGTTCACACTCCCAAGCTTCTCTTCTGTACCTAGGTACCCATCACCTTCCTGGGTCGCACGCGCTGATCATGATTCCTCCCTTCGGGTCTTCAACCCCTGGCCAAGACAAATCGACCTTGGTTATAACCAAGAACCTGGTGTATATCAAGCACGCCGCCAGCACAATTGTCCCGATGCAGAAGTGCGTTAAAGTAGTAGATTGTGTTGATCAATTCACCTCCCTAATGTGGCCTGATCACAGTGGATGACCCGTCTTCGCCCATAATATCAGGTGTGCTGACGCGGGTCAAATAGGCAACGAACGGCAATGACAAGATCTGCCGGAAACAATGATTCGTCCTCACTGTGACACCCTGGCTTTGCTAAGCAAGCGAGAGCCAGGCACAGATTGTGGGTACAGTGTCACAATGGACGGTACGTATCTAGGTACCAACACAAGCCTCAGGCTTTTGCGCTGCAATGCGAACCTTGATAGGTTGCCAAAAGCACGCGCCGTATCAACACGAAACACATTTCTTCATAAACGCTGGTGGACGGTCCCACGCGGCCTCCACGTGCGGGCTCCACGCCGTGTTCCACGATGCCCTGTCTGAATCCTAGAGCCTGGATAGCCGTTTCGCGAGCCTGCACGTGTGCGAATCGGGGGTGAGATGACAACCCGTTCCGCAGAGTGGACATGGCGGCGTTCTGCAGTCGGTGCGCAGGTGGAGAACCGCAGCAACAAGCCAAGAACACAACTTCCCTTATGCAAGCACACGTACAATCTTGAAGGAATGGGATGGACCTCGGGAGCACCGGAGCTCAATGCCGTGATCCTGCTGTGGAGGACCGCCGCGATCCTGCGTCCCGCACCCCAATCTCCCTGCCGGCTGGGCACGGCCGAACGCGCGCGCCGCCGCCTGGTACCTGCCGGCCCAGATTTAAATGCGACGGTACATGCGCGTTGGCCAACGTGGATGTGGACACCGGCATGGTCGTGCGCTAACTTGTGGTCGGGTCGGTGTTCATGGCCCCATCTTCGAGTGCAAAATTGCGTGGTGGGGACGCTGACACGAAGCCCAGTCACGAAGCACACGACGCTGCAAGAAGGGACTGTACTGTTAGTGTGCACAAGGAATGCACCCGTAATGTCTCAGCAGCCGAGCAGCATCTGGTAGAAACACAAGGAGACGATACTTACGAGCACGAAGGACTGAGCAACTGTTCTTCCACACGTTTTGACCCGCCAACATCCACGTCCTAGAACCTACCGCTTCATGCTCCGGGCCCAGTCCAGTCCACCGTCTCTGCAGTGATCTGGAAGCGCCACACATCACTCTCCACCCGACACTAGCGTACCACGATCGAGGACACGGTGCCGTACCAGAATTGCAGCATCTACAAAGTGGGCCTTCGATCCGCGTCCAACGTGCTGGTTAGCAGACTAGGGCAGGATGATGATGGGTAGATGAGCAGCCGCGTCTATACGACTATCCCCTCAGCTGTTGTCGGAGCTGAACACAGAGCCAGGCGTCACAGCTTGCTGCATGATCGACCATACAAGTGGGCCTCGAGAGTCACCTCAAGTATGGACGATACATCCCACACTTGGCTGCAGGTGCCAGCCAGATCAACAGGAATCTCCGAGTGCAGCCCGGTCGCTGCAAAACGTGCGCATGCCTCGGCGCAAGTCTAGAGTGCTATGCCGTCTAGGCTGTCTCATCAAGCAGATATGTGATCTCAGGGATGGATTTTGTTCAACACATGGAGTTCCGCAGCGCTCTTTTGTAAGCCTCCGTCTCGTCATTGGCGCCATTTACTTTGCGGCAAGAGTGTAAACTTCCTGCCGCAGAGAGGCGCTACGGCGTGCTAGTAGTATACCGAGAACTGGAGGCGGCTCGAAGCAGTGGATTTTCACGTCTGTGAGCATTGAAGTAGTGCTCAAAGGCGGAGCGGGCATCATAATACAGCTAACGTAAAGCTCACATTCATACTGCGATCACTTTGTACGTCTTAGCTACACAGTCTTTTCCAGGAAGCATATCAGGCCTTTAGGGGATTCGCTCTATCCTCTCTGGACTGTCCAATCCAAGCAAAAAAGATGTGAGCAGTGATCTACTTCCACATCAAGATTCAACGCCCCGCCATGCAGCAAGCCTTCCTCGGCTACCGCCTCTTCTGTCCCTCACCTCTTTACCGCTCATCATCGCCATACCACTCAATACTTTCCTCGATTCCACAACTTCCCCAATTCATGCTATCTCTCCTTTCTGACACTCTTACTCACCTCCTCACCCACAGCGTAGAGAGACTCCCCGATGTGCCCGAATTTGCTCGTCCATCGACTAGCTGCGCGGCAGATTCCACCCGCAGCATCTTCCGCTCCTTCCTAGAATTACTGTTATAACTCAGGAGCGTGCGCACACTGAGAAGACTGTGTCTACGCTTCACGCCAATTCCAATGGCATCGATCCTCGATGCTGCTGTGGAAGTGCAGAAGGTAGATATGGATGAATGCGAGAGCATGTGCGATGCTCTCATGGCAGAGGAAGTCTTTGTCCAGGAGGTGCTGCAGAAGGGGCATGTGTAGGAGGTGGGCGTATGATTGGACTCCGAGGACGATATGGGCGAGAGGGGAGGGGAGGTGTGTGGACTTTGGGTAGAAGCGATAGGCGCGGCAAGGTTAGTACTGATAGTTTGGAGCCAGGCCCATATGTGGAAGTCTTTAGGTCGCGGTGGGATGTCTCTGCTGTGACGTCGGTGGAGAGCTTGCGCAGTATCAGTGAATTGGTTCTCATGTTCAGTGCATGCAGATGGAGGGGAACAATGACGAAAGTCCGTGCTGCTCCCAGTAATTGAAATGGCTTCTTCACCATGCCAAAAGGAATCGTCGCGTGTCCAGCTCTCATACCCACTGAACACCAAACCCTCGCACCCAGAGAGAAGCTCAACTATCTTCTCTGCAACGCACATTTCTTTCGAGCCGTTAAGCGGCGGCGCCTGGGGCAGCTTACCGCTCGGATACAGTGCGGGCAGCCTGTGTGCGAAGACGTACCATGCGTCTTCTTTGCCGATGAGAATAGCAAGCGACCTACTTTTAGAAAGAGTCACAGACAACCCATGTACGGCGAGTTCATTCTCCAGAGATGGAAGTGTGAGCTCAAACTCCCCCGCTTCAAAAGACTCGTTGGGATACACTGGTGGCGAGGTGAATACTTCCACCCGGGAGCTGGAAGATGCATCCATTGCCGTGACAACAATATGCTTCTGGTCAGATGATTCTGCATTCCACGTTGGATCTAGGCTTGTCGGATCGTTCCAATGGCTTTTCCTTGCCCAAAAGTAGTAATGCGGCAGATCGCACCCAGGGAAGCAGATGTAATACAGATTCTCAAGCTTTCGCTCGACATCCGGGACAGCTGCGTAGTTCATGTCTTGCTCCCAGTCTAGGTAGGCTGGCATGTAGCCCATAGCTAGTGGTTGCCATGCGCTCGCCTCATAAACTTCGGCCACCATCCTTCGCTTGTTGGCAAGGCGTAGCGCACATCTCCGCTTGCGGTCGGCTTTGAGGTCTGTGACCCCCGGTGTCGGTTGTAGCAGCTTGGAGCTCAAGATGTTCCGCTTGTAGTATACAGTGTCTAACCGGGCATTCTTCGTACCAGTCTGAGGGAGAGAGAAGTACATACAACCATTCCAGCCAGCCACAATTGTACGCTCAGCCCAAGAAGTCGCACGCTCGATGGTTGCACGAGCGAGAACGCCAATCTTATGCCCATGGCGAACAGCAGTCCGAGTAAGGGGGCTCAGGATGGGTGCGAAGTCTGGGTCGATGCCTACGGGGTATTTCAAGCCTGGCAGCGTCACCTTCTCTCGAGTACGCAAAGTAACAAGTTTGAGTGGCGTGTAGGCGATTGGAGAAGGAAAGCATTCAGAATGGATGTCTTCTGGTGGCTGATATGATGGCATGGTTGTGTAGGGCCATTCGAACAATTGCACCCTGCAACTAGGTGCAACGGGAGAGTTCCGGGAACGAACACTCGTCTCTGAGGATGTGTCTTCCCATGACTCGTCGCTAAGCACCTCACCACCTGTCACTGTAAGCTTGTGCGTATCGTTCCGGGTACGCTCGTGGTCTTCCGTATCATCAGAGTCGGAGCTGACATCTTCTTCATGTTCTCGTCGTCTAATTCTGTCCTCATTGCGCTGTGCTTTTGCTCTGAGGCGAATTTGTTTCAATTTTGCCGTATTCTTTATCTCTCGCTGTTGCTCCTCTTTTTTCTCTTTCCGCTCACGCAAAACCCTGTTTTCCTCACGATGCAGGTCTCGATCGTGATCCGCCATCTTTCTCGCCATGACACTCTTCTTGTCATCCTTGACATAGCAGCCGGCTTCCTTCACCGCTGCAAGTAACTGTTCACGGCTGTAGTCATCGTATTTGGTCTGGGTAAGATCTTTGTCTTTGACGGTATGCTTGCCGCCTCGTCGATGCGGCGGTGCCATCTCGAGTCGATGACAATGCTCAATAGTTTTTTTCAGGAACCTGGTGTATATCTCAACGAGCTTGGACTATGTCGATATGTGGTAAGTGAGAAACATTCAACTGCAGTTGCACGACTGCTGAAGCCTTGATGATCTTTGAGGGCATCACTGCCAAAGATAAGGTCAGATTTGCCGCCCTTTGTCTTAGCCTAGTCATTCATCATACTCGACAACTTACAAAGGGTTGTGCCTCATTAGTGAACGTAGGGTTGAACTTCTTTATTGACACTGTTCGTCTCTTGAAAGGGAATTGAAACCTTAAAGTCTCCACAAGCGCAACTTCGTCATTGGCATAGGTGAGACAAGCGTCATTTCAACCACATCTTCGAATTTCTCGCTGGTAGCGTTGACTGAAACGCAGTTCGGTATTAGAAGCTACTTACAATTCCGACTTGTCCAGAGCCGACTTCTCCACTACCGAGTCCCGTCGCAACTTTAGTGTCCAATCGAAAAAGCCTTCCAACTCCATCCATTCTGCAGCGAACGCGGTAATTATCTTTGCCCAATCTTCGACTGTGTCCATGTCTAAGTGCGCTGCATCGTCCGTAATCTCGTGCCACACAGTTGGGAATGGAGATGGGATGACATGGAGGATCTCGACCCCACGATCCATAAAGGGAACATGGTCGTCCAGCACGAAACCTCCCAAGAAGGAGTTCTCAGCTTTGTTCTTCTCGTGTAAGAAGCGCGGCTCGGCACGCGGCTTCTTGTTCTGCCGTTTCGCCATGCGATCAGGGTGGTTGGGCGAAGATCTCAACAGCTTGAGCTTGCGCAGGCGATCCTCGATACTTGCCATGTGTTTGTATGCCCAATGTGTAGTCTTGAAGTATGATGGTACGCGAGGGCCAGCCGAGCCCAAAAGGTCGAGCAGAACAAAGAGCTCCATGGACTCGAGGGGTGTGCGATACGTCGAAGCGGCAGTGTGGAAGGATGCTTCCCAATCTTCGGCCAGAGCACTAGACGAACCTTAGCAATCGTACATTAGCGCATAGTGGCGGAGCGATCTGACCGTGCACCGTACAGACTGTCTGTGTCAGTCCAGCTGTGGAAAGCCTCCTCGCCGTCCAAGAGCAGTATCTGCACACCCTTGTGCTCCACGTCCAGGAGATCGTCTGTCCTGGTTGCCCACTTCTTCGTCAGAGCTGCATCGAGAGTACGCGCAGCATGCAGGAGCATCGCACAAGGCGCTGCGCTATCCGTTGCACCGATGAAGCCCTTCGGCGTGAGCTTGCTGTCGTAGTGCGCAACTAATGCCAGGCGCGAGACATCGCCTTCGCTGGCGCCAGGCGGGTCGCGCGTCGCAATGAAATTGACGAAGGGGACCTGTTCTCCATTGCTCAGGGGCGTGGCCGAGGTCGAGTTGTGCAGCTCGATGCGCCATTCCGGCAAGTTCGTGTGGAAGAAGTCGATAAAGTGTTGTCGCACAACCGCATTGCCTTCGGTTCCTGATACTCGGGTTCGTAAAATTGGCGCCAACAGTGCACCATTCTTGATATCAAAGTCATTGCCTGGGCCGGGAAGCCTCATCAGAGTGTCGTCGCTCAGGTCATGGTAGGCACTGCCAACGGATAGAAACAGAAGGAACGACAGCAGCGCAAAGGCAAACAACATTGTGGCAATCGCCTCACATCAAACCCCGCACGCCCAGTGAATACCGCACGATAGTGTCGACTCGAGCAATGAGCATGTTGATCCAGAATATATGCATTGATTGGAGCTGAATCGTGGTCACATCTCGGGCCAATTCCAGGGTCCAAAGCCATCATGTGACAGCGTGCTCCGGAGCAAGTATAGCCGAGTAACATCCTTTAACGCGTTGCTCACTCAATTGTCCATCAAACATCGATTGAGATGCAACCGCGGATCTCCACATTGTCAGCTGCTTTCAGAGGCCCATCACTATGGGCGCGCGACGCACAACAAGTCGCAAAGCCGAAGATAGCGCAATTCATCTGCAGGACTTGTCAACGGAAATTTTCCACGTCACCTGCGCTACGCGCAGCAGCGAAGAATTTTGAGAAGCCGCGCAGTGAGTACATCCAATAGGTATATGGACTGCCTGTCTAAGTTCTAATATCGTGTAGTGTACAAGTCGAGATTGTTGATCTACGATGCTGGCGACACACGCACAACCTGGGTATCCTTCTGGAAAGCCATGGCCCTACTGCAATTTGGAACAACTCTTGTTTTCGCTGTTCCGCCACTATGGAATAATGAAAACCAGCCTGATCCCAATTTGAGAAAAGCTCAGGCTATCTTAGGTAAGCCATATCCCGTCGTACATTTCTTGATACCACCCTCACGCGCTTTTGACATCCATCTCGTTGAGTATTCCTCAAATTTCTTCTTGAGCTTTACTCCAGTGCTCTAAATCTCGCCTGGGCACTTTGTACGAACGATATCTGCATCGCTTACAAACTCGTTCCTTTCACATCCATGCGGTCAGGCCGAGAATCTGACCTATCAATTTGCGCTCCATCACTTTCATTCTAGCAGGAACTGACGCGTTCCAGTTGGGGTTCTCGGCACAATACCTACACTGACTATGGCATACGTGACCGCACCCTTTGTGCACCAAGTCTTCCTCCAGATACCCGAGCACGCTCGCCGCTCGCGCCACAACCTGATGAACTTTGCTCGTAGCCTAAACAACCCAGCCAACGCGAGCACTACAGCAAACACCAAGCTCGAGTTCGTAACACTCCGCATCTTTCCCTTCCGCAAGAATACCACGGCTTTCTTGCATGAGTTGCACGCCTTGCCGCCCATGAAGTTTCGCCTGGCCAACATCGAGATCCCTAAAACAAATGAGTGGGCAACGAGACAGCGCGAGAAGGGCATCTGGAAACGCATGCTGGAGGTAATTGCAGAGCCGCGCTATAAATTCTTCGTCAAGGAGGGGAAGATGTTCACTGCGAAAACTGGCGTGCCAGGCGTGTGGGAGGAGGTCGCTATAAGGATCAAGGGACAGACGAATAAGGCAATCGTGCAGGAGAACTGTGCTGTCACTGTTCCAAGGCGTGCGATCAGAAGACCTGTAGTAAAGGGGCCGGTTGTACTGAGGCGACCAGCGAGGCCGGCCGTGGAGGAGACGATAGTCAAGAGGCAGACCGCGAGGAGCTCCAGGTAGAAGGTCGCCTGGAACAGGGAACCAGTGAGTTGTAATAGTAGAGATATAGCAGAATCACCGAGTCAGCTGGTACTCTTTGATTCTTGCTTAGCCCTCGTGAGTTGAACAGAACCTGTTTATCCCCCAAAGAGTTGACACTTATTCCAGCCATATTCGATGCGTCAGTGATGAAAATTCCGGCACAGTGATCGTAAGTATTGATGCTGCAGTGTCGTGGTCCCGTCGAACGAGGCACATACCTAATTCGTGTCACGTTGCCTCTCGCGTGCCGCACCAGCCGTGCGCGGCTCCTTGCGTATGTACGAACACTCCGTACCCACATACCTCACCATCTCGACCACAGCCTAGGAAGTAAACGCTGCAAACATATTGTTAGTCACCCTCTCGTTCGATATAGAAGTCAAGCTTAGCAGCTTTACAAAGTCCCTTCAGCCAGCTTGGCTGATCTAGAAGTCCTGCTAGATCGACGATTTGTCAGCTGAACGGCTGTGGGCGCGAACGCTTGCCATTCGAATAGGTACTCATAATCTCAGAACTTCTGTCCACTTCCGTCAACTCACTGTTGCTCATCTTTAGGGGTTTAATTGTGTTTGCAGCTCAATTGCGCATTTGCGTACGATCGCGCGGGATTGAGGCAGTTTCCCCACACCATACCGTATTCGGACGCCACCCCCTCGAGCACCTTGTTGGAGTCCACGTCTGACCGTCGGTGAAGCACGTCAGATACGTAGCAAAGATGCGGGGCGCATCTGGTCTTTCGGTCTTGCTGGCCTCTCTGTTTTTTGCACCTTACATTCTTGCCTCAGAACAGCAGCCATTCGAGTTCGGAGAGATGTCTGCACCACAGTATACACTACCTCCTCTCCCATACGCATACGATGTAAGTATTGGAACTACCCAGAACGCTCCAAATGTCCAGACTGATTCTCCACAGGCATTGGAACCCCACATATCCGCCCAGATCATGGAGCTGCACCATGGCAAGCACCACCAAACGTACATCACGAATTTGAATGCTGCTCTCAAAGCACAAGCTGAAGCCGTACACACTTCCGACATCACATCTCAGGTGTCCCTTCAGCAGGGCATCAAATTCAACGCTGGTGGACATATCAACCACTCGCTTTTTTGGCAGAACCTTGCCCCCGCAAGCTCGCCTGAGGCAAAGAGCTCTGCTGCACCAGAACTTGTGAAGCAGATCAAGACTGTCTGGGGTGACGAGGAAAAGTTCAGGGAGGCTTTCAGTGCTGCGTTGCTTACCATCCAGGGCAGTGGTTGGGGCTGGCTCATCAAAGTCGAGACTGGTAGCGAGCAGAGGCTCGCCATTGTCTTGACCAAGGACCAAGACCCAGTTGTTGGTAAAGGCGAGGTCCCAATATTTGGTGTTGACATGTGGGAACATGCATATTACCTACAAGTAAGTCTTGAACGTGCCAAACGACCAATTGATCTGACCAATAATAGTACCTGAATGGCAAAGCCGCCTATGTGCAGAACATTTGGAGTGTCATCAATTGGAAGACCGCTGAAGATCGATTCCTTGGCTCGCGTGCAGATGCCTTCAAGGTTCTCAAGGCGTCAATCTAGGAGTCTCGTATACACTCAAATGACAGAATCTCGGCCACTGAGTAAATAGGTTTCGTCACGTCGTGACATCCGCAGTACCGAGGTGGCTCTAGCGTGGACAGACTGACCAATTAGGTACTCTCTTGGAACTTGCTCAAAGGCACGCATTCACACTCAGCCTTGAAACGTGCAACAGAGGTCCGTGATCTGTTCCAGTCTCTCAAGAACACAAACAGCGCCTCCGTAGTTATTTACCAATCGTCAAACCAAGTTCTCTTCCGCGCCCCAACCTTTCTTCAAAGCTCATCTACTCTGGCCTTCTCGTCCACGCCGCGATCCCCAAGCATTCTACCTCTAGCTACCATGTGCAACGGCCACTCAAGTCGCGTCAGCCAGGGAGGCTCTATCGCTGTTCTCCGACCGACACAGCACCTACGGCGATCAACCACTGACCAGATGATGCTCTTCTTCCACAATCAATTCTCGGCGCCAGGCACAAGTGTTGAACTGCAGGGCTGGAACGATAACGCAAAAGAAAGACACTGGGTCGTTATACAGTAAGTGACGGATGTTACACGATGGCGGTTGTTGACGTCTCTTCTAGCCGAGATGGCGATCTCTCAGGTTCCGCGTCACCGATTCAGACACCGCCATTTTACTCGTTCTCGTTAGAATCAGGTGAAACTGCGACACTGGATCTACCACAAAGACTAGATCTTGGTGTTGGCGATGCAGGCATCATCGGGCGTCGGGTTTCAGTCATGGCGGGATCGACGAAGGGGCCTTTAATAGTAGCAGAGGGCATCATTGGGTGGAATTGAAACTTGATGCAGTGATCATAGACTCATAGCGTTGGTGTTCGGTGTTGGTTGTTTCCAAGATTGATCGTGGCTCCACCTCTAACGATGAGCGTCCGTTCACGCTGCGCAGTCACATTTGCGCCATTTTTTAGTCAATTATCATGGCAGCATCTACCATATCTACTGTTGCATGTTTCCTTTGAAACATTTATAGAGACTTACACATTTTGTTTGACTCTGAAGTACAGCAAAAATCTCTTTTTGTTTCATTAGATGTCAGCGCAACATGAAATCAATCCTAAACACCTTGTCGCAATTCTGCGCTCCCAGCGAAACCCACGGTTCTCATGAGCTTGACAGGTAATTGCATGACTCCCCGAACGGAACCGACATCGACTCTACATATTCCAAAGAAGCCAACGGCAATGTATTGCAGGCATCGATGGAGCATTCTTCAATGTGTGGTGCGTCAGACGCCACGATCTTGCATCGAGTGCACGCTCTCTAACAGGCTCTTCTGCAGCAACCTGCATCCTTCTTCCCAGGCAACCCAAGCCTCTGTCTCCATGATACTCGCATAACCGTCCATCAAGAATCTATGCATTTTGACAGAAACCAAAATGCGAAATAGTAGCAACCCGTCAGTCGTATTCCACATCAGCCACTTTGCCTTCGGCCGACCCATCAGCCTGATGTCTTCAAACAGTTCATTAAAACACTGCACCAAGTCTGGGGAACCGTCAGACAAGGTGTTTAACCGCGTCAACTGGCTCAGAAAGTGCTGATTGATCAAGTCATCGATGAACAAGGATTCTTGCTCGTACTCTATCCTGTCAGATGTGACTGAGGAACGGTACCCGGTACCAGGGTGTACAATGGTGGTTTGTTCGTTGTCCATCGGCATGCTCGTGCGCGTAGCGAGTGTGAGCGCGTTGATGCCATCCCATTCGAAAAGCTGTGTCTTGCACATAGGGCACTTGTCTCTTAACGAATTGTTGCGCGTAGCAAGCGAGATGAGGCACCGGTAGTGCACCCAGTGGTTGCATGGTGATAGCGGCAGGAAAGTGGACAAAGTGCTGGCGTTGTCCCATTGTACATTGCAGCTTACGCATGTCTGACTCGCGGGAGGCGGATGATCATGACGGTATTTGTTACGCATGAGGATGTTGTCAACGTATCGGAGCAGCGACGGTAGGACAATTGATGGTGTTTCGGATCTCACGCTGAGCTGTGGCTCCCTGCTGACTGTTGCTTCCGAGACGCCATATGCATACTAACCGGATTGTTTAGTCTTTGGCGCGGCTGCGATGTGCAAAATACTCACACATTGCGCGTGGGTGTTGGAGAAGGGCAGTGAAGCAGTGTCGGATTGTTGTGAAGCCGGCGACCTGTAGGTGTCGGCACGCACTTCAGGCGACGGATTCGTGTCGCATGCGTTGCTTGACTGACTCATCGCGATTATGAGAGAGTGGTTTGGTGAATTCCATGCAGCTTGCTGTTACAAGGTACGTAGAACGGGAAAACCGATCGATTGGCCATAGCTTCGCTAATTTTACAGGTGAAAGGCGAAGTGAAGGCGGCTTTCACGCCTCTAAAGCAGCAGAACCGTCTTGTACGTCGTTCGCGCGACTCTACCAGGAGATATGAGTTTCATTACAGGCTTGTTTCTCATAAAACTTTAGGCAACGTAGCGAAGAGCTAGGGATTGATACTCCTTCTAGGTGACGGGTGAACTTTGTGCTCAATATGGTGAATCTGCGCCCAAAATCGCTGAAGTAAAGAAAAGATGTCAATCTATCCAACCTGTGCCCATGAAATAGTCAAGGCACCACAGAAGTGCTTTCTGGGCAGTTCTCGAGCCGATGTGATGTCGAGTACAACTAGATTGCGCTTTCCCAGTTTAACTTAGTGTTCAGACCCACCAGGCTCGCACATCATTTGCCTGACAATTGACGACACGATGCTTTGTCAACAGCTTGCAAACTCTCTGCATAACCATTTTACCTTCTGCTATGGATACCTCTCTATCCAAGCTTGACTCAAGCTACTTGACCTATAATGACAGTTGACATCGAACCTGCGCCATTGAAGGTAGCTATTGTCGGAGGTGGCCCCGGTGGGTTGGGAACAGCGATCGCGTTATCCAAGATTCCAAATATCGAGGTCACAATCTTCGAGCAAGCAAGCCTACTGCGAGAAGTCGGCGCTGGAATAAGCATTGGGTCGAACACTTGGAAGGTCTTGGAATTGCTTGGTGTTGCAGACGCGCTGAACAGCGGACATCCGACTTGGACCACTCTAAATCTGTGGGTCGTATCTTTCGTACTTGTTGAAAGCAGCTAAATTCTTGAATCAGTAACGGTCGGTCCGGTGAAGAGCTTCATCGCCGTGAGAAACCGAGAACAGGTCTAGAGCGCGCCCCAATCCGAACGCAGAGGACCAAGCTACAGTCTGCTTTGCTATCTCAAATACAACCCGGCACTATCAAGCTATCAAAAAGGCTATTGAGAATTGAAGATCGGGGTACAGCAGGTGTCGAATTACATTTCAGAGATGGCTCAACAGCCATCGCTGATCTCGTAGTTGGTGCCGATGGTATTCGCTCAGTATGTGACGTCGAACAATACAAGGAATTCGTCTAACACCTCATAGGTAGTTCGTGATACAGCCTGGTCAGATTATCAGATTAAGTTCACAGGTACCACGATCTGGCGTGCATTATTGCCTTGGGAAGAGGTGAAGGACTTAGACGCACGATTCGAGACTACAGGATGGTGGCACACGCCTACGACGCACGTGTATTTTTCGCCTGTAGGCGAGGGATTGTGGGAGATAGCTGCAAGAGCGTGGCATGACCCCGCAGTGCACAGTGCCAGCAAGGTCAGCTGGGGTATACCAGTCGATAATGTGCACGTTGAGTCGCACTTCAAGGTAATTCCGTTGGCGACTGAAGTTAGTAGATACTGATCTTAACCTAGGAGTACCTCCCTCAGATCCGAGAGGCGCTCGCACGTGTACCCCAAGGTAGCTGGCGAGAGTTCGCTGCGTTCGCAGGCCCCGAGCTTGACACGTTGACTGCATGGAACAACAAGGTTGTCCTCGTTGGAGACTCATCACATGCCTTGTCCGGTGCTTTGGGATCGGGTGCTGGATTCGCCATGGAGGACGGCTGGATCCTTGCTCAATCGCTGGCACACCATGCCAACGATCTCAGTAGGGCTTTACCGCTCTTTGATCAAATCCGTTTGTCCTACTATGCGCGCATGTATACTCACATCGCTTCTGAAGCAAACAGGCGCGCAAAGAACCTGCAAGATATTGGCAATCCATCATTTGACGAACGAGTGGCCAACAAAATCATCTCCGACGGGGGCGCAGACATGTCTTGGATCTACAACAACGATATCCAGGCAGTCTGGAAGCTTGCGACTGAGGGTCTTGGTAACCAGCCGTGATGATCATCTCAGACTGATCATGACGTATCTTGGTGGTGAATCGCGTCTTTCGCTTGCGAAGTTGTGTCGGCCAAGTCGTTTGGCGAAGCACGCACTTCAACTCCTGGGTGTTTCTTGATGAGACGCGGTGTGCAGCATCAGCGGAGATGCGATCTATGACTGTCAGTAACGTCGGTTGTATAGTGTCATGGTCACATACTGCGATCACTGTTGGTCATCCAACATGTACTTGCTCTACACCTGATCTTACTGCAATATGCAAGGCGCACTATGTGTGACGCCTCTGCCCATACCCTTACGCCAGATGATACAGAGTGTAGCACCTGACTCAAGGCGTACGTTGAGGTCTCACGATGTGCGTCTAACCGAGAACGCTAAGAAGGAGGATGAGCAGCGGGAGTAGAGTTGGTGGCGGAGGTCTCCACGTTCAGGCGATGTTGTGGCCATGCCGTCGGGTCTCGAGATGGATCTGCAATTTTTAGGCCCTTGAAAGAGACAGTGTCGTTTCTGTCGTGAGGACTCATCCGAGAAGGCAAGCATCCTGCTGATCAGGCTCCTGGACCACACGAACTACCAGAAGCTAATTGAGTGGGCGCTCACAGATCCCTTTTTCGAACAACGCGAGTCACGACATGTCTAGAAATCCTCTGAAAACCAGCATACCTAATGAAAGCTTCTCTCAAAAGATAAGGCTGGCTTCACCAAAAAGTTCCAAAAATATTCCGAGATCGACACCGAGAGCGATGAGCTAGGCATGACTAGAGAATGAACGGGCTCTGAGGGATTCTCATGGCCGATCGAATATCTTCGGCAGGTAACTGTTGTGCCATGCTTGATTTCAAGGCTATGTCGTCACTTAAGATAGGTCTAGCGCTTCAGCCTTTTGGCTGGTCTCTCCTCAGCCTCGTGTTCGGTTCGTGCCTCCAGGAAAGCGAGAGCTTCTTCCAATAGCCTTTTCTCACCCAATCGAACCTCAATTGCCATACGACGTCTGTTTGCCAGACCAGGCTTTTCCAACATCGCCTGATCTTCTCGCACCGATGTTGGATATTCTGCAAGCTTCTCATTTAAAATGTGCGTTAACACAGAAGTTACGATCATGTCGCGCTTTCGTTTGTCAGCAATGATATCTGGCTTATGCTTTCTGATAGTTTTCAGTGCATCTTTAAGCTCTTCTTCGAGCTCCGGAAATTCGCTTATTTGTGCTTCTTCGACAAGACGGCCCTCTTCGTTCGGCGCACCTGAATCACGCTCGATGATGAAAGGATCGCTGTCCTCTTCCGCATCAATCTCGACTTTCTGAAAGTCTGTTAGTAAGAGGCTCCATAATGAACTCCAAACAGCTGCGCTTACCATGTCGATTAGGTCGGACGGTGACAAGCCTGTTACGAGGCCCAGTACTTTCGCAACAACGCTACGGGGAATTTCAACCTCATCATATCTACTATATTCAGGTGTGACATATCCATAGCGTCTGAGCACCTCAGATGACGGCATAGCGCCATAGTAATTCAAGATTTCAGCCCCAGCTTTGATGTCAGAACGAAGACTCGTGACTTCGAGACTATCGCCGTGATTGACATGAGCCTTGGTAGATTCATTAGTGCACATACTCAGCTCAGAAAAGACGAACTCACGTTGAAGTCGGCGTTTGCGTTTAGAATGTCGGCCATGGGCACCATGCCTAGCATCCTTTGCGCGTCTTTGTCGACCATCCAACCGTCTTCCTCCCCTTCAGCTTCGTCCTCTTCGTCCTCTTCGTTATCCAAGTCGAACGCATAGGCCATGATGGTACTGCCCATTTGGTGTGCCAGGATGAGCAGATCATCCTCGCTAACAGGATCCCGGCCAGCAGGAAAGAAGGTTGTTGGATTCTGCAAAATGATAGGAACGATACGAGTGCGGAGCTTATAGTCACTTGACTGCTTTCCGATTTTCTCCTGCGTCAAGACAGTACCTCTCAGCTCGCTGAGCTCCGAGTCGGTCCAGAACATCGGTGTATCGAATGTTGTCGGCAGTACATCTAAATAAGGCTTCCAGCGCGACGCATCACCTTGCAAATACTCGTATAAAAGAACCAGGATGAGAGATTCCCAGGGGTCCAGCGGTTCGGTGTCCTCTTCCTCTTCCTCGAATGCAGCCTCAAACACCTTGGGTAGCTTCTTGGGAAGCTCCGAAGTCTCGACATTGATGATGGCGGATCGGGGAATAGTAAACAATGTACAGTCCTCACAAATGTCCCTCTTGGCGACTGTTCCGGTCAATGAAAAAGCCTTCGTAGTAGTTGCATAGCGTACCGATGCCACGGCCCGCGCCCTGAGATCTTAGATCCCGAATCTCGAGAAGGTCTTCCTTGAAGTCGCCGCCCATTGACTTGAACCAGTCTAAGAAGCGGCTGGTCACTGCTTGGAAGTCTGCCATCTTTGCAAATGTACTTGGAAGCTTTGAAAATTGCGACAGAGTTTTTCTCTGCGAATTGTGGACTCGATGTTCACACAACGATGAAGCCAGAGGTGGCACGGTTACGTAGAAGTGCTAACTTTGTAGACACACTCAATGAAAAGTCACAAGTAAAGACGGCACTGCCTGGGCCGCCTGGTGTGGGAGGACTACTTACTTCGGGGTGCGTCGTACCAGAAGGACATAGCTTCATGCACTAGTTCCGGAAGAGGATTAGCGGTCGTTACCAACAAGATCACAACCACCACCATCTTGACTCTCTGATGATATACACAGTACAGATACGATCAACGAGTTGTCCCATCAGGTCTGTAACGTGATGATAGCACATCCAGAAAGCATACTGCGTCAGCACTAATACATTTATGCGAACCCTCAAATCCACCGCGACTCATATAGCACTTCCCTAATCCTTTCCAGGGCTACTTCCGCCTGAAACAACTCCTGCATTGCTTGCTCATCAGCCAGATCCAGCCTCGTAAGCATTATCAATACACGCTCGATGTTGATGAGAATCTCCCGCCTACTATTATTTGGCGCTGGGAACCACTCTGTTCGACAAAGGGGACAGGTGTGACTCCACGGATTGCCGCCACGTATGTGGTGCTCCAAGCACCGGCGACCCAAAATATGTTTGCATAACCCGCGATTACGGACCTGCACGGCATACTCTTCTTCGCCTGGAGGAAAATCTGGATGCACATAATCCTGAGGGGGGTCAGCACACGGGCCGTGACATATCGGACACTGGGTGTTCGCGTCTTCTTCGAGAGACAATTCGGTAATTTTAAGAGTCTTCGTGTTGGTTGCAAGAAAGTTTGCGATCTGGAACTCTGGTATGTTGTTGGGCATCCTTGTGATGCATGCGCAGGTTGTAACTAATTAAGTTGGTATTGTAGGCAGAACGAATGTCGTTGAAGCAAGTTTTTGATTTCGTTACGACTGGAGTTGTGCTATTTCAACATATTCTGGAAAATTTTGATGAAGTTTAGTGGTTCTGTGAATTTATCAAGACAGCCTATGGACAGTGATGTTCGCGAAGAAATTGACGCACGTCACTACCTAAGTTACAGCGGATAACGCATCGTCATAGGGATCACCAACATCGTGCCAATGCAGTTGCCAAGTCAGTACCGTCATCTCCGGCTTCTTCCTCTTCTTCTTTCTTGAGATCGACGCATGGGACTGCACATTTCCAGCGGATCTGATCGGGTGTACTCCAACAGTAGCGAGTGGGACTACAATGACACGTGGGCTGCCGAATCTGTAAGCAGGAAACTTGCTGCAATCCGCTCACTACGCATTTGATGATTGTATTCGCTTATGTCTATTTATCTGATGCAGTGAAATACTTTCTGCCTGTCCAGTGTGCAATTTGGGGATGCTTATGCCAGGAGGCGAACGCCTCCTAGATTAATCACTGGAAGGAACGCGATAGCAACAATGCTGAGGTAAATACGTAGAGTTATTTTGGTGATCATATTCGGCAAAGCTCCTTCTATACTGTTCAATCTACCCATGGTCCAAGTTACAAAAGAAAACGCCTTAAGAGCTGTCTCACGCCTGGCTCCCAAGGGATCTGAATGTCTCTCTTGCGCTATCTCTCCAACTCATCTCCAAGCCATCTTCCTTGACCATCTTAATCGCTGTCCTGACCAGTCTTCCAGGGTGTACGATATGCAGTAGACCGGCAAAGGCGAAACTGGCTGCGAAGACGTGTGCTGTTGTCAGAGAAGGATTCTAGTGGTATATCGGTCTGTCAGTGTAGCCATTTTCTCGTCCGTCAAGTCGGTGTAGCATGGTAATTACTCGTCCCGATAGTTCGTTGCGCGTGCCTGCCGAGGTACCTAGGTAATGATGCCTGAAGGTGGAATAATTGAAAGCAAAGAGAAGCCGCACAAGGGACTTATATCTTATCATCTCACGAATTCAGTGCTACAAATTCGATCGACAGCTCCTTCAGACATGCTTCTCTTCACAATACCAATACGCTAGTTCCGTATCGTCGTGTCCCAAGTGCGCCAACCAATCATGACACCCGAAACCCAGGTCCCACGTCTTCTCCTCACATCATTGCAGCACAGATTTCGACGAGGATCTGTCGGGCTGGGAAGGCTTGCGAGATTTGCGTCACTTTATGAGGCAGGGTCAAGCACTGATGCAAATCTGGATGAGTTCAGGAGAGACCAATGACATGCTCACAGTACTTGTAGGTGAATGAAGATTATGATTATTGACTACTTAATCGCCTGTTTATCCTTTTCGACCCCAGTTTTCTTCCAGAAAGAGTTTTGAATCTTTTTTCTGATACCATCTGCCTTCACCAGTATTGGCCACGTCATGAATAAGTACTATTGCGCCGAGATTGAATAGCCCCTATGTCATGATCTGATGAGGTAATGCTCCAACCAATCCGTTCAAATGAGAACAGTGCCGTTCTGACCGGTAATTAAACCGGCCTCGCCAGGAATGACTGTACCGTTCTCGATGGCTGCAGCGTGACCCCTAGCGAGCATACCGTACACGGGCAGGTACTTATCAAGGAAGGGAAGGACCCTCGCCAGCACCAGGGGTGGCGCGCCAGTCACGCATCAGATCGCAGACAATCGAGAACAGGCTAACAAGCTGGACACCAGCCTTCTCCATGCGAGAGTTGGCGGTGTCGCGGATGAGCTGCGTGGTGGTACCTGAACCCTCAACGTTTGCAAACACAGAGTAGCCCTCGGCGCGCAGAGACAAGGCGAGAAAAGCGGTGCAGACATCAGTGACGATACCTGCAACAATGATCTGCTTCTTGCCACTGGCTTTGACGGCGGCGCGAAATTCGGGGTTGTCCCATGCACTGGAACATTTGTCAATTACATGTAGGAGAAAAGGTTGGAGACTGTCTTACTTGACCTCACCCTGACGGCGGATAAGAGGGGCGTTGGGGTACATCTCAAGCATCTCCTTAGGAAGAGGACCATTTGGACCGGTATCCGCAGATGTAGTCATGATGACTGGCAGATCAAATAGTTTGCCAAGCTCGGCATGGGCCATGATATTCTCCTTGTACAGAGTGGGGTCCCAGTCACGAGCAAGCTGGTAAAGACCGACCTGGAGATCGAGGATGAGCAAAAGCTGTGGCACATGTTAGAACTTGGTAGATGATGATGATCGCAATCGAGACGAACCGAGTCGTTCTTGTCGATACGCTCCCATGGTACGGCTATATGTTGTTAACCTTGAGATAATCTTGGTATCTACTGCTGTGGTAACATACCATCACCACGGACGGCACTGAAGAGGCTGACAGCCAAGAATGCAACACTAGCTCCGAACTTCATCTTGTCAAGTGATAGGTTGATGTTTGATGATGTAGATGCTCTCAGATCGAGGTGGTGTGAGGGTGGTGTGATGTCTCGATGGCAGCTGTACGAAGCCCTCTTTATATAAAATCATCTCCCCTCAGCTTCTATCATTTACCTGCGTCCGAGCTGCCAATCGATCTCGTAGCAGCAACAACTAGTCTGCTCGCCCAATGGAGCACAACCGTGCAATACCACTACTGCTGCCCGTTGGTCTGACCGGAGCCGTGACAGTCACCCCGAGATTGATTTCGAAGACCTGACTAACTTCCCGGAGAACATGGTTTCGGAAGTCCAGCGTTCAATTGGTAGATGAGTGTGGATACATGCCATGTAACGGTCGGTTATCACACTCGTCATCCTAGTACCCGTGCCGTTAAATCTTGACGCAAAGGCTGAGTACGGTGAGGATCCTTGAGCGTGCTGAGCGAGGCGTGATTCGAGAGATTTTTTCCAGATGCAGTCATTAATAATTCCTTAGTGTACGCGAATACTTGCACGCTCTAGGATTCTCGCAGAGAGCCTCCCCCACGGTGGTATTCGACATGCTAGCGTGGCTCTTCTCATGCACGTAAGCAGATCACTTTTCTTAATAAGCATGAGCCCATCAGCCCCTAATCGCAGGACGGTTATACTCACGTTAGTGCTAATGCATCTCAAGGCATCGAAAGCAGAGCAATGTCTACGACATGTTTAGTCAGAGATGATTAATGCCATCTGCCCGCAGCACGTCCCGAGCAAGTACGCTGCCACAGCCCGCGCTTCTCTGTATACGGGATCTGATAATTCTGACGTCAACTGGCATAGCAGAAATAGATGGAATTAACCGTGCAATCTCCGAATTGAAGTCAAGGCTGCTGGGGTCATGCTTGGGTAAGGCTGTTGTAAAGATTCTGGGAGGGGCAAGAGTGGGGCGCGCAGCCTCGCACAAGCTGACTGACGATCAGTCATCAGGGCTAGAATCACGTCACGCCTGCGATCATCGACATAGCATACACAGTAAATTCCCAAATCGCATCGGCAGAGGAGCCATGCAGCTGAAGTGAGATCAAGTGATTGATTCGGTCGTCTATATAAGGTGTGTCATCATACAATTACTTCGACCCGATCGCAGTTCACAGTCCCACTCTATGCGGACAGGCCATTGCGGATCAAGAAGTCCTGGATTACCTGGTAGCCAGCAGTCGCGTTGTAATTAAAATTAAGACCGTGGCCTGTTTTTGGCTGAATGTATGCTTCAAAAGCAGATGCAGCAGGAAATACAGCGACGACAGCGGCGGGAATGTTAGGGGCAGGGATATCCGGGCCCTTGCCATAGCAGTTGCCACCGCAGAAAGGAATGTCATGCTCGCCAGTAATCACAAAAGCCGGACCCGTGAATGGGGAAGCCTGGGGCGCATTGCCGATGGTCAGGAGTTCACCAACTGTGACAGGCTGCTTAGTCTTCTCTGCCTCCACAGCAAGGCCGACGTCGAATTGGCCGGGATATAGGAATGCGTAGTGAAGCGCAGTGAGATCTGAGTGGGCGAAGTATCCGGAGGGATAATCGTACTGGAACACAGTCTCGTTGTAACCGTTGATGAGGTCGTTCACCTCAGTGGTGCCGATGTAATTCCACACCTCATCGGTGTCAACGTCGACACCGACCTTGTTCAGAATATCAGTGAGACCAGGAACTAGGTCGTCCTGGACGTTGTACTTTTGGGCAAGCGTCTTGATGGTAGTGGCAGAGGCATTACCAAAGCGGAAAGGCTGGTTCAAGCGCGCGCTGTGGAGATTCCAGCCAGCGACAATGTATGGGAGAAATCCACCAGCGATCGAAAATCCAGTAAGGACAACACCATCAGTATTGTTGGGATACAAAGCAGACAGCCAGTAAGTCTGCACCGAGCCGAAAGAATGACCAACGTGAATCACTTTCTCGTAGCTGCAGCTGATCTCGGTAATCAAGCCGGCGCGAAGCTTCTTGGTGACTTCATTGAGGGCTTCAACTTCGGCATTGGCCTGGATCTCATTGAGGGGATCGCCGTGGGTGGAGTTGCCGATACCGTAGCGATCGATGGCGAGTGTGCTGTAGCCGGCTGCAGTGGCCACATTGACATATGAGTAGTTGTAGTTGTCATAAGCTATATCCCAATAACTGGTAGTGTGAGTCAAGTTCAGAGGTAGCTATCGCAATTGTACGTACGTCTTGTCGAAGCCAATCCCATGCGACAGAACCTGAACAATGCCGTTGCTGCCAGCATCAGGTGTGCAATACTGGGCGGAGATCTTGATGCTCTTTCGGAGAGTCTGGAAACCGGTGAAGAGTTCAGCGGAGTAGTTGAATTGGTATTGGGTGAAGCGAGTCGCAAATGCGCCAACGTCCAGATTGCCCTCAACGGGAACTTCCTTAAAAACACCTTGGCGAGATGAGATGTCGACTGGAATGCTCAGTAGCTGGCATTGCTTTGCGGCAGCGCAACCAGCAAAGAGTGACACAGCAAGTGTTATCAGGCTAGGTGCCATTATGTGTAGCGGGTGTAGGAAAGCTGAGGTACTGGGTAACGGTGGATAACACAACGTTATCAACAGTTTGGTTGAACGGTGCTGGCGTCAGCAGCGTGTCATTATATGCGAAAGTGAGATGTTCGTAGTAAAGGCAGCTGCAGCTAGTCGTACTCACCCCAACCGGACCCGAAGACGACTAGCCCGTGAGGTCAAGGCGCATCCATTATGATCCGCTGCTCATAAGGTTGGCATTCGGAATCTTCAAATGGAATTATAATTATAGCGGTTTGGGGCGTAATACCGTTCACTCGGACCAATACACAGCAGTGTTGCTGTCCAAACGGATGCTGTGCAACCAATAGTGGCCAAGTACCGAGCGTTGCCGAGAGCTACTTGCTGACCTCACATTGGCCTGCATCTCAAATACCTACCCGTGTGGCTCACTCATGTTTGTCAAGATGCCTGCACTTGCACCCACAGTGCTTCTGAACCTTGGTTCCGCCTGGTGAAGCTAAATAGATGGCATCATCGCCCTTCCAGGATAGCTTTGGAAGCCGTTGGTGATGCAGCTAGTCCAATATTTGTGCTTATAGCGCAGACTAGCATTGCCTCCGGCACGAGTAGTTACCGACCTAGCACCAGGAACAGCGAGATGTGGTGTTTTGGCGTACAGTGAGCCGATTTGGGGATGATCAGGAGTTGTCGTGGCCAAGGCTTCGTCACCACCACAGAGAACAAATGCTGCGCCATGCTGACCGTGCAGTTTATTGGTGCCCAAGCATACCTTGCAGAGTGATTATCGTGATGTTGCCTCTGAGGAGCATTGAGAGTGGACCAGTGTTGCTGTCATTGCAGGGCGCACAACTTCGCTGCATGGCGGGATAGAGTACCCTGTCGAGGTCGACGCTGTGCCACTACTTGGTACCGCAATTGCTAGCAGCATCTTTGATCTTCGGCAAAGTATAACGGAGTGCGCACACTCGGGATCCTGCTATTCTTTTCGATAAACCAGGCTTCATCATAGTCTGAGCCCTGGAGTGATTATGATGGTGATCGTTGCCCGCCATTTGGAATTGTCCGAAGGATGCGGACAACATCATTTCAACAGACAGGGACAACACGTGGCGGACATGTTTTAAACGCGTGTACAGTAACAACCAGGTCTTTGAACATGTGCGCAGTGAGCCTTTGAAGTTGCTGAAGATTTGCTGGAGTGACGGGGGCCGAGACTGAGGGGATCATTAGATCATCTCGGGTGGCTTGACAAAGGCAGCTAACCCCACGCTGGAAAAAGCACCACCCATTGATAGGCTCGGATAGTTGAAACCCCGAGGCTGTCGCAGTCCCACCGGGTAGCGAGACCGCGTTTATGAAGTACTTATGCTCTTACATACCTTGCTTGCAGTTTGTTGCTGAGCTCGATCTACCTGCTTGAGCATCTCGCATTACCTACACACGAACTGGAATTCGCGCTCTTGCTGCGTACGCTAACAGTAGATTGCACACGATTTCCAGCACGCCGTTTCGCACTTAGACGGTCTTCATCAAACTCTCCAAACTCTACATACCGTTCCCGGCAGCTGGTCTGTGAGTCTCCCTGCTGTTGCACGCGTGCCGTGCCACAAAGGTGACACAAACACGCGTATGATCCTGTGTGCGCGTGGTTGACTCTTGTTTGTACCACCGCACGGAGATCGCCCATTTCCATGATTACGCGTTCGTACAAGCTATCTAGGTACCGGGATACCTGCAGCATCCAGGCTTAGAATTACAGACTTGATTTGGAAGGATGGCAGCCGCGGGTCCGTTTGCAGCTGCTCGCCCATGCTGCAATGGAACCACTACTAAGAGAACTCAGCCAGGCATCATCTATCTGCATTACTACGCGAATTGCCAGGGCCTTTGCAACAGCAGCAGCCAACACGAACGCACGCTCAATCCCACCAGACGCCCTTAACTGGTCTTTTCCTTCAGCATGTAGTCACCGCCCCGCACCGCTTTGTAGATTCCATAGAAGCCACTAAGTAGTGCACTGCTCCTGACCAATCTCTTGAGCAATCCCTTTACATCATTTCCATATGCTTCTTTTTCGGTGCCTCGATCTCTGACCTTCTCCCAGATCGATGGCAATCCAGTCGCGCCGAATTTTGCCCTCAAGGTTTCGTACTCTTCCTTGTCGTACAGCTTCCACCATTCGTCTTCTGTGTAGAAAACTCTAGAGTACAGCCACTTGAGGCCTCCGAGCTCGCTAGTCTTTTGTTCCATCTCTCTGTTTGCACTAAAGTACTCGGCGCCGGAAGATGGGTAGGGCCCCCAGACACCGATGTTGATGTACTCGCCTTCGTACGCCTGTCCATCTGCTCGCCCCTGCCCACATACCATGCCCTCGAACTCCCTTGGATGGCCCATCGAAACGCGGCCGTCCTTACGCAACGGGCATAGCCACAGCGGGTATATGCCAAATTTGCTGTCCACATAGTCCACGAAAGCCCCCGCATTGGCTGCTGGGAATGCAATGTCCTGGATTATGTATCGATCCGTATAGCCGGAAGCATGCAGCGCATGGTACATAATCCGGGTATGCATGAAATAGTCCAAAAGAACGCGGAAGATATACCAGAAAGGCACAAAGAAGTGATGGTATGCGTACATGCCCATCCAGAACGCACCACGATCATATCGGAAAAGGTAGTCCTCGATGGGAATAAGCTCAGTGGTCAGTGTTCCTGCCAAAGTGAGGCTGCGAGCGTGTATCCAAAACCATTCATCCCAAGGCCGCGAGAAGCGGCGAACAGGTATGCGCGGCGATGAGGGTTCTGATACCAAGCGACCGGACACGACAACCCCGGAGCGTTTCGAAAAGAGCACGCCATCTACGTAGTCGTTATCTTCTTTTCTGGTCTCCTGCTGTAGCACCTCCATTGCCTGCCTGCTCGATGTGATTGGACGGTACGTGACCTCCACCCAACTCCTCAAAGGCACAAGCATGACTTCTACCAGAGTCAACACGCCCAAGGTTCCAAAACTGCCCCTCAGGCCGTCGAATAGTTCGGCATTCTCAGTCGACGAGCAGTGCATAAGCGTTCCATTGGCAAGCACAACCTCCGCTCTTACAACCGTCCGATCGAAAAATCCATATTTGAAGCTACTACTCTCGCCTGCAGTCCCAACGAACCCTCCACCAACGGTTATGCCAGGAAACTCCATCACCACAGGAGGCAAGAACCCCTCAGCTGTGGTTGCCGCAACGAGAGCGTCCATTGGAACATTTGGCTCGACGAGTGCGGTCTGGGTCGAGGCATTGATGCAAATAATCTTGTTGAAGGCTGAGACATCGATGATGGCGGAAGGATCGAAGGAGGCATGTCGTGTGCTGTTTGTGCTGCCGTGGTAAATGCGGAACGGTGTTGAAATGCTGTGAAAATGGGCTATCCGGGACTGCAGGCTTGACACGCGCTGGTCGTGCAGTGCACGTTCAGAAGGGTGTATGTCTCCACTATCCATGTTCACTGCTCTCTCTCACTGAGGTCGGGAACGTGAGACTTTTTGGTTGTTGCTGGACTTCAGTTGTTTACTAGGTACCTTCCGCTTCTTGGCTTAGCAGTGGCAGGTGGTGCCACTTGTTCAAGTGGCTGAGGTATCCGCGCGCTAGCAAGTCCTTTCTTACTACTTTGTGTGCGTAGGGAAGATGCGCATGTCGTCCCAAAAGTTCTCTAAATATACTCCCTAAGGTTGAAATGCACCCGGCATTTTGTGATGAGTTCACTTGGTTGTCTTCTTGACGTGCGGCGGCGTGGAATCGAGGCTGTGAAGTCTCATCGGCATTCGTCACCGATTTTAGTGGGGCTTCTGCTCCGGATCTCCCGGCAAGGACAGATGGTTGTCGAAAGCACGGAGACGCGTCGAGACGCGTTCAACGAGGCTGAGTGTTGTATCCAACGACACTCAGGCCGTGGCCAGGCGGAACGAGAGGAGTCGGGTACGATACAGCGCAAGTTGCACAGGCTTCCTGTCGCCGCAATGTGTTCTGACAGGTACCTAGGTATGCTTTGACACGCATCCGAACTTCCGCAGTCAGACGGAAGATGGTTCAATAGCCTGGGGTGTGGAGTAGGCTCAGCCCTGCGCGCCCATTCGAGACATCAGCGACGTTAGGTCGACATCTCTTCGTCAACGAACTTCGCATCCCTTGCAGTCCTAATTCGTCCGTCCCATTACCACCGTCGCCAAGGACACAGTGAAAAGATGGAAGCGCATACAGCAACAGTTGCAGCGCTTGCGTCACAAGTGAAGCAGTTCAGTGCTTCGAAGGTACCCTTCAGGATTTATCATGGTTCCACATTGTCAACACGGCACTCGCCTCGTCAACGCAATCAGATCATCGACGTCAGCTCTCTAAACCACGTCCTCAAGTTCAACAAATCGGAGAGGACAGTGCTTGTCGAGCCCAACGTCCCTATGGACCAGCTTATAGATGCCACTCTTATTCAAGGACTATTGCCAAAGGTTGTCATGGAACTGCCGAACATCACGGTAGGCGGTGGGTACGTCAAATTGGACACATGCCCACTTCTCTCAATAGAGCAATACGTCATACATCTATCGCGAACACAGTCTGCAGTGAGAGTAAAGCTGACGTGAAGTTTCCTCACAGTTTTGCAGGAACAAGTGGAGAGAGCAGCTCGTTCAGATATGGGCTCTTCGACAGTACTATCAAAGGAATAGAAATTATCCTGGGAAACGGGGATATCGTCTGGGCATCTGCTGAAGAGCACCGAGACTTGTTTTTCTCCGCAGCCGGCAGCTGTGGTAGTCTTGGGGTTATCACACTGCTTGAGATGGAACTCATTGACGCCAAAAGTCACGTTGAGTTGGAGTATATCCCAGTCGACAGTACAGATGAAGCTGTATCCCAACTCAGACACTACCAACACGAACCGGACGTGGCGTATATGGACGGCATTCTCTACTCCCAAACCTACGGCGTAATCATGATCGGTCGCCTTACGAACCAAACCATCCCCAGCCGGATCCAACGTTTTGACCGGGCATCAGATCCTTGGTTTTACATTCATGCAGAATCTGTTTTGAAGTCTCTTACCAAAGTACCACAAGCATTGTCCAGACCGACCACCCATAAAGAGTACGTTCCTATCAAGACCTATCTCTTCCGCTACGACCGCGGCGTCTTCTGGTCTGGCCTTCGCGCTTTCAAATACTTCGTCACACCCTTTAACGCCTTGACCCGGTATCTCCTCGATCCTTTCATGAACAGCCGTACGATGGTGCACGCTTTACACCGATCAGGCATCGCTGCGCAGACCATCATTCAAGACTTCGCTGTGCCCTACACCTCTGCCTCGGAGTTCATCGAGTGGACTGATGAGAGGACTGGGATCTGGCCACTCTGGCTCTGCCCTGTCAAGTCTGCATCGCAAGATGAGAAGTCGTTCTCGCAAGGTAACAACATCAAGGATGAGATCCTGCTCGACGTGGGCATATGGGACATGGGACCCAAAGACTCACATGCGTTTATCAGACTTAACCGCGACTTTGAACAGAAAGTCACGGAGCTTGGAGGTATGAAGTGTCTATATGCGCATGCATACTACACCGAGCAAGAATTCTGGGACATCTACGACAAAGAAAAGTACATGGGCCTGAGGACGAAATATCATGCTGAGAATTTGCCGTCAGTGTACGATAAGGTCAAAGTGGATCTACAAGGTGTTGCCGGTGAAGTATCTGAGAAGAGGGATGTCGGATGGGCCGAGTGGGCGTATCAGAGTTTCTGGAATACATGGCCGTTGGGCGGGCTGTACGGGGTCGCGAGTGCGACAAAGGGATTCTTGGTGAAGAGCGACTTCTTGTTGAAGAAGTAGCCAACTGACATTCCTACAATCCCTTGCGTATTGAGTGCTCCACTCCACTGCACCCAAGCACGTCCGAAATGCTTCTTGGCAGTTTTGTAGGATCGAAATATCCTTTAGCACAGCCAATACAGCAGGCTTCCAAACCACAACTGAATGCCCCCACCTAAGCGCGACTTCACCAACGAGAAAGCTGCCTATCAATGTTATTAATCTTCTGCAGCTACGTCGGTGGCAACTCGGACGTGCCTGAGTGCAGTATGGTACAAAACTCCAATGGAGAGCCTGGTTGCGCAATATTGAGGACACGGCATGAATATGCAATGAGAATCTGAACCATTGAAAACGCCATGGCTAAAAGCAGCGACGTGACCAGATGAAGTCGCGAACGGCACGAATGGGCCCCTGGTAGGCACAGTAGGTATAGTAAAGAGGATAGCAGTTGCATGTGACAGATCCATCGAACATAGCCATGCTTTGCTGACACCTCCAATCTTGCGAAACTCTGGAGGACTGTCTCCAGTTGCACATGGCTGGCATCTACAAGCATCAGGGCCCTGCCACCTACGCATGTGCTGTAGGACAACAACAGCTTTTCTGGCACAGAACTAGATCTGTGCCGCCCTGAAATGAGTGATCGCCGCTCCAGCAAGATCATCTCCGCTGTCGCAGGACATCCCCTGCAAGGCCTAGGCAGGTGCCTGGATTGAGACGGCGCGTTTCTGATTGGTTGAAGCTCACAGCTGTCAGAAAATCTCCAGGCGCCGTGGTGCGCGTCGTCATGACGTCGCAAACAACAACAAGGACAGGGCCACGCTGCAAGCCTTCAGCACGTCTGTAGGACGCTCTGGCGGAGGTCGTGACGGAAGCTGCAAATTGTCGAAACAAGATCGTCGCGTTTCCAGACACGAAAACGCGTGAGCGAAAGACGCGTCTCGACCCCTGCTCGCGACCGCACACATCCTGGTTCTTGGTGCAGGTTGACGTAGCGAAAACCTCTCCACGCCCAGCCACCACATTTCACCAGCAGCCCGCGCCCAGTGACCACGCTGTGACATCGCTAGGTAGCCCCTCTTTGCTCCTTGCCACAAATCCCATACAAAACCTTTTGGATCAGCTGCCCTGCGAGTGCTCTTGCTGGTCTCCACTCGACCTCAGCACCCAGCTCAACTACGGAAACGCTTGGGCCAGCACGCCAACAAACACAGGGCGCTAGGCGGCCACCGTGCAACCGCATCATCTTTGTTTCTGGGATAGGTAAGCACTTTCAGACGCGTCGGGAGCCCGGAGCTGCTAGGACTGACCATAGCGAAGACGACACGACAGATATCGCTGCCATGGCTCGCCTTAGCGGCCTCCCGAGCGAGCATCACCACGAAGGGCCCGGCGATGCGCCGCGACGCCGGCGGGGTCGACCATCGAAGGGCTCGCAGAGCTCGCAGAGCTTGCAAAGTTCGCAGAGCTTCGAGGAGGAGACGACAGTCACAACAGGCAAGCGCGCCGCCTCGCCGCTTGCCTCGCAGTCCCAGTCAAAGCGCACCAAGCGCGTGCAGACGATTGTCGAGGAGGACGAGGACGACGACGACGGCTCCTCGCAGCTTGAGGCCGAGGCTAGGCTGTCCGTCACGCGCATCCAGCACGCTGCTGTCGATTCTATCCCTACCGAAGTCCAGTCGTCGCCCATCGTGCGCCGCAACCGCCGCTATTCAGAGCCCGTGGTGACCGCCCAGGGCCATGAGGATGACGACGACATACTCGTCGGACCCTCCACACAGCCTGCCCCAGGTCTGACGCCACATCTAGACCGCATCGGTGCCGCCCGCGGCAAGTTCGCCAGCCGCCGCCGCGAGCGCATGTCCATGCCCGCCCAGCTACACGTCGAGCGTATTGACCATGCCGACATAAACGGCCACCGCTTTCAGTACGCGCCTCTCACGGCTGTGCTCGATGGCCGCACTCGTCGCCGCCTTCGGCGCAGTCACCTTAGCCAGGAGGTCAACGAGATTGAAGACGACCGGAAACGAGGCAAGAAGCAGCTGTTGGAGCTGCGCCGCGAGCTGAAGAAGCGCGATGACAAGATTCAAGACCTCGAGTTCCGCCTCGAGGCCAGCCGCATGGGTAACATCCAAATGAGCGATGCTGATCATGACGATCTTGCCCAGCAGCTGGACGACGCTCGCAAAGAGCTCGATGACTTACGCAATAGTGCACAATACATCGGCGGCGGCAGCAGCGACCGCGACCTCAGCCGGGAGCTCGACGGTTCCGCTGAACCATTCGACCACGACGACGAGGACGATTTTATGCTCGTCGATCCTGACGAGCTCCACGTCTCTCAAGATCTGGAAATGGAATACCTTCCCAATGGCCCTTATGCCTCACGCGTTTTAGAGTTGTCCCAGGAAGTCACTCTTGAGCATCTTCCATCCATTAGTCAACTGCGTGTAGACACATTGGACGAGGATGACGATGTTGAAGTTCACCAATCTATCTCTGATCAAGCCGTCGAGCGATATGAGCGCGAGATACAAAAGCTGATGCAGGAGATGGCCGAGTCCAATGGCGCTCTTCGTGTTATTTCACTTGAGATCCAAAATCTTAGGTTCCTGAAAGCTGGTGCCAACAGCGCCGATATTCTCACTGCCCTTCGCAGCGGCTTTGCTGACCTGCGCGGCGACGTTGAGAAATACTTTCCCAACGAGACTCGTGGGATCACCAACGAGCAGCTCCTTCAGAAGATCCCTAAGCTCTTCAGCGGCGTCCTGTACGAGCTGAAGGAGAAGACTGACATCGCCGACGACGCGCGACAGACTGCGATCGTCCTGCGCCGCCAGTATGAGGGCGTCTTGGATCTGCTTGGTGAGGCCGAAGAGCGCAAGACCGAGCTTGACAAGAAGGTCTACACACTTGACAAGAGCAACGAGGAGAAGCAAAGAACAGTCGTCGACCTCGAGGAGCGCGTTCAAACCTTGACAGAATTGACGGAGGATCAGGAGGTAGAGCTGAGACAGAAGGACCTTCAGAATGATACCCTGGTGGAGCAGGTTGACGAGAAGGACACCGACCTCGACCGCCTCCGCGAAGATCTGGAAGTATACCGAACCGACATCGACAAGCTCACGAGCTCGACCGCCGAACTTGAGACAGAATATCAGGAGCGTATCGCACGCATGGAAGAGGAGCATGCAGATATCGTTGCTGACCTCCAGGCTCAGCTCGGTGTCGAGCAGGAGGGCCGTGAAAATGCCGAGGATGAAGCGGCCCAGAAGACGGGTTTCATCGAGGAACTGCAAGGTCGCGTCGACCAGATGGAGGCAGATTTTGGGTCTATTGACACCGTTCTGGCAGACCTTCGCGAAAAGCTTGAGTCGGAGACAGCAGCTCGTACGACCGCGGAGACCGAGCGTGACGAGCAAGTCGAGCAGGTATATGACCGGACCAACACCATCGAAAATCTTACCGAGACCATCAACGATCTTACTGAGCAGCTGGAGGCGGCTAAGGCCAACATCATTGCTGAGCGCGAGCAACGTGAGACCACAGAAACTGCTCTCGATGAGGCCAACGACAGAATCGAGGAGCTTAACGACAAAGTCCACCAGCTCGGCATCCAGACAAATGAACTTCGTTCCAAACTCTTCCAGGTTCAGCAGGAGAAGGAGCTAGAAATCACCGATCTCACAGCCGCGCATCAGGAGCGTGAGGATGAGCTTACCGAGCAGCTGACTGCTGAGCAAGAGGTGCGTGAAGGTGCTCAACAGGCTATCGCCGACATGGAGAAACAGCTTGCCGCCCTACGAGAGACGCTTGCTGTGTCCGAGGCCGATCTCACAAAGATGACCGAAGCCCGCCAGCAGCTCGAGGAGGATCGTGAGTTTCAAATCAGCAATGTGAGCACTGAGCTTGCAGAGTCCGAGGCCAAACGGGCCGCGCTGGAGAGCTCGACTGAGTCGGAGATCACCTCACTGCAAGCTCAGATTACTGATCTCACCAATGATCATGCCCGAAAACATGCTGAAATCCAGCGTCTTGCCGAACGTCTTGTTGAGGCCGAGCAGGCACACGAGGAGGAGAAAGCCATCCTTGATAACAAGCTGGAGATATTCGAGCGTGACCTTGCTGAAGCGCAAGCGGATAACGAAGCCTATCGTAGGGAGAACGAGTCGTTGTCTGATCGTGTTGGTCGGGAAGCAGTGGAGCTTCTTAACATCACCGACTCTCATGCGGATGAAATGGTTGCCCTCAAATCGGTAATTGCGACTCAACAGGATACCATCTCCGAGCTCCAGAACCAGAATGCCAACTTAACCAACGAGCACGAAAATATTCTTACCGACAAAGACGCCCAAATCGAAGAGCTGCAGCTCCTTGTCGACGACCGCGTGGAGAAGCTGGTTCACGTCGAAGCCGCCCGTTTAGACGTTGTCAAGGAGTTTGCCAAGTATGAGCAAGATACTCGTGAGACTATCGACCGCATGACCCTGCAACAGCGTGTCTTGCAAGAGCAGAACGAGGCGCTTGCAGAGGATTTGAAGAAGCGTGGTGCAGATGCCGTTGCTGCCGTACGCGCTATGAAAATCCAGGGTCTGGAGGTCAAGACTAAAGGCTTAAGCCTGCATCGAGTTGCGACTGGCAAGGTGGGCAAGATTAGTGAGAAGGTCAAAATTGGCAAAAAAAGCAAGAGCGGCCGAAAGGTCGCAAAGAGGCAGTGGGACAGCGGTTTTGGAGTTGACGAAGATGTTGAGGATGAGATTGATGGTGCAGAGGTTGGAGAGGCTGCTTAGACATGATGTCTGAGAGCGGGTCATGTCCCTTCGGGCTGTGACAACATCTATTTTGGATCAATTTGTTCGCGTCGTCCACATGGACTGTTGGATACCACGCATTTTTCCACGACTTGATGAAAGCTTTTCTTGGCTGAGAGTTGTCCGCTATTTTATAGCTACACATAGGGTAGGTTTCTTTGCATAGCGCGGCGTGTTCAGGATATGACAAAGGAAAATGTTTATTTAGTAGTGTAAATGATTATCTCCGACCCGCCCACTCCTTCCTCAGACCTTCCACACCGCGCCTGCCATCGTCATTCAACCCTGAAGTCATGCAGCGAGTCTTAAGTCGCCTGTCGCCCTCTTATCTGCTTTCATCATCGTTACTCACCCCAGTCATGTCCGTAGAGCCCAGTCTACCGTTCCACCAAAACCTGCTCGTCACCACACCCAGCGCCATCCACCTGCATTCACAGACCGGCGATAACATTGTATTCCAATGCGACAGCGCTGATGGAATCGTACATGCTTCCGCCGCCCCCAACGACAGCAGCTTGTTAGCTATTGCAGATAGCCATGTGGTCGTTCTATTCGATAAGACGCGGCCCCTCGTGAGGAAACACAGGCTCAAGGGCGGGAGTGTAAAGGCTGTCAAGTAACCCTCCACAGAGCCTCTCTCTAATGATGGATAGAGTTTACCACGCCTGCTTCTTTTCTCGCCAGACTCGCGCACGTTGTTTTTCAACACCTCGCTCGATTACTCGATCCATGCCTACTCACTGCCGACCGACAACTTATTACTCCTGTTTCACTCGCATCCTTCTACGCCAAATGTCGTTGCAATCTCAGAATTTGAAGAGGTTTTGCTATCGGCTTCGTCGCTGCCGCCCACTACTTTGATACAGGACCGTAGGGTGGCTGGCTTGGCCGCAATAAAGATTAGGCACACAGAGACTACTACAGCAGTCACTTGTGCAGCTTTCGTCACCTTGGACGGCATATCGCGATCTTCATGTACACAATTTGTGGTGGGGTTCAGGGACGGCACTTTGGCGATGTACAGAGTATACCTACCTTCGCTCTCCAACGCGGCATACTCCCCTCTCCAGCCTATCAGAGTGGGAACTATGCCTAAGCTGCACAAAGCAGCCATGGGTGGCGTGACTGCAGCTGCCTTCATACCGGGCCACAAGTCAAGAGTGGTTAGCATTGGCCATAATGGGCGGTGCAGATTGGTAGACTTCGAAGGTGGCGGTCAGGCTCTCAGGACCTGGAATGTCGCCGGCCCAGCAACCTCGCTGTCTGTCAACAGAATTAAATCATCAGTCCCGCAGAATGATGGAACCAGGAGTCAGGATCAGACTCGCGGCCCTCTTGAGATACTGATTGCAATTGGGACTTATGCTGGCAAAGTCTTGGTATTCAATGCTGTGGGCATTCTGATACGTGAAATTATCATGAATGTTCCGGTTTTATCGACGCAGTGGGTGGGAGATATGTCTGCGCCCTCACTACTCCCTCTTCGAACCTCTACGCTGTCCTCGGGGCCTGATCCCGTCGTTATGTCGCTGACGGAAGAGATTGGTGAAATTGTGGACGAGTCTCTTCCATGCTCTGGCACACAAACGACTCCATCTGAACATGGGAAAGACATGCGCAGACGAGCTTTCATTGATAAACCGACATCTTCTTTCACCAATCAGCTAGGGCCTATGCTTCCCATCACGCGAACCACCATCAGTAATGATTCAGGAGTAGATGCCAGCAAAGGCAATATGCCAATACGTGGTATTTGTTGTGTTCGTCGAGTCGAATGTGCTTCAGCAACGACATCACGTCGCGCATATCGAGTTCGTCATTCCACTTGCTGCTCATCACGGCGAACTTGCTCATCAGAACAAGACTTCTTTACGGCACCTTCGACTCGCTACCCGTCCACTCGCCAAGATCGCCAAGATAAAGGCAAGAGCAATGTTGTCAAAAGCGTTCATGCCGTCGAACCATTGAATGGAGATGAACACGGGCACATCAAATGGTATAAGTCGATTGGCATAAGGTCTACATCACCCGAACACGAAGAGCAACAAGGGAGAGATACACCAGTTACGCGCTCAGCAAGAAGACTCGAACCCGTCTCAGTCGGGAGGTCTCAACCTGCGGCAACTGCGATAGGTTATCAACAGCGCGCCATGCCTGTAAAGAAAAGAGAAGGCATCATTTCGCCCGGTACATATCGCAGTGTAGACATAACTTCAACGTCTGGTACGGTGTCGGGTCGACTCGCATCTCAAGACAACGTTGCGAAGAAGTCTTCGAAGCACGGCCGGAAAGAACAATTGCGAAGCATACCTCCGGTCCCAATAGCAGAAGTGTCGGCGTCGTCGTGGGACATTTCGAGCAGGCTAAGCTCTCGATCCAGGTCGTGCGTGTTCTCTGACCATATAAAGGCGGTTGACGGGGGAGGAGATGATGTGACCCCACCTTCCCGTCGCTCAATCGGTGGCTCGAGAAAGAGCCACAGCTTTGACGCTGGATTGCATGGCGTTGAAGCTTTTGGTGGGCAACGATATGTTGCCGCCAGAAGGTCCAAGATGTGGACGGATAGCAAGTGCGAGGATATCAGTCGTCTGCGCACCGACAACAAGGCGCTGAGAAAGCAGATTGCTGATCTGCGAAACGAATTTAGAGCGCTGAAGGATGTGTTGCTGCATGCAGAATCGCAACGGCGGTGGCAAGACTGCGTATCCTGACCTCTCATCCTATACATAGACACATCCTTAAGTGAATCTTCACATCCACCTCTTCAAACTCCAAAAAGGCTTTTTCTCACCTCCAACCTTCATTGTCATCCGATCCAGCACCGCACTACTCCCCCTGGCTCCACTCATCCCAACCTCCTCATCTCTTACACCCCCAAAACCCCAGCTTCCCCTCCCACTCCCCCTCTTCTCCAGCGCTTCAAGCGCCCTCTTCCTCTCGCGCCTCACGCGATCCCAGCGCCGAAAACCCCTGTCCTTCCCTCCTCCTACTCCCTCGTCGTCGCCGTCGACAAGTACGCCGGCGATCCGCCATGACAGGTAGGTCTGGAAGCCCAGTAGGAGGAGGATCAGGATGAGCACGATCAGGATGCCGAAGGCGAGGAAGAGGAAGAGGACAGTTTCTTCGGAGTGAATTGGATTGAAGTTGGGGGCGTTGTTGCCCATTGCAATTGTTGGCCGGTCGTGCAGGCGATGCTGAGTCGAGAGGGCTTGCGAAGACAAACGACGGGGGCTGCGAGGCTGTCGTGGTGCTGACGTTTCGTGAGGTCGTGTGCGGTGCGAGATTGTCAGCGTGGATTTACTGAAGAGCGCGCCGTTGCTCATACATGCTGATCAGCATAACGGCGCACCGCCGCGCGTCGTTGTCAGCTCCTGTGGCACCTGTCGGGCGTGTGTAACGCGTTTCGGCCTTGTTTCGGTTTGAGGCTTGCACGCGGGCGGGTTCCGGGAGGCGTGTTGGGGACAGGGATCCCGGCGCAGAAACGGGATCTAGAACGTAGGGTGTGGAGGAGACGGAGCTTCGATACTGGGTTGGGGATGCGCGGATTGAGATCGGCGGATTGGGCAGGGGGTAAGGGGTGTGATCTTCGTGACATACAGATTGGGCTTCTGAATGTGATGCCTTGTTTGGAGTATGTACTGTGGATGCAGATGCACGTCTAGAAACTACCTCTATGTAAACTCTTGTATGCGCGGCCTACTCGTGCAACTGCCTGCCTACTTCAGCTTCGCATACTGTTTCCCCCACTTCTGCGCAATTTCCTCCTCGGTGAACCGCCTCGTCTTGCGCCGCAGCATGTCTTCGCGCTGCGCCATGGTCATATCGCACTGCGCTCCCATCGGCACCAGGCAGCGCGCCAGGTGCGCATAATTTTTGCTCAGCAGCGTGACAGTCAGCATGAAATAGTCGATGTTGTAAAAGACCAGCGCGTGCTCATCGGCATACTGCTGCTTTTGCGACAGGAAAGCAACAGGGTGGTCGCGCCAGTGCCGCAGAGGATTGAGATGGTGCGAGGTATGGTAACCGTCGTTGTAACAATAGCGATTGCTCTGTTGCGGGTTAGCAATTGCCACCTTACAGCAAGACATGATGAATTAAAAGTGTTAAGAAACGTACGGGTGCGTCGATCAGCGTGATGCTCGAGCGGAAGTCAGAGTCCGGCTCTTCCTCGTCGACGAACGCGTGCTGACCCCAGTTGCCCGTCATGAGTGCGACGCGCATCAGTGCCAGCGGGATCAGGAAGACGAAAATAGCAGCCTTGGAGTTAACGTAGGCGTACAAAGTGTACAAGAATATGTAGTTCGCGATTTCGCACCCGCCGGTCTTCAGCGCGAGACTAGTCTTATTGTTACGCAGGAAGTAGCACGGCAAGTCGAACCAGACAAGCAGGTAGAAACGGCCAACGTAGTGCATGAAGTGAAGCAAGCTATCACGCTGATAGCGAACTGTTGACGATAGATCGTTGGGTCCATTGCCTTCGACATGGTGGTGCTTGACGTGATGAAAGAAGTACGAGTTCCATGTGTGTCCCATCAACGGGTCGAAGATGTACGGGAAGATAGTGTCGATGATAGCGTATTTTTTGTTCAAGACGCCGCGCATGTGGATATGCTGGTGCATGAGCAGCGTATAGGGACCCATGTAGTAGACTTGTACGGCTGAGTGAATAACGCCGTGCCACCAGTGGAAGTTGTAGAATAGGTACAGTGCTGATGGAACGCTGGTGCACAGGTAAATGATTAGATGTGTGATCATGATCACATCAGTTTCAGCCCGAACGACGCCTTTGGCCCAACGGATATATGGATCGATGATCCATTTTCGCAAAGCAGGGTTTTTAATATCAGCAATGTCCCAAGTGCTAAAGACTGAGGTTTCGAAGAGATCTGACTTTGGATTGTTGACACTCTTCAGGTAGGCGATAGTCTGCTGCTCGCTTTCTTGAGTATCTGTTGCATGTTAAACCAAGTCCAGGTTCGCATCAATCTGTGTACTCTTACCCTCTGGGGAAGGTGATACAAAATCCGTGCGTTTGGTAACAGAATCGTCAGACTCCTCTGCAGCATCGATAGGTACAGCCGGAGGCGTGGACTCAATTTGCTCATAATCTTTCTGCAAATGACCCAATACTAGCTTGTCCGCGACCGTGAGGTCAGCAGGTGGTTGGAAGTGCAGTTTGCCCATGATTCGATCTGATCAGATAAAATGTTGCTCGGACACTACTAAAAATTGTGAAGCGGCAATCGCAGGACCACACACAATTCAATGGCTGGTCGCTGGAGAAAAGAGAACGCAGACAACAAAAGTCCGCTCAGAGAAGCAGCGCGTCAGGTCAGACAAGAGGTTGCGGACCGTGGTGTTGAAGAGACCTCTGCTTGAAACATCGGTGTGAGGGTCCAGGGAGGTGGCGAGACCAGGTCCATGCGCCGCACAACGCGCGGAAGCTAGCGTGCTCGAGAGACCCACAACAGCAACGAAATGGCTAGAACCTCAACATCGATGTGCACGCACCTTGTGGGCCTGAGCATTGCTGAAGAGCGGTTCTGCAACATGCACAGATAACTAGGATAGCGCAGCAATAATCGTTCTTTAGTGCTGCCTCTACTTCGTGAATCCCTTGCAGGTGTGTGAAGTGAGCGATTTAGCAGACAGTCCTCTCTGCCCAATTGGCAAATCTGTTGTGGCGATGCGCTGGCTGCAATTCCTCCTCGGTTCTGTCGCACCCAAGCCTAACGCTGCTTTTTCCCCTCGGACTGCGGGCAATTGCACTGTGCAATCGAGTGGACAGGTCTCTTCAAAAGCACACAGGCCAAGAAGAAAATGCTGAGGCCTGTTACGAGCAAGGCAAACGCAAAGAAGTAGATGCACCACTGCACTTCGCGAGGCAGGACAACGCGTTGGTCGAAGGATACCATCGTAGCTTCTCTTCAAAAGGGTTAGCATAGGCAATTTCGTACGTCTGAACCGAATGTACCGTACATTTTGGGTCTTGAGTTCGATAGCTGAATGTCGTGAAAGCGGCAAAGCAAGGGAACTAAGGGAAGAAGTGTAATAGCGTCAAGGGTTACTTGAGAGTGGCGGTGAGAGAAAGAGAGATGTACAGCGCATTCACCATAGGTTGCAGAATAGGTTTCTATCGAATCCCACAACTATACTGCTGACTCTATGACATCGTCTGGCTCTTCAGATGAACCAGCCTCAGCTCAGATATTCGTACTCATATTATAAAGGTTGATAACGTGTGCTATCCCGCAAAAGTTCGTACAAGGTCTCAGCGACGTCGTCAAGCTTCTTGCTCATCGTAGGTTCTGCTCTTGGTCGGAAATGACCGATGCGAGCCTATCGAGCGTCGATTCGATCAAATCCATGCGAACGCGATCTCTCAATCGCTAAACTAGCAGGGCAATCAATGCAATAGCATATAGGAAGGCCTGAGGCTAGGTAGACGTGAACATAATAGGGTAGTGGGCCGCTCTTTGCTATGTTTTGCTTGCCTGTAGGGTGGATGCCAGCTACTGGGCGATTTCTGGAATGCGCAAATGCTCAGGTCCTTGTGTTTTGGTTCATATCCGGTGCGAAGTCAGTCAACCTATCTCGGCGCACATACTTCCAAAGCCTACCCTTGCGATAGTAGGTGAGTCGGCGAAGGCTTGTTTTTGCCGATAGTGCAAATGATTACATGGTCACATTATGTCTTGACTGCGGTTACGATACCCTCTCACACCAAGAATCTATCACCATCGTCTTCGACCAGCCCTCCTGTCTCAGCGGCGTCAACTTTGGCCTGGAGTGCAGCCACCACGCTCTCGTAGTCCCCATCATCTTGATACGCCAGGATAAAGTCTCTCTTCCAGCGAAGCAGCATCCAGCACATGAACAAGATGACGAAGGACTGTGTCAGCACCAATGTGATCTTGCCCTTCCATGTCTTCAGATTCGGTCTTGCCAAAACGCCAACAATGTCGTCCACCAGCGCAATGTACGCTGCTCGCCAAAGCGCCCTATCTACCAGATATAACCAGTAAGTCAGGAAAGAAGGTGCTAGTTGTATCGAGACGGCACTTGCCGCGACCCATAGCAAATGCACCCCGAACTCGCTGCGCCGCTGCTTTGTGCCCGTGGGTCGTTCGCCTACGAGAGACCCAATGCCGTAGCTCATCGCGAAGTCGGCAATGAAGAACTGAAGATCGAATGGCCGGCCGAACAGCCAGCGGTATGTGAAGAGAATCGCGGCACGATTGATGTCCCATTTGCGAGAGAATCGAACGGCTTGCTTGGGAGTTGGTTCGGGCCGATCTGTGGGGTAGAAGAAGGATCCTAGCCAATTCGTTGGGATTGCGGAAAGGATAACACAAACGATGTTCGCCTGCACAGTTTCAAAAGGTCCCCCAAGAATCACGAATAGGGCGACGGTGATGAAGGGAAGGTAGAGATGAGCGGCGGTACGCCATGCTGAGTATGATGCCGAAAGAGCTCTGGGGATAGCATCAGTAACGCTTGGTGGAACTTCAGCTTGTCGGTCATCCGCCATTGCAGTGTGCTCTTATGTTGTCGTGCAGAAGTGAAGATATCAACTAGCTCTGCCAAGAGAAACGCGTCATCACGTTGTCACGTGGCTAACAATGTCATCCGTAATCTCAAGCTCTTGTGTCTCTTTGTCCTCATACAACGAACATGAATCTTGTTCTACATTAGGCTGCTCGCCCTCTGATACAGATATTCTCTATGCTAACATGCAGATGTCTGATTCAGTGGGTTCAAACAACCTGGGTAATCGCCATTATTCCAACAGCCAAACGGTGTCTTCATGGCCATATCTTGTATGTCTCCTCTCTGCTTGCCTTAACGTCCATCAAGTAGCCCAGAAATTATCTGATATCCGTGAGGCCATGATTTGGAGCTCCATCCAAGAAAGCGGTGAATCACTAACAAGATTAGATACTACGTCGCTAATCAGAGAGTAAGCTACTGATTTTTTATAAGCTTAGCATGAGACATAGCTATGAGACTTGCACGACTAGATCTCAGAACACTTGTTGTTGATCTAGAATATGATTTAGGAACAGCTACCGATTGAACTCTTGGTCAGGTCCGTTGTCAAAACACTCCGGTAATGTCACAGACTTCTATGACATCTATCAGACTCCGAGTTTGATACCTATATACTCACCTTTGAGTTATTAAACATCGGCTTCCCGAGAGATTTTGTTTGTTTCGCGGCACCATTCTTACTGCTCGTGTAGTACTCCTTCCTCTTCTCCGCGCCCCAGATCTTCAGTTGTTCTTCATGCTGCGAGCACCACAGTACCAATTCTCTAGCCGCAAGCGCATCTTCTACCGCGTCGTGGCCATGATAACCATTGTCTTGCACAGTGATTTCAAGGAGCTCTTTGCACAGCGCCTTAAGGCCCCAGAGCTTCCTGATGCATGCTCCCACGGCTACACTGGCTAGCGTTGAGGAGTCGAATGTTTGGTTATGGTGGATGCGTAATGCGTGGAGGTCGTTGTGGAGCGCGTGTCCGACCAGGATCGTTTCAGAGTCCATGTGTTTGAACAGTTCTGTCCGTGCTGCGGTCGCGTTGGTGAGGATGGTTCCAGATGAGATGGCTGTTTGCACCATCTCTGCGGTGATTCCGCTCCATTTTGTGCGCCAGTCTGTTACTTCATGCTGCGGATGGACAAGCGTATCGATCAACAATTCGCCTGTGAGGAAATCGACAGCGGAGAGACGAGCCAGCTCCGAGATCTTGCCTTTGGGGCCGGTACCAATCATCTCACAGTCGAGTACTATGATGTCTTTCTTTTGGATGAAAGCGTTGTGTCCAGGTGCACTTTCGCGGTTTCGTGTCTGGAACTTTTTGACTCCATGGATTGAAGAAGATATCTTTGGCGTTACTACAAGGGCCCTCAAAGCTACCACCGTAGTCCCATACGCTGTATTACGGATGACTGACCACCTGGTATCCCGTTGGAGCAATGTCCCGCGTTCCGGAAGGTCGCTTTGAGAAAGTGAAGGTACTGAACGTCGTGCAGATGTTGATCCTTCCGCAGCTTTGCCGTAGCGAGTAACATGGCCTTGTTCAGTGACATTCGTCCTCGTTCCGCCTTTCTTGCCGGACGTGGTCCCTTCTCTGATGGCAGTCGTAAGCTGCACAGTCATTGGCGGATTTGCTAATATCGCATCTTCAAAGGGTAGCACAGTTTCCACGCTCTTCTGATATATAGTCGCCTCAAGCTTTCTTCTATGAGAAGCCGATGCTAGATGCTGCGAGCGTGCCTCCACAGTCGCGAACGTCTTCAGGCATCCTGTTACCGTACATAGAAACACCAAGCCGGAAGGTTTTGCCTGAGTCGACTGTCTGTTGGTCAGTGTTGCACGACCAGTCGCGTCTGGGGTAGGAACCTTTCCCGCTCTAGTGCCTTTGGTGACACGGGCAGGTGAAGTCGCAGCTGGAAGGAGGATGTGACCAGTGGCGCGACCATGGGCAGTCAGGGCTGCACGCGACTTGAAAGAGCGCGGGCACTTGTTGCATTGGTGTGGATGCGACGGAGGATTTGGTGGCCGCATAGGAGCCATTCTGACGCGTGCAAAATGTGGGAGGATACGCAAGTCAAGATCGTTAAGGCGCGAATCGTAATAGGCGAAGAGTTGAGCAGCACTAAGGGCAAGATTATATGGCACCGGCGGGCCGTGCCGCAGTCGTGGCGTAAGGTCTTTCACTTGACTACGAAGATGTACCTACGCTGTTCCCAGCACCAAAATAGCGGCTACCATATCGCACCTGGAACAACATCAGCGTCATTGGGGATCTAAGTGTTTGCGAGAACGAAAACATCATTATCAAGCGGTACTGCTGTCCACTGAACGTTGAATAGTTCAAAGAACAAGACCTATGACCTAATGACTCTCGAGCAATGATCAGTGAGCCATGTCAGCTTCCAGCTTGTTTGCCACAACCTCAACCTCAATCTTCCCAGCCTTGCTCTCCACATGTCCCTGCTCTTTCTCACCAACGGCTTCTACAACTCGTGGTCCTCTCCTCACGTAGTTCTTCTCTCCTTGCTGCACAAAACCAACGTGTACATACACGGCTTTCGACATAGCCGAAGCCTCCAGATAAATGGGCGTAGGCGGCTGCTCAGCATCAGCCTGCAGTGTCGCCCAATCCAATAACCTTTTGGCGACACCTCTGCCTTGCCACTCAGGCCACGTGAAGAGCGAGGCAAGATACCAGTGCGGCTCGCTGTTCATAACACTATTCCGCAGTTCATCGTTCCGAGCGTGGCCTCCGCTCCATGCCTCGTCGTCGACATGGGCATACATCTCATCAATATCGGCGTCGGACCATCCCAATTTCTCTTGCCAGCCATAGAACTTGATAGCTGAGCGGCGGAAGATGTTGTGCACGGGGAGGTCAGGACCTGCCCAAGCTGCAGCGCCGATGATGGTATTGGTTGAGACATGTACGGCCTTGATCCAGTGCATACCAGGCTGGGAGATCGTAGGCTGGACTCTCTTTGCAAGGCGTTGGACCTGGATGTCTTTTGATGGGCGCAGATGTGGTGGATCCATCTTATCGATGGAAGATTGAAGGAAGCAGGCGTAGACACCTTCAGCCTAGAAGAGTTGTTAGTTCAGAAATCTGGGATTGCGTGGTGAGTTGACTTACGAAACGGTAGGCGTCTTCCTCTTTAGCGACCTCGAGTCTGATCTCGGCCGCCGCAAGCCGTTTCGCTTCGTCAACTGGAATCGTAACTGGTGTCCCCTCCATGACAGAAACCTCGATGGAGTCTTAGAGTAGGAAGTATCAGGTAGGGCACGCGGTGTCTTAAGGAATGAATCTCAGATATACAGGTTTGTGTATTGCAAAGGTTTTGTGCAACGATGAAGTGTTACCTTGTCAGCAGACAATAGGCAGAAGCTCGAAGTACATTTGGTCCTAGATAGTAAGCGCTTGGCGCACGGAAACTACGCCACAAGAAGCAGCCGCTTGCTGAGTTCTTCAAGCCTATTGGTGCGTGAAGGCTAGATTCGGAGTTCCGCGTGAGAATGGATTCGGAGTGAAGCCATCGGCATAGAGCAACGTAGTGTTGTATTAGGATATGTAGGGGACATGCCCGCGAGACGCGAGAAGTAAACTGCATACATACGAAGGCATCCCTTGTAGGCAAATACCAATCTGTAGCTAAACCGCCGAAGCCCTGGGTGATGATAACCGCCGAGCAATGCAAGTAAACGCGAGTAACAGGAAACGAGTCGCCAATGAGCACACAATGCAGCGTCAACCGTGACGCCTTGGGTATCAAACGCCTCTAATGCAGCAATTCATGCATCGTCAAACAATAGTCATGGCTTAATCATGATCATGAAAAATGGCCACTCAGGGATTCGAGTGAACGAAATGTGCACCTTGACATGGCGACCGGGCTTTTTTGAAGTCCTTGATCCGATCCAGCATCCATCCTGACACGTACTTTTCGTCTTCGCGGGGCAGACGCTGCTCACCGAGCCTTATGCTATGCGACAGTCTGCACACGGTGCCAGTGTGCTCGAATTGCAAGCACTTTTGGTCCTTCGCACAGGCTTGTTCGCAATTGACGAATGAATTGGCAGGCGTGCCCTTGGTGTAAATCTGGTCGTCCGACATGTTCGTCCAGTCATCTGTCTTCGCTTGAAGCCGGGGCTCTATGAAGGTGAACAACTCTTCAAACATCAGAGCCCTCTCAGGGTGCTTTCGAGCCTGTGTCCATTGGGAGAGATCGGTAAAGTCGTCTTCTTGTAGATGGTGCATCGTTGCTATAGCCTCGCACCACTGTTCAGGTCCAAAGCGCAATGTCGAGGGTTTGTCGCCGTTGAACATTGGCCAGTATCCGCGAAGAGACACTCCGCTCTTCTTCAGCACCTGCGCTAGCATCGCGTCACCGCAGCACGACTTGGCTACGTTCTCGCCGAAAAAGTGTGTACCGGGAAAGTGGTGGTTCTCGGCGAACATCCTACCACGTGCCATGAGCTTGTCCAGCGCACCACGCGACAGCACGAAGCCGCTGCCTCCGTGTGCATACGGCGCCTTCTTCTTGGGCCAGACAGGCGATCCAAAGTAGTGCGCCGACTTGGGATTGAAGTGCGTCAAGAAGCGGTAGAGGTTGTCGTAGTTGACATATGTATCGGTCTCAATGAAGAGGTACCACTGAGAGTCTGGGCGCAAGTACGAGGTCCATTCCATCATAGGCAGGAACTTGTATTTATCCAGCTTCCAGCCATTCGACGCCCTGTCCGCTGTCTCATTCGCGGCTTGTATGCTGTCGTACACGTCGAAGTCGGTGTTCTCCCACTTGTACTCGGGGCGCACGTGCGAGAGGGCGTCTACAATGTCGAATCCTTGGAAGGTGGCCTTCTGGTCAGAGAAGATAAGCAGGTCCTGTTTACAGCGGCCCAGACGGTTCAGATATGCCGGGCAGCTTAGTTGTAGCCTCGCCAGCGCCAATCTTCAAGACTATGGTGATGTCTTCCATGACCCCGCTCGTGAAGGGCGAGCATTCTTCTCCGAAGCGGATCTTGGTCTGGGCTGGGCGCGCGGGCGTGGGCCGATCTTGGAGGATGTCATAGCCACGCTCGACATACGGGACCAGGTCCCGCAGCGACGAAGACAGGTAGAAGACGCACAATATCACGGCTGCGCACAGCAGGCGCAGCGGCGTGAATCGCACCATGATGGTGGAGGAGCGAAACCCCATGGCATGGTGGTGGGAGGATTGCAGATGGTGGGCTGAGGCAGGCAGCGCTGCACGCGAGATGAAGCTTACTGGGACCGAGCTAGCCGGCCCTCATTTCGTCACTGCCCGTAGCGTGAACGGCCGCGGCAGTCGCGTCCAGCCTCTCAATTACCGTTTCACCAACACACGTGCTATGAGGAAGTCGATCTGCTGCCTCGAAAGTTGATCCGGGCTTCTGAAACTGCTGTCGTTGCCAGCCATCCATTGGGTATGTCGTGGTTGTGTCACCACCCGGCACCGGGTCAGGCCAGTTCCAAGCCACACTTGTCCAGCCTCGCGGCAGTCATTAAAGATCTCACGGGAGCCCTGAAATTTCCCCGTGACAGAACCTATACATAGATGCACAGCAGTACACCCTGGAAGATGCGTCTATCCTCAACTTCGGCTACTTCCTGTTTCTAATGCTAATTTTGCTTATACCAGGAGGGTTGGTGCCGTTGAACAGCAGCAACTTGACATTGACTTTCCTAGGACAATCCTAGTTCTGGACTTCACTTGTCGGGCTGGGCAGTTGCTTGGTGGCAACTTCTTCTATTGGCACTACGAGCTTGCTGGCTTGATCGCCTCCACGAACTTTGCCTTGACTCCCTTGAACAGTTTATCTTGGATCAACTTCCGGATGATCGGCTGTGCATTGTGCTCCTCGAATGCAAGGCGGCCAGTGTAGCGCTCGAAAAAGTGGAACATTGTAGGATCATCGCAGTCCCGAGATATGCAGTAGTAGATGATGCCGGGCTCTGAAGCAGCAAGACGTGTTGTTTCCGCATAGACTGCTTCAAGAGCATCTGCATGCTCGGGGTGCGCGTGTACCTGTATTGATCAGAGACGTTGCGTAAGGGCTTTCGTGCAAGCGTACTATGCCGAAAACACAGAACTCGCCCTCTGGCACTGGCGGCATGCCCGCCGTAAACTCCTCCTTCTGATACTCTGCTTTACTGAAGGCCATTGCTACTGTCGCTTTCGATTCGATCCGAAGTGATTGGAGGTCCGGGTTTATGGAAACGAACTTGGGACGAGCCATTCTTATAGATCGCTCGCCTGGTTACATACATGCCCCGCCCGCTTATCGTATTGCAACACTTCGACTCATTTTGAGTAAATGTACATCGCACGATAGCTTATGCAAATCCAATGGCCTCACATCCACACTCAACGTTAGCCAGGAACGACATGTACTCGCGTTGCCAGCTTGGAGACCGATCTTTTCCCTCAAAAGTACAACAAAGTACTATACATGTCTCAATTGCATGTCCTGCGCGCATCTCTCAAATAACATTTAGTAGTTCCTTCCCCTCCAGGAGCCTCTCCAAGTTCTCTGCAGTCTCCTCATACCATATGGTCAGTGTGCCTTCTTCCACGTAGCCCATATGTGGTGTCAACACAACCCGGCTTTTGCCCTGCATGTCCCAGTCTTCACTGCGCCACGGGCTATCTGCTGGTAATGGCTCAATATCAAAGACATCGATTGCGGCTCCTCCAATGCGTCCATGGCGTAATGTGTCGAGCAGTGCTGATTCGTCCACTAACGGCCCTCGCGATGTATTCACCAACAGTCCAGACGGCTTCATCCACTCCAGCTCCTGGGAACTCACGATGCCCTTGGATCGCTCACTGAGCACATAATGCAATGAGACCACATCCGCGCTCGCGAATACCTCCTGCTTGCTGACCACTTTGAATGTCTTCTCGTCGTCAGGGATCATGCCACCTCCAGTGACCGGCAGACCAGCCTCATCGGCAAGCTGATCCGCCTTTTCTTGGGTCAAATTGGCACTCCAACATACGATCTTCATCCCAAAAGCAAGCACGCCTACTCTTGCTACGTGCGATCCAATTCTTCCCAGCCCAACAAGACCTAGCGTCTTTCCCTGCAAACCGATGGCTAGACCAGTCTGCCACGCCTTCGGTCCGCGCTTGCCCTTCACCACAGCATCATCTGCCGCCACGTTCCGAGCTAGCGCCAGGATCAACGCCCACACATGCTGCGTAGTTGGATGGCCACCGCCCTGCTTTACCGGCAGTGAACGTGGGGACTGCCCGCTCCCTTTGCCATCTGTGCGGCCTTTGCCTGGCGCTGTGCAAACAGTAATACCGAGCTCTTTCATTGTTGCAAGATCCCAGCTTTCGAACTTTCCGCCTGTCGCGAAGATCACCTTGAGATTCGGGAGCTGACGAAGAAGCTCTCCAGGGAAGGGAGTGCGCTCGCGTATTGTGCTAAGCACGGCGAACGGGCGCAGGCGCTCAACCAAACTTTGTCGCTCGGCATCTGTAGTCCTGGGATGGGTGTATGATGGCAGCGTATCATTGAACACTGTGATCTCCACCTGTGAATCGGGAAGATGAGAGAAGTGCTTCAACGAGATGCCATGGTAGTCGTCCAAGATTGCAAGCTTGAGAGGCTGAGCGGATGCCATATTGCTATACTCAGTCGATGTTACGGACTTCAGAGGTGAAGAGTTTGTGAAGTTCGTTGGCAGAAGATACTGGCAGAACATATACCCATCTCGGATGACTAACGCGGCACTTCAGTTCAACCTACAACAGCTCTTACACATCAGTCTCAAAGATACTGGTTCATACCATCGATCGCGCCATACTTCCTAGAGATGACAACTTCGATGTCGCAAGTGCTGTGCTTGAGCCGCAAGGTACAAAGGTGGATATTGTGATGCAGGGCTTGTGACGTTCGTACGCGGGGAAAGGTGGGGCCCAACCTCAAGACTTCCTTCCCTCGCATGGTCATCTCAATGCACAAAACACAAATGTCCTTGAATTTACGTCCTTTAGTAAGAGGATTCCACTCAGGATTGCTACTGTAGTAAAGCCCGAAGATGCCGAAATCCCACATCACTGACACCATGTCTTGATTTCATGTTCTCCCAGTCCAGCACCAGGTCTTATAGCAGTACCCCATCGCAGTTACGCCGCACAGCGAACACAAGATGATCAGCCATTCATTCGATCGGTTTCAAAATATGATTGGGTTATAGGATTCATGCGAGGTCTCGAATGTCACCTGGAAGCCACGCCTCCTCAGGTAAGGGGGGTGTACCACATGCTTTAGCATTCCATTCAAAACTCCGCCAACTGGCCCTCCTCAGCCGATCAGCCTTCAAAACCATCTTTCCTTAACTCTCTGCTTCAATTCACACTCATTCCTCACTATTCAAATCGAGATGCGTTCCGCGACCCTGCTTCTCGGCTTCACTTCAGTCATTACCCACCTCCCACGTTCTTTTGCAGTTGGCCAGCAGCTTCCACATGAAATATACAATGTCACCGCTGTCGAGCCTCCGTCTCTCATGCTCACAACCGTGAGCTTTACGATCACTGAAACAGCAACAGCCACGGCCACTTCCACTGAGACGACAACGCTGTCGCCTCCTCCACCACCAGTCAGCACCTTGACAGTCATATACCCATCACCAGATGCTGCTCCAGTAGAAGTCACATCTATCAGTCAAGTTGTCACGTCATACATTCCAGAAGCCACCTTCTGCGTAGGGCCCGCTCTGTACTTCTCCTCCATCTCCGGCGGGCCTTTCTTCAACGGCTCAGCAAACGTCACCCAGTATATCTCTGGAACAACCAGCTGCAGCACAGAATACCTCACCACAACCAAAACCATCTGCGCAACAACCCTAACCGGCATAGCCTCAAAGATCACCGTCTCAGAATGCGACCAAGAAATCACTTTCTCCAGCGAATGCGGCTACAGCCTCGAAACCCCCCCTCCAACCCCGGCAACCCCCAGCAACTGCCCCCTCATCACCCCCGCCCCCACCATCTACAGCCTCACAACCTACTGGCTCGCGCCCTGGCAGTCCCTCACGTCCGGCGCCGCCCCCTCCGACGTCGCGGTGAAAGTCTGCACGCAGCTCGCCGACGGCACCGCGCAATGCCAGCGCTACCAGGAGGTCTGGGAGGTGTTCCCCGTGACCTCGACGCTCACCACGGCGCTCCCGATCACGTTCTCGCGCACGCTCGCCGGCCCCGGCGCCCTCATCATCGACGCGAGCACCTCATTCATCAACAGTACCGCCGAGGTCGTCGATCTGTCCAAGACCCTGCGTCTCGAGACCGAGGTCACGCTCGAGGGCACCAGCACCGTGCGGCCCTCGACCACGGTGCGGCTGACGACGCAGACCACGTCGACGCGCACGGTGACCCGGCACCTGCAGCATGCCGCTAGGTACGTTTCCCCCGCCTCCACCCCTGTCCCCGTCCCCCTGTCCTGCGAGGAATGCTCCTGCTAACACGCCCCAGTACGCCGATGAGCACCTCCGTCTCGGATCTCACGAGCGAGAGCTCGTCCGCGGAACCCACGACTACGGTGCTGGTGACGTCGTTTGTGACGGAGCGGCGCACGCACACGATCACGCGGCCGCGCTCCAGGACGCTGTCGAGGGGCGAGGGGGACGCGTAGGCGCGTTACATATCTCGCCGGTCTTGTTGGAGGGATGGTTGCCGATAGCTGGGGGTTGGTTTCTGCTTATCTTGTTTCATGCCGATAGATTCGCTGGCGAGGAATCGGCCGAGTTCTGGGTTGGTTCTGTGCGCGGTATAGAGTAGCGTGTAGCGAATTCATGGATTTCACGGGACGGTGAGCGTTGGGAGTGTGCGTAACGAGTCGTAGATCGAAGATGATGGCGAAGTTGTATCGAGCCGTCCTACAGACACAGCGTAGTACAGTGTGAGCAGGGAGTGCAAGCTGAAGTGAAGATTTCGTGTTTTCGTCTATATGCTATGCCTGACGCTTCTTATGTAATGCTGGGTATGCAACAAAGCCGCCTTCCAGATACCCTCCTCTACCGCAACAAAATCTTCTCGTTCGCCCGATCAATAGTAACCTCCCCCTCGTTCTCAACCGAATACTTCCGCCGCACCAACTCAAACACAATCAACCCCGCACTCGTACTCGGCACCTGCCTGACCGTCGTCCCCCAAAAGTCCTTGTAGAGATACTTTCTCCAGCCGCCGGCGCGCCGCGCCAGCGTGCGGCACTGCCGCCACGTCTCCTGGTAGGCGTGGTAGTAGCGGCGCATGATGTGGGCAGGGCTGCGCTCCTCGCGCGCCTGGAAGTCGAGGGCTTCGAGGCGGCGGAAGTGGGCGTCTTGGAGCGCGGTGAGGGGGTGTTGGATTGTCTGGCTGGTGAGGCCGGCGGAGATGCCGGCGAGGAGGAGGAAGGTGGGTTCGAGGGCGAAGTGGGGGTTGATTACGGGGCGGGAGTCGTGGTCGGAGGAGGTGTCGGAGGCCGTGGACAGCGGACGGGTGTTGAGCAGGCTGTCGCGGGTGCGCGTGCCGTAGTGCCAGGTCACGAAGCTGTAGTAGCCCTGGCTCTTGACGGTTTCGAAGGCGCTGAAGAAGACGGCGGCGCCCAGGGCGTCTTTGCACAGCGACAGCGACCAGCCGGCGAAGATGCCCTGCAGGCCGATGGAGCGCAGCTTGTGGCCGGCGTAGTGCCAGACGGTCTTGTATTTGCCGTCGAGGATGTCGGCGGTGCGGAAGCGCGTCTGCAGGGCGTCGAAGGGCGCGGCGACGATGGACTGGAAGGCGCCTGCGATCAGGCCGGCGGTGAAGGTGGTCGAGGGCGGCGGCGGCGGGTAGACACGCTTGGTCTGGTAGGACGACGGCTCGTGCAGGCTCGACAGGCTGTGCAGGTAGACGGTGTACAGCACGGCGCCGATGCACGTGTTGGCGAGCAGCGGCGGCAGGACCTGGTTTGGGATGAACGACCAGCCCTCGGTGCGCACGGCGTGGGCCAGGATGGCGGGCGTCGTCATGCGCCAGCTCCAGCCCGTCTGGGCGGCGATGTGTGGGTTGATGGCGCGCGCATAGCCCATGTAGTCGATGCGCCCGCGGAAGAAGGCCTTGACAGGCGCGCGGAAGTAGAATGCGACCATACGGGCTGCTACGGCGCGCATGCCGGCCGCCTGCACGCCCGTCGCGGGCGCCTTGTTCGGCTTCTGGGGCTCCAGCTCATCGTTGCTGTCGCCGCGCAGGGTGACGGGCAGGACTCCAGTGCGTCCATGGGCACTGGGACTGGCTGTCATCGCATAGTGGAGGTGAGGAGGTGAGGCGGTGCTGGCGCGGCGGGGTGGACGTGAAGGGGGAGGTGAGAGCGGTGCTGGCGGCGGGGCGGAGGTGAAGGTGGAGGTAAGTCTGGCGGGCAAGTCTCGCGGGCAGTCTAGCAGGTGGTTGGGCAGGTGACAGGTGAAGGTGACAGGTGAGTGCGTCACGTGGATATATCGCAAACGATGCTGCACGGGAGAGCTGCCAGCGTCTTGCAGTCGTCCAGGCCAAGTTCGCAGACGTGCACTCAAGACTGGCGCCGGTGGGTCTGCGTGCGTGGGGGAGCTCGGACTCGTTGCTAACTAGCGCGGAACGCGTTCGCGTTTGTCCATTAAGCACGTCGGCCATCGACCAGGCACTTCTTCACCGTCGCCCGCCCGTCCCCCCTCCACTCCCCACCCGCTGTCCAAGGCCCCGCGCGCGCCCTCGCAACCATGGCCGACGACATCGTCATCGACAAGCAGCTCTTCCACGACCGCCTCGGCGGCTTCGTCGCCAAGTGGAAGGCCGACAAGCGCGCTGGCGACGCCGTGTTCCAGGGCGCCAGCTCCATCGCCACCGTCGTGGGCAAGGCGAGCGAGCCCGGTAGCTACCTGAAGCCCGCCGCCTTCCAGGTAAGCCTCGCGACGCCGCCCGCCGCAGCACAGCTAACGGCGCATCGCAGCTATGGCTGCTAGGCTACGAGTTCCCAGCGACGCTGTTCATCCTCACGCCCGACCTGCTCCAGATCGTGACTACGAAGAAGAAGGGTGCGTTACCCGAACACACTCCCGCGGCAGCAGCTAACAGCGGCAGCCTCGTATCTGGAGCCGCTCAAGGGCGGCAAGGTGCCCATTGAGATCCTCGTGCGCGGCAAGGACGCCGAGGAGAACAAGAAGCAGTTCCAGACGTGCATCGACACCCTCAAGAACGCCGGCAAGAAAGTTGCCGTGCTCAAGAAGGACAGCTCGACCGGCGGCTTTGCCGACGAGTGGAAGGCTGCGTTTGCCGACGCAGGCATCAAGGACGAGGACCAGGTCGACCTGGCGCCAATTCTGTCGCAGGCCGCCTTGTCCATCAAGGACGAGAAGGAGCTGGTAGGCAGCCGCCGCGCCACAGCCCAGAACACTGCTAACTCGTCCAGCGCACCATCCGCGATGCCTCCCGCGCCTCGAGCGCCCTCATGACCAGCTACTTTGTCGAGGAAATGTCCGATATCCTCGATTCCGAAAAGAAAATCACCCACCGCGCCCTCGCCGACAAGGTTGCGAACAAGATCGACGATGCCAAGTTCTTCGAGAAGCAAAAGGTCTCCAAGAACTTCGATGCCATGCAGCTCGACTGGTGCCTGCAGCCGACCATTCAGAGTGGCGGCGGCTACGATCTCAAATTTGCTGCCGAGCCCGACGAGAACAACCTGCACGCCGGCGTCATCGTCTCGGTGCTCGGATTGCGCTACCAGACCTACGGCGCCATGGTCGGACGAACATACATGGTCGGACCCAACAAGGAGCAGGAGACGGCCTACAAGATGCTGTTGGCTATCCACGATCTGGTCATCAAGTCGATCAAGGACGGCGTCATCGCCAAGGACGTCTACAACAAGGCGCTGTCGCACCTGAAGTCGAAGAAGCCCGAGTGGGAGAAGCACTTCCCCAAGAACGTTGGCTACGGCATTGGCACCGAGAACAAAGACAACTCCCTGCTTCTGAGCGGCAAGAACGTACGCGTGCTAAAGGACGGCATGACCATCGTTGTACAGACCGGTCTGCACGACCTGGAGAACAGCAAGCCGCAGGACAAGAAGAGCAAGACCTACTCCCTCGTCTTGGTGGATACCGTCCGTGTAGGACAGGGAGACGCTTCCGTTTTCACCAGGGACACGACCTCTGATCTGGACGCTGTTTCGTTCTTCTTCGACGATGAGGAAGAGGAGGCCAAGCCCAAGGTCAAGAAGGAGCGCGCGCCGGCTATTGCGCAGACAAACATCACCAAGACCCGCACACGACACGAGCGAACGACGAATCAGGACGCAGAGAAGGAAGAGCAGAGGCGGCAGCATCAGCGCGAACTCCACCAGAAGAAACAGCAGGAAGGTCTGGAGCAGTACAGCGAGGGCGCCAAATCTCTCAACGGCACCGAGGAGAAGAAGTTCAAGCGCTTCGAATCCTACAAGCGTGACAACCAGATCCCCAAGAACGTGGCAAATTTGGAAATTGTCGTGGACAAGAAGGCACAGACGGTCATTCTGCCTATCATGGGTCGCCCAGTTCCGTTCCACATCCACACCATCAAGAACGCCTCTCACACACCGGAAGCTGATGTGACATCACTCCGTATCAACTTCCTCTCTCCGGGTCAGGGTGTTGGCCGAAAAGATGACCAGCCTTTCGAAGACCCCAACGCTCACTTCATCCGTAGCTTGACCTTCCGCTCCCATGACATCGACCGCATTGATCAGATCACCAAGGACATCACCGAGCTGAAGAAGGAAGTCGTGCGACGGGACCAGGAGAAGAAGCAGTTGGAGGATGTTGTCGAGCAGGACAAGCTCATTCCTGTCAAGACTCGCAAGCCATTCTCTCTCGACCTTATCTTCATCCGACCCGCACTCGACGGCAAGCGCATTCCCGGAAGCATAGAGATTCACCAAAATGGTCTGCGATATGTCCACGGCGGCGGAAGCGCTAAGATCGATGTTCTCTTCAGCAACATGAAGCATCTATTCTTCCAGCCCTCGCAACACGAACTCATTGTCATCATCCACGTTCATCTGAAGAACCCAATCATGTTGGGCAAGAAGAAGACCAAGGATGTGCAATTCGTCCGTGAAGCCACAGAAATGCAGTTCGACGACACAGGCAACCGCAAGCGCCGCCACAAGTTTGGTGACGAGGAGGAGTTCGAGCAGGAGCAGGAAGAGCGCAGGCGACGAGCAGCACTTGACAAGGAGTTCAAGAACTTCGCTGAGAAGATCGCGGATGCCGCTCGCAACGAGAACGTCAGCGTCGACATCCCGTACCGCGAACTTGGTTTCAACGGTGTTCCCGCTCGCTCGTCAGTCCTGATCCAGCCGACAACAGACTGCTTGGTCCAGCTCACTGAACCGCCCTTCACATGTCTTACCCTTTCTGAGATCGAGATCGTCCACCTTGAACGTGTGCAGTTCGGTCTACGAAACTTCGACATGGTTGTCGTCTTCAAGGACTACAACCGCCCGCCTGTCCACATCAACACCATCCCTGTTGAGTCCCTGGACCCCGTCAAGGACTGGCTTGACTCGGTCGACATTCCCTTCAGTGAGGGTCCCCTCAACCTGAACTGGGCCACCATCATGAAGACTGTCACCTCCGACCCGCATCAGTTCTTTGCCGATGGCGGTTGGTCGTTCCTGTCGACCGAGTCGGACGACGAGGATGGTGAGGAAGAGGAGGAGGAGTCCGCCTTCGAAGTCTCCGAGTCCGAGCTCGCCATCTCAGACGAGTCATCTGAGGAGAGCGACTTTGACGAAAACGCGTCTGACGAGATGAGTGATGAGGGCTCCGAAGACGAGTTCTCAGAAGGTGAAGACTGGGACGTGCTCGAGAAGAAGGCGGCGAAGAAGGACAAAGAGAGCACGCTGGAAGAGGAGGAAGAGAAGCCAAAGAAGAGGAAGCGTTGAGCTGTATTCACTTGCATTGCGCTTCGGCACTTGAGCCTCTTCCTTTTCCATTCTTGTAAGATTGACTACCATGGGCTGACGATGAATGAGCGTTTGGAGTTTCATATCTAGGTACTGTCCCAGGATAAAACAAAGTATCTGCACATTGAAATCAAATTCACTTTTCTCTGGATGCACATAAGCTCTCAAGTTTTAGAAAAAACGACGGATAAGACCCCAAGCTTACTAACTTTATAGAATACATAACTTAGAGCTATTATAATACCTAAAGCTTAAACTTAGTTTAGAATTGCCTATATTGTAGGTAAAAGGCATTCTATAGAGTTTTTTGTATTTTCCCTGCTTTGCTATCGTGTAGTGTACTTAGCTCACATTCTCAGTCCGCCGTTTATTCTGCAACGTGAGAGATGAGGTCTCAGTACATCATCTCCAGGCAGCGAGAAGTCTTGGCATTTGCGGACGCGTTGATTGGCGCCTGCCTATGCCGCTTCTCGGTGTGGAAATTGACCCAAGGCTGCCGTCCCCACCCTCTAGCTGAAAGCGTCCATACTTCCAAACATCATACAGGCTGCCTATGAGATCTGTGGCATTGAGTTGACATAAGTACAGCTGGAAGCATTTCGCTTTTTCCAGTTCATCCTTCACACATCTCAGCAGCACTCCCATACCCTTCTCATCATTCTCACAACTGCTGTTTCACATATCCCCCCCGAAAGATGTCGACACCAACAAAGATCGCGGAGCCAATTGCTCTTCCTGACCTCCCCGTCGAGCATGCAGAGTGGATCTCGCACGTCTCGAGCCACTCCAGCACACCTCTGAGAGAATTGCTCGCTCCATACAAAGAGTACGATGCCCGGCTTCGAGAGGTCTTTGCACAACAACCATCTCATCCTGCAATTGGAAAGCCCAATGTCGTTCCACTCTTCACTGGCAACGAGCAGGATGTTAAGATCCGCGCTCGGAATATTGATAGCGAGATGGATGAGGAGCGAGAGCGCTATCTCATGCCTCTCGACGATGCCAATCGCAAGCCCGATGGCGCACCGGCAATTGTGCAATCACTCAAGGAGTTCCAGACGAACTTTCAGCTGTTCTCCGAGTCTGCGCTGGTAGACATGGACTGGTCCAACGTGGTTGTTGCCGGCAGTGCTGTTGTTACGTCGCTCCTTCCAGTTCCGGCTGAGCATAACACATCGAAACGTGCTCTGCGAGAGTACTACCATCAGAAGCTTGCTCCTGCCTCTGATGTTGATCTCTTCCTTTATGACTTGACTGAGGAGCAGGCCATAGAGAAGATCAAGCAGATTGAGCAGCGCATTCGAGACTCAATCCTGACGGAGACAACAACGATTCGCACAAAGAACGCAATCACAATTGCCTCACAGTACCCAACACGACACGTTCAAATTGTGCTCCGTATCTACCGATCAGTCTCCGAAATTCTTACTGGATTCGACGTCGACTGCTCTTGCGCGGCCTACGATGGTAATCAGGTTTACGCGAGCCCACGCGCAATCGCTGCATATTGGTGCATTGAATGCACCTCGTCTCTCACCTGGTCTCGTCTCTCACCTGGTCTCGTCTCTCACCTGGTCTCGTCTCTCACCTTCTAGTAGGGAAGACTGCATTTATAAACATACGTTATCCCAATCTCCTCCACCTCCTCATCCCTTCCACACCAATACCACCACCAGACCCGCTCCACAAAGATGGATTCCGACAATGACTACTACAACGACTACGACTTCGATTTCGGTGACTCTATCAACGAAGGCATTCCCTTCGATTCACTTGCCAGTTTCGCAAGCTCCAGTTCCAGGCCGGAGCCTCGGTTGCACCGCAGTCTGCCAGTAGATGACAAGAAGTCTGAGTCCGGCATCGACCACAACGGTGATCAACTGTTCCAGTTCGACCACAACGGTGATCAACTGTCCCAGTCCAACGACAACGATGATCGACTGTCCCAGTCCGACGGTTTCTCCGCATCATCTGACCCCGACAAACCGAACTTCACAGTGGAAACACATCCGATGATCTTCGAACTGGCATCAGAAACATCATATCGTGAGCTCCAACAAAGCATTGGTCATCTATCGTCATCAGTTGACAACCTCTCCCAGCCCTCTGGCGCTGAGATCGAGAATGGAGTCTGCGCGTACAACCTGTCCGTGGTCCAGGTTAACATCAACAACATTGAACGACTGATTAAGAAATACAACGCTAGCCGGGCTGAGGAAGAAGCGTTTGAAGCCAGTGAGAAATTTGAAGCTGATGCTGTTACACTCCCAATGCCTAAGTCAGCAGAATCACAATGGCGCATTGTGTCTGCGTACAGAGATGCAAGGTTCGTTCTCGTTGTCCCAGCCTGGAAGATAGGCGCAAAGAGAACTCAGGGATCCCAGACTGTCCGTGCTGGACACATGGTACCTACTGGATCAATCGTAAAGGGAAGTGGTAACGATGCCTGGAACGCAGGTCTTGTCGCCTGGCTCTGCAAGACTGAACATCTCTTCGGCTACGGCGCTGGCTTTGACGTCTACATCTCTTCTGCCAAGTCCAGTTGCCCGTATTGCCTTACATCGCGCAAGGACAGCAACGGTATTGATCAAGATTTCATTCTACCTGACGGCGTCAATTTCCTCCTCCAGCTTTCCAGTCACGTTGAGCTCAACACCAACTGGGACATTGTCTGGAACGACAGGACCAAGACGAGCAGGGCGAGGGTAGACGGACAGCCTGTCGTGTTCACGAAGGGCAGTCTGGTTCACAATCGCATCCGCGAGATCCCCGACAAGTTTATCATTGGCCCCAAAGCCTCCAGTGGATAGACTGGTCTACTGGGAAGGATACTTCCGCGATTGAAGAGGGCCTGGGAAGCACTGGATGGAATCATTTTGATCTTTGGTGGGAGTTTGGTTGGAATTGGAAAAGTATTGATTTTGGCATGGTCTGGCTGGTTCGACTTTGGAGTTCACAGTAACGGAAGGCGCGGTCTGGTGGGAACCTCCTCCCCCCTTCGCTTTCCAGCACGACTGCCTGGCGCGACTTCCCCGATTTAGGCGACCTCAAATAAACAATCTTGCTTTCATTCTTTCATTCTCTTGTTCCAGTTCCACACCAGTCCACCAGTATGAGCCAGCCCAACCAGCAACCACGCCGAGATGGTTATCCGCAGCGGCGGCACGATCGATCACATCGATCACCGTACCTGGATGCTCACCCACGTCAGTCACGTCACTACGAGCACACAGACCGGGACGGCACATACCAGTCGTACAGACCAAGCTACAACAATCAACGCCCTGTCAATGGACGACCGGTAAGTAAGAATTGTTCTTTACTGCTGCACTTGGATACCCGGGCTGGCGAATTGCTGCTCTCATTCAACCTTCAGGCTGGCGAATTGCTGCTCTCATTCAACCTTCAGGCTGGCGAATTGCTGCTCTCATTCAACCTTCAGGCTGGCGAATTGCTGCTCTCATTCAACCTTCAGGCTGGCGAATTGCTGCTCTCATTCAACCTTCAGGCTGGCGAATTGCTGCTCTCATTCAACCTTCAGGCTGGCGAATTGCTGCTTCCATTCACCACCAGGCTGGCGAATTGCTGCTCTCATTCAACCTTCAGGCTGGCAAATTGCTGCCACATTACTTTGCGAGGGGTCTTGCTAAGGCAAATGCTAATCCGTTCTTCTAGTCCTTCATTAGAAATGCAACCCCTGCGAGACAAGCCAGGAGTCAGAACCGCTGGGCTGAGCACATAGCACGTTTACAGTCTGCCGCCCAGCGCCCAACACCACCCACAGCATCAACACCAGTCAATCCGGCTTCAACACCACCCGTTCAGTCCGCCGCCCAGATTCCAGCACCACCCGCTCCAGCATCAACACCAGTCAATCCGGCTTCAGGACAGATCGTACAGTCTGCGGTCCAGAGTCCAACACCACCCGTTCAGACTTCTACGCCAGTCATTCCAGCTTCAACACCACCCGTTCAGTCTGCTGCCCAGATTCCAGCACCACCCGTTCCAGCCCTCGACGCAACAATCCCAGTGGCAGACGGCAGCGGGCAGACCATATGGCATTTGTGGCAGCCGTCTTTGCCCACACCACCAGTTAACCCAGCATACGTCCCTCTACCAGGATTAACCAGGGACTCACGCCAAGACGTGTACAGTGCCATAGAGCACTTGTTCAAGTTCCTCTTTCCCAGCGGTGCCGGAGTTCCCTGTAAGGAAGTTGCCGAGCAGTTGCAAAAGTACTATCCACAACTGCATAGGCAAGACTCGTCTGCCGCATATTCAGCATGGACGAGCAAGGCGATTAGAGACACACCTCACATTGGAAAGGTGCTTGGCAGAACAGAAAAACCTATACATTATATCCACAACCCTCCCAGCCGGTCCCCAGTCCAACTTGCGCCCCGGCCCCCAGTCCAACTTGCGCCCCGGCCCCCAGTCCAACTTGCGCCCCGGCTCCCAGTCCAACTCGCGCCCCTTGCTCCAGCCCAGGACCGAGCCCATGATGGTAGTCTTATTGATTTCAGTTATCTGGTCCCGATACGACCTTCTGAGGTTTCTCTTCGTCACTTTGCCGGTTCAGATGCACCAGGGCTGACTACGGTGGAGCCTACCGCCATTTATCTGTACTACTCACGCTCAACGAATTATAGGTACGCCACTTTTGCAGAAGCAGTAAGGGAGAACCACGCTGCCAGTGCTCAATTTGCACATGCCTGGGAGAACCATCTCAACACTATCAATGTTCTCTTTGCAGCTCCAGGCCGACCACCACCAGAGAACATTTTTGCGCTTCATGTCCAAGCCGACGCATCAAATTCCTGGCCTGCTCGAGGAACATCATCTAACGGATTCCAGGCAGCCCATGACTTGTTCAGTAGCCTCCCAGCCGGCTCACATGTGCACATCATGGCAAGGGGTGCCGACTGCCTGCCTTTGGAGCGCTATGGGCTTCGCGATCTTTTTCTGTGTTATCCCTCCATCACTTTCCATGTCCGAATATACCAGTCAAATACCGGGCTTTTGAAATATACGGCCGCAATCCTACTTGAAGACAACCTAACAATAGACGCAATGCGCGACATGTTTCTCGTACAGCTGAGGCTTGCCCTATCGCGCTACAGCACTATTGGGCAGATACCATCTACTACTCTTACGTTTGAATTTACTTCACATGAATACCTTGCTGAAGTACGCCAGCCACAACATCGAGCAGGTAGTTTCATAGCAGACTGGTTACACGCACAAGCTGGGATGTCGAGTCTGAGGAAAAGCAGACCCCAGCGCCGGGTTAACAACAACCGCAATCAGGTTCCAGACAGTGTTCGGGCGCTCTTTCAAGTTCAAGGTTAGAGTTTTTTTACAGTGGTTATTTGAATAGTATCCTTTGTGCTACATCAGGTACATAGAGCATCAATTAATCACCCTACGCTCGAAGCTCATGATCCATCTTGTGATACTCAGCAAGACGGACGATGAGTCCCTGAAGCTTCTTCGCCATCTTTGTGAGACGCAACCGGATTGTATCAACTATAAATCCGCAAACGGTCTGACGCCCCTGCTGGTGGCCTTCGGATTGCAACGGGTGGAGATGGCAAAGATTCTGATTGAAGCCGGCGCAGATCAAACTGTCCGGAACCACAACAATGACAACTTGGTTCATTTCGCACTCCGAACCTCGAAGACCGATGAGACTGGGCGAGCAAACCTACGCCAGCTACTCGAGCTTGTTGATAAACGCCTCATCGCCGGCATGTTCACCGAACGGGCCACCGCCGCCCCAGGCGCGGCTACGCCCCTTGCTCACTGGATCCTCGTCCGTCTTCAGGCTAACATCGGTCGATTCCCCTATAACTTTCAACAGAATGAGGTTAACCCCACAGTCGTCGAACAGGAGCACGTCATGCGTATGATTCTCGAGTTCAGCAAGGGCGAAGACCTTGGTCTCGTGAATGGCGAAGGCGACACGCCACTCCACGCCGTGGTTCGCTATGGAGCCTACCACCTGCTTCGCATCATGCTAGAATGCAGACCAGACCTGCTCTTCCGCGAGAACGCGTCGGGCCGGACGCCCTACGAGATGGCCGAGGATGCGCAGCTCGCAAACAACGTCTTCAACAACCCGCCCTCCCTTGCCGTGCAGACGTATGGGCATAGGTACTACGGCCAGCCCGCAAGCAGCGCGATTATACACAAGAGCCCCGAGAGATTCATCAAGAAGGACTCGCAAACGAATGTCAAGCAGCAGACGTGGAATGTGTGTCTTGAGTTCAAGGAGAGGATGGGCGCGGGCAAGAAGAGGAAGCTGGTCAGTTTGCTGGAGGCGAACGAGGTCGCGAAGAGGCTGGCCGGGAAGAAGCAGAAAGTGCGCAGGCATAGTGATGAGGAGGACGCGCAGGACGAGAACTCGAAGCGCGACGAGGTGGATATCTGGTTCAACATGGGGTTGAGCGCTTAAAACAGGTACTGAGTCTACAACTAGACACTGCCGCGTGACAATGTAGTTACTGCCGGGCTCAAATTAGCTTGATAAAAATTCGTCTTTCTATGTCCTTGACGCTATCTATTTCCGTGCCATCTCCCAGCAGTGCATCCAGCACCGTCCTTGTCACATCCTACAACCACCCCTCAAACAGCAAGAGTAGACATGTCATATAACATATCCAATACCAAAGAGCAGTATTTGTGAGGCGTGAGGCGTGACTAGGTTCTGGACAGCTCATGTCATAGCTAGACTGGTCATGCTCAGGTTGGGTTGAGTGCTGTCATGACGCGACCCTACCCCTACCCAACCCCGACCCAACCCTTGGTCTGCGTGACCCTACCCTTACCCCTACCCCGACCATGACCCAACCTCGACCATGACCCAACCTCGACCATGACCCAACCTCGACCATGACCCAACCTCAACCCCGACCATGACCTAACCTCAACCCAACCCCAGCCCAACCCCAGCCCAACCCCATCCAGCCCGACACCAGCACCACCCCACCCCCCAGCCATCAGCTATCAGCTATCAGCTATCAGAGAAACACGTATCCCACCCGCGCAGACCACGCCATCCGTCCAGCGCGAGACCATGCTGAGCAGTACACTGCCCTGCGCTGTTTTACAGAGAAGGAATTAATGGGGACGTGTGTTGTATACGCAGAACTAAGAGGGTGAGAGGATACGAGGACGAAGTAACATGCAGCCTCCATGGCTATGGTCTAAGACCAGCGTCCCGGTTCGGACGGGAATAGATGGCTTCCACCGCTGGCTCGGAGGCGGGGAGAAACCGCCTGGGTCTTTGGACTTCTGTGCTAGGGAACGGTGGGGGGGGGGGGGGGGGGGTGCGGCGCGTTGTGGTGCGAGACGAGAGGATGGTGCAGATTGTGGCGTATCATGGATGTAAGAAGATCTATGGCAGGTGTGTGTGCGTTGGTCTGCATGTTGTGGACGGTTGCGGACTGATTAGATGTAGATACGGAGTTGCCAGCACCGCAGGATAGTCGGTGTAGTGCAGATATGCGCCGACTCAAGTCATCCTGCACATTCTGCTAGTAACGCAATACAAGCACCGTGACGGGATGACAGAGCATGTGTCTCGCGCCTGTGAGTGGGAGTGGGTGTTGAGATGGGAAGCATGGATGTGGCGAGCGAGGGAGGCACAAGGGAGGTTGATGTTGATGTGAGATATTAGTTATAAGTAATTCTATCTTCTTCGACTCGAATGAAAAGCGGAAAATCTGTATTAATTCACAGACCACTTTTCAACCCGGGATGCTCCGCAGCTCAACCTCCCCGTGCTGCACCCCATGCTTAGCCAACGCTCTATATCGTCCCCCGCCATCGCCGTACCCAGGCTCATACGATGTACCACCCCCCAGCCCCCCATCTCCAACTAGTCTGAACCTACGCCCCCTCTCCACCAGCCTAGGCACCTCACCGTCTCTGCCCTCCCACGGTCCCACCCCCCTTCCCTCGGCCGCTAACCGCTGCAGTTGCAGCGCCGACGAGCAGTCCCACTCGCGGCTCTTGTACACACCGTGTCCGGACCGGCGCTGCACGCAGCCGAACAGCTTATGCGCGACGAGATCGGAGAGTATGCACGCCGCGCCTGCCACGAGCACGGCGGCCATGGCCACGAGGGAGAAGGACGTGTGCGCTGCGCTGTGGACGCGGACCTTCGTGCACAGGGACTGCAGAGCCGCGTCGGCGGGGGCGGTGATGCGGGCGAGTGCGTCAGGGCTGCCGAGGTCGTGGGGCGAGTGGCGGGCGTAGGCGGGGATGCCGCGCTGGATGGTGGCGAGGGACGTGTTCATCCAGTTCATGACCTCGGTGTGCCACTGGTTCGGGGGCAGGGTGGCGGACATGTCGAAGCCGAAGCCACCGTCCCAGAGAAAGTCTTGCGCGATGAGGTTCTCGTGACCGATGAAGACGAGCTGCCAGTGCAGTTGGCTGCTGGCGAGCGTCTTGCCGAGGAGGTAGTGGACCGCGGTTTGCGCGGGTGTGAGGTTGGGGAGCGAGGTGCCGTTCCAGAGGGCGCCTTGGTTCAGGAAGAGGTCGGGGAAGAGTTTGAACAGGCCTGTGAGGGGTGTGCATGATTCAGGTTCGGGTGGTGTAGGCCCTGGTTTGCAGAATTGGTATTGCTCCTGGCAGCCGAGGAACGATGCAGGGTTCGACGCCGTACAAAGAACTGGAGGCAGTTGCCCCGGGGTTTCGGTGCAGTTGTCGGCGCGGAACCAAGGGTCTTCAAGAGCGACAGCGTAGTCCATCCTGTTTGTGAGTTCGACGACAGTGAAATCTGCGGATGTGTTCAAGATATCTGGGATTGGCGTGAACTGTACATAGACAGGGTTGTATGGCAGATCGAGAATGGAGTTTGCCAACCTGTTATACTTCAGCATCTTTAAGGACGTATTGACATGCATGTCCATGTAGTATTGTGGTTGACTGCTGTTCGCCGGTTGAGGCAGACGGGGGACAACTTACCCAATACCATACGGCTGCTTGCCTCTCTTCCAATCCAATTCATCCACCACAAACGTCGAGTTCGTACCACTTGTATCTTTCAGGTAAGAGCCAAACTCATAGCTCTTAACCTGTGTTCCACCTGGAAGATCCATATTGGCCGCTATTTCTGGTGGCAGCGGCTGCCACCCAACCGTGTAGTTCTCTCCGGCCAGCGGCGCACACGTCAGCACCTTTCTAATGGATAAAGCATCTTCTGGGCGCGTATTCAGCCCCAGATCAGTGTCGGAACGCAGTAGCCCCGTGTCGAGGGAGAAACCGGCGCCGTTGCAAGCCCGCTGCTCGAATGGACACGCCACATCGCGAGTTATCGTGTAGGGTAACGTCGGTCGCACGAGGTTGCCACACACCGTTGAGTTGTCGCCAGAGCGCTCGTAGCAAGAGCGCGAATAGGCTGCGTTTTTGCGCAGGACGGTGCGCATCATGACCGTGGCGGCGTTGACATACTCGTGGAATTCGATGCCGGAGACCGAGAAGTAGTCGAGAAAATTGATGGCTGAGCTGTTCTTGACGGTGAGTTCCTCGAACCAGCCGCAGTGCGAACTCACGCTCAGAACGGATGTGTCTGGGGCTGCGACGATGCGAGTTGAGAACACCCCGGCGATTGAGAGCCCGAGTTGGAAAACGGCCGCGAATAGGATCAGGATGATGCTCTTGGTGTATGACTTGGTCCTACTGTCTCTGTGTACCCATACAAGCCGGCTCAGCTGGTTCATGAAACTGCCTTGGGATTCGGTGTTGCGGAGGATGACCTGCAGCTGGTGATACGAATCATCTTGAGGACTGCTCGAAGCGTTGAGTTGGTGAATGGTGAAGGATATAGTGCCCCACAGGTAGCTACTTGCGACCGCAATGAAGAAAGTGAAGAAACTACCAAGGATAAGGCCCCACTGGTTGGGCAGCGTCAGGGTTCCTCGATGGACGAAACTATTACCTGGAGTTGAGTCAGCAAACGCTCTTTCACATGTTGACCACTGACCTTCATTATTCCAGAAGCCGCAGTATACTGCGTCGCACTCCCACCACATAACCATGATTAGTTCAGGAGCAGTTCAGGTTCAGTGGTTAGTGCAAACGAAAGAGCAGTGCTTCTCCATATATCTGGCCATCTCCTGGCGGTGGTATGTGCACGGCCGAGCATTATGCTCGCTTGCCGGGCTTGGCCTTAGAGTGTGTTCCTTCGATTGGCAGGGAAAGACGTGAGATGCGAGTACAGCTGAACGCAAGCGTCTTGTCCGTGACCCTATTCCAGCACCATTCTCGCTTGTGTGCGGCGTGTCATTCGCAGAGACCTCGGGAGTAACTGAGCCACAGCGCAGCATGTCTCGAGAAGGCGTGGCTAAGTTATGGTCAGTACCCTTGTCGGATGATCTGCTAGCCGTGGCCTACACCGATCATAGGTCTCAGTGTGGGGATATTGGATGCGGCTGAGTGCTTGGCCTCGCTTCTTGATGGCTGAAAGGGGCTGAAGATGCATTCGGGGAAATTGTAGGAATGACGGACCGATGCTCGTGATCACGATGAGAGCTCTCTTCAAACTTACCATCGCTGAGAGATAACTCAACCCAATGCACGAACGAGTAGCGAGGTGCAGCAGTAATTGTTTGGTATCGCTTCAATATCTCTAGCATTTTGGTGAAGCAAGCGAATCGTAAACATGTTTCTTACCATACTTGATTCTTCCAAGTCCTATGGACACTTGTTGGTGAACATCAAGCGCAGTGTATCTAGACAGAGAAACATTAGCACGGTGGTGGTGTGGGGAAGGAGTCCCCGTGGAGTGGCCCGTCTCGACTTGCCGTGTCAAAGCTCCGGTCTCGGCAGCGCGACTTCCCAAAACTTCTGACAGCGTCACAGCTTCACCAACAACAGCTCAAAATGGCCGCCCGCACTCTGAGAATTGGTGCGTACGAGTCTAATCGCCTGGTCCTACATATCAGAAGCTAATTGACGCGCAGGCCTCATCCCCGGTGACGGCATTGGCCGCGAAGTCATCCCCGCCGGCCGCCGCATCCTCGAGGCGCTCCCGTCCTCGTTCGGCCTGAAGTTCAGCTTCTCGCACCACGAAGCCGGCTGGGACACGTTCCAGAAGCAGGGTGTCGCTCTGCCCGAAGATACCGTCGCCGCGCTCAAGTCCGACTGCGACGGTGCGCTCTTCGGCGCCGTGTCGTCCCCCAGCGTCGCGACCAAGGGCTACTCGTCCCCCATTGTCGCGCTGCGCAAGCGCCTGCAGCTCTACGCTAATGTGCGCCCCGTCAAGTCCATCGCCGGCGCCAAGATCCCCGTCGACCTCGTCATCGTGCGTGAGAACACCGAGGACCTCTACGTCAAGGAGGAGAAGACGTACAAAGCGGCCGACGGCTCCCGCATCGCGGAGGCCATCAAGCGTATCTCGGAGACTGCCTCGTACAACATCTCCGCCATGGCGGGCGACATCGCACTGCGCCGCCAACGCGTGCGCGACGCAGGAGCCTCCTCGATCCACTCCCGCCCGCTGGTCACCGTGACGCACAAGTCCAACGTGCTGTCCCAAACCGACGGACTCTTCCGCGAGACCGCGCGCCGCGCGCTGGCCGAGCAGAAGTACGGGCTGGTCAGCGTCGAGGAGCAGATTGTCGACTCGATGGTGTACAAGCTGTTCCGCCAGCCGCAGGACTACGACGTGATCGTGGCGCCCAACCTGTACGGAGACATTCTGTCCGACGGCGCGGCGGCGCTGGTCGGCTCGCTGGGCCTCGTGCCGTCGGCGAACGTCGGCCGCGACTTTGCGATTGGCGAGCCGTGCCACGGATCCGCGCCGGACATCGAGGGCCAGGGCATTGCGAACCCGATTGCGACCATCAGGTCGACGGCGCTGATGCTCGAGTTCATGGGCGAGGAGAAGGCGGCTGCGGCGATTTACGCGGCCGTTGATGCAAATCTCGAGGAGGGCCAGCTGCTGTCGCCCGACCTGGGCGGCAAGGGCAAGACGAACGATATCATCGATGATATCTGCAAGCGCTTGTAGATCTTGGCTAGATGCCATAAATGTAGATCGTAGATACCAAAACGTGACATTGTTGGATACCCTCACATAGCTTGTAGTCCGCTGCACATTGAAAGTAATCTGCGTCGACCTCGTACTATGACCCCCCAGTCTAAACCCTCGCGCCTGACCCAACCTCTACAAACGCCACTATGCACTATCGTACAGCCTCCCACCCCTCTAATCCAAATCGTCATTCGCAGCCCCCTCAGCCTTAGCCCCCTCTTTACCTCCCTCCTTTGCCCCCTCCGCAGCCTTCCCACCATGCACCTCAGCAAACTCCTCCTCGGCGCTCTTGGCGCCCTCGGCCACCGCCTGCGCGGTCGGGCACAGCTGGATCACGACGACGAACAGCTCGGTGTTGGTTTCCTTGTTCTTGAGCGTGTATCTGAGCGAGTGCGGGCTGGTTAGTCGGGCGTCAGCGGGGCGCGCAAAGAAAATGAGTTCTCCTCTTTCTCTTTGTCGTCCTTTTCTTCAACCTTTTCCTCGTCCGCGTCCGTACTGCGCGTTCTTGCTTCGCCCTCCTCCGACCGCCGTGGCACGGGACAACAAGCACGACAAGGAAAGGAGGGAGTGGAGAGAAGAAAGAGATACTAGAAATGGAGATGCTCGAGAGAGGGCACACGTACCGGAGAGGCTGCCCATCCCAGTGCCCAATGATGCTAATATTCGGCAGCCCGTACCCGATCTTCAGCGCAAACTCGTTGAAGTCGAGATACGGATTGAAGAAGTCGCACTGGTACTCGCGGCCCGCCTCGAACGTAAACGCCGCGCGGTTCGCTGGCGTCAGGAAATACTTTTGTCGCTGTGCAGAGCCCGCGGGGATGCTGTGCGCTTTGCGGATCGATTCGCCGGAGCCCGAGGCGCCTTCGGTGTACACTGTTGCGTCTGCGGCATCGGCAGCGTCGGCGGTGTCGGCGTCGGCGTCGGCGGGCGCAGGGTCAGCACTAGATTTCTTATCGCCGATGCGCAGCACATTGATGCTGGACAGCAGGGGGCCGTACAGATACGGCTCGTCGCTGTACACGTCGCCGTCGAGACCCGGGTCGATCCACCACTTGACGACCGCAAAGGCCTTGTCGAACAGCGGCGGCAGGCGGTCGCGGATCGGGTGTTCGAAGTCGTTGCCGAACACGAGCTTGTCGCCGGCGATGTCGTGCTTGGGCACGAACGAGAAGGATATCGAGTAGCGGTCGTAGGGGTGCTGGGGCGTGGAGAAGTAGGGCGAGGTCGCGGGCGAGCCTTTGGGGAGGCCTGGCGGGGGTCAGAGGGGCGTGTGCGGAGGGATTGAGGCAGATATACCCCGGTAGTCTTTGATGCGCATGTAGATCTGCGCATCGATCAGGTCCGACGAGATGTGGAGGGGCTTCTCCGAGTTGACGAGCACGTCCTGGTGCTTTGTTCGGTCGTAGGTTGCGCCGGCGGTTACCCGCAGCTCGTAGCTCTCGTGCAGAGGGGCCATGATGAAATCTAGGGTATCACAGAAGATGGTGTATAGGAATATAAAGACGAGGCGCTACAGCGAGAGGGTTCGACGTCAACAGAGGCGCATTGTTCGCAGACGCCACTAGTTGTAGGGATGACGTTGGTCGCGTTTTTTTCGACCGGGGTCTCGATTTTGGCGGGGAAACGCGATCGACGCCTGCATTGTGAGCTTATCTTGCCCCTCCAACATGGTCGCGTGCTTGATCTTCCTGATCACACGGGAGTCAAAGCGCTCGTCTTGGCTGTAGTTGAAAAGGGTCCACGCGTAAAATGGTTGTGGAATTAATGCAGTAGTCAATTATATGTGTGCAAATGATAGACATCTCGTCGAATTCTACCACACCCCGTCCGAACAAGTCTTGTTCTCCCTCCGCTGCCTCATCCAGTAATAAATCACTGTGCTGTAGCAACGATATTAACATTTACCCTATCTCATGTTCCACGGCCATCGTGTCTGGGACTGGCGCACAGTCAGTAAAAACGCCGGTACACCAAAACGCCGGACCGAATAATAATATGCCAGAGCTCGGATACTCGGACGCGGAAAGGGTCCTCCACTGGAAGGGTGCTGAAGCTGTCCACAGCACCAATCGTTTTCCTCAAAGTCCCTTTGCATTTCCCCTTCGCAGTTGGGTGTGAATGAACGCCAAAACTATGAAGGCATTGACTTCGCGTCAACCATCTGCTTCGAGAGTCGTCATTTGTGTATGATGCTGGATATGTTTTGTTGGCTTTTTGTGGTATGCTCGGTCCAAACATAAAGTCAACTTTTCAAGTCACCTTTTGGTTGGTATGGCTCCCGTGGCGAACATTTGGATTATGCTCGATTTGGTACGTTCGGTTTGAGACGCTCAACAGTGCACCTGATGTGAATCCCAACATCAGACCTTCGTAAAGTCGTCGACGTTGACGCGCTGGTAGAACGACACGTGCCCGAACGTCTCCCAGTACTGAGCAAGTCGGTCGTGGGAGATCAGCAGGAGTTGCGAGGTCATGTAGTTATCTGTGACTGTCAGCATTGCGTCATTTATGCACCCATACTACACGTACCATCTCTGAACCCCCTTGCGGCGATGTGCCCCACGCTCTTCACCACCCTCGCACCCTTGAACATATCTTCGGTCGCCACGCGGATCAGTCCGTTCGGCCCAATATCAGGTGCAATGAACGTGTACTCGCCGCGTGGGATATTCGGGTCGCCAGTGAGCTTGATCGCCTCGATGCGGCCCTGATACACCCTGTCTTCATCGTCCATTGTCTCGTCCTCGGCGTCCAGCACGTCGTATTCGGCGCGAATGTCTGCGCCTTGTAGTGTCGCGACACTATCTTCGAGGTCGTCTGCGGATTCGAACAATGCCTCATCGTCATCATCTGACGAGGGGGGCGACGACACGGGCGCGCCATCAGCGTCTGTCGGCGCCGTGCTCCAGCTCCCCGCGCTACTCACGCTGCCCTCACGCTCGCGCGCGCGCATGGCCCACTCGGCGCGCTCCGGCAGAGGCCGTGGTGAGTCGGGCTGCGTGACGAGCAGGAACTCGCAGCCGTGGCCGGCGTAGTCGCCGACCCAGAGGCCCTGCCACGGCTTCTGCGGCGTCGGCGTGTAGCTCTCCTCCGGCAGTGTGGCAAAGGTCGTGATGTCCTCGCCGATGCGCATAGAGACGCCGTTGGCGCGCGACGCGAATTCCATCCACTTGCGGATCCGGAATGTTAAGCTGCTGAGCTCGTGCATGCGCGACGGCTTGCTGGCGGTGTGGCGGAAGTTGGAAGGCGAGGCGTCGTTGCGGGTTCGTTCGGCGCAGGGCAGAATCAGGGGTGGCCAGACGGGGGTTGCGTTGGTGGTTATATCTTTGGGCCACGGACGGGTGAGCATGAGTCTGGAGTGGATGCCGGCTGATGCCAGCGGTGCTTCGTGGTGAACGTCCATGTGAATCTCGTGCTGCAGGCGGTCGCCGTACACGCGATCGTAGGAGGCCCCGTTGAGACGGATGACGGGCGAGACCATGTCGAGTTGCACGCGTGGCTGGAACGTGTGAATGATGGCTTCCGGGTTCCATGCCCATGTCTGCATGATGGGCTGCTGGCGCTCGGCCACGAGAGCATATGCTTCGATTGCATTAATCCGGTGGTCGTAGCGGGCGACGAGGAGCTTGCCAGTGTGTGCGGTGTCGGCGAACCAGAGCTTGTTCTTAGCGAGGAACCAGTATGGGTGGTGTTGTCGATACAGTTCTTTCCATGATAGGTCCTTGGGCTTGGGTACTTGATATCCCGGGACTTGTTCCTGCACGAAAGGCTGCCATAGAGTATCCTGCTGTGCGTGCTCGTTTAGTGCACGGTTGACCAGACTGACAGTGAGCAGATCGGAAAGCTGCAGATGACTAAAAATATGCTGGATAAGTTCGGCAGGCAGATCCAAGAGTGGCGTTGAAGTAGACGGAGGATCCATGTCGGCTTCCAAACTATACCTGCTGCTGTGGAAGCTGCGCATATGGGAGGTAGATCCGTTGATCCAACTCAACCAGGAGGCAAAGTCGTCTTCACTATAAAAGCAGCTTCCCCACACGGGCGCGCCTAAAATCTTCCGTGTCAGTGCGGTCCACGATCCTATTCGTACAGCCCCGATTACAAGACCAGAGCATATGCCTTGGTATGTCGCACTGTAGGGTTTCGGCAGCACCGCGGGTTGTCTTGGTTGCTGTTCTGGGCAGCTGCTCCCAGTGGCACCTTCCAACCTGCGCCTAGCTCCCGAGCAGATTGGATTTACAACGCGGTGATAGGCTGCTACGCGCGAGCGAATCGTCGTCGACTATCTCACAGGTACCGGAGACCTTCTCTTTTAGGTGCGCGCAAAGTACAGCGCCGACAATAGCGAAGCGATATCGGGCTGACGCGCTCCGGGTAGCTGAACGGGTGCGGTCTGTATGGGGCGGGCGAAGGGATGCGCGATAGATAGGGGGATGTCGCAATACTGCACCGCTCTATCTAAAGCCTGTGCAGCATCAATCAGCGTGAGGAGTCAAGATGCAGGTGACAAGGTAGAGTCAAGATGCAGGTGACAAGGTAGGGACGTGATGCAGGATGACGGATGGAGCATCGCACGGCATTGCGCATGGGCCCCTCGCTAGGGAACGCCATGTGGGGAGGATCGGGGGCTTTCTATCAACGACACCTCACTTCATTGCTATAGCTACGACTTTTCGAACTATTGTTTCGGATGAGATCAAAGCGTGATCTTCTCTTGACCCAGTCCTGGGGCAATACTCGCGACAATGTCGGTCGAATGCCACATCACATCTGGGCACTTTCCGGTATCGGCGGCAATTCACTGCTGATTCTGATGACGCGGACGGCAGGCGTGAAACCTGCTTGCAAAAAACGTGGAAAACGCTGCCTATTGATCCTTCGCAGCGCCACGTTCAGCGGCAATGTCGTTCATCGGGTCTGGACTGCCAAGTCTCAGATGTATTTACAGCGTGACAGTGCAATGCTGCGGGCCGCGGACAGCGCGGAAAGCCCCACTTTGTCACACGCAGGTGCTCGTTGGATACACTCACATACCAAAGCAAGTTTATTCTAGTTTTCTTGGCCCAATAATGAGGTCTCAATGTTCATTGTTGCTCTACTTTCTTTTATGTTAACATACCACCGCCTGTGTGGTGGTCTTTCAGCATTCGGGATCTTTGTTTACGGAACTGACACTGATACCTCTGCTGTACACGTAAAGTCTTTGTTGAACAAAGACTTCTTTTCCCTGGAGCGCCTACATGCTTCATCGGGATTAAGCCAAGTTCTCGGCATGTGCTGTAGCAAGTCTAGCATTCTGTTGCGCAAATCATTGTTGTCCGATTGGATCATCAGAATATGGCACTGCCAGTTTCTCCTCGGCAGGAGGCTCCGAAGTCGGATTCGTCAACCTTAGCCTCAGTAGTAAGAGCTGGCCAGGTATGTACAGTTCTAGGTCTGCTCCTCTTCGTCGACTTCATTCGCAAAGAAGTCACAGTATCGCTGCCAGTCTGCTTGTGACCCTTCGATCGTCTGTTGCAGAAGCGCTTCATCCTCCGGAGAGTGCTGCCATGCAGACACACTAGGCTGGTAGACCTGCTCCAGAATATTTTGCATCTCACCGTTGACAGCTGAATTATCCGTAGCGAATGTCTCAGACAGCGAGGCTAAGTAGAAATTCTCAGAGCGTAGCGATAGTGACCCTTGGGAAGCTGGACTATGAGGTACCGGACTTTGGGGTGCCGGACTTTGGGGTGCCGAACTTTGTGTTGGTGGTGCTGACCCTGACGATTGTAGAGGGAATGTAGACAGCAGGCGCTCCAACCCACTATCTACGCGCTCATGGTCCCAGATCTCGGAAGGTACGTTTGGGGTAGATTGCTCACCGACACGCGCTCCTTCGATGGTTTCTGTTTCCTCAAGAAAGCTATCAGGACGTGTCTCTTCCGGGATGTCTACCTGTTGAGCAGTGTCCGTGTTTTCGGCAGGGCTGTTGCAAACCCCCGTATCCGTGTCTCCAAAAAGGCTGTCAAGGGAGTCTCCATCAGACGGTTGATTGTCTTGCTCACGAGACGGCAGTTCAGATGTGGTAGTGTTCTGATGGGGTGTTGGAGCCTGGATTTCGAGATTATGGTCTGGTGAGGGTGGTTCTGGCGTCGCGACGCGCGTGGGCTGTGGCTCTTGTTTAGCTCGCGAGGCTTGAGCTGGGCTTCGAACCCGTATCGGTGCGATGGGACGTGATACATGCCCAACACTGGGTTCTTTTTGAACCTGGGTTGTCGGAGAAGGCGGAGGGCGTTGCTGTTGCTTAGAGGGCTTCTGCACGCGCCGAGCTGCTTCCTGCGCTGCAATATTGGCCTCTGCGTCGGCTTTCGCCTGAAGGAACTTTCGTTGTCCTTCCCTTTCCTGCTCCAGTTTCTCGGCTTTCTTCGCCTTTAAATCTCGGTACAGTTCTGGTTGGTACTTCTCCCGTAATTTTTGCACAGCCCAATTTTCCCAGGTCTTGTGCTTGTAGTTCAGTTTGCCCTGATCGATGAGTTTCTCGACTCGTGCTTTCCAGATATCCAGACCTTTACGGATGGAGTGCTTTTTTGCGCTTCTTGTCAGGCCATTGAGGCAGCAGTCAAGCGGCGGGTTGCGGTTAGAGTGGTAGCACACATAGCGTCCGTTTGCCATTGGCACAAAATCGGCCAACTTGTCGAACGGGTATTCTGGGACTGGCACGGTGTCCTCTGGATACTTTGTGCGATCAGGTCGCTTGCGACGGTCAACCTCCTCTTCATCGATCATTGGCTTTTTGTTATCCAGTTTGCGCTTCTTTGGGGATTGCACTATACCTTTGTGCTCCATCCACGCATCAACCTTCACAAACCACTTATCTTTGCTATGCATACGCTTCTGGTCGTCCGGTATGCCTAGTCTCCGCGAGTACTGTAAATCGTACCATTCGTCTATCTCCGCCTTATCGGCGTTGTAGACTGCGTGGGCATCAATTGCTTGTTTTGCGTCTTTCGTCTTACCATCTTTCAAGTCAGTGGACTTTCGCTTTGCTCCACGTGATGGAAATGGAGTCTCCGTGGATGAGTGGTCTGATGTAGACGACTTGTTATGTTGTACACGAGGGCGCTTCCGCCGCTCAGACTGTTCCTCGTCTGGGTTGGAACGCTTTCGGGACTGCGATACCATGTTTGGTATCATCAGTTTTTCTATAGCTAGAACAAAAGGTACAGTTGGGATTAATACATTGCATATATGTCTAGTCTTGCATTGTGAGCAACTTTCCATCCCTGTGTTGTGTGGGCTAAAATTCTCATAATGTACGACAAACTTTCGACACAACTTATTGCGCACACACAGTGTCATTTGTTCACTACATGTTGCTTGTGTAGATACTGTTTTCCTCTACGCTATGCCGAGATGTGCTCCATCAACAGCCTGTTCCTTCCTGTAAAGATACACGCAGCTAAATTAGGCAGTGTTACCTACTTCAGAGTCTATGTTCAATAAGAGAAGAATGTAAGTGTAATATACAGGTAAAAGCTACATTTCTGAAAGGGTTTGGGGTACGCAGCCACTACCCACAATGCCTCCATTTGTTGGCCACCGTTCATGGATGTCTCTGTAGTAACAAGTGGAGACACTCGAAACTTCTCGTTGTATCTTCTACCAACTCTGGAAGGGTAAAGGTGAATACAGGTGGGCTAAAGATAGCTACGTGCTATCGACTCCATCCTATCTCTGTTTCCTTTGGCCTGCTTCGCCTCTCGCTTCGCTGCTCGTCTGAATGACGCTCGCTTCGCTGCGGCAGTCAAGCCGTCCCTGCAGCAGACATGTGCTGCGTTGCACTTACCTTCTATACAATCGAAGGATCTGTGAGTGCAACGGTAGCGGCCTGGTTTGTTAGGCAGTTGTGCCCAGGTTGAAGGATCGCTGGCGTCCTCAACGTCCTGGACCTGCTCAATAGCATGGCTGTCTACTGATGGTCTGGGTCGCTTCGTAGTCGACGCTATACTTTTTAAGCTGTGGTCGGAAGAATCCATCGGACATGGGTTTGTAGTACCGCGAGATTTCTTCAGCGGACGAATGGGCTCATCCAGAGATACCACATCTTCGATAGAACGCTTTCGTGCCATTTCTGCCACCGTCTCATACTGTGATGAGCAGACTGATGTATCTTTTGAAGAGCCTGGAGTGCCCATCTCTGACAGACTGTCGCAGTCATTGCCTTTCTCACTCGGACTTGTAGGATGTACTATTGGCACCACAGGAGGGACTGGTGAATAGCCCACAATTCGAACTTTGCCACCCTCATCGATGCGTGTATCGAAAGATTGAAACCGGAGAATATTCCCCCACGATCTATCGTGGTCCTTTTTATTGTACTCTCCAAACTTGAACAGCCGTCTGCAGAAGATACGATAGAATTCTCTTTCTCTGTGGTACAACAATGAAGACAGTGACTTTATGTTGTCGAGAATGCTCCAGAATCTATAGGAATTGGTTTCCTGGTCCAGTAGCTCTTTACAGAGAGATCTAAAGCTGAGATACACTCGCTGTCGCTGTGTCGGTTTCAAATGACGTAGTGTCCAGATTTGATCTGGTGTATACATCTCAACCAACTTGTGGAAAGGGTGTTTATAAGATTGTGAGATGCCCGGAATGGTTTTGCGCGGCTCTTTGGAAAGCTGAAGTGTGGCTAATGTGCAGTACTTCGTGGAAGCTAACTTTTCGAGCTCAGAGCGGGTATCGAGTGTCCGCGTTGACCCTGAGCGCTCCGATCTGAGGAGAGGCACCAGGTCTTCGATACTGGTCTCGAGCGCACCGATGGGGAGACCGGAGACTGATGTAATATATCCTCCTACCTCTGGTCTCGGTGGTGGGTTGTAAGGCATGTATGGGCTTGAGAAGTCTTCGGCCTAACTTCTGTTAATGATTTCCTACGTCGAAATCCAAGGATGGCCTTACCGTGACAGCTGTCTGGGCTATTATATCCAAGCACTGGAATTCGATGGTAGATACTGTAGTAAATCCACCACTCAAAGTTCCGGCCGGCCTTGCGGCCTTGTGCTGCTGCTCGCTGGGAACTTTCTGGAATGCTGTCTGCCGCTTTCCGTATCTAATAAGACGTCTTCGCATTGCGTGAGGCATACATTCATCGTCTGTTCCATCACTTTCTCGGTGGCGCTTGGCATGCTTTGTGAAAACGGGTGAAGCCATGCTGCCGACGTCTAATCGCGCTGTACGGCAGGATCCAGAGACAAAACAGATATAAGATGTCACTGAGGGTACGGAAGTAGCGATTGGCTCTGTATGATGTGGGATTTGGTGATGATATGTGTGGTGGTGGAAGACAGAAAGAGAAGGCGCGAGGTGACTGAGGAAGTAATGACCACAATAGAGAGCTCGCTAGTGTAAAGTGAATATAAAGTGACTACGGAAGTAACACAATAAAAGAATTCTTGGCGCGAGAGTGAAAGTAGGACGATGAGCATGTTCGCTCCGTGGTGGAGCTAGAACTATAGGTGAAAGCGAGCATTGCGCATAGAAGTGAAGCGGCACTTGCGTGGGATGGAGGCAGCATTGGAAAGAAGGCAGTCAGCTATCAGTACCGGCAGCTATAGACGAAGCATTGAAGTGAATCGAATATTATATAGTTAAGACTACAGTAGGCTACTTAGTTATTTGACACAACGATCCTCAAAACTCGAGGCGACAGGTACAGTAGTAATACTCAGGCGAAGAGTCAGACAGAAACATCAAACTTTTGGGAATTTACACAGGTGAAAATAGCAAATAAAACTCGACGCGAAGTGCAGAGAGGGAATCAGGGGACGCGATGAATCTCGCCAAACTGCTTGTCTGTCTCCTACTTAGGCTTTCTGTTGCCTATTTTGCCAGCGAATAGCCGCCCTGTGACGAGCCGACGCGGTCTTAGCAAGCGCCTTGTAATCAGGGTCGCAAATCCCCTTCTTGAAGGACCGAATTCGCAGAACCCCGTACACTCCAGCCTCCATGTCTACCTCAACCTGAGGATACAAGTGCAGCGTGGCGATGATGGTGCTCAAGTCGGTCAACACGTGTGGGAAGGTTGGTATCTTTGTAGTGTACTTCCCGAGATGAACGATCTTGACTTGGCTGTCATGAGGATCGATCTCCGTGCGTGCTTGAGCACTTGCATCAGTTGCTTCTACGCGACTTTGATGAAATTCTTGGACCTCGGAACGCGTCTTCTTGCCGGTGCATGTACGGCTGACGTCGACTGTTGGCGGTGATGCAGCGATAAGCTTACGTTCTCTCAACATAAGTCTTTGATCTTTTTCGGACTCCTTGAGGATCGGAGTCCTGAGGAAAAATTGGTGCTTCTTGAAGACTTTGGCGAGTTTGCTGACGCCCTGTGCTTTACTCGACCGGAGATGCTCAGCTTTCTGAGCACGATCGAGAGATGGCGTAGCAATGCCCTTGCGGCCCGCTGCTTGATTGGATGACTTCATTGTGTCAGAAGTGGGTGTGAATTTGAGAACTTGATATTGGATATTGTCTGTGATGGGAGTGACTTTGTGCGTGAATGGAAAGGTATTGTGTGCTCTGGAAGAGAAGTTTATATGAAGATCAGAAACTGTTAGGACGTATACGCTGGTTCACGGTCAGTCGAACTAGCAGTGGGGATAGGCTTTGATGTGATGGAACCAGAGTTGGGGCTCGATCTCGTTACGAGAAAAGTGCACAGCGGCTGATGATCACGCTTCCAAATGTAAAATACGCGCATGTGAAGACATATTTGTTGTGTTGTGTTGAAACTGTAGGTTGGTCTGCGGGTGATTTTTACAAATTTTACAAGGTTTGGTTCGGGATAGTTTTCGGACACCTACCATTATTTCTAGGGCTCGTCGGACAGGTATATATCCTCTCGCAGTCGCTCTACTGATCAGAATCATTCTCACAATTACAGTTGCCTACGCTCCCATATCAGCCACCACGCCTGCACAGATTGCCGCGAAAGCCAAAGAAATTTCTCGCTGAACTTCCAGCTACCCACCACCACCCACCAACCACCACTCCCGTACACACCTTCACAAAAGCCAAAATGGCTAGCAACTTTCTGAGCTCACAATGCTGCGCCGTCCTCGCCAGCGCAGATGACGAGTGCCCCATTTGCCGACTTAATTTCGTCGGTGACGACGAGAAGGCTGTCTCAACCCCTTGCAGCCACGTCTTTCACCCAGAGTGTCTTCAAAAATGGTTTGAATCTCAGACAGGGCAAGCGACGTGCCCTATGTGCCGCGCGGTATTGTTCAATATCACAGAAGTCGGTGCCGTGGAGGAGATAGAGCAAGAAGACCCTCTGGGCTGGGAAGGACTGGCTTCGGCCTACGACGAGATGACCCTCGATAGGATGTACGAGGCCATTGACTTCCATCTCCCTTTCCTCACGCGACTCACGCCCAATTGGGAGCGCTATGTGGAGACGGCTTTGCGAACCACCTTGCACCTCAGAGGCTGTTCGCCGCGCACTGCAGCCGGGTTCGTGATGGTAGTGGCCACCCTCCAAGCCATGGCTGAGCTTGCAGAATACCAGAATGAGGGTATTGGGGAGTACCAGAGGGTCATCGACATCCTCAATGAGCATGAAGCCGAGGGCACGATCGACGACGCCTACGAGGAAGCCGGGCTTAGTACCGTGATCTCTCGGATCTTGGTTTAAAGGACTGTAGCGCACAAGCGGGGATTAAAGATGCGGTGATGACGGATCGCATATTCTGTATGGTCTATTTTCATAGTTTGTAGCCTGTATTCTCGATTAATGTTCAAATTGTTTTCACAACCAAATCAGCGACAACGTCAAATCAAATTCTGCACTCTGGAATACACCCAATCGCTCACCTAAAGGATCTCAATGTTGAAATCTGGTTGTCTTAAGAGATGGGGCAACAGTGTTTCTTACATATTGTAGCACTGAGTGTGTCTATAGATCAGAAAACCCCATGGCAAGTAAGGAACGGGAAACCTGGATACGAGCATGTCAGGTCTGTTCTGTCCACCCCCCAATACAACTAGCAATTCTTCACGGTTGACTACGGGAGCGCTGAACGCCTCCGCGGATTTGTTGCAGCATAACTGGTTCGACGCTCGTATGAACGTCGTAGGCCGGAAGAACTCGCTGTCGCTGAGCAGATAACATGTCGGAGACGCTTGGACCTTTGACGAAACGAAATGACTGAATTGCGATGTTCCGGTGGAGCTACCCCAAGTCGCGCCTTGGATATCCGCCCGGCAGTACATCGGATCTCGCGGAGTACTGTTCCGATGTCGGCCCGGCCTGTCATAGAGTGGACGAGGTCAGTACCCCGTGGGTGCCCATTGGTCCTTCTCCCCACAGCGATCGTTGATAACAACGTGGAGAAGGACCGACGTTCTATCATCTTGGCTGTGCGCGTTACAGCTCTATCTCCGTTATCTTTCATCGCGACAGTTTTTTTCTCTACTTGCGCCGTTTGTTGGGGTGTTGAGTGTAGTATGTAGAATTCAAAAAGCGGCGGGTGCTCGCCCAAAATATCATGTACACGCCTTTGTCGAATATACCATTCGTACACCAATCCGGAGTGTGCCCATCATGACCACCACGGACGTCAAACATGCCGATCAAGGCAATGTTGAAATGAATCTGGCTGCCGGGTCAACATACATCCCGGATCTTAATGACAAGGCCATGGAGAGGCGCATTGTGCGCAAAATTGACATGCGCATCTTGCCATTCATTTGTATCTCGTACCTGATCAACTTTCTGGACAGAGTGAGTGGTGGACACCTGAAGTTGAAGCCGTATTACTGACACCCTGAAAGGTCAATTTGGGAAATGCACGCACCCTTAACAATGACATTCCTGCCAGCAATATCGTCCACGAGCTTAGCCTTACCGGAAACCGTTACAACATCGCTGTCGCCGTCTTCTTTGTGCCGTACGTCATCTTTGAAGCGCCCAGCAACTTTGCCATGAAGTACTTTACGCCGTCGGTCTGGATCGGGCGAATTATGATTAGCTGGGGCATTATCACCATCTGTACATGCGCTGTGAAGAGCTTCGGCGGCCTCCTTGCGATCCGATTCTTCCTCGGTGTTGCAGAGGCCGGATTCTTCCCAGGTGTCGTCATGTACCTTTGCTACTGGTACAAGCCGTCGGAACGAGCAACGCGACTTGCTATCTTCGCCGGTTCCGTTGCGGTTGCTGGAGCCTTCAGCGGACTTCTGGCGACCGGTATCTCTTTCCTGAACGGCAAAGCAGGCCTCGCTGGCTGGCAGTGGCTATTCGTGCTTACTGGTATCCCGGCTGTTGTTTTCGGTGCCATTGTATGGATCTTCATGCCCAACTACCCCCAAGACGCCAAGTTCCTCACCGAAGAGGAGCGTGCTTTTGCAGTTGCTCGAATGGGTCCTTTCGCACCGAACAAGGAAGACAAGACATTCAACGCGAAGATTGCCAAGCAGACAATTCTTGATCCACTCTTCTGGGTATACGCGGTCAGCTATTTCCTCATGGTCAACAGCCTGAACGCATTCTCCTACTTTTCGCCTACCATTATTGCCAACCTGGGATTCAAGGGTTACACTGCGCAGCTGCTCACTGTACCACCGAATGTGTTCGCCCTGCTCATCATCCTTGGAAACTGTATACACTCCGACTACTCGAAGGAGCGCATTCGTCACGCTCTTGCTGGTGTAACTCTTGTCGCGACTGGGTACCTGCTTCTGGCTGTGGTGAAGAACTGGATCGGACGTTACGTTGCCGTCTTCTTAATCGCGTGTACGAACTCGGCGGTCATGCCCTTCCTGGCTCACCGCACGGCTACCGTTTCTGGCTCCACAGCAACAGCTCTCGCAACTGGTGTGACTATCGCAATTTCCAACTGTGGTGGCATCAGTGCTCCGTTCCTGTTCCCCAGCACAAACGGTCCAAATTACCCCATGGGCAACTGGACCGTTTTCGGAATGCTTTGTGCTGTGTTCCTCATGACCGTCTACCTTGGCTTCAGGCTTGGAACAAGCGCCGAGTATCGTGATTTCGCGCCTGGAGCTGCTGAGCAGTTGGCTGCGAGGACAAGTATCGAGGGCAAGGTGCCGGATGATGCCAGAGACTCTCGCGAATTCCCACCTGCCGTAGCGCAGGGTGACGACAAGGACGCTGTGAAAAATTGAGTAGCTTGGCCAAGTACCTTATTATAGACAGTGTGATTTGATGAACGAGTTAATTCATTGTATTCTCCAACAACTCCTGTGCCCGTGCCTTCAGCGTTGTCAGGCTGTGAGTTCAGGAGAGCAAGAACACCGAATGTGCAGCCGAGAGCGTTCGCCCCACTTTTCCGAACTGACGTCCCGCCAGAGCCTGATTGGTTTGAACTACCCGCCCGTTTCACACACTGCCACTATCCTGAGGTTTAGCGTTGTACATGAAAGAAGGGACAACCTTCGAGGCTCTCAGTATTAAATTCAGCACATGCAGATGCCTCCGTGCAACTGCAACGATGCTCGGACCACGGACGTGCTGAGGGATACGGTTTCGCGCTAGAAGCACGAGCCGAAAAATCGGTGAGGCGATGCAGTTCGGCGTTGAGGACGATCACGCTGCATCTGCTATTATTGTGGCTGTTAGTTCGACATCACTGGACCGAACTCACTCGTTTCCTGCGATTTGATTTCCTGTCAATCGTTGTCCATCTTGCTAGCAGCAGCAGCTTGACAATGCCCTACGTGCCTCGTAGCGTGATAGAATGGGCATTCCTTGTAGTAGCAGCTACTCAAGCCATCAGCACAAGCGCCCTTGATATGTGAGCTGAAGCTTATCCTATCGAGAATTGAAACCACTAATACCCTGACAGAGTGATACTCTTACGGTTCCTCTCCTGGGTCAAACCCGAGGTCTACCAAGTGCCAGGCGCATACGTCGTCCCGGTAAATTTCGCTGTATTCGTCCTCGGCAATGTCTACTTTGCAATTCTGGCCTTCGACGCACTTCAAGCACGGAACAACCTACAGTTGTTCGGCATTTGTGCATTCAATGTCGGCATCTTCTTTTTCTCCCTCCTGCGTTACGATCAGACCCGTTACAATGCGACCTTGCTTTCAACATCCACCACAATTGGCGGGGCATCGCTCGTCAAAGCGGACGTACCATTCTTATCATACATTCAGCCGGTACTCATAGTTTCTACTATCGTTCTAGGTGTATGTATGCTATGTTCCTGGATACTCGTGTTCAGATTGAATCACGAGTTTGCATGGGCGATATACAGACATGTCAGCGGGAGTCTCGCGACGCGACGCAAATATCTCACCTATCAGGTAAGCCTGCATGCTCGCTGCGTACTGGCTTGTAGATTAATCATTGACAGATACTTCTGGTCTTTATGAAGCTGGACATATACTTCATCATCGCTTTCATCATCGTATACGGCACGATCAATGTCCACTGGCAAATCCCAGAGTTTCCGTTGACTGTCGCCATCATTCCCCTACTAATAGTTCAAATTGGCATGACGACCCACTTCACAAAACGAGAGAACAGATTAGGAGCTATCGCTGCAATTGTATGCTCTTTTCCTGCGGTTTATGTCTTCCTGCGGTTTATGTCTTCCTGGTCCATTAGGCTGACTATTTTGCACAGGTTATCCGACTTGGCGAGATAGCGTATCTGCTCAGCCGCATCCTCGTCTTGCACGGCGTGCAAAAGAGCTCGAGATCACAAACGTTAATGAAGAACGAAATGCTTTTCTTCGCAGGGTGCTCCTTGTTACTGTCGACTATCGCTTGCGGAAATGCCACTCTATGCCTGCTCAATTTTGGCCACGGACTCAAGCCATTACTAATGGATTCGGGCTGGAAGCAGGGACGATACGAGTTCCAACCCATTCATGACCGAGGGCGCCCAGCGGCAAGGCTTGAACTGGACTGATTGCTCTGGGAGCTCACCCACATCGCAAAAAAGGTTCAACGTCGACTTGGTGTTCTTTCTTAAGGCTTTGGCACCCATCTTCCCAGAGTATGATTGCAAAGACGGATAAGACATACTATCTGTCAGGAAGGGATCATTGCACCATCCGGCCACTACAATCAGTCGCAGCAATAACACCACCAGTCATGAAGCAGGTGGAGTGTCCAGACCAGCATCGTCCTGCAACACCAATGCATCATCCCAACCGAAGTCCAGTTCATCACCATCCATCCACCTCCCTCCTCTCATATAAGACAGGAAATCCGGCGGCTCCCCTTCCGTCATCCTACTCAGCACACCTAACAGCGTTCGGCTGGTCAAATGACGGCCTCCAGGCACAAGCTCAGACATAGTGAGGTGAGCAATGCGCCTTCCGAGCCCTTTCCATCTCGAAACCTCGGTTCGACCCTCAATCTCAGCCGATACCGACCGAACCCTTGCCTTAGCATCGACCCTGGCCCGGACAAACAAACTCCCACCGCGCCCAACGAAATAGCAATTCGTCATCCACAGCCCCTTCTCGCGAAACTCGCCATACAGTACGCGAAACTCCTCTTCGGTGTACCCGTCAATCAGCCGATCCAGCCAACCCACCAGTCTCCCAAACGCAGGCCACTCCGTCGCGCCCTCGTGTCGCGTAACCGAAACGACCACCACCGCCGCCACCACCGCCATAACGAACGTGTCCCGGTGCGGCTGGAACACCGCCCGCAGCTCCCCTTGCACGTGCATCGTCGCGTCGCGCACGCTCGCGCACAGCGCCACCCACGCGTGCCCTGCGCCGCGCCGCCAGACACGCGACCCCTGCACCTTCGCGATTTCCTGGTCGACGGCCGCGTCGGCGTGCAGACCCAGGACGAAGAGATCGAACGGGACCAGGATGTCGTTCGGGGCCAAGTACACCAGGGTCTCTTGCTCGAGGCTGCTGTGTAGTTCGGCGATTTGGGCGTTTGTGAGCGGCGCGGCGGTGAAGAGGGGGGTGCGGCAGTTGGGGCACGTGGCGCGCTCGGGACGGTGGCTGGTGTGCCAGCGCATGATGCAGGTGTAGTGGAAGAAGTGCTTGCAGGGCTTCAAGGCGACGGTGTCTTTGTGTTCGGGTGGGTCGTCTGTTGGGCCTGAGGTGCTTTCTGTGAAGGGGTCCAGGCAGATTCCGCAGGTGATTTCTGTATCTGGCAAGGCGACCGGCTCGGATTTTAGCAGGCTGAGATCTCGGAGGTAGTCTTCTTGCGATGGCACTTGATCTGAGTGGCCGTCAGGTGAGGCGGTCTTGCCTGCTGTTCGAGCTGTCATTGTGGCTATCCTTGATGTTCTGCCGTATCGAAGTTTGAGCTCAGAAGTTGGGGAGTGTAGAGTTTTTGTTTCTGTGTGTGAGTGGCGAGAAGTTTTGTTGGCCAGAAGTGAGAGTGAAGTGAAGAATGGCCGCGCGGAGCAAACAAGCATGTGGATATTGGTATAATCGTTGAAAATATGTGCAGAACCTTACGACCGTGGACAGGCTGCATGATAATGGTACTATAGTATAAATTGACAAATCACTCTATTGTTCGTTGATACCCACGTTGTTGCCCTGCAGGACAAACCAGAATCATATAGCCAGTCGAAGGCCTTTGCTACTCATATGTACACCTCTGTTTCATAATAAGGGGTCCTGCAGATTCTGAGAAGTACCGATACATTTAGTGTCTAATTATTCATGTGTGGAGCTTCTTAGACCCGCTTTCGAGGTGAGTGCTCACAGCCATGCTAAACGCGTCCTGCGCGATCTTCTCGCACTCCAAGACGCCCGAGCGATTTGTCTGCCACGTCTTCTTCTCAGTCTCATATCGGTCTTTCGCCAACATGAACTTCCGATGCAACTCATTAAGCTGCGGGAACGCCACAACCTCACCTTGCAAGCGCTTCGCCCTGTCACGAATCGTGTTCATCAGACGGACCAGCTCGGCCCACACGACCAGCTTGTAAAACGCGTCGCGATCGGCGAAGTACCTACACTTCCGCGCTGGCACGTTCCAGCCCTTGAACAGCTGCACCACAGGTATCACGACTGCACCGTGCCAGTCCGGCTCGACGCCAGTTTCCAGCCACTGGCGGTGCAGTTCGTCGGCATGGCTGTCGACGTAATCCTTAAGCAAGCGTAGTTGAGTCGCAGCGACTTCCTCTTCTGACCAGCAGACGACGGTCTCACCGCGCTGCGCCAAGTCGATGCGCTCTTCAGCCCGCAGATTGGTGAACGACTGCCCGAAGATGGCTTCTCGGTCGGTGTCGATGCGATCGTGCAGTGTGCGCTCGCACAGCGCCATTCCACAAGAAGGGCAGTTGCCGAACTCCAGGTCAGACACGCGGAATTCAGACACCAGACACTCTTGGTGCACGTAGTGGGCGCAAGGAAGACGGATCGTGTGTTTGTTTGCTACGTCGAGGGAGTTGTGGCAGAGAGAGCAGTTGCCGAGGGGTGCTGGGCGGTTGCGGGAGCAGAATTCTACCCGCTTGAGGAAGAAGTCTTCCTGGCAAGGCAAGCATTCTGATGACGGTAGCTTGACGAGGCGTGAGAGTCGACGAGACGAGGTTTTCACCTTTGACGTCTTTGGTAGCACCTTGGAGCTCCGACCAGTCAGCTCGGCAACATGCTCGAAAGCGCCACCTTCTAGCTCGGGAAAATCTGGTGAAAAGGGTGGCACACATGGAGAGTGAAAAAAGACTGCATCTAGCTCAGCGGCTCGTTCGAGAGAAGGGAGTTCTGCCACATGCGGGGGAAAGTCTGTCGAGCTTGCTGGTGAAGATTGTTCAGTTTGGTTAGGGCTGACTTCCAGGCCTCCAACACCAGATTCCGCATTCCCAGAGTAGATACTGGAGCTGGCATACGCGATGGGACCATCAAACTCTGCAGTGCCTCGTCCGTGAGCAGCATACTGACTTAGTCCTGGCGCCTCTGCACCAAGCTCCAAAGTAGATGGTCGGCGTCGTCGTGGCGTACGCTCCTGGTGACTATCATGTCGTGCTGTAGTAGCCGAGGAGCCAATGGGGGTACTCACATTGGACTCGAATTCGTGTTGTCCGAAGTACACAGATGGGCGACTTACCCGCCAAACATCCTCTGGTACATCAGCCTCACCGTTCGGTCCATTGCTTAGGTGCTCCATGTTCTCTTGGTCAGATGAGGACGGTCTAGATTTCGGGTCCGAACGTAGTCGTGAACGATGTTTGCGGGATTCGGGAGATCGAGTCGCTCGTTTTTTCAATAAGTCGGCCATTGAGGGAGAATCGTACCCAAAGGCGTTGCTTCCCGATGCTGGAGGTCTACTACTAGGCTGGATGTTGGCCGCTAGCGACGCCAACGGCTGTATTGGAAGTGTTGGAGTCGACCCTGTCATCTCTCGCCATTGTTCTTGTTTGCATGTAGTCTGCGTCGATTCAAGAAGAAAGAACTCAGCGCACAGCTCCTGGATTTCTGCATTGCGGACCCGCCGATAAGACAGATGGTCGGGCTCGTTGCATCGACACACGACGTCTTTGTCTTTGCCCAGGTAGTGGAAACGCTCAGCGTGGACACTTCGAAGAGCCCATTGAATCTTCTGTTGCTGCTGAAAGCTGTAGAAGTCTTGTTGCAAACACGACTCGAGATCGAACTTGTCCATGTATCGAATGATGGCAATAGCTAGATGTTTGTCGACATCGCCTATTGACTGTGGCTTCTTGTGATCCTGCACTTGAAGACATCGGCACGCTTGCAAACGACTACTGTCTATATAGTGAAGATATGGACCTCGCTGTGCTGAAAGATGAGAAGTTCGAACAGGATACTTCTCGCCCGTTCGCTTGCTGCGTGCTACCACGACTTCGCTTGTTCGTCGGCTGTGTGAATACATCGCTGCTATTGATTTAGTGTGAGTTGAGGGGTGTTTTTTCCATCAATTGGCGGAATCATAAATTCAGAAGAGACTCTTGAGGTTAGCAGCCGCAATGAACAATGCTTTGCTCGTGCCAAAGAACGCCTGTTTACTCCCAATGAACAGGACGCAATGGGCGAACAAAGAATTCTGCAACCGTATATGAACATCGTGAACATGTTCTTTGTTAGCCTACAGTACCATAGTGAACGGATTGAGCCGCATTGTCGAGTCTCCGAAAACGGCTGAATCAGTGTCACTTGAAAGCGCAGCTGCCCGGAGGATGTTCTTTGAGGATGACGAAGCGCACTCGAGTGGCAACACAAAGGAACACCAAACGCAGAGACTCCGGCAACTTGGGTATTGAAGAAAGTCTCTGATGGGTCACAAGGTGTGGCCCGTCTACACGCGGATCGCTTGTCTAGTGATTGCGTTGTCCCATCTGCGCAGCCAGAAGTTCCAGATCCGGCACAAGGATCTCAAACCTTTAAACATTCTCTTGTCACGAGGTAACATCTACATGAGCGATTTTGACTGCGCAGTCGACTTTTCTTCGCACTCAAAAGTGCAACTGATGGAGGCAGTGGGATCCGGTGGCTGAGTCTAGAGCATCCCGCGGCACCCCATCTGCAGGATAAAGCTTATTGTCCACTGGCGGAGGTCAAAAAATGCAGTTTCGAGGGGTCCATGGTCCCGAAGAGTAATATGACTCTGAAGGGCACTATCAAGCCCACTCCCTTTCCGATAACAATTGGGGGGAAACTTGTGCACGCACAACCGCAACTCCAAGGCCCTCTGTATGTATCTCCTAGCACAGATCTACAACGAGTCTCGACTAATCCTTCGTAGGATTCTCGGGCCAACGGGGCAATTGTGCGTGGAAAAGTCAACTACTACTCAGAAACGCCGTCCCGACTTGAAGCAACCGAACCTCTCTATTATGCCCCAGTCTTTTGCCGCTGGTTTCGTATGGTGGCTGAAATAGCTAGAGGGCTATATTGGGTACGGTACAGCAGTTTGCTATTCATAGAATCAACACTAAGCTTTTTATTAAATGCTTTCTGCTACTCTCGAGCTGCGACCGAAGTGCGACGAGGTTGATACTTACTTCTACTCCCAACAGCGCATGGAGAGACTCGTCTTTCTTGTGAAACTTGTCATCGTCTCCGTGATTCTAGCTCTAACGGTTGTGGTATTGTATCTGTTAACCTGAATCAGGCGGTACGTATCGAGGACCAATTGCAAGCCATTCGACGTATCTGTCTTCTGCATTTTACTGTTCTTGACAGTTACGTTACACCTGACTAATCCTCGATGGCTTGAAATTGCATCATATCTTTGGCATGCTGCTCTGTTCTGATCGTTCATGTCTCTACTGAGTTAGAGGCACATACGTATCAACAGCATGTTTGGCAGCCTGATCACCCGCAGAACCATATTCTACGCTATCTAAAGGTCATGAAACGAATACTTCACTTCCACTTCTGCTCCAGGATACCAGTGCAATACAGTAATGGCGCACAAGCGACAGACAGCCTACGATCTTCAAACTCGACCTTGAATTATTGGGCTTGCAGCCCGTCACACTTGCCTCGCCGGCTTTACAACACCAACACACGCCCCGAACCCGATACCTGCGCTCCCATCGCCGATAATAGCTTCGTAAGTTACCTCGTCACCATCGGCGAGATACCTCAACTCACTCCCATCACTCAGCTTGCTAGCTTGTTTCCCATTCTTCGTCAGCTCAAGCAAGCAGCCATGCTCGTGCTCTTGTTCTCCGCTCACGGTCCCGCTCGCGATCAGATCACCAGTCCGCAGCCCGCACCCTCCAACAACATGATGCGCCAACATATGCCTAAACGTCCAATACATCGTCTCGAACCCCACCTCACAAGTTGTCGTCTTCTTACCGCCTCGTGTGATTGCCCCCGTAAGCCGAATATCATAATTCACTGCGCCCTCGTCATCCATGAACGGTGCTACGGGCTTCATCCGCTCCGGCGCGGCCACCTCGTGGGCCTTCAGTGCGTCGAGCGTGACCACCCACGGCCCCACCGACGTGCCGAAGTTCTTCCCGTTGAACGGACCCAGGGGGTTCATCTCCAGCCCTTGTATATCCCGCGCGGACCAGTCGTTCACAAGGACGAGTCCAAAGATGTGCTTATCCGCGTCTTTGGCATGCAGAAACGTCCCCGGCGCCACAGGCTGCCCAATGATAGCCCCAACCTCGAACTCGTAGTCCAGAGCCCGACTCGCGCCAAACACGATTTTCTTCTCCGCCGCCCGCGGGTCTTCGAGATATTGCCCCAGGGGTCGCGTGATCGGCGTTCCGCTTACAACGATGCTGGAACAGCGCCCTGCGTAGCCGACGGGGTATGCATGGAATGCGGGCGGGAATTGTCGGACCCCAAGAATGGCCTCGCCGGCGTTGAGGACGTGGTTCGCGCTCGCGGAGTAGTCTGTGAAGTCGCCGATGGCGAGGGGGAGGTGCAATGTCACATTTTCGAGGGGCTCGGCGGCCGCCTCAGGGTTTTCGGTGTGGGTTTTGCGGATGGCGGCGCGGATCTCGGATTGTAGATTGTGCGGGAGGGCGGCAAGGGCATTCAGGGTCGGGTGGGAGAAGATGGTGGGTAGTTGGGCGTGGATGGAGGAGAAAGCGAGATGTGTGGACAGCTCAGCGAGGAAGATTATGGAATCATTGATTCGGGTTACGGCTTGCGGAGAGGGTCGCTGGGTGGAGCTGCCGATGCCATAGGGGATGTTGTTAAGGCTGAAGTGCGAGGTGTATGGGTCGGCCATTGCGAGGTTGCGACGCGGTGCGTTTGCGTATGAATGTTGGGTTTAGGCTCACGATTAGAGACTCTTTTCTGAATGACCTATGCAGAGACAATAGACGTCTTTGTCTCGTTAGCATGTGCAGCTTTCGTGCCGGACGCTCTACCGTTGCTCTCCACATCGGGAGGTATACCGATGCGGGACGGCACGGTATCGGTAAGAGGGAACGTATTAAAGCCCGCAGATCCTAGAAGAAGAGCTCATGACGGGCTTTCAGAGCACCGGCGCGCGAGAGCTCGGTCTATGACCCCGCAGTTGCTGCTGCAGGTACTTGTCGGCAGTTGGTGGGGAGGATGGACCCTGAATCTCCCCCCACATCGGGAAGTGTCATCAAAATGACTTCCGCGTTGAATACCTACACCATTCCAGTAGTTCTTTTCCTGCAGGCTCTCAAACAAATTATTTCAATCTATTCGATCTATTCAATCAATCCAACTTCAAACTTTAAACCGCTGCAGTCATCTTCACAGCAATCATGTCCGCCCGACCTGAGCTAGAGAACGCCCTCCCCAGCCTAAACCGCTTCATCACAACCCACGACTCCACCACCAAAAAGGCCATTTTCTCAGACGCCGTCAATGAAACTTTAGGCTGGACGTCCCTCCCCGGCGCGACCTTCGCGCTCCCCTACCTGACTAAAACCCACCCGGTCAACCTCACCGACTCGACCGACATAAAGACTTACACGCCTTTTCTCACCTCGCCCCCGGGCCTCGTCGCCTCGGGCGGCTCTGTACTGCGCTTCGTGGACATGCAGCCTGGCACCTTGTCGCCAATGCACCGCACGGTGTCACTGGACTACGGGGTTGTTATCGAAGGGGAAGTTGAGTTGGTGCTGGATTCGGGGGAGACGAGGGTGCTGAGACGAGGCGATGTCGCAATACAGAGGGCGACTATGCATGCGTGGAGGAATACGAGTGCGGATAAGTGGGCACGTATGGTGTTTGTGCTACTGGAGAGCCAGCCGATCGAGATTAACGGTGAGAAATTAGGGGAGGAGTTGGGTACTATGGAGGGCGTGCCTGCGTCGCATTAGAATGGAGGAGTTGGGTAAATGAGGTCGTGCATGAGGGTATGAGTAAATGCATTTTGTGTTGTGCTTATGGATTGATCGCTGTATCTGGATGTGTTAACGCCAAGTTGCGTCACTTAGCTTCAAATAGATGCATTGCAGTGTCCACTCTTGTGAGGTCTGCTTCCGATTCAAAAGACAGTAGATTCTTATTTACACATGTCCGAGTGCGATTTGGCATCACCAGGCGTATTGGTTTTGTATCCAGAGTAAAGGGCCCAATACTTTGTTGAAAAGCATGCACTGTATACCTAGGTATCGACGTAACCAAAATCAATTTGAAACCACGCAAAATGCTGTGCGATTGCGACCGAAACACATTTGTGACAAGTGATATGTGGATACCTAGGGTTTAATCAAATGTTTCGGTACTTCGGACGATGTTCATGTGCGACCTCGGGCGTTCGTCCCCCACATCGGAAGTCAACCCCGACCTCGTCATCCACAGACGCGTCGGCGCAATCGGAGCCCACACGCGTCGCGATGGCCAATATATACCAAATACGCCAGCAAATATCTCGATCACACCTATTACCACTGACAAAATGGCCGAACAGCTGGAAGTGAAGAAAGCGCACAAGGTTGACGACACGTCATTCCCGTACATCTTTGAGGAGAATGCCGAAGTCCCGCTGAAGACCAGCTCGCAAGGTATTGTGCGGGTCAATGTCTACCGCCCAAAATCCACGAGTGAAGGCACCAAGCTCCCCGTACTGGTGACTTATGGCCCGTACGGGAAAGACATTCACTACAAGGAGTAAGCTCCGCATACTTCCCTGTTGCGCCGAGTGCTAACATCCCAGCTTCCACCCCAAGTCCTACGGCGAAGTGAATCCCGAACATCACTCCGATCACTCAGCATGGGAAACACCTGATCCAGGATACTGGACTAAACAGGACTATGTCGTCGTGCGCGCCGACGAGCGCGGACTCGGACAGTCCCCAGGCTTCCTGGACACCATGTCGCGCGGCACAAGCGAGTGTTTCTTCGACGTGGTGGAGTGGGCTGCCGAACAACCATGGTCATCTGGCAAGGTGGGCTTGTTGGGAATCAGCTACTACGCTGGGTCGCAGTGGCGGGTTGCTGCGCGCAGGCCAAAGGGGCTGGCGGCAGTCATTCCCTGGGAGGGCATGAGTGACTACTACCGTGATCGCTGCAGGCATGGCGGGATTTTGAGTAACAAGTTTATTGACTTCTGGTGGTGAGTTTGGCAGCGAGTGTGGCATATGATTTATCACTGACTGGTCTAGGAATCGCCAGGTTATCACGAACCAGTATGGTCGACCTGGTCGTGCGGCTCGTAACTGGGGGCCTGATACTGTAGATGGGGATCTCTCTGATGAGGTGCGAGCGAAGAACCGTCAAGATCAGACCATTGACACAAACGCGTCCAAGTACCGTGACGATATGTACTACGCGAGCAAAGAGTACGATATGAGTGATATCGAAGTCCCGTTGCTTTCCGTGGGGAACTGGGGTGGAATCTTACTTCACCTTCGCGGTAACATCGAAGGCTATATCCACGCAGGGTCGGAGTTCAAGTACCTGCGGTTGATCACTGGCCGACACGACCTGCCCTTTTTCTACAAAGAGGAAGTCGAGATCCAGCGTAGCTTCCTCGACGCATTCCTCAAAGGCGATGATCGACTCGGCTGGTCTGTCAAGGGTAAGCTCCCGCCCGTTGACCTAGTCCTCAGAAAAGGCGACGTCGGCTTCGACAACTCCGAAGCGGAAAAGGTCTACGAAAGACGCACAGAGAACGAGTGGCCCATTGCCCGCACACGCTACACCAAGTTCTATCTCACGCCATCCAATTCCCTAACCCCCGTGGAACCAATAACAAACCGCCCTCAGAAGCTCTCATACGAGGCACTAGGCACGCTCGATAAGCCCAAAGTAATCCAGTTCACCACTGCGCCCTTCGAAGAAGAGACAGAAATCACAGGCCACATCACCGCGCACCTCAACGTCTCCCTCTCGCCCCATGCCACCGGTCCCACTCCCTCGGACATCGATCTCTTCCTCACACTCCGCTATATCTCTCCTGCCGGTACCGAAGTCCACTACACCGGCACAGCCGGCGACCCTATCCCGCTCGCGAAGGGCTGGCTGCGCGTCAGCCTGCGCAAAACAAACCCCTCGCACCCCAAGCACCGCCCTTACCTTCCCTGGCGCGACTACTTCCGCAGCGACGTGCAGCCCGTGATACCGGGAGACGTGTACGCGGTGGATGTGGAGGTGTGGCCGACGAACGTGGTGGTGGAGAAGGGTGGAAAGGTGGTGTTTGAGGTCAGCAGTGGGGATACGCAGGGCAGTGGGATTTTCCAGCATAACCATCCTGAGGATCGGAGTGAAGAGGTGTTTGGAGGGTGGAACCACTTGCATTTCAGCGCGTCGTCTCAAAACTATGTTACGCTGCCGATTGTGCCGCCGAAGTAGAAAGTGGCGGTTATTGCCCCTCGCCGTAATTCAGTCAATTTGAGTTTCAAGAAACAAAGAAGGATTGATCAGGGGAATAATTGCATCGTCCTTGACCACTGTTTTCAGATCGGACCTCGAGATCCCAGGGTCACATTTAGTTCAAACATATATTATCTGCTCTTTGACACAAACGCTGAAAGGTGATCTTGTCAACTCGATTACCACTACTGACTTGAATTGCACTCAATAATGCCAAGATTATGTGTCACTCTCGGTACAACTCGTACGGGGAGAAATATAACAGACGAAGACGCAGTTACGTTGAGCTCAGCCGTACTTTTGACTACTTCCAACAAGTGCAATATGTACTAAATCTCGGACATGGTATAACTAACAAAACGTGAACACTAGTCAAGCAAGAATTAAACCTTCTGCGCCCACTTCCCAACCGTAAACTGGCTGTTGCACATATTCACCAACTCCCAGTCCTCAGCACCCAGCACACACCCCTCCTCCAGACGCGGACTCGCATCCACTACCCCCGCCACAAAACACGCCGCCATATAGTGATCATCCGTCGCATGCGCATCCCGGAACATCGGATGCTTCATCAGCCGCGTCACGCCTCTGGTCAGCGACCCCCGCGGCGCCCCCACCCCACAGCACCGCACAAACACATCCTCGAAGCTCTGTCGGAACTCGAGCATCGGCGCCTCGGGTGGGTAGGGTTGTGCGAGGTTGTCTGAGTACCGCAGCATCTGCCCCCAGTGGTTACGGTACAGGTTGTGCACTGCGCCGCCCGTGCCGATGAGCAGATATCCTTCTTCGCGGAAAGGTGCGAGGGCCGCGCCGACGCGCGCGTGCAGATGTGGGTCGAAGCGTGCGTTCATACTTATGATGGTGGTCGGCGGGCAGCCGGCGGGGAACATGCGGATCAGGATTAGGTAGGTGTCGTGGATCCAGTCGAATTTGTCGTTGGGGCGGGCGTCGAAGCCAGAGTCGGTGAGAGCTCTGATGCAGCGCGAGGCCGTTGGGAGGTCAGGCTTGAGTTCGTACGAGACGTATTTTGAGGGATGAACGTAGGCGACGGGGGACTTTGCCGGGTGAGGATTGGTCGCGACGTCGATGCGGTTTGTGCCACGTGCATCCCAGTGTGCGCCCATCATTATAATGCCTTTGATCCCCTGGCGGAGAGCGGCGTCGCCGCATGCTTTCCAGTAGTCGGCTGAGCGAGACTCTTCGCCGAGCATCATAGTGGAGCCATGCGAGAAGAAGTGGACTGGAGGAACTGCCATAGTGGCTTTGTGTGGTTTAGAGATACTCAGTGCCGCTAGAGGATGATATTATATCAAGACCCGGATGTCAAAATGCTTTTGATCCACAGCCGAGTCGATGGCGACGAAGGAGAATTGATAGCAAAGTCGAGGCTCGAAAAGGGAATTAACGCTATCAACGCAACTGCCGCGAGAGATATATTGGCTTGCCGAGCCAAGTCAAGGAGAGCGAGCCAAGTAGTCGTACAAGCCCGGCGTGCGGCCACATATCCACCTCAACGTCGATGATCGTCGCTCACCTGCTCGTGAAGTGGAGGGAACCGGGCCGACAGCCTCGGCAACCCGCGCGGTGCCGCACCATTTGGCGTCCACCCTCCCCACACTCCAGCGTTCCCCAGTTTCTCCTCCACCTCGCTGCCCCGAGCCAGTGTCGCTCGACGTATTTTCAATGCAGGAAGATGCGCCTACGTTACAGGCGCCCGCTATTCCGGAATCGGAATCGCAGAGGCTTTTCCAGTGTAGCTCGTGTAAGAGATCGTTCACCAGGGCGGATCATCTTACGAGGCATGTTCGTGCGCGTACGTATAATCCCTAATTATTTGGGCCGTGTCGCGTGGGTGTTGACTGCAATGGCGTGAGAAACACTTCATCTTCGGCAGGCGCAGCTCTCTCGTCCACGAGGCAGGAGGCTTATTCAGCAGCCAAATGCGCTTACGCTTCGCTGGCTCCCTCATGCTTGACACTGACATTTCCACACAGATACGAAGCAAAAGCCCTACATTTGCCCCGTATGCTCGAAGGGCTTTGCTAGAATGTATGCGCGCCCCACTGTGTCGTATTCGATGTCTGACTATGTGTAGTGACCTGCTCAAAAGGCATGTGACTAACCACAGTTCTGAATCCGCTGCAAAAAGGCAAAAGCGGGAGATCACCCGCGACACTCGAGTGGTGCAAGCTTGCGAAGCCTGCTCTCTAAGCCATCTACGTTGTGAGGACGAAAAGCCATGCAGCCGTTGTAAGAAGAAGAATATCGCCTGCAAAGTGCCAGAAACCTCACCAGTGGACGATGCAGAAGTGAACGAGCTCGATGCTGTTCATGCTGCACAGGACTTGCTTGACCTATCTAACGGATTCGACTACGCCTCACCAATGGCTCCACTTGATACCAACCAGACTTCAACACCGCAAGTCAGTGATGTAGACAGAGACGATGTGGGATTCCTTCCGCCACATGTACCAGTAGCACAGATGGAGTCTTCGAACGAGTCTTATCCAGTTGAGCATGGATCTTCGTTCAATGTCCCTAACACCACAAAACAAAACGCAGATACATTAGGAATGGCTCAGCTGTACACAGGGACTGATGGCACGGATCTTTCTTTCTTCGACAACACGATGTCAAACTTCGATGATACCCCGAGCATGGACCCTTTCTTGCCAGATTATTTCAGAAACATGCCTCCATTTGACTCCTTTTTGTCTGGCCATGCGACGCCAAGAGGAATCATGGATCTCAACTTCGACATGGATGTCGGTCTCACAGACCTTGATCTCGGGTTGCTGGACCAGTACAATTTCCAAGTGCCATTTATTGCAGGTACGCCGTCCACTGACGCGCAAGGGCTTGAACAGCAGCCTCTGGACGGCGACAGCGCACCAGTACGAACAGAGGCTTTCAAGCAGAGTATATGGCGCTACATGCCGCGTCGAGATAAAGACCACAGTGCAATGGAGCAGACCAACCTCGCTTTTCCGGACTCGGACAAAGAGAGCAGTCGCCGCGCGCACTTGCCACAACGTCGCGCACTCAACGAGAGACTTGGGCGTGTGAGCCGTGATAGAGTCATGGCGCTGGTGCTTGGGACCTGCAGCGCGGAGAACGTCAAGCGTATTGCATCCGCGTTTCCAAGTGTCGAGTTGCTTGATGGGCTCATCCAGTTCTTCTTGACGTCCCCGATTCTCGATGTGCAGTCGTGGTTTCATCTTCCCACTTTGTCGCTCGCGAAGCTGAGTCCAGAATTACTCGCGTGCATCATCTCAGCCGGTGCTGCTTCGACACCCGATATACCGCTGCGCAAGCTTGGTTTTGCTCTCCACGAGGCTGCTCGCATGGGTCAAGGCAAGTCTTTTGAGGAGGACAACACGGCAATCAGAGACCTGCAGCATATCCGTACGTTCTTTTTAATGCTCGTCGTAGGTATGTGGTCTGGCGTCAGTCGCAAGATGGAGATCTCGGAGAGCTTTTTGCAGCCTCTCGTTACGATGATCCGGCGCGGGGGCCGGCTACGGCGATGGACGTGGAAGGACATCGCCCCGTCTGCGGAAGAAGATGGATCAGCACTGGACTTGAAGTGGCGAGAGTGGATCCACCAAGAGTCGTATCTACGTCTCATCTATCGCGTGTTCGAGCTTGACAGACAATCATCGATGGCCTTGCTCAAGCCGCCGTTGATAACGTATTCCGAGATGCAACTGCCATTACCCAGCTCGAATAGTAGGTGTTCTCCACCGACTTTGTTCTGTTCAGTCTAGCACAAAGACGCTAAAAGCCTGTGGAGTGCTTGGCTGACATGAGACAGATCTTTGGCTAGCAAAATCGGCGACTGCCTGGAAGGCGGCCTACCTGAGCGCTTGGGATGCAAAGAAGCGTCCGTCGGCCGTCGACTGCGTCCTGGATCTCGAATATCTCGCTCAACACGACAACGCTAGCACCACGTATTTGTACATGATGTGGGGCCTGGTCTGGGAGTTTCGCCAGATGAGTTCGCTCGGTTCACGATCGCCCGTCAAAACACACAACAGTCTCATCCTGTCATCGCGCTACCAAGAACTCACGAAACAGATTGAGGACTTCCATCTCAGCAGTCCGCCGATGACTAAAAGTGCTGAAATCACCATGGAGCTTATGCTGGTACATCTCAACGCTTCTTTGGACGACATCCAGCTCTTTGCCGGCATTGAGGGTCAGGAGGAGGCTCGCTCCGCTTATCCGTCGCTACGCGACTGGACCAAGACTGTTCCAGCTCGCCAGGCAGTGTGGCATGCTGGCCAAATCCTCCGCGCTGCCGAGGGCCTGCCAAAAGGACTTCTCTGCAACTTCAATGCAATCGCAGTGTACCATGCAGGTCTAATATTATGGGGCTATGGATTTCTGAAGCGTTCGGTCACAGACAAGTCGACGCCTAGTGCCACCTCGCAGGCCGTAGTGATACTTAACGGAGACGACGCTTTGAGTGCGCGCAGGTTTGTCACACTGGATCGGGGGTGTCCGTCCATAAGGTTGGTGAAATCGAACGACACGGTTCCCCTTAGTAATGTTGGTGCTGTTATGGATGGGCTGGTTCAGCTCCTGTTGGCTCCCTATGATGCCGTTGAAGGGTCATGCCCGCCGCTAGTAGGCAACTTGGTGCAGTTGTTGGAGGGTCTTCGGCCAGACACGAGATGACGGGGTGTGCAGATTTCTGGAATGCGCGAAGAGGCATCGGGCTCGCTCTTATCCTTTGACAGGAAGAATGACCGGTTGATACAGTTCTAGATGGCTATTCCATGTCTCTCGGAAACAAATCTAGAGACCGTGGTCGAGGGTTACACGAATGTCGCGACCGGGAGCGTACAACGACTCGCCCTGACGCGGGGTCCACGTGCAAAACTTGGCTCGGGTTCCCTCTCAGTCTGGAGCTCACACTCCGACGGATTACGAATCCTCAGCAGCTCTTTACTTTGATTGGCTACATTGCGGTAGCGGCAAGTTCTAGGGGCACCCCCGCCTATCTTGCGCGTGTTGGCCCTAGCTTGTCGGCGGACAACGTCCTCCACATCGGACAACCCCAGCTGTCCCCACAAAACGGCACTTCAAACTGGGGTAATCTGGGCCAATGCACTAGCAGTCGCGAGTGATTATTGCTGCCGAAACGCACGCTCATTCGCTGGAAAGTCGCCGAGTGTAGGATCTCCCTTTGCGTCGACTTGTCTATATAGCTGGGGACACATCAACACCAGGAAATGCCCATCTTGTTGCTGCACCACTAAGATCTCGAAGTCCATCTTCAACATGACATCTTTCAGGAAGGCATTTGCCCTGTCCAAGGACGAGGTCAACAACGCCACACCGCCAGGCACGACGACGCTCGTTGGTGAGATCCTTCCATCACATGCACGCGTTCATCGCTGACAACTACAAGAACACCTCGAATGGGCTGCATCGCAACAAGGCCACGATGAGATCCGTCTAGTACCCCAGCCTTCCGCGGATCCCGCAGACCCCTTGAACCTCCCAACGTGGCGCAAACTGGCCATGCTGTTCTGCATGTCCGTGCATCCGTTCGTCGTCAACTTCACGAGTTCGTCCCTCTCCAGTGCGCTGCCAATCTACGCCGGGTCACCCATCTTTGGCCTGCCGCCGAAGCCGTTCTCGGAACTGACCTACCTGGTCGCCGTCAACATCCTGATGATGGGGTTTTCGAACCTGTGGTGGGTGCCGCTGTCGAACACATTCGGACGCAGGCCCGTTGTCCTCGGCAGTCTTTTGTTGCTTATCTTTTCGAGCATGTGGGCTGGCCTGACGACGAACTTCAATAGTCTGCTGGCCGCTCGTCTGTTCATGGGTATTGGAAGTGGTCCTGCTGATGCTGTCTCACCCGAGGTTGTTGGCGAGATCTTCTTCGTGCACCAGCGTGGGCGCGCCATGGTGAGTCATCCCAGATAGAACGCCTCTGATCAATACTAACAACACACAAGGCTATCTACACGGTGTTTTTGACCTTTGGCTCCCTCGTCGGAGGCATTGCTGGCGGCTACATTGTGGCATCAATGGGCCTCGTCTGGATCCACTGGATGAACGTCATGCTGTCGGCAATCACCTTCGTCCTGTGCCTCGTCTTCCAAGCCGAGACCCTCTTCGACCGACCCCAATGGCTCAACGACCTCGAAGTCGAAGACGGCAAAGACCACGTCGAGCACAAAGAAGCCCTCTCCAATGTCCAACCACCCCCGTCCACCTACCCGCCATACACCTACCTCAAGTCCCTGCGCCTCATCACCTACCGCCCGGGCATCGCGCAAAAGTTCCTCGCGCCCTACAAGACCATGCGCCTCCCCGGCGTCTGGCTCATCTCCGCCTGGTACGCCGGCCTCGTCGGCCTCATCGTAACAATCAGCACCATCGGGCCACAGCTCGTCGCCGCACCACCCTACCTCTGGGGCGCTGACGTCGGCCTGATCAATGTCGGCGGCCTGATCGGCGCGCTGCTGGGCTGCATCTACACCTACCTCATCGCCGACTGGACCACGAAACGCACCGCGACGCGCAACGCGCACGGCTACGCCGAGCCCGAAGCCCGCCTCGCCACCGCACTACCTGCGCTCTTCATCGCCACCGCCGGCGCCCTCGTCTTCGGCTTCACAGCCCAGAACCCCTCGCCGCTTGGCTGGGTCGGCCTGCAGTTCGGGCTCGGCATGGTCGCCTTCGGGCTCATGCAGGCGCCGTCCGTGGGCTTCAACTACCTGATCGAAGCGTACACGAGCGTCGCGGGCGACTGTTTCGTGGCGGTGACCAGTGCGCGCGCAGTGGTGAGTTTTGCCTGGACGTTTTTCGTCGGCGAGTGGGTGCATCACGATGGGCCGGCGGAGGCGTTTGGGATTTTCGGGATGCTGATGGGGGTTTTCGCGCTCATGACGGTGCCGGTGCTGATCTGGGGGAAGAGGCTCAGGATCTGGACGGCCAAGTGGGTGCCCGAGGGGCATGCGCAGTGATTGCAACAACTGTGGTGGAGTTGTGTTCGGCTCGGGTTAGGGTTATTATAATGCACGCCATGAAATATTCACACACGAATCTCATTCATCTTAATCCGTCAGTGTGTTGCTTGTCCCGTTTCAGTGCACCCAGCTCGTCGCATCTCCCTGTCCATCGCGTTCCCGCATCTGGCAGTCTGCAGCCACACCACAGACCCCTGACGTTCCCAGGACCCAAATCCGCGGACATCCAGATCCGGGTTTCCCTGGAGAGCTTTCACACACCACTATCGAGCATGGTTTGCCGCAGCACGACGAACAACTACACATTGTACAGCGTCAGCGAACATGGACAGATGCCCATTCCGCGAAACAGCAAGGCGCGTACCACGGGATGCGGAGCGTGGGCTCTGTAATCGATCGGAACCCGCATCGTGCAAACGGTCACAAGCACACAGCCATCCACGTCCGACCAGGCCCAGGCCTGTGAAACGACGGGCCAGTGCAAGCCTTGGGCACTAATACCCACCGACCATCACCACCACGACACAGCGAACCAAGGCAGAAACCGCACTGTACTGTATACACATTGCATTGCATTGCATCACATCACACCCCCAACACCACCCCCTCTATCTCAGCCCCCGATGCTATATTGATAAAATCAACCAACCCTCACCAACCCCCCCACATCCCCCACCCCCTCCCCCTCCTCCACCACCGCGCTCACAACCCCGTACACAGGCACCTCCTGCAGCCGCGCAACGACGTGGTGCAGCGTGGGCAGCGCATCCCAATCTAGTGCATCGAACGCGAGGGTCGCGTCTTGGGCTACTAGTGTCGTGGTCACGTTGCGCGCGGGTGAGGACGCGGTGGGGGAAGAGGGGGGGAGGTGCAGGGTGTACTCTGCGTCGGCTTGGCCGCGGTGGGAGGCCGCGGAGGCGGGGATGTGTTTGTGGACCAGCAGACCGCCGTCATCTGCACCTGCACTTGGGTTCTGGGTGGCGTCCTGCGCCGCGAGCCCGGACACCGAGACAGTGGCGAACTCGGACCCCATCCAGCTCGCACTCAGTGCCCACGTGCCCTTTTCCTCGTCGTGGGAGACCGCGAGATCCGCGAACAGCTTCGGGAACCCGAGTTCCTCGCGGCCGCTGACGATGGGATCGGCCAGGTTCTCGAACAATACGGGGAGATACGTGCCCGTTGTGACCGTGCCGTCGGCGGCTGTGTAAGTCACGCCGTGGATGTACAGCCCGAAGTGCGTGTAGCCCCTTCCGCCCAGCCAGGCGAGGTTGCCCAGCTGGGTGGTGGCGAGGGTGGCGTGGGCGATGGTGTCGGGGGACGCGAAGGAGAAGGCGGGCGAGGGCAGGAGGGTTTGCAGCACCGTGCGGCTGGTTTTGAAGCGGATGCTGGTCGTTTTGAAGGACGCTTTTGTACCGTCGCGGGCGCGGCCGTGGTGGTCTTGTCGCGGGCCGGGCATGGGGCCGAAGGCGGTGGGCATGCGCCAGAGGAGGGATTTGGTGGCGGTCCACTGGTGTTGGCGTAGCATGTGGCTGGAGTGGTCCCATTCGTCGTGGCCGAAGTTGTAGGCTGTGAAGCGGGAGGAGTCGAGGGGCGGGCCGGATCCAAGGTCCATGCCGGCGATGCGGGAGATCTCCTGGATGTAGGAGGCGCGTTCGAAGCGGCACTTTTGGTAGAGCTTCAGGCGGTCTGGGATGGCACTCAGGGGTGTACCTCTCTGCAGCATAACAGCGAGTGAGGCAGCATCCTCGATGGCTTGTCCAGCGCCCTGGCCTTGGTCTGTTTTGTATTAGTACTTTTGTTGACAAAACTTCAGGCATGACTTACGAGGCGTGAAGGGGTGTGCGGCGTCACCGATGAGAACCAACTTCTCATGTGTCCAGGTCGGCAGCTGCTCCATATCGAGCAACTCCCACACCTTCAACGTGTCTTCGTCCGCCATACTAAGCAGCTTCAGCACCGCAGGCTCAAAGTCCTTATACACCTCCAGCATCTTGTCAATATTACCCTGATTCTGCCAGTCACCACTGCCCGGCTCGTCAGGGTTGATCTGCGACTCCGCCGTGGGATGGATATTGACGAAATTCAGCAGCGTGTTGTCCGACGTGGGATACACGACGACGCGGCGGTCGCGGCCAAAGATCATGATCAGATGGCCCTCGTGCTCGGCGAACTTCCGCGTCTCGGGATCCGCCAGCGCCCGCTCCCGCGGCATCAGGAAGCGGAACGCGCTCTTGCCCGAGCCAAAAGTCTTGATGTTCTCTGCGCCGGGAATCCGCGGCCGCGTCTGCGAGTGCACGCCGTCGGCGCCAATCACGACGTCGCCGTGCACCACCTCGCCGCTCGCGAGCGTGACCGTGCCCGCCGCCGTGTCTACATCAACAACCCGCGACCGCGTGTGCAGAACCGCCGGCCGGCCCGCGCCGTCTTCGGTGGTCGCCAGCCGCTTCAGCTCCGAGTGCAGCCCGACGCGGTGCGCCAGCTGCCACGGGTGCTGCCAGCGGTGGGCCTCGCGCTCGAGGGGGATGCTGAACAGCTCCTTGCCGGAGGGCAGCCACTGGCTCAGTTTCCTGGCGGCCACGGCGCCGAGCTTCTCCGGGAACAGGCCCATGCGGCGGAGCAGTCCGTTGGCGTTGGGGGCGAGGTGCACGGCGGCGCCCAGCTCGTTGGCGAAGCGGGACTGCTCGAGGAGCGTCACGGCGTGGCCTTGCTGGCGCAGGAAGATGGCTGCGGAGAGGCCGCCGATGCCTGCGCCGACTATTGTGATGTTGAGCGGGCGGGTCTCATCTTGGGGCAGGTTGGCGCTGTCGCCGTTGACGCCGTTGGTGTGGGTGAAGTCCATGGCGAGATGTGGAAGAGGGAGGAACCTGACGACTGAGGAGTCTTCCAAAAGTACAGAATCCAGCCAGGCCGTGAGATATTACTTTGCTCGTTTCCCCGTTCGCTGCATCAGATGCCAGTCCGGAATGTGGGGGACGGGCCGGCAAGCTGGGGACTGTAGCCACGCCGGGGACTGTAGCCTCGCCGCGAGCTCCACGGCATCCGAGGGCTCCATGAGCCGCGGCTGTCTTGCACCTGTCAACTGAGCCCTGAGCAGCGTGGTGAATCATGATGTTGCGTTGACGTACACGGTACAACCACGGTCCGTACCTGAGAGGGGGGTGGAGATTATGTCAGGCGTTTGATTGGTTGATAGCAACCGTGCCCCACTTCTCACACGTCGCACAACGACAGCGCGGTCGTAGAGGTATCGTTGTAGACGTCGATGCAGCAGTAGTAGAAACTGAAATAAATTGCGCCTGCGAGTAAATCCGCAATCCAACTTGGCCCATCTACCCCTCGACGTCAGGAAAGCACAAGCACTCATCCAAACAACCTGAACAGCAATCTGATCCACGCCCATCTCAGTTACACTCCCGCGTCCTTCGCCAGGAGAGTCCTCTCCCAGTGTCATCACTCCCGATTTCCATCTCCTCCAAAGCCAGCACCCTCACCACTCCCCCCCAAGCTTATACCCAACCCCCCAGACCCCTCCGAGCGAATTCCTCCACACCTTACTCGCAGTCTGCACACCGTTAGCCTGAATCACTATTCCCTTCCCCTTATCACCCTTCTATCCCCATCTCCGTTCTCTCCACCCCCCACCCCTTCCCTCCCCACACCCCCCGTAAATGTCATGACTTCGGAAGTATGAAAATGAAAAGAAGGAGAACATACACTCTGCAAAAACACCCCCGTAAACATAACCCCAATAAACGCCCGCTCAATCCCGTTCTGATACACCCGCCGCGCGCCCTGGTCGAGCTGCGTGTTCACCGGCCGGTGGGGCGGGACGCGGCGGTGCTGTGTTGGCCAGCCGAGGGGAGCGTCGGGGGCTGCGGGCGCGGCGTGCGCGTTTAGAGAGGCGTCGAGCGGCGTGGTCAGGGTAGCAGGTGTCTCGGGCGAGTGCGTGAGCTCGTAGTCTCGTAGTACGGCGTGGGCGGCGGTTGTCCTCGTGGTGGACATGTTTGCGGTGCGAGGTGCGTTGTCTCAGGGGCGCGGAAAGCAGCGGCGGGGGAAGCAGCGGCGGTTAAGTCGGACGGTAGGGTCGGGCGTTCGGCGGACGGGAGGGAGTCAGGCGAGAGCAGCGGCGCGTGCGGTTGTACGATTATGAGCCGCGGCGGTTGGTGCGAGAGCTGGGGAACGGGGGGCCCCGATGTGGGGGCGTGGCCCGATGCGCGTCGGCGGCGGCGGAGAGAGTGGGCGCACCGCACCACGGCGCAGCGCTTTAACATCTAACGGGGCCGTTTGCTGTGTGCAACTCCCAGATCCCCAATTGCACCATCAGTCAGTCAGGGTATCAACATGGCCGACGCAGCACTCGCCCGCCTCCACGCCGCCGCGCTCACCGCGCGCTGCCACAACGCTTTCTTCCGCCAGAAGCAGCTCAAGGCGCTGCACGACGCCCTGCGCCAGGACAGCAACACGCTCAAAGACGCGATTAGGGCGGATACGCGCGTCCCCGAGCAAGAGGCGGCGCGCGAGGTCGCGCTGGCGCTGGACCTGGTCCGGGAGCACTATGCCGCCATCGACCCGGCGACGGAGCTGGAGCGCGAGTACCGCGTTGCGAAGGGCAGGGACGCGGAAGACCAGACGACTCCGTGGGGGGTGGTTTATATTGAGCCGCTGCAAACACATACGCCGTTGTTCTCGGCCGTTTCTGCGCTGAGCGCGGCGCTGAGCGCGGGGAACTGTGTGGCGCTGAGGGTGCGTATGTGCTGTGTCTCTCCATCCCACGTCTGACGATATGACAGCTGGACAACAGTCTCCGCGCGCTGCCGACGCTGCTGCGCGCGCTGCTCACCGCGGCGCTCGAGCCAGACACGTTCGCCGCCGTGGCCGCCGCGCCGTCCGCAGACGCGCTGGCAGGCTGTTTGCAGGTGCTGCAGGACACCCACGTCGAGCAGCCGACGCACTTCCAGCTCGTGTCGCAGCAGCGCCGCGTCATCGCCATCGTCGACCGCACCGCGGACCTGGCATCCGCGGCGCAGAGCCTGGTGGCCGCGCGCTTCGGCTTCGGCGGGCGCTCGCCGTACGCGCCCGATCTGGTGCTCGTGAACGAGTTTGTGCACGAGGACTTCGTGGGCCATGTGCTGCGCGCCGCGATCCCGTATGTCGCGGGCGCGGGCGTCACGGGACCGAAAAGCCCCAGCAGCAGCCCGCAAACTCTCAACGCACACGCCGCCATCACCCCGCTGCCGTCGCTGACCAGCCTCTCCGCCCTCCCTGCACCCACCGCCCACCCCTCCCTCCCCGTCTCCCCCATCACCTCGCTCGAGCACGCGCTCAGCCTGCTCGACGCCGACGGTGCCGCCGCGCCCCTGCGCGCAGCCTACTTCTTCGGCAGCCCCGCGACAGGGAAGTACCTCGCGCAATACACCGCCGCCGCCCTCGCGCTCGTGAACCACATCCCCCCTGCGCTACTCCTCGGCCCCGCAGCCCCCGCGCACCACGCCCCCTCGCTCGACTTGCGGTACACGCGCACGCACTTCTCGCGCCCGGCACCCGTGTACGTAGCACCGCGCGGGACCACAGGGGAGCCGTGGAAAGTGGACGCGAGCGAGGCGCTGCGCACAGCGGGGCGGGAGATCGGGCAGAAGAAGAGGGCTGAGTGGATCGCGATTGGGTATTTTGAGCAGGGGATTTTGCTCGGGTTGGGGGTGTATGGGGTGCCGCTGCTGGCGTGTGTGGGGACGGGGGTGTTTTATGGGATGCGTGCTGGGTTAAGGCGGTTTGCGATTGTGTGAGGGGTGTGGAGTACATAGTTCGGTATTGTTAGGCTTTGGTTGTTGAGGGTATGTGGATGAATTGTCCGTGGATTGGTCGGAATAGGCTGGCCCGTCGAGGTGCATAATCGGTATCCTGTCTCTCCTCTTGAAATCCTCTGGTCATGTGATTTCCGGCGCGGTACTGTCGGGATATTGATAAACTGCTGCATTCGATCCGGCACTATGTTGAGCGCCGGGCTGAAGTGTGAACGTGTCATATTTCTACACATGCCGGTACTGTTGACCACCACATACACCGCTATACATCCGCCACCGTCATATTGATACAAGATGTGATACACCCCAAACCCCGCTGTCTCGTCGTCTGGGTCATGCCATCCCCCCAACTGCCTCTCATTGATATCCCTCGAACCATATCGAAGCCTACCACACCCGACACAGCGCCATCCCCCCCAACTGCCTCTCCACACACTCCCTGGCCTCCAGAATCCCCCGATCGGTCGTCAGGAACATGCACTCGCCCGGGTGCGTCAGCCCCTTGACATAGCTCGACTCGCGCGTGCGCGTGATCTTATTCAGGTCCGCGGCGGTCAGCCAGATGCGCCGCGTGGGCTTGGAAATCAGCTGCATGTGCGTGAGCACCGGCGCGTTGTTCCAGTACTTGAGCCCGAGCCAGAGGCGGCGGCGCGCGGGGTTCGACGGCACGCCGGCGGGTGCGGGTGCAAGGGCGCCGGCGGAGGGTCCTAGCGCGATCCGTGTTGCGGCGGGCGAGTGCACGGCGTACGCGGCTGATGGGTCGGCGGCGAGGGTCTGCGCCAGCGCCTCGTTGGCTTCCGGCGTGGGGAGCGTTTCTAGGTGGAAGGGCCGTGGGGGCGTGACGCCGCCCAGTGTTACGGAGGATAGGAAGCCTTCGCGCTGCAGCCCCAGGACGAGGTTTACGTGCATTTTCGACACGGGGATGGAGGTCAGCCCCAGGCGCGCTTTGGAGGCGTTTTGCAGGTGCGAGCACACGTGGGCGAGGTTGACGAGCGACATGGTGCGGTGGCGGTGCCCTCGCGGGCTGCGTGGGATAGCGGGGTATTGGACGGGGTGCTCGGGTGCGCGGCGGCGGGTGTGCGGCTGGGTCGATGCGCGGGGGTGTGCAATTGCGCGGTGATGTCGTCGCAGTCGTCGCAGTCGTAAATTTCTCGGAGTCGCGTCTGCGGCCGGAGGTCAGGGGTCCGAGCTCCAACTCCGCTGCTGGCTGCTGGCGCTTGGATTGGGGCTAGCCGGGCGGGCGCTTCGAGGACCAATGTCAGCCTCCAAACGGCGACGGCTCCCTGATCCTAGCGTGCGCATGCTCGGAGGGTTCTATATATTGCTTTGGTCTCTTGTCGTGATTTCTGCGTGTCCATAATCTTTGTTCTCAGCTTGTTGCGTGATTTCTGGATTGATTGCTGAGCTGGAGTACGAGAGCAGACCGCTTACACCCCGCACGATGCCTCCACAGCAGGGCGAGGTCTCGTTGACGACGCTGTAGGCTGCCTGATTGTTGTGGGTGACGAGCACTAACACTGTGACAGCTTCGCAGACATCCACTACTACTTCTCCCCGCCGACCCAGCAGCCCCCGCACCACCGCTTCGATAAGAGCTCCTATGTCTATCTCTACCACAACCCCATGCGCCAGACTGGGCGCGTGGAGATTGCAAACCACCCCGGAACCCCAAACCAGGATGCCTTTGCTGGCCGTGAGTCTTACGCAGCCACGTGAGACCAAGCTAATCATGACTAGTCCTGGACATTGTGAAGGTCGAGCAGAGCTACAAGCACCCATGCCTGTTCACTCTGACTGTCGACGCATTCCGCGACCAGCATGGCAGTCCAGCTTCTACGCCCCAGCAAGACATGTCCCAGTGGCATCTCCCCGTGCCCGACCCGCACAACCAGGGCAAGTACATGTACAGGATCCACACAATCGACGTCTATCTGTGGACGCCGAACGATGCGAGCATGTTCCTGGACTCGCTGCGGCGGGTGATGCAGCCGCACCAGCTGCAGATTATCGCAGACCCGCACGCCGTCACACCAACATCAGCACACGACTACAAGACCGACACGATGAGCCCCGTGATTGCGAACCTCGAACGCGCCGCCATCTCACACCAGAGCCGCACGCCCAGCATAAGCAGCACGCAGGCTTTCCCCGGGCCTCCACAGGCCGCGTTCCCTGGCCCACCAGCTGCTCGTACATCAACAGCCAGCCCGGCCTTCGCGCCCATGGCCTACAATCCTGCTGCGCCCGCGGCACCAGAGCCCATCGCCCACCGCGAGAAGACGCCGCCGCCGCCAGACGCCGCAGACGGCACGGGGCTCATGGGCGGGCCCGTCCACAGCTCGCAGCCGCAGTACAGCAACCCGCTGCAGGCCTCGTTCACGCCCCAGCAAACGACCGGCCCCTACACGCCCGGCCTGCCCGCGCCCGGCCAGGGCTTCAGCGGTCCCCCCAGCGCCCACCGCCAAAGCACATCCGGGTCGCTGCCGCCGCCGCCGCAGAGCCCTCCCTCGTTCGCAGGCCCGCCCCAGTCCGCGCCCCCCGCAGAGTCCTACAACCCCACCAGCCCGCCCGGCATCCAGCGCCAGTCGTCGCTCCCCGTGCAGCAGTACGCCGGCTACGGCGCGCCCGGCTACAGCAGCGGCCCCCAGTCCCCCGGCCTGCCGTCGCCGGGCCTGCACCAGCCGCAGCACTACCTGGGCTACGCGCAGCACCAGTACGGCAGCACCGGGCCCGCGCCCGCGCCCAGCGACCCCGCCGATCTGCACAAGCAGTTCTACCGGCCGACCGAGCAGGAGGCCAGTGTCACCGACCACGCGACGCCGGGCGCGGCGCCCAACTCCAACATGGGCAAGCGCGTGGTCAAGGTCGAGAAGGGCGTGGGCCGGTTCCTGAAGAAGCTGGATAGCAAGTGGTGAGAGGGTGTTGTTTTAGCCAGCGTTGCGTGATGTTCTGAATATACCCACTCGTTAGATTTACTATGTACTTTGTATGAGCTGGCCCACGTGTAAGATGCGATCCGCGTGAGTGTGATTCGCTGGCCCGGCTGTCAGATGCGGTCACAGCGCCAATCAAGGACCACGCTAAGCCGCGGGAGCTGGCGCTAGCGCGGGCCCAGAATAGCAGCCGGTTTTCGAGGCCTGCTGAGGTGAGGGCTGCGTGGTGCGAGATGCGCGATGCGAGTTGTGAGATGCGAGACGAGACGCAGGATGGGGGGATTGCGCGAGCTTGGTGACATCCCTGTGCGGTACGCAGCACGTCACGGTGACCGAGGTCGGGTCCAGGCGTAGCGGGCCAGCCAGCACAGCACTGCACAGCACAGCACAGCGCCGCCCCAGCCACAGCTCCACCTCAGCCCTGCACTCCTACGCAGCGCCAAGCCGAGTCCAGCCAGAGCTGCCTGCTGCATCCATCTCCCCTCCCTGTCCGTGTCTTCACAGCGGCGTGCAATTGCTTTACCCTTTGACGTTCCCTGCCGTTGACGTTTCCTGCCGTTGACGTCGCTAGCGCGTGTCAAGTCCGCGGCCCCGGGCCTGCTCCACTTCCCTGGCGGTGATCTCATTTCCAACAATTTCCGGCGAGCTGAAGAGCGTGCCAGCTGCCCGACGGCTGCCCTGAACGCTCCTGCAATGCGGCTGCCCACGTTGGACGCGCGCGCGCCCGCCCTCGAGCGGCGGCTGGACCAGCAGAACCGCAGCTTCGTCATTGTAGGTGCAGTGGGATGAGACGAGACGAGAGACACTACTGACCGCCCCGCAGATCTCCATCATCGTCGTCGCCGTCTTCGCCATCCTGCTCACCACCTACCTCGTCACCCTGCGCTTCCGCCGGCCCTTCTCGTCCCTCCGCAGCAACGACAAGCCCCGCGACATGCTCCCCTCCCTCTTCTCCTGGTCCCGCCTGCGCGGCACCCGCCATGCCTACTCCAACTCGCTCCAAGACTCCACCCGCGGCCCCAGCGTCAGCGACAGCACCCGCGACCGGGCCCCGAGCAACGCCTCCGCCGAGCCCGCCGGCGTCGACCGCAACACCTCGATCCGCAGCATCATGACGCTCCCCTCGTACTCGCGCTCCGTGCGCGCCAACGAGCGCCTGCTCGGCCGCGCCGGCGACCGCGACGGCATGGACAACGTACTCGAGCTGCCCGAGTCCGCGACCGAGGAGGAAGCCACCCGCAACGCCGAAATGGAGTCGCTGTACCAGATCCGGCTGGCGCGGCGCGCGGAGGCGGCGGACCGCGAGGCCCGTCGGCAGGCCCGCCGCGACGCGCGCGCCCGCGGCGACACCATCGCGCTCGCGGATATCCGGCGTGCGGCCGATGCGGCCGCGGACGCGCAGGTCAGCGCGCTGCTGATTGCGGAGCACCAGGGGCGCGGGCGCGAGCGGCGCGTGTCGGCGGTTAAGTACGCGGATGTCGGGGTTGCGCGGCACGACGGGACGCGGGTGCGCGCCGGCGAGGACGAGAGCGATACGCGGGGGTTGCTGGACGGCGCGGCGTCGTTCGGCGGCCGCGAGCGGGGTCTCACGACGACATCCACAAACTCGTTTAACACGCTGGGCACGGGGCACGAGCGCGGGGGCTCCGTGTCGTCGGCCGCGCGCTCGTCGGTGGACAGCCGCGCCGACGGGAGTGCCGGAGGCGGGAGCCGTAACGCCTCGCGCGCGGCTTCGCTGGACGCAGGCACCGCGCTCGCACACACGAACACGCACTCGAACGCGCACTCCCCCGCCGCCAGCAGAGACGCGAGCCCCCACCCGCTCCCCGCCGAGGACGCGCCGGCCTACGAGGACCCGCCTGATTACTCGAGTCCCGTGGACCGCCGCGCACCGCTGCTGCCGCGGGTCCCGGATGCGTCGCACGCGCGGCAGGCGAGCTTTGAGCGGCAGGCGAGTTTTGGCGGGATGGCGGGGGAGGGCAGGCGGGCTAGTATCGCGCGGTCCGTGGATGCGAATGTGACGCAGCCGCTGAGTCCCTCGCGGCAGTCGAGTTTTGGAGCGCAGTCGAGTGTCGGAGCGCAGTCTAGCAGAGACAGGCCCTCGGGTGCTGAACGCCCCTCCGGACCCCCCCGGGTGCCCAGTCTGCAGCGCCTGCCCAGTCTCGAGCGAATGCCTAGTCTGCGAGTCGTGATGACGGCGCCGACGCCTGTGGATGGCGATATGGCTGCGTTTCGGTAGTGCGCCGCCACCCGCAGACGGCGGATCTGAGGCCGGGGACGGGCGTGCGGTAGCGGTAGCGGTGGACGACAGAACGTAACCCTCGGTGACCGCGCTGGGGGTGTTGTGCCGGATGCGGAGATGGGGGTGTCGACTCGCACCGCACCGCACGCTCCCGCCGCACGCTCACCGGATCCTCGCTTCTCGCTACCCAGCCCCGACTCTCGAATCCAGGGTCCCGGAGGGGGAGACTCGTGCTCGATGATCGCATGTCGACGGTCGTTTCGGCGCGTGCTTCGGGACACTTCACCTCGGGTACCCCATGCCCGATTATCAAGCTCCTCGGCCCTGGGTCTCGGCTTCTGAGATCGCAACACCCATACACACTCGAACCCGGCCCATCACATCTCCCTTTCAGATCCTGACACATCGGACACCAGATCTAGACTTTGCCATGTACTGTATTGGATTGCGGCTCACAGATTCTGGTCTTGAGCCTCGAACACCTAATAGTTTTTTCGCGTTTCTTTTAGCGGTACTGGACTTCACAGCGCTTTGTATTGCGCTGTCTTGCGCGACGGACGCATGGACGGGACGGCGGACGGTGGGTTTGTATACACGCGGACGCACAGATGTACAGGCGGATGCACATACCCAAAGGCAGATGGACACACACACGGACGGAGGTGGACATACAGAGATATACACACACACGGAGGCGAAGACACAAACACACGGACAAGGACAGACACGGAAATGTATACTCGAAGGTGGAGAGCCGCAAATCCACACACATACACAGAAACGGACGCACGCACGCACGAGACACGACTGCATAGACATCCTGCTTGGTACAGCACGGCACTGGGATGCGTTGGCTTATCACGATACACCAGCCCTTGAACAGACAGCAGAGCAGACGCACTACCCACGTACTGCACGCCTGCTTTCCGCACTGCACGGACAAGTCAGGAGAATCAACACCATTCCACCATCGCCAATCCACACACACACATACACACGCACGCAGACTAGCAGGCGGACGACACACACACAGAGAGAAAGAGTAGCGCACAGACAACAGAATCACGGACACGAACACACGCGACCGGCACCGCGCACGAGATACGATAGCATAGGCGTGGGCGTTGGGATTGCTCTACAACGGCGCTTGGATGGGAAGGAGGCGCTTGGCTGGGACGGGACGCGCGTGTACAGACTTGGGGTGTTTAATACCATTGTTGCATGACTTGCGTGCTTTCATTCGGTGCAGGTTCGTGCTTTCACTCGGTTCAGCTTCGTGCTTTGCATTCCGTTCTGTCTGAATCTGTGGGCTGCGCGTCGTCGAAAGAGATGCTGAGTGCCGACAGGCTAGATGCTGGATCTGCCCTAGGATCCCTGGGTTTGGATCGAAACGCAGCCAAGCTCGAAGCCCACGATGGAGTCCCACGATGGAGTCCCACGATGGAGTCCCTCGCCCAGATCCCTCACCCAGACCCTTCACCACGTCCCCCACCACACCCCGCCACACCCACCCCACCCGCCTACGCATGAAACGCATAATACTGCCCAATATTACTCAAACTCGCCCCCCCATTATCCACCAACCGCCCATCCCCCGTACTCGCCATGAAATACGCGTACCGATGCACATCCGCCGACACGTCCAGCCACGGCAGCACCTCGTCCAGAAACGCCTTGACCTGGTCGTCGGACCCGGCGGCCTGGAACTCGGTGATCCACAGCGGGCGGCCGGCGGCCAGGGTGCGGGCAAGGTTGATGTGGGATTTGAAGTAGGCGGCGTTGAGGGCGTGGTCGTACCTGGGGTCTGTGAGCGGGTGTGTGGTGCGGGACGCGGGACGTGTGCTGTCAGCCGCGGAGTGCGGAGTGTGGGACGAACCAGTGGATCGCGATGAAGTCAACCGTGCAGCCTGTGCAAGCGGCCAGGAACGAGGAGAGGTATGCGAGTCCGCCCGCGCCGTTCGTCACCGCCGGCGAGCCCAGGTACATTTTCTCCTTCAGCGCGTGCTGCGGCTCCATGTACTCTTTCCACGTGGCCACGGCGGTGTTGACGTCCATGCACGAGCCGCCCATGCCGGGCCTGGGGTATCGTATTAGCACGCTCCCTCATCATCTCGCTTTGGAAGGCGAAGTCCTACTGGCACGTGTCCGGCTCATTGAAGCCGAGGAGGTGCGTCGGCGCATCCGGGTTCGCGAGCGCGGCGGCCCGCACGTCCGCAGCCCATTTGCCCGTGTGGTCGCCGCGGTTCGAGTGCAGCATGGGGACGAACTCGTAGGCAGTGTTGAGGGGGGGCGTGCGGCTGTCCCAGTTGTACGCCCTGGGTGGTCAATTTTGGCGTGTGGGGTGAAGGGGGGGAATGTACCAGGTCACGTGCGAGCCGTACTGGTTGAACATGGCGACGTATTTGGCGTCGTTGTAGGACACGCCGCGGCGCGAGGGGCCGCCGGTCTCCGGGGGAGCGCGGGCGGAGAGCTGCGAGAGGGGAGTTGCGGAGACGCAGATGAGGAGCGCCAGGACCGCGAGGAGGGTCTGGAAGGGGGACATCGTGCTCGATGTGCGTGGAGTCGACGATGGAAGGGTAGACGTGATAAGGTGGAGTTTGTAAAAGAACAAAGGTGGTTGAGAAAATTGGGGTGCCTTGGGTGGCTTATATACAGTGGGGATCACGGTGAAGGCGAGTGGGTCCGTCGCGCTTTTCGCAAGCGACTGCAAGTGAAGCGCACAGGCAGATCGCGGATAATCTGAAAAGGCGTAGATTGCAGACTATGATGAACTGCTCAATCAACTTTCGAGACTTGACCACGACTACTCGATGCGCAAGGCATACTCGCGTCGACCATGCAACCCACATCAGCTGCAGCACGTCCAGCACCTCGAAGCCGCACAAACATCCGCATGCATCTGTAAACAAAGCCCAGAACCGCCGCAGTCTGCCGTCGTACAAGCACAATCCACGCTCACCCCATGGCAGTGCCAGCTCAAAGACGGACGAGCACAGTCAGCGTGACTTGTCTTTCAACACGACCATGGATCGAGTGCAGCAGCAGTGTTGATGAAAGAAAGCGGTGTCGTGCTGTCTTTCAGGTGTGCTAGCGTTCCGGGCGCGCGTTGTCTCGCTTTGTTCTGCTTTGTCGTGGGAACGTTGGCTGCTTGCCTCGAGTATCACCATGACCAGGGTAGGTGTGCCTTTGAGTCTATGTGGAGACGGGGCTCTCGATGAGAGGGCAGCGTTGTGTCGAGTCTCCTGCAGCATCGAGCCGGATACATGGCAATAGCGGGTTCAAGACACCGCCAGAATGTTAGGAAGGCGTCAGATCCATGGAGTGTGGATACTGCTTCTTTCGCCGGTGCAGTGGAAGTCGACAACGGACTATCTGGTGAGCTCGGCATAGCGAACGACTGTAATGCCAGGCCGTGCTATGAGGCATTCCTCTGCTTGAATAGAGTGGTTACTACCACCAGATGGCGGCGAAACGAGATACCGAACAGTTCTGCTTGCACAATCTTGCGGTCTCAATCGTTTCCTTTTCCCGAAACCTTTATTTTTACCTTTTTTTTGAACTGCCAGCAAAAAGAGCAAGGTACCCAGCCTCGTAGTTACCACAGTATCGTGCACTGACGACTCATCTCCCGACATGAATCGATGTAATCTGGTCCAACACGGCTAGATGAAGACTTAAGTAACCTTCTTATAGCTGGAGGTGTCTTGCCGATGCATCAAGTGACCAAACGAGTCTCCTCGCAATCACTCCGAGTCTTGCTCAATTTTCGACAACCTATCAGCGGCTTCAAAGTTGGACTACAGTCTTCTTAGCAAAAGCACGTAACGGGACACACTTGACAGCTTGGCTGCATGCTGAACCACTCACTATTTGCAAGGGGAGTAATCAATCCACCTGTTTCTTTATTCTATGTTCAGGTCACACGTTGCCACCGGCTCCAGCAGCATGCTGAGCCACCCGACATGAGTGTACGCGCCAACGAGCCGTATTAGGTGCCGATGGCTTATCTTCTTCACGCACTTGAAATCCTTTCTGAGGACTGTGTCTCGGGTTGTCTCTTCAACCAAGGACGTATAGCGAGATGATAGTACATATACATAGAATAGATGGGCGAACATCTGTTATCAGTGCTTGTAAGAATGTGCAGATCCCCCCAACTATGGAACAGAGATGTACCTGTAGGTAGTAAAGGCCTCTAACTGGCTATAAGAGTCTATTCAGACGTCCTGCAGGGCAATAACGAGGGGTTAAACTAATGATAGGATGATGTGTTAATTTCTATCGTACGTAGCTACACCGCGTAATCTGTTCCACAGTTGTTGGGGCTTACATAAGTGGCTAACGGTTGTAGTGAACTAATTGTATGAAAACATTGCGATGTGGCGCATGAAGCAAGTGAAGTAGGATTTAGTCTCTATCTACTAAATAAACTAAGCTTAGTAAGTATAGATCTGTTCTGTAGCGCTCTCTTCTACGCTCGGTAACACAAGATCTTGTCCAAGTTCAATCTGCTGATCTACAAGTTCCCTTACAGAGTCCTCCACAGCTGTCCACTGAATCTTCAACAGCTCTTCTGTTCTTTCTGAACGCGGCTTGATTGGGTCAGGAAGGGGTCCCTTGACTCTCACCCCGAGACCGGGATACTCTCTCTTGATGAAATCCAACACCACCTCCCACGACCATTCCGGCGAGCCGAGAAGAAACTCGTTCACACCAGCCTGCAGCGCCGCGTCCAGAACGCGCAAGTGCGCAAGCGCAACGTCCCGCACGTCGACCCCGAGAATCGGGAACGACACTTTTTGCGTGAACAGAGACATCCACAGCACGCCATTGCTGGAGCCAGACGAGGCAGGTACTTGCAACAGATGCTTGCCGATCGACAGCGCTGGATGCGTGGTGACGATGTCGAAGTGCAGGGAGGCGTACGCGTTGGCCCAGTCGAGGCACGCCCTGTGCGCTAGGACCTTGGACGCGTGGTACATGATCATAGGGTGCATAGGCGGAGCCATGGACTCCAAGTTGAGATCAATGTCGTGGGAAGTACCCGCTGAGCTGTGGTTAGCGTGTATCTTGGCGGGGTAGTGGTGATGAAGGAAGTGTTTGATGAAGACGGGGGACCAAAACGGGGCCGATTGACAAATGTGTGGCTGATTGGGCGAGGAATCTGCTAGACTGATGCGGAGCAGACAACTTACGCGTGACCTCTGGGAGTTGCTGTGCTACCCAGTCCAACGGCATGAATACATTGGCGGAAGATGTAATCACAACACGCTTCACTGACGGCGCTTGTTGTGCTGCTTCGAGGATTGCGACCGTGCCTCTGACGGCAGGCTCTTCGTAGTCACGTTTGAAGTCGGAGTTAGCGCCAGGAATCGGGGATGCCAGGTGCAAAATATAACGGACGCCGTTTAGTGCACTGTGGAAGGAATCGCTTTTCGTGATATCAGAAATGACGATGAACTCGAGCTGGTCAACGTGTTTTGGAAAGAGGTCCTTCATGTCTTGGATGGCTGACTCCCTCCGCACACTCAGGCGAGCACGATGACCAGCTTCAAGAACCTCCTTGATGACATGGCAACCGATGAAACCCGTACCACCGGTGATGAAAACGAGGTCCGCTGGCATGGTGAGAGCTGATGGGTTCTTAATGGGACACAAATCCTGTAGAATGGAAGTCTTTGCAGTGTGAGATATGCTGAAGAGGAAGCTATGATAGTAACTGCCAGCGGCCTGTAGGTATATAATGTGTAGTCTCAACCTTACTTTTCATTCAATATTGTGGATGTGTGAATATCAGACATGATAGCACTAATAGTCGTGACGACATCAAACGCCGATTGATCGTTCATTATTCATCGTTTAACAAGCCCGCGTCCTAGAAACGGAGATAACGGCGAACCGATCGGTGGAAAATGCGTTGTGCTGAGGCAACTTGGTGCAAGGACGAAGACACCACCTGACGTAACTGGAGCCCTGTTAATTCCCATCCCTGTAATCGCACGGTTGTTTGTAGTAATAGGCCCATATTTCTTCTAGCCTTCGGCACTCGGACACGTATGAGGCCCCACTCGCTCGCAACACATTAAAGGCCGAGTACTATAACCTCGGAGTTAGTACACCCTGTGTTACACAACACCCTCTCTTGTAGTTTTTAGACCTGCTCCGCCTCTCTATACCTCTTCCACAACACCTCTGTATCTCCACACTTACACCACGACTTGAGGGTCTAGAGTCTAGAGCCCGAGATCCAGACCCGGAGCCCGCGCGTTTGGACATTGAATCGTGCGTTTGAGGATGGAACTGTGACTTGAAAGTGTGCGTTGGTTAGGTGGGGTTAACTTTGCGGGTTTTGGGTCTTGCTTCTTTCTTCTTTCTTCTTTCTTCTTGCTTCTTGCGTCTTGCTTCTTGCGTCTTGCTTCTTGCGTCTTGCTTCTTGCTTCTTGCTTCTTACTTTTTGATTCTTGCTTCTTATTTTTTGATTCTTGCTTCTGGATCCCTGATTCCCGATTCCTGATTTCCGAGTCGTTGATTCTCGGGGCGCTGCTGTGACACTGCGAGACTGCAAGACTACAACACTAAAACACTGCGCAACTAAACGACTGCAAGATAAAGTGTCCAAATCTACAAGACCGTTACTGTGCAAGCCTATACGTGTGAGCCCACAAGCCTATGAGCCAGCAAGCCCACACGCTCGCGCACCCAAATGCTTGCAAAACCATACGACCACGCAAAACTATGCGCCTGTGCAAGACCCTATATACAAGTCTATGTACAAGACCGTTTAAAAGCCTATGTACCAGCCTATACAAGACGCTGTGTAGGAGCCTATGTACAAGCCTGTGTAAGACTCTATATAAGACCCCGTGTACGTACACCCACCCACAGCCACGAGAGTGCGGATCCAGTGTGGTATAACCTATAAGTTCTGTAGGTAAATCCGCTATAACAGGGATACCTATTAGAGAACACACAATAGTCCCATGATTGAATTATACTAAATCCTACCTAGTATCACATGCATTATAACACAGCTCTATACTTGCCTGTATCCCGACATAATCATTACGATAAATCCTTAACCTGCTCTCTCTCTCTCTATCTTTGACTGTTAATACTTTCTACCTATAGTTAGTAATCATTGCCGGCACCACTCCTATAAGTGTAAGAAGTTTCAACCCAGATGGCAGTGTCGCTTCATACACTCAATACTCAGGGACTGGTCTGCTCGAAGAGACAGCTAGTCAGGGTATCTTCAACTAGTTTGTCACATAGCTCTGCGTTTTCAGGGCCGTGTGACTTGCGGGACGTGTCATCTATGTCACTATAGAGCCACCAGCTGTCTCGATCATCATCTTGGTTGGCCAGAGGACCTTACTTCCAAACGCAAGTGAAGGGATAAAGCTTTACTTTGCAAGGTGGTGCACTTCAGCTCTGCAAGGCCCTAGGATCCGGCAGGATGCCGTTGGCCAGGTCTTCTGTTCAATCAGTGTCGGCTTCGGATACTTCACGTCGTGGGCGGCCTATTGCTCGCAGTACCCAAACGCCGGGCAAGATGCCATGATGATCGGCCTCAGATTCACAGGCTGTATGATCAATTGAATCATCGAGTGTCAAAGATTGATTAGATCGCTGCTTTGTCGGGTTCAAGACCTCAAATTCGACTTCTCAGAGGGCAGGTCATCCTGCAAAGGTAGACATGGTGCCCCTTGTGTTATAGCACAGTGCCTCGCAGCGGTTCCATACACAAAACGTTGGAACTGGGACATTAGCCATTGGATGTAGGCACAACGTCTACCAGAGCAAATCCCCCGCTTTGGCCAAAGAAAGACCCCTCAACCGACGCAAACGCCGAGAGCCCTGCCAACTCGCCGTCTCTGAAGGGTTCTTGATCATCGCGAACGGAGGTGATGTTCAGAACGTCTCCGTTGCTGAATTCGAGCATCCATCGCTTTGAGTAGGTGTTGTTGGAGCGTGGGGATGTCCACACCTCCAATGGATAGGTGGTCATGGTAAAGCGGATGATTTCGAGACCATGTTTAGTCCGCACCGTTGCGAAGCGCAAGTGCTGATCCTTGGGAACCGTGCTGTCAGAGAACCAAACACTGGCTTTGACTTCAGAGTTCGGGAACTGTATTCCAAACCATGTGAAGCCCACGCTTGGTCCACCAATGCCGTGCTGGCGATCATACCAGGTAAGTGACCGTGTTTCGTCGACATCGTACGCTTTGCCTTCAACCAGCAAGGTGCCCGAAGTTGCGCAGCTTGGGAGTGACCATTGGGTCGTGTTACCGGTGCCCCAGTCGAAGTGCCCGGTGCCCGCATTGAGTATGACACGGCTAGTTGCTCGGATAGTCAGATTGTAAGCAAAGTCGGAAGTCGACCCACGGGTCAGCATTTCGGAGATGCTGTCTTTAGAAACTCCTTCGACGGCAAAGTCGCCCGCGTCGAATATAAGTCTTCCATCTACAGATGGAGAGGCAGTGAGCAAAGGGCGAGACTCGATATACGACCAGTACTTCTCTGGATGATCGATGTCTAGGATGGAAGCGCGGAAGGTGGCAACACCGTCTGGTAGAGCGAAAGCCTGTGATAACACGACGTACTGACGGTCGTCCAAGGTGGTCAGGTAGGAAGCGAACCAAAAAGAGCTTGTCAAAGAGGCAGCCGGAGGTGTCAGCTGGGACGCCTGCAAAGAGTACTGCGCTGGCAACTCTGGCTACGACGGAGGTGTCCCTGGTTAGTCGTGTCTTTGCGTTCGTGTGCCCTGCAGCAAATCTCAGACAGGTAGACAGAAAGCACTTACGTCCTCAAACTCGGTATCCTGTTCCGGCGAGAAGAAGTAACGTTGAGCAGAGCACCTCTGCAACAACAGCAAGCCAAGAATCAGACGCATGCTTATAGGTAGGGGGAAAAGATGCTAGAAAGATGCGAACGTTTTTCGGGCTGTACCAGACACTAGGTAGTGTCTGGCTTTATGTATACCACATCAACTTCACAACCGGCCTGACCGGGTACAAGGCGTAACTAAGTAGAGGGCTTGGTCAAAGCGGCAGCACAGATCACGACTCGCACAGTCACCAATCGGACAACGTGCCTTTTGCCCGAGCACGGGCCAATGCCCTCTACTTATGCCTTGTACAGTACCCACGTCAATTTCATCTTTTGAATCCGCAGATGCGCCGAGCGGATCACAAAAACTCCGAGCCGTGCTTGGCGTTGCCGTCACTGTCTAACGACCTGTTCAAGACACTCACAACTGTGTTCCCCACATTCAAGACGATTGGGAGTAAAAAATCGCTGTTCCGCAAAGGCAGTGACACGAACCTTGGGTAGGGATCTTGGGACTGTTCTGGAGATGATGATAGGACCTTGTTCCGTCCACGTTCCGCGTCCAGAGGAAATTTGTGCGAGTGGCCAGATTTTGTCCAGCGTTGCAGAAGTCATAAGTCCCGTTCACTTGGTCTGGAGAAAACAAATTTTTTGTTCTCATGCTAGGTATTCACGATATCTCCAGTGCGCTGCCTAAACTCTATTTTTCCTGGGAAATCCTCGGGCGCACCAATGCGCCGTACGCGTGCATTATTTGTTGCACGATTGATCCTCTGTGAACCACGACTATGATTCATGCATTCATGCGACGGAAAGAGAACAGTGTGACTTACACTTATAGCGGCTGGCCAGAGTAGAAGGCTCTTCGAGTCGAGTCATCGTTGCCTCAACCCGAACTTATAAGATAATAAATGACGAACATGCTGCTCAAGCCAATGATGGCGCCTATGGCGACGGACATCAGAATGATGTAGAGCCAGCGCTCGACGAGCCACTGCTCAAGAGCTTTTGGAATACCACCTCCAAGCCGTCCCACCTTCGCAGAACTATCATAGCATCCAGCAATGTAGGATGCTCCTAGGAAGCTAAAGTTACATCTAAAGCAAAAAGAAGTTTTGTCTAATGCCGTCATCGAGTTTTGACTATGAGTAGAGAGTGTGACCTAAAGCATAAGAAAATAAAGCCACAGCAGTGGATTAGAATTTTCAGGTGTCCTAGCAAGATTCTTCTAACGTGCAGTAACTGAAGTGCGCGCTGAGGATGTGCACATACGCAATTGCATGCTATTTTCTACTATCTCATTATTCAATACTATCTATCTTCTTACTATTAGGTACGACAACGATCGACACAGCAACGAGCCAGAGCTCTATCTTTAGAGTTCACACCTTCCTTAATCGGAATTCACAACGCAGATTACCCTTGGGCAGACTCAGCAGTTCAAAAGCGCATCAACTTCGAACTAATGGGTCTTCTTTTTGTAAAGTCTTACATGTGTAATGATGACACATACACACAGCACAAGACAGATGGTCGGGATCATCCACGCACTGCCCAACCATACAATCATTTGGCCATCGTTGTACCGAATCGCTGATAAGCAGCAAAGTGCGACCCCAAAGGCGGCGCAGATAGCCGATCGTATGTAGATCGAGAGGCGGCGTTCGTGTTTAGGAAGGGAGAGGACGCCAAGAGCTGTGATGAGAATGAGTGCGAGACCGCCCTGGTTTATGTCAGTATGAGTAGAACAGCTGAGGAGGGTGAACCTACAGCGATGAAAGTATAAGTCATGACCAGGTCGAAGATGGCGTAGTACTGGTTGCTCACTGTCTCAAAGTCTGGCAACGATTTGCTGCTCGTCTTGCTTTTGCTCTTGGCCACAGTGACACTGAAACTATCAAACAAAGTCTTGAGAGTCGAAATGGTTATGTTGTTAAATCCGTAGGCAGATCGTAGGCTGTGATATTGTTGGGATCATCAAGCACGTTGTTAATACCCTCCCAAAGATCGTAGGTAGCCGTCGCCACAGCCTCGATTTCCTTGGACGCATCAACACCTTTCGGAACATATAGATAAACATGGTTGTAGGAGGTTTCATTAGCAAAGGATGCGAAGATCCATCCGACCGTTTTGTTCTCGCCGTAGGCTGCTGCCCACGATCCGAAATATGTGCCTTCCGGGAAAGTTGAAGCATTTTCCACGTTTTCGACAACGGCTGCGAGCCATTGAATCGCTGGTGCAAAGTCTGTGACCCAGGCGTTCATTGCTTCCACCGCCTGTCGCCAGATGATGAGTAGCGATACTCCTTGCAAGACAAGTACCAAGACAAGGTGGAGCGGGAAATGCAAGATCGACCACATCTGTTGCTTGATACTCCCAAAATGTTCTTCCTGCATACGGTCGAAGTACAACTGGTAGTACCAGTAGATAATAAGTACCGCCGCGATGATCTGGCCCACGACAGCTGCCGACCAGAGGAACTCGTTTTTCACGATCTTCGAGATTGACTTGCAGACAACGATGATGCCTTCTCCAAGAATTATCAGGGACAGGAGGGACATCCGCTGTACCATATGTGTGCCGACAAACGAGATAACATCCCAGTAGCAGGAAACTGCAACAGTAAGGATGGTTTCCGAGATGGCGATGATGTACCACGCAATGTAAGCATTAGAGTACGTCTCTTCGATCGTCTCATTGGGGAAGATAGGGGTTAGGGCGCCGTACAAAATAGCGGCGACTAGTGTTGAAGCCATGACTAACAAGATGGGAAGCACAGTCGTCTTGAATTTCTTTGTGTAGCACAGAGTGACACCATACTGAGTAAACAAGGTCAGACGTGAGACCATCAAAATCAACCCAAAAGCCTTGTAAATCTTGTAGTCTGATTGTGCTTGACCAGGTTTCCACTGAGGACCGATGACAGCGAAACCAACCATGACGCCGAAGTGGATGGCTTTCGCAGTGCGCTCGAAGACGGAGTCGGCGCTGAAGCGCACGTCGTAAAGTGACACTTGGTACCAGGTGAGCCACAGTAGACTGAAGAAGCCGATGTATGCAGTCAACGAATGACGATCGTTGATCTCGAGCATGGATGTGAAGGTGGTCAGATTTGCCACAAAGAACAAATCGTAGAACAGTTCTGCAGTGGTGGCCTCAGCATGGCGATGGAACGCCGGACTCTCGTGTAGTGAGCAGTCCATGTTCTCAAAGTTGGGTTGAGAGGCATCGAGTGCATGTGCATGTGCAGTAGTCTTGTGTTGTTGTTCGACGTCGGTATCAGAGTTTCCTCCATTGCTGTAATGATGAGCTGGGGAGGGAATCTCATGGAGAGGAGTGGCGAAGAAACTGAGAGGGCTTCTTTCCTCATGGTGATGAGCTTCGTGGCTCATATTGGTGAACCCAAGAAAGCGCGAGAAGTCTGACGGGAAAGTGGGCGAGGCAGAATCTGTCAAGACTGCAAGCCTTGCAGCTTAGATAGAGAGTACTGTTGAACGGTTTATTGTGGGTGCGTTGCTTCAGCTTTATGTCCCGGGTTGAGGGTGCTCAATCTCTGGCAAAGTTGGATGGCTTATGTGGCTGGCATGCCTTTGGCTTGATGCATGCAGCCACAAAGGCAGTCACAGCACGCGATAACCTCAAAATACCAACACTGTTATCGCTAAGAGACTCAAAGATCGCATGAATAGGGACCAACACATCTACAGGGCGTCGAATCCAAAGGCGTGCACGAGAGTCGGTCCACTAAAAGGAATGTGGATTACACTGCATTACAGGGTTGAGATATGGCCCCCAAGGCGTCAGCTAGCAGCTGAACGTCAATACAGAAGCTTGATTTCAATCAGTGCCAACTGTGCGTCTCATCACAACCTTTCTAGACAATGGGCAGGCGCAAACTGCATGCCAAGTCGAAACGCAAGACCTGGAATAGAAGCTTGCTGGTGCTAAGCTTATGCTAAGAAAATGATTCGGTAAACGAAACTGAAAGAATTCAAGAATCTTATCTGCAGTATGCCGACGAGATTACGTGAGGCTGTTTTGGCCCCCAAATCGGCGAATAAGGTTGACACAGGGCTTGGCGGCTGAAACGCGATATGCGGTGTCTGCACTCAATCAAATACATAAGGTGTTATCTCGGCTGTAATCAGGGCTCTAAATTCATCCGATAACAGCAAGTCCAGGTTGTGGTCTAACCGATCGAAGCAGGATAGGAGAAAGTAATTAGATCTCTTCCGATACAATATGGCCTAGCCAGGGCATGATAGCTTCGTCATATTTATACATGTATATGATTGTAAGGCAATGTACTAGATAAAAAAGGCAGCGTACTTGGATCATGAAGAAAATCCGCGATGATACAGCCTCCAAGCAATATTTTCATAGCCATCAAGGCAAGTTTAGAGATGAATTATAGCAACCAGTGGGATATTAAGAGTCAAATCCCGCAAGCTGCAATGTAGTTCCCATTCAATCACTGCGTCTCAGGGATGATAGGATGAGTCAGTATCGCTCTATCCAATCTTCCCCAAACGAACACGACCAATGTCAGCTAACCAATGTTGGAACAGAACAGAGAAATCGGAGCATGCGCAGTGACATCTACGTCATTCATTGATCTATCCTGAACAACACGTTTGTCATCTTGAGAGTGTGAGTTTGAATGCCTAGTAACCTTACCTACACAGGAATTAGATCTAGAGACGATGTCTAAGTGACAATCGAACGTCGTAAAAGGGTTACAAATACTAGCTACAAGCGTTGGTAGTGCTTTGAAGCCGCCAGGTCATCAGATAACATCCTAGCCGACTCTCTGCTGGATCACAGGTGTTAACACTGGAAGGCGAACCGCTCGATGCCGCATTCTGAAGAAACTAGCCCTCTATCGCAGGCGATTATCAAAGCAATGAGACATTTCTATATTTTATACTAATATTAAGTATACTTGACTAGTTCAAAAACTTGATTTGCTCACGTCTGGAGCGTTCTAAATAGGTGTTGGCGTAGGCTTTGGTCTGATAGGAACAACGAAGGTTGGCGGCTTTGAAGGTGTGTCGTCCGGTACTCCGTCTGAGCTGTCCTCGTCATCGCTTATGTCTGGGGTTCCAGGGACTGGGGTACTAGGTGTCGAAGTCGAGTCGATCCTCAATTTTTTGATGTCGACCTTGTCTTGGATATGCTTTGCCAGTACTGCCATTCTGGTTCCAAGTTTAGAACCTTCATCTTTCGGAAGATCTACGTATGTCTTTGCGTCTTGCCACTCTGTTTCAAGCTCCCAGTGAAGCTTCACTAGCAGACTTTGCATCCGTGTAGTACGGTCATCAACAAAGTTGTTGATGAATAGCACCCATTTCTTGGCTAGTCCAACAGGCTCGTACCTCTCATTGGTGCCATCTTTCAAGGTACTGTCTGCCTTTTGCTTAAACCAATAGTCGTCAGTTTTTCGCATGTATCCGTTACTTCCACTAGCTTCGATCTCTTCTAGCCGATCCCGAAGTCGTAAGGCAACGGCTTTCCAATGCTTTCTGAATTCTGGTTCATTCAAGTACTTAAAGTCATGAGCTTCAGCGTATATAAGCATCTTAAGTACACTTACAGCAATCAGCAGTACAACTTCTCTAAGCTCATCAATCTTCTGATGAAGAGGCATGCTGGTGAACTTTCTCAACGCAATCACATTGTGACCCTTGATGCCAAATAGTTGGCTCTTTTTGTTATTAAGCCGGCCTGGTAGGAGCAGCATTTCCTTCAAATATTTGGTTTCGCCAGGGAATTCAGAGAGTAGGTATTTCACTGCTTGTGTTAGCACGTGCCGCTTGATGCTGGAATATGATAAGCAAAAAAGTACACAACGCCTATGAGTAGATATTTGCGCGCATGCTGAATTGAAATGTCATCTCCATACTGAGAAAATTAACCAGCGTGGATCGGACTTACTAGCGTTGCCTCTAGGATCCGGATTGCCTATTCCACCCCACCTCTTATTCCAGAACTGCTCGAGATAATCGCATTGGTCCTGCTTTGCGGCTTTTCCTTTGATGCTTGATATCCACTCTTTTGGTATCTCGGACCTGTCAATCTTCGCTTTCTCTACTTTCGGCTTGTCAACACCTTCGAACTGCTCCTGGAAGAATCTCTTCAGAATCTGAGCATCCATAACGTGTTCTGTTTGCCAAATATCTTTGCTATACTCTTTTCTATTCTTGGAGTCTTTGATTGGAGTGTATACGCCATCAACCTTTGTGCTAGGAAATGGTAGTTTCTTGAAGTCGTAATCGTTGTCGCAAGGATCCTCTAGTGCAACGTTGTACGCATTGAGCAAACCTTTCCATTTGTCGACCTTCTCTATAACATCGCCGCTGCTAGGGTATGTGGGGAATGGCAAATCGACTACGTTCGGTTAGCATTTTTGTACTGCATGATACTCAGAAGCAAGGGAAGAAGGATCGTACCCTTATTTTTACACATCTGCATCTTTTTCGTCCCCGATGCCCGATCCAATGGGGCCTTATCCAATCCGTCGCCATCTTCACCGTCGTCATAGGACTTTGGTGGCTTGGGTGTTGTTGGCTGTTTGGGCGTCTTTATTTTCCTTGCGGGCGTGTTGCCAGACTTGTCTACGTTCTTTATCAGTGTCCCTTCCACCTCTTTTCCGCACTCCCCTAGTTTGTAAATAGTGTCAATTTTCCCTTTGCCTTTGGGGCTTGCTGGTGTCTGGGGATCCGCTTTGCCTTTGCCCTTGTCCTGTTTGGGAGAATCTTGAGTAGGACTATTCCGGCCGCTACCCGTGTCTTTCTTCGGTGGAGTCCGTTCTAGAATGTTGCTAAGATGCTGAATGATATTTTCTCTTCGGTTGATATGGTCAATAGTGGTCCCGAGGCCAGCGGAGTCAATGTTGTGCTTAGTAAGTGATACCGCAGCTGGGAGTGCAGTCACCCCATCGCGCAGGATGATCATCCAAGACCAGATGAAGATTTGGAATAAAAGCATGGTACTTTGCTACTAAGCTTGGAGAGTGGAAGAGAGTAATATCGAAATTCGTTTTGTGGCCCGTACCAGCAGGTCGCAATGGATTGGTAAAATATATAAACGATTGAGTAGTGATACTGCAAAAATGAATGTATGGGAGCGTTGATATTGAAGATATAGCGATACAGCCGGATACTTAAGGGAGTCTCCCAGACAGATGCTCGTTCTGGGGTGCGCCTTGTGCAGTCCGATGTCACGGGTAGCGTACATGCAACCACCGCCGAGCATCGTGGACGAAAGTAATGCTCAGTAGCATGTTCTCGTTTCTACGATCCTTTATTGGAGTTTCCTACCGGAGAAATTAAATGCTTCATCCTTCAGGGCTGTAGTCCAACTCCGTTTAAGAAGTGCTAGCAGGCAGGTGCGCGGCGGCGCAGCAGCAGAATGTCCGGCCCCTGTCCAAGATATCCACCGCATCGTGCCCCGCTTTCGCTTACTGACCAGTGGGGCTGCCCTCTCAAGCGCTTGACGTGTCCTACTCTCCATGAGGCCCGCTGCTTGCTGTACTTAAACGTCAGTTTTTCAATCGTCGGAAATTGTCAATCATTATGGTCAACTTACCCAACGAAATAATACACGCGATCATCGCTGAATACGAAGTAGAGCCCCCATGGAAACTTGCTCCATTAGCTGCGATCAATCGCAACTGGCAAGTTGTGGTGGAAAGTCACATATGGAAATGTGTCGATCTGAGGCCATCAGACCTTGAGCTCTTTCACTCAGCTTTCCGTGCGAGTTCAGGTCGTAGGAGACTACTTAATTCTCTCGAAATCATCTTTGAGGGGTACTTCGCCTGTCCTTCTGCGATGGACGAGAAGACAGAGACGAATCGAAAACACGAAGCCAAAGGTGAAGAGAGCGAAACGGAAGAGGGACAAGAAAGGGAAGATGATGAAAAGCAAAATCAAGAACAAGACACGATGGATCAAACATTTGCAGGCGCCAGTGATGGACACCCCAATGATCTAGAGCTTACAATCTGCCCTGGCACCACTCAAACCCACGAGGTTGACGAAGACATCTTCTTGAAGTCTGGTGTAGACCTTCAGGAGAGCGAAGATGAGGGTCAACCGCTTCATTTACGGTTTGTTGCTTTCCAAGAAGAGCATGGGCGGTTCTTTCAGGAGGTCAAGGCAATTTGGGATCACCTGAAAGAATGGGGAGACGACTTACGTGCTACCAAGATCCAATTTCATGTGAACGGCAACTCTCTTTACGAATTCCTCGGGCCAGAGTTCTGCGAAGCAGGGGCAGAATGCTTTAGAGACAGCTCATCGCTTTGGTTAGCGAATTTGCCTGCTTTACCATCATTACCGTCTGTAAGAGCTCTGCGGGTTCGGGAAACCATCAACGAGCAGATGGACTTGTGGCCAGCGATTGTGTCGAGCCACATTGCGAACACCTTGCCTGCACTCGAATTGCTGGACTTCGATAGTTTTGATTGGGAACAGAAGTGGCCGTTACTCAGGAAATACCTTCGTGCTGGTAGGTTCCCTGCATCGGCTTTCAACGATCCACAAGTTTGCTGACTACTTCAGCTCTCGCTTGTCAAATATCGACATTGCCTGCACCACTTAAGACTATGCATCTGAGTCTTGAATATGCCACGATTGAAAACCACGAGGTCCAGCCACAAAACTTCCTCATCAGAAACACAGACACACTGTCGAGATCTTTACACTTTTTGTCGACCGGCTTAACGACATTGACTCTACGTGTCAGCTATATCACTGTGTCTCTTTTTTGGGATATGAATACTCCGACCAATAATACGTGCATATCAAGGTGGCCGAACCTCAAAGTATTCGATATCACTACAGGTTTCGAAATGGCCACAGGCGAATACTGGTTTCGCAGCGACGAGGACTATCCGAGCCTCGATGGAAACTTTTATGGCGCACGAGGGAATTGGGACCCTGAGGAGCAAACCGCCGAAGATCTACTATACACGCGTGCGGGTTTGATGCCAATGCGATGCTTCCGAACGCGGCCCAAGCCGAAGCTATTCGACGAACTCGCACTCAGTGTTTCTCATGCTGCAGCGCAAATGCCAAAGCTTGAGTATTTCGACTTGGAGTTTAACGCAATGCATCAGAAGAAGTCTTCCCGCGGTACCTTTAACAAAGAGTTCGAGGAATATGAAGGCTGGGGTTTCTACTTCCGAGCGTCAGATCAAGCAAAGTTTGCTTCGACATTTGTCAAGCCTTACTGGTTCAAACACAAGCCCGGCATTGACCTGACGAACATTGATCGTGCGCGGACCGAGTGGGTATTCCAATGTCCGTACGAGCAGGTGCAATGGGAGGAACCCGAGGAGGCGAAGTTACTCTGGCAAGAAAGAAGCGCTCACGTTGACTTTGATGTGGTAACCTTCGACTACAACAACCAGCGGTGGGAGAGGCGGAGGAATGGAGCGTTGATACTTAGCTCTCAAAAGGACTGAAGGTCAAACCAAGAAAACTCAGTTTACATTGACAGTCGTTTCATCACTTGATCAGGAAAAGCTTCACAAGCAAGTCGCTGGAGAATTCTGACCCCAATGCCAAGGACCGAGATACCTGGTGTGATTGCGAAGTCGTGAAACCAGCGATCGGTGTCCGCATTGCGTGGCGAAATAACGCGTGTAATTTGAGCTCTACATACCTCCATATGTGCAACATAGCCCATCATATACTGCTCAAGCGACACAAGCGAGAATATGCTTGAAGTCATCTACTCAAACGTCGTGTCGGCATCATCCGCCTTGTCGTTGAAGCAGCGCTTGCGCAGCTCCTCTTCTTTGCGCGGCGCGGTACTTTATTGGAGCGCTTCACAATGTTTGTTATTGACCGTATCCGCATGTAACAAGTTCAGGAGGACTGTCTGTATGTCCTTTGAGGATTGGCAGAGAAGCTGCTACTACCTGTTGCATCTTCCTATGGTTCTTTGCGACGCGAACTTGGGGGCGGGGATGCGCGGCGGAGGGAGATTCTTGACAATTATTGTGGACGTGCGCTGCACTGAGCGCTGCTGGGGAAGGGACGTGAGGTCGGAAACCGTGTGTTTAAGAAAGGAGCTATTCGAGGCGGCGCAGCCCTAAGGCGCGTGGAGCATGGATCGTTCGTTCACCTGCGCGATTGCACTTTTTGTTGATGGACCGCTGACAAGACGTCACCGTTTTTAAGGGCAGGTTGGTGCAGCCGAAGATCCACCCGCACCGCCCCGACCATGGCCTTGCACCTGAAGACGCGCGCAGCAACTACTAGAATTCGCATTGAGCAAACTCTGGCATCATAGTTAAACATCAGCATGTGTAACAACAGACTTCAGCATAAATGAGGGGGCTGTGCGTTGGCGCACCTGTAGGTATCAGGCGGATCAGGCTGACCTGCAAATCACTTCACGACTCAGCCACCCAGTCCTTCCATGCTAAGATCTGTTATGGAAAGCATAAGACCAACACAGGCCACCAAATTGGTAAGTCAAAATGGCTTCCTCCTTCGGCTCTTTGCTAACTCAAAAAGGCACGGCTCATCAATCCACATCGTGCGATCACATGCGCTACGTTCTCCAAAGATGTTCCACTGGACCTCAACAAACGATCTGTACGCTTTATCGAAGTACTACCTGACCTCTCGGAAGACGGCCTCATACAGTGCACACTTTCGCACGGTACCGTTGGAGATGATGAATACATGTGTCTTTCCTACGTTTGGGGTTCCGCGAAAGACATACAGCAGATTATGATCAACGGCGAACAGTTTCCCGCCCAGAAGAATATCTGGACCTTCCTCAACGCCGCCCGCCATGCCCATCAGTATCCCGCTACTGCCCGTCGACTGTACTGGATTGACGCCCTTTGCATTGATCAAGGTAACATCAAGGAGAGAAATCACCAAGTTGGCCATATGGGCGCTATTTATGCAGCTGCTAGACACGTTGTGATCTGGATGGGTGTCAACGAAGCCATCAGTCGCTTGCTAGATGCATCGGCTAGATTCAGCGAGTTTATTGCTCCAGGTAGCAGCGACGAGGAAGAGGCCCAGTTTGCAGAGATCTGGCGACAGAAGAGGCTGAGGACGCTACGTTTGTTGAGGACTGGCAGACCTTTGCAAGCCATTCGTATTGGTCAAGGGCCTGGATTACACAAGAAGTTATCTTTGCTCGAAGTGCTTCGATTATGACCGACAAAATCCGCGCCAGAAGCGACCAACTCAAACCATTATTTTTCCTCAGATCGATTCTTCCACTCGACTTTTGAACGTTGAACCTGGCGAAGATGTCAACCAGTTGACAATAAGATCCTTCAAGTATCTTGAGAGCATCATCTGGCCTATGGCTCGAACCAAACGACGCAAAATGATCAATCTCTTCAACGGGTACCCTGGAAGAGACAGCCAGCTTGTCCGAGATCGCCTGTATTCCCTGACATCCCTATCTTCAGACGCGGAATCTATCCCAGTGGACTATGCAATATCGGATCACACATTTTTCGCAAAGGTAGTAGTGGCACTGCACGATACCATGAGTTGCATGTGCTCGGTGGCTCTCGCCGCCAATACACTCCACTACGCAGCTACAGGAGGCATTGTCAAGGCAGGTGAGGAAGAGCATCTATTCAAACTTACGGCATATCATTCAGGCAGCGATGATGTCTGGATGTTGCCCGAGACGCGACGCATCTGTTCGATCTACAGAGAGAGCATATCGGCGGAAAGCTACCCCACGTTCTGTCTTAAGAATATCTGCGCCAAGATGATAGGCCACCTTGTACTAGAGACTGGAATAACACCAGGGAGGCCAGAGAATATGAAATCTCTTCGACTCGAAATTAGAGGCCGCCGTCACAATGTTGAAATCAGTAGCACGGTGCCATGGCTGCGACGCGATATCCGTAAGTTTGACATTTGGTTTGGTGTTAGTGAGCTTCTCTACCTCGTCCGCACGGCATCCGTTGGCACCACACATGCAGGCGAAAATCTCTGTTCTCAAGGGCTACAAGGAAAAGGCTATTTGGGCTTGTGTAACGAGCGCAGGCAACTCAGCGTGTCTGCTTTTGGAGTCAGAGAGCAGAATACTGACTTCATCTCAATCACAACAGCTGCAGGTGAATCGACAGAAACGTTAAGAGTATTTGCATAGACTTGTGTAGACTGTTTTAGTAAAGCGCTCGAAGTTCCTCCATGTTCCAAAACCGGTGCCGAGGAGCGAGCCACGCAATGCATAGCACGTCCTCCTTGACGTGTCTACTACCACTGCTGCTTCTACTACTGATCATAACAACAACAACAACTATCATTTATCACATTAGATAGAGCAAGATGTGGTAGCCAAGATATCAAATCTTTACCGTCTACAGTTCAAACAGATCTTGCGCGTATCCCATGTCGCTCGAGCCAATCATAGCGTAAAGTGGCGCCAGCCCGGTGCAGATCCGGATGTTCGGCATCCTGGCTTACAGCATACATACCTAGAAACACACGACTGATTGTGCAATTCCATTCCTAGATCTAGCGGGATTCGGTCAGTAAAGCGTGGGAGTTACTAACGGGCCACCGTTCTACGCCGAAAGGTGGCTGGGTGCATGTCCCACCGACGTCGACGACAATGTAACAGATTACTATACACGGCACATGGCTCTAAAATGTGGAGCTGAATGGTTTTAGCGCATTGTACGCACAAACCTGGTACCTTGTACAGTACCTAGGTAGTTGATAGGCTCCGGTACCGTCTTTACAATACGCGGTTCCCGTGCCGTCCGAACGCCGGCACCCCACCTTGCACACGTCGAACATCAACGGGCCGTTTTCGCGGGCCTGCCCGCCAATGCCAAGATGCGGCTCAATACCTATGCACACGGTACAATACCAAGCATGGATCGGCCCTGGGACCCTAGTGACGATAATGAACCCTGAGACATCACCAGTGCGGGCTATACCGGGAAACACAAGCGCAGGACTCATTGCCATTGTTATGCCGGAGAGAGGTTACTGACAGTTCATGGAAGTGCTTAGGTATGTAGCTTTTGTTCGAGCGGCACATCACATGCCAACTTGCGACGTCCAGGCGATCGTACCCCACTTAGCAACCAAACGGAAGCAAACCTTTCTATGCATGCGTTCGGAATGCTCTGCTCTTGCATAGCGGCCAAATTTTCTGCTCTCTAGCAAGGACTGTTGCTTGGTCGCGACATTGTGTCAGGGCATCCAATATGAAAGAGCTGGTAATCCTAGTTGCATGTCACTGTTCAGATAACAGTCCTGCAATGGCGTGAGCGTTGAAGGTAGGTAAATGCTCATGCATGATCAGACGGTTCGAGGTATGCAGCGTGACGTCGAAATGACTAGGTAGCACAGCAGCTCGTGCACGATCATTTCTCGAGCCTTCATTTATTTCTTCAGTTACCGACATGCATCACTTTGCGCCATGTGTCATCGCTATTGGCTTGAGAGATGCCCCATATCTCTCAATGGAGCGGCCTCATTACCTTCTTCTTCTTATTTGGTTCTATAGCCGCGGATCTAAGGGATACAACAACGAACATTTAGCTTGTGTTGTCGGCGCTTTCAATTGCGATAATCAAGCTACCTAGGTGGCAAAAAGTGGTCATGAATGAGTGGCATGGTACCTACCCTGAAACAAGGGTATGCTTCCGAGATCGTGATGGACACAGCGCTGTGCTTTAAATGTATAAGTCTCGTGTGAAGCTAGAAACCCTAGCCTATGGATGAGCGAGACAACGTTTGTTAAGCGGATTGCGTCCAAGGTGGGCCGGTATATGGGTTGAGACCCCAGTCTACCTACGTACAATACAGATCTGGAGGAACTACTTGAAGAAAAGCTATGCGAGGGCTGTAGAAGACGTACCTATCCGTTAGGTATAATGATCACTTACTTTGCACCTCAAGTGTTGTATCTTACACTTGCACACATTTGTTTTTCATGTTCCCGTCGTAAAGCCGTGCCAAGCCAGTACATGCACCCGTCTGATCCCGACTGAAATATACGCCTAGCATTGATACCGGAGTTCTCATGGATACACTCATTCTACGATAGGTTTCAGAACACTGTGCAATCCGAGGAAACTGCGCTAGATATACCAGCTGGGAGGAAGGCACGTGCGGGTACCTTAGCACCTAAACTATAGCTCATGACAAGGGTCAAACACAGTGTCGAGTGAAGATCTCAGAGAGAGCGGGCCGACCACCGGGACGACATGATCTTTCCTTCCGTTTGTTTTATCAATCCCAACATTTTGAACGGGATGTTCAACTTCCGTTTCCGAGTAGAGGAGGGTATCGCAAACGAGAGCTCCATCTACCTGTTACGTGGTCAACGGGTGCACATATATAAATGATGATAAGACACCCTATCTTCAATTCATAAGCTTTAAAAGAACTCTACATTACTACAACCCACACTAACACATTCATAATTTGGCTACCACTTTAGCGATGGATACAACACGACTTCCCAAAGACCGCATCGAAGCACTACTTAAGAAGTACGATCAGGAACGAGACAAACGCCTCAAAAAAGAGGGTGCCAGCCAGTATATTGATATTCGATCAGAGGATGTCGAAGCTCTTGGCAAAGATCCTTGGATAGACTACAATGACCCTCGAGTCAAAAATCCTCCTCTTAAAGATGGCGATCACGTCAAAGTCCTCATCACTGGCGCCGGAATCAATGGTCTCGTCTTCGCAGGACGACTGATTGAGGCAGGTATCAGTAACAAGGAGGTTGTATGTGTTGATGCTGCAGGAGGCTTCGGTGGCACTTGGTGTGTAGAATCTGATTACATTCTGTCGTAGGCAGACGCTAACCAATACGAAAGGTACTACAACCGTTATCCAGGAGTCATGTGCGACGTTGAAGGGTACTGCTACGTTCCGTTCCTCGAGGAAACAGGCTACCGACCTCGACATAAATACTCGTACGGCCACGAGATACGCGGCCAGATGGAACGCAGTGCCGACCATTTCGGAATTCAAGGACAATTCTGTACAAAAACTGACTCGAAGATCTGGGATGAAGACAAAAAACTCTGGATTGTCACCATGACACGAACAGTCGGCGAGCCGTCCATATCAGAGACTTTTACTGTAACCTCGGAGTTCGTCGTCATTGCGGGTGGCCCCTTCAGCTTCCCTAAGATCCCTCAACTCCCTGGATGGAACGACTTTAGAAAGAAAAATCATGCATTCCATTCAGCCCGCTGGGACTACAGCTACACCGGCGGTACTCAAGAGAAGCCCGATCTAGTCAAACTTCGAGGAAAGCGTGTCGCTATTATAGGCACTGGCGCAACTGCTATCCAAATAGTGCCTGAACTAGCCAAATGGGCTGAACACGTATATGTTGTTCAGCGAACACCAACATATATTGGGGAACGTAATCAAACTGAGACCGATCCGGAGAATTGGGCCAATATTACGAGGGAGAAAGGATGGCAAGAGAAGCGTAGAACCGCCTTTGACGCATACGTTAGCAACAGCGAAGGATATGGTCCTGATGTGATTAATGATGGCTGGACACATACACCGGCCGGTTCTGGCTTCCTCGGGTCCAAGTCAAAGATTGTCGCTCGCGATGAGATCGAGCAACATATCAGAGAACTTTATGAGCTCGACTTCCCACGCACTGAGCTCCTGCGTAAGCGCGTTGATGGAATAGTCAAGGACGAAGGCACTGCCGAAAAGCTGAAACCATGGTATGGCAGCTGGTGCAAGCGCCCTTCGTTCCACGACCACTTCCTCCAGGCATTCAACAAGCCGAACGTCACTCTAATCGACACCGACGGCAAGGGTCTCGATGGTTTCACTGAGAATGGAATCCTGTTTCAAGGCGCCGAATACGAAATCGATGCTCTCGTCCTCGCTACTGGTTTCACGTTTGGCATGAGCTTAGACCCTTCGGAGAAACTTGGCGCAACTATCACGGGACGGAACGGCCTCAGCATGAAGGAATACTGGAACAGCGCTGATTCTGGGAGTCTCCTCGGCTTGGCTTTGCCTGGATTTCCAAATGTTTTCAGCTACTTCGGTCGTGGCTCGGGCGCCACATGGAATCTAACGTCTGTCATTGAAACGAAGGCTGCCCTCCTTGCAAGCATTATAACGCAAGCACAAAAGCAGGCGGGCCCGGGTCAGAGAGTGGTCATTGAGGTTTCAAAGGAGGGCGAGAGCCAATTTGGCCAAGAAGTTGCAAAAAGGGCGAATTGGTTTAGCGTTATGCCTGTATGCACACCCGGCTACTTCAACGGCGAGGGCGCCGCTACTTTCCAGGAGCCCAAGACGGAGGAGCAGGTTTTCAATGAAAGTAAGAGGATGGCTTGGGGTGCTGGACCCTTGGATTACAAGGAAATGACGAAGGACTATGCAGCAAGAGGTGACCTCAAGGGATTTACGGTTGAAGTGGTAGCTTAGGCTCGTACGAGCTAGGTCACCTTAACTGATTAATCATCATGCAAATACCTACATCTGAATGGTCACGAGGAACGTCAAAATCGATTTTGCGATTCTATCGAAGTCGGGGGTTCAGTCGTTATGATCATAGAGTTGCTTCGTATAATCAAAATGGATACACGTTCCAGAGTCAAATCCTCAAGATGTTGCAGTGAGACACTTACGCTGAAGCTGTGGTACCTGCTTGCGATTGCCAAGCTGTGACGGGCGGGGTCACTGTGCGGAACTAGGATCAAGGCATGAATCATGTTTATGTAGATCCACCGAGCTACAATACAAGTATCGAGGTGTGGGGTTTTCCCGAAGTACTCGGAAAATCCCCCACCAATGCACGTGACAGTCACGCTTGGACCTTTGGCGCTCACGTCATCGGTAACGTTACATGCGGCCGTGTGTGGCCTCTCAGAACTTCGAACTAGTTTTTATGTCTGAGCTCTAAGTGTGGGTATCCAGAGTGTCTTATACCCTGTCCCGGCACCGGATGCGCGCAATTGCCGTGAGGTATACACATTGCGATGTACACTCATTCTTCCAATCGGCAACATCAGTACCCAGGGATTATCATTGTTGTGACGTGATGACGCGTCCGAACCTGATATGATGCTGACTGCATGCATGCATGCTTGTGGAAACATATAAGGAACTCCTCGATTCTTGCCTCAACTACTCAGCTCACACAAGCGCAAACCCATCAGTTTCAAATCACGTCCCATCGCACAGACATGTCTTACTCTCCACCAGACTCCGCTAAGCCCTTTGTGCTCGCTGTCTCCGATCAAGACTTCGCGGAGTGGCGACAGCTCCTGCAACTTTCCAAGCTTGCTCCTAAGACGTGGGAGGGGCAACAAGAAGACCGTCGTTATGGCGTAACCAACAAATGGCTCTCCGAGACCAAGGACTACTGGCTAAACAAGTACGATTGGCGTGCGGCAGAAAAGCATATTAACTCTTTTGCAAACTACAAGATGCAGATCGAAAACGTTGATATGCACTTTGCTGCTCTCTTTTCCAAAAAGAAAGATGCCATTCCCATTATGTTCATGCATGGATGGCCTGGGAGTTTCCTGGAATTCTTGCCCATGCTGAAACTGATCAGAGAGAAGTATTCCGCCGAAGATTTGCCTTACCACATCGTCGTGCCTTCTCAGCCAGGATACACTCTCAGCACCATAAAGTCGATTGAGAAGAATTGGACCATGCAAGATTCTAGTTCTATCATGCACCAACTGATGCTGAACCTGGGCTTCGACAAATACCTCGTGCAGGGAGGAGATGTGGGCAGTTTCACAGCGCACACCATGGCTGCAAAATACGATGCTTGCGTCGGAGTTCATTGTAAGCCAGCCCTAGAACACTGACTACGAGAATAAAATATTCACAACGACAGTGAACCTCGTAAGCAATACCTCCAGGCCAGATGAGAACACTATCATGAGCACGTTGGAGAAGGAGGCGCTTGGCCGTGGACAGGCGTGGCAAATCACTGGATCAGCCTACGCGCAAGAGCACTGTACGAGGCCGAGTACGATCGGAAACGTGATATCCTCGAGCCCACTCGCGATCTTGGCGTGGTGAGTACCTGTGAGTAGCCTTATAGGACGCCTACTAAGACCGCACAGGATCGGCGAGAAGTTCCTGGAATGGTCAGACGAAGACCCTCCTCTCGACGACATCCTCACAAACATCTCCCTCTACTGGTTTACTCAGTGCTTTGCTACCACTCTCTACCCTTACCGCCAAATCTTCAGCCCAAACACTACTCAGATGCCTTTGACGAAGAAGCCATTGGGCTTCTCGTTCTTCCCATACGAGATAATGCCAGGTATCAAAAGCATTTTGGAGAAGGAGGCCAACCTAGTTTTCTACAATCAGCATGAACACGGGGGGCACTTTGCGGCTTTGGAGAGGCCAGTGGATTTATGGGCGGATGTCGTGGAATTTGCCGAGAAGGCATGGCCACGGTCGTGAAACATCAAGTCGTCAGAATAGCCATCAAATTCAACGCAGTATGACTCATTTTTCACAGGAGTAGTTTAGCACGCGCTTGCAGTGACCGAGTCGCTAGAATCAGGCAAATTCTCTTGTCGTGGAAGAGCGCTGACACCCATGGTGTGAGCAGATCTACACTTTGCCGAAGAATGGGCAGATGATTGACAAAAGCCCAACTCATAACAAGAGCAGCTGCATGTACCACAACACATTGCACCAGTCATCCGGCCACCCTCTCAAAATCGAAGGGCCTGTTACACGACAAACCTTCAACAAGCCCAAAGAAATGGAATACAACTCCGCTTCGAGATGGGTAGTGTCGTAGGATCACCTCCACATAAGCTAAGCTGATGCACCAAAACCCCCGAACCCACACTCTCCCTTCCAGCGAACCTGTCTATCTCCCATGAACTCCCGCACCACAATGCGACTATGATCAACGAACTCTCTTATTGCAGCTGTTGCACATATCCATGCCTACGTGGCTCCATAGGTAGTATTAGCCCTCAGCGCATTCATCCCATCGCTGCACCGCCTACCGCAAACGTTTGAATCCTCCAGCAAGCCATGTGACAGGGTCACAGCGCCGGGAGTCATCAGCACCCGGCCGTTGAGCGGCACCGGCCCGCTCCTTAGCACCGGAGCTTGGATTCCGGGGCACTCGGTTGGAACTGCTGATGTGGGGCCTCATGTCAGCAGCGTGTCTTCCGACGCGACCGCCCCCGATTCCGCTGAGTCAGACTGAATCGACAAGCGCCTTGTCCCCGAACGGAGTTGCTCGTGGGCAATTACCCGCGTTTGGCGACAGACGTAGCAGTCTGGCCATCTGGCCGGCTTTGTTACGAACACGCTGACTTCGATCCTGCCGGCATCTTAGTGCTGGAACCGGCGCCGGGAGCTGCTGTAGTAGAATGCAGGGTCTGTGCTGTACACTTCCTCGTCCGCACTGGCCACGAGCACCGGGTACTGGTGCGCTATCGCGAGGGGCTGGAGAGCGTGGTTGTGGAAGGGCAAGAAGTTGTTGGGTGTTGAATGAGCGGGGTACTGTGGAGCTACGGTGCGGGTTAGTAATCAGACAGAGGGTTGTCAAGATGTCGGACTTGCCGGAGGGGGGATTCGGCCTGACTACTGTTGCGGTGGTGCGGGTGTACCGGTCTGGGGCGTTGGTCGTGATGGATAGGGATGAGGCGTGGATGTGTGGAGCTGCAATATAGGTCAGTATTCGGGTAGGGCATGGTCTTTGGGTCGCACTTACTAGCGTAGGTCTGGCTAAATATCTCTGTAGTAGGTGTGGCGGATTGGTATGGGGAGTAAATGTCCGGAACTATAGTACAGGTCAATAATCAGGCAGACGATCATCAAGTTGTCAGACTTACCAGAATACGGGCTCTGCATGAACATCCCCGTAGGTACGACGGGCTGATATGGAGAGTAACTGCTCGGAGCTATGGCACAGGTTAGCAATCAGGCAGTGTATTGTCTTCATCTCTGACTTACCATCTCTAGTGGCTCTCACTGCCAAGCTCGCTTCCCAGGGCAGGTCACTTCGGTCCTGTAGAGTCGGGGGCTGAGACCTGTAAGGCACTATTTCAACAGGGGCTGCGGTGAAGTTCGTTGGCCTAGAAGGACTACTATAGCTTCCTCGTTGCTGTTCGCCAACCGCAGCGGGACGGTGTAGCTGTAATTGGCTATTGCCAGGCTCAGAGGATGTCTTAATCTGAGTGGGCCGGTCTTCGACACTACTTTGGGGCTTTTGAGTGTTAGTTTCCTGTACAATACACTTGGCGACATCTGGAGATCTTGTAGGTGTATGCTCTGCCCCCACATCTCTTGGTCTTTGCTGAGGGGTGTTAGAGACAGCGCTGTGTCACCTTTTCACTACTCTCAGGCTCGGACCTACCTCGGATTTCCCAGCTTCGAGGCTGACCTTCTTCTGCTCAAGCGGTTGCTCTCGAACGTCAGCACATTGTTCCCACTGCGTACCTAGGTAATTATGATTCACCTTTGCCTTCTCTGACGCTCCGATTCGAATTGGTAGTGCGGCCGTTGACCTCGGCTTCTCTATAGTTTTCCCCAGATCCTCGCTGAGTGACTGCGCAGCTTCTTCACGGGGCGCCTTCGAGAAGGAGGTTGTTGGATCGTGGGATTCCCGACAACAAACACCTAAGACGGAGATCGACGGATTCTCCACCATACTGCAGAGTCTGATACCGGAAAGCAGTCGATCTGCCGAGGGACGCACCTCTGGCGCCTTGGAAAGTAACGATCTGATTACCTTGACTAGATGCTTGTCAAGCACTGACATGTCGTCTATGCCACGGAACGAAAGCCAGGCATCTATGTTCTCCAGATTGGCGTGAAACGCAGAGTCCTTCGGCGAAGCGTTGACTCTCAACCGCTCAAGACTGCCCTCATGCTGCAAGACTAAGATCTCGAGCATGATGCAACCCAAGGAAAACATGTCAGCGGCGCGGCCGCTCGGCTCCCGTGCCGCAACCTATGTAGCGGCGTTGTTAGTGCCGATACAGCGTTCGTCTTTGTTACGTACCTCTGGTGCAAAGTAGTGAGGAGTGCCATGGTCGCTATTCGTGGCGGTCCGCGACGCACGCGAAAAGTCTTTCGCGCTGCCAAAGTCGCTCAAATAGAGCTTTTCACGTGACAAAAGGATGTTCGACGGCTTGAGGTCTTGGTGGCGTATCTTTTGAGCATGCAGGTAGGCTATCGCGGAGACCAGACATCCAAGCTGGGAGTACGCGGGCAGCGCCTGCTGCGAAGGGGGATGCTTTTTGAGGTACCCTAGAGCGCTAAGTCGAGCTGTCTGCAACTCGTCAGCGCCGTCTCCACTGCAATCTTCTACATCCCCAAAAAACGTCTGAAGATCGCACACGGCCACAGGGTACAGCAATGCACCGAACTGTTGTCGGTGCGTGTAGGTGCCAATCACTTGTATCAAGTGGATATGACTGAGCTTCTTCAGGATCTCAATCCCTTTCTTGTCCTCCGATGTGATCTTGCGTTTGGAATGCACTCTTTTCCACGCCACTGAACAGCCGCAGATCTTCGTCTCGTACACATCTCCCGTAGCACCTCCTCCGAGGTATTCGCCTGCTTGAGGTTTAGAAGTTGTGTGAGTCTCTCATGAATTTGAAATTACCTGGCTCTAGTGGTACAGTTTCATTGTAGTCAAACTCGATATGTGAACCTCTTCCAGTTCCAGACCAGTCACTCAAGACTTCGGGTGGGAGCTTCTGCTCTCCGCTCTCAGCCACGGACGGTGTTGCCGGGGCCATTAGAGATGTCGTGGAATGATTATAGTAATAAAATGCTGCTGGTCGTATACAGTGACTTTACTGACTGCCCTGTTGTTCAGGACGCAATGAGACGTTGCCTAGATATCACGTGAGAGGTCTCCCTTTCCAGCGATACCTGACCAAAGATGATGTTTCAGGACCTATGTTGGTGCAGCAGAAATGATGACTGGGAGTGAAGGCTGGGTGTAGGAATGGCGAGCAAAGAGCAACAAGGAGCGAGACAGCACGCCTCACGCACCCCAAGCCTCAGCCTCGCCTGCTTACACCCTCAACGACGATACGAGCGACACGACACGCCGCCAAGCAGCAAGACTGAACAACTGCCCAATGACCCGCACAACACACCTCACAGCCATGCAAGCTGACACCCGCATCAGAGATCCCGTCGCTGCGCGTCAGCCCACGCTGCCTCACTCGCAGCCTCATTAGGTACGCTTCTGCCGCCCTTGCATAGGCAGCTCATTTCCCTTCTCCAGCACTGTTTTCACAAGCCGCACATACCCCGCTATTTCGAAAGGCCCCGTGGGGTGCACTTCAACGCTTCTCGCCCCCCCCCCCCCCCCCCCCCCCCCCCCGAGCGAGCCCCAACGTTTTCCCTCCTGATCCCTCGGATGGTCAACTGCGCCAATCACCTCAATTTTATGGACATAATACGACAGGTACATGTGTGCATACTTCCCTGCACAGCGGGTACCCTGCGTCAGCGATATGTGAGCCCCGTCTTATTCTAGACCAACTGTTCGTGGCTCTAAGGACAGGTTATAATCGTGCAAACTTGGTCCCGTGTTTCCTACTTCTGGTCGTGCGTGGTGCTTGTGATACGACATAGTCATCCGCCAGGTTAAATTAGAAAACAACACGACGGTAGGGTGCACGATCAGTCCATCGATCGATCGCGACGCAAACACGCCCTGGCACCATGCGCCAGCTCTAATGCATCTCTACGATTGTGCAACATTGTATGGTTATAGCATTTGGAGGACACTTGAGCGTTATTCTGGCATTCCAAATTCTACCTCAAAGAATTTCTCCTTGATCTCGACGAGTTTTCACTGACCCAGTTCACAGCCCTCTCAAACCCATTCTGGCCTGTCCGGAAATCGACAACAGCCTGCAGCACCTCCTCCCTGCTCGTCGCCACGAAGGGCCCGTACTGCACCACCGGCTGGTCCAGCGGCATCCCCGCGACGACCAAAAACCTTGCGTCCTGCTCTGCGTCCCCCGCCACGGCAATACTAACGCTGTCGCCCTCTTTTTCAAAAACCGTGTTGCTGAACCGCGGACACGACCGCGCCGTATCTCCGTCAGCAACCTCGATCGCGCCCTCCAGCACATAGCAGAACGCGTTCCAGCCCCGCGGCACGGGGAGTCGGAACCCACCCCCCGGCTTCACCGCGAAGTCCAGGTACCACACCGGCGTATAACTCAGGTCCCTGGGGCTCTGCACGCCAAACGCCTGGCCGCTAATCACTTTAACACGCACCTTCCCGCCATCTGCCGTAGTCTGCGGGACCTCGCCGGCCCGCAGGTCGCGGTACCGCGGCTCGCAGTACTTAAGTTCACGCGGCAGATCAACCCACAGCTGCACCCCGACATTCGGCGTTCCGAGAAGCTCCTCGCGCGGCATCTCCGAGTGCATAATCCCCCGCCCGGCGGTCATGAACTGCAGATCCCCCGCGTCCAGCGTGCCGCGGTTGCCCGCGAAGTCCTCGTGGTCCACGCCGCCGGCCAGGATGTACGTGATGGTCTCCTGGCCGCGGTGCGGATGGTCCGGTGCGCCGGCATCGTCAGGACCGCCGAATTCGCTCGAGAAGTGGTCGAGCATGAGGAAGGGGGTTAGGTTGGGGAGGGACGGGGTGCCGATGGAGCGGCGGACGCGCAGGCCGACGCCCTCGGGTACTTCGAGGGCGTGGATGACTTGGGCGATCGCGCGAGGGGAGGTGGTGGTGTATGGTTCGTCGGGGATGACGGGGAGGCCGTGGAATGTCGTTGGAGGTGGCATGGCGTGCAGTTTGGAGACGCGTTCTCTGAGTCGAGACAGGAGGCGCATTCAAGCAGAAAGTGATCTAACAGACTTTCCTTGGGGCTTTTCATTCGATGGCACGAGTATCGTGCTTTACTTACAGATAAGTGTGAGCTTCTCCACCGCTGGGGAAAGCGCATTTATACTCATCTTGGTCGTATCGTGATTCTGCTTCGCCCTAGTTGGCTTGATAGGGACCTCTGCAGCCATTGTTCCATTCTATGCGGAACACATTCAGGTGAGTCAGCAATGTTCGTTGAATGGCTGTTGAGCACTCGGTGGTTGCTAAGAGCTTAGGAAGCGTTCTTGTCGAGAAACGAGGAAGTTGGTTGAGCTGACCAAGCTGGGCCTCCTGATTGGGTCTAGCTCCACCACCGGCAAGTGTTACTCCCCGAGCCGGTGCTGAATAATCATCCTTTTTATGATCCAGGAACGAATATCTTAGACATCTTGGTTTAGCATGCATGAAATAGGCTGGTATATGCATTGACTCGAGGGAGGTTGAAAATGATTCGCCTTGATATTCTCGTGGCCTTAGATTTAGGGTCGTATTATTTGCAACTTGTAAAGAAGTGCTTTAAACTCGTTGCAGTAAACGCTTGGTTCAATGCAATAGTTACTTGGGTTTTGATTCTTGATAGTTAGAACAATGCTGTTGTTAGAGATCTACGATGCTCCTGCACTGTTAGCATTTTTAAAAGCACTACACCTAATAGCAGTACCTTCTTGCTTCTGTCGTAGCATCAATTATTACGACACTCCTCTATAGTCTCTATGCGACGTATTTTTCCTACCCTGTTCAATACGCAGTCTCCTAAGGTCCCGTTTGTAGGTAATATATGCTGTAAGAATGAGACTAGCTACCTATGCCTGTGCAGGGGCTGGAAGAGGCAAGCTTTTAGCTAATAGCTGTGCGGAATTTAAAATCTAAATAGAGATAAAGTGTGCTAGGACTTATATCCGCCAAGAAAATGTAAAGGGGTTAACGTGTGGAGTTCTATCTTCTCTTAAGAAGGCGAAGATACGTGTTAGTTTATAGGATGAGCTGCTACATGTCCACTATCAGGTCCTATCTCACATAACTTAGGATAGAACAACAGTTTATTTCTTGTACCGAGCGAGGACTCACTATCAGAGTGCGGCGTGATACCTTCCCGAAGCTTTCCTGGCTCGGTGGCTCTGGTACCAAGGCCTAGCATTCCCCACGTTTGTGCGTAGTCTCCTACATAAGTCTCCAGTATCCCGTTGACCAAAGCCAAGGCATTCAAGTCCTCCCCCACGTCCCACCGAACTGTCCACGCATCTACCACCATCTATCCAATCAAGGGCGCATGAGTATCGAACCCCGTGACAAGACAGCGTCCTGTAATCATGTAGGAGGTAGTCCGTACACATCAACACGCACGAGTAGCGAAGATAGCAGACAGCATTGCACGTGCATTCAACACCCACCAACAACCATTCGTCCAGGTATTCCATGGGTAGCGCGGGGCGTACCGAACTATACAACAGCCTTTACCACGCATCAATAGAGCACGGGAGACAGACAGTAGTACCAGTGTATTAGAAACGATTTCCTATTGTGGGAGATGCTTACAGGATGCTCACGAACCGCACACAGCCGGCAGGGCCAGCGCTGTTCCCCCTCCCACGAGCCCGCCGGGCCACTGCACATGCGCAGTACCCCGCTGTGGCACCACTACGCACGGGGTGTAGAGAGGAGAGGATAAATGCATGCACAGGTAAGAAATGAATCTTGCGCTGTGTAACTAGCATGAGGTGACATTCTCTACACTCGGTAGTACCCAGTACAGTACAGCGCTCGCGCATTGCGGGCACGAGGCGGCGCGGCGCGCGATCTACCTACACAGCCGCGTGAACGATGGGACGCACGGCGCCTGGCGTTGTTATTCTTGTTCATATTCCAATTCCCATCCCCATTCCCCATCCGCACCGCACATCTCTCCCTCTCCCTCCCCCTCTTCCTCTCTACTTACAGCCCGCCCACGCCCTCCTCCCGCTTAACCCTAAAAAACGCCAACTTCGCGAACCTTCCCAAGCCCGCCCAGAAATACCGGCCCGCAGGGTGATCCATAATCCTCTCCAACAGCTTCACAACCGCGACTCTAACATCCTGTCTGGGGTGGAACAGCCCGAGACTGAGATAGAAAAGCCCCGTGCCGGACTCCGGGAGCACGCTGAGGAGTTGCAGGGTAGTCGCGTACTGGTGGCGGCGCGCGGCGGCGGCGCTGACAGCCGGGGTCGTGGCGGGTGCCGGTGCGGGCGTTGAGGCGGTGGGCGTCGCAGCGGGAGACAGTGCGGGCGGCCCGGGGTCCTCGACGCAGCGGGCGAGGGCGAGGTAAATCGCCGCGGCCTGATCGGGCGCGAGGCGCAAGCACCGTAGTTTATCGTGCTGGTGGTGCAGATCGATGCCCCTAACGGGCCGCCGCTTCCACGAGCGCGCCAGGTCCTGCACGCAGGAATAGTAGCTGCGGGTGCTGCGCCAGCCCTCGATGCGGTGCGTGTTGGCGGCGAGTTCGCGCAGGCGCGAGTGCTCGTCGGGCCAGACGTAGCCGTGGCCTGAGACCCCGTAGGCGCCGGCGTCGGCGTCGGTTTCGTGCGAGCCGATGTAGAGGGCTGACGCGCCGTAGACGGACTCCTCGAAGGCGGCGGCGATGCGGGTGAATTTCAGGACCCAGGCGCGCCATTTCGCGCGGATGGCGGTTTCGCCGGCGCGGTGGGCGATGGCGAGGAGCATCGAGTCCATGAAGGGGTTGTCTTGGGTGGCGTCGACGGCGTTTGGCTTCTCGCTCGCCATGGGGGCGGCGGCGCCCGCGACGGGAATGCCATGCGCGTGGAAGTAGTGGGCGCCCTCGGTCGGCGCGGCGGGCTCGATGCGGTTGCTGATCTTCATGCGGCCCGTCGGCAGGTCGCACAGCACGTCCCACCACTCGGGCTTGAAGGAGAAGGTCGGGTTGGTGACGCCAGCAATAAAGCCAGGGACCTTGAGCAGGTCATCCACCTTGGTGAGATCGGTGTAGGGGAAGGCATGGCGCACGAAGCCGCGCAGGATGCCGCCGGAGGCGAGGGCGCAGGCAGCGAGGACGGCCTCGGCGACTTCACTAGATGGCCGGTTGTGGCCGATGAAGATGATGCGCTTCTGGGTGAGGAGGGCGTTGACCAGCACGATGATGGGGTGGGTGTAGGCGCCGCTGGTGGTGAGGTGGGGGTGCAGGGCGAAGGGCTGGGGCTGGGTGGCGTGGGGGGTGGAGAAGGTCTGGATGAGCTTGATGAGGGAGAAGTCGCCCACTGTCTCGGGACTCAGCGCAGAAGGCACTTTCACTGGAACGGGGATGCCGTTGTAGTTGACCTTGGACTCGAATTCGTGCGTGTCGCGGGGGAGAATATAAGCTATGCGCTTGGGCTGCGAGTCGACGGACGACAGCGACGTGCGCTCGGCGTCGGCGGCCTTTTGCTTGCGGATCATCTGCTCGAACTTCTCGACGAACATGTCCTTGGCGTCGGTCGCGTGCAGCACGAAGCTCTCCAGCGACGACAGGCGCGGCAGCAGCGACAGGTCCATGGCGTTGAGCGAGTTGTAGAGCGAGGCCAGGGTCTCGATGACGGGGTGGCGGAAGTACTCCTCGAGGGCTAGTACGAGTAGCGGCTTGTAGATGTGCAGGAACGAGTGGCGGGTGCAGATGGCCATGGCCTTGACGACGGCGCCGCGCTTGACCGTGTTGTCCTGCTTGGTGTTGACGAGGTTGAGCACGTAGACGAGCGGGGGGCCGTCGGGGTCCTGCTCTTCGTCCGAGGGCTCGGTGTCGTCGTCGCCGTCGTCGTCGGCGGCGGCGTCGGGCTCAAGGTCGCCGTCGGGCTCACCCTCGCCGTCGCGGTCCTTGCGGCGCCTGCGCTGGCGGCGGCGCTCGCGGCGGGCCTCCTTCTCCTCCTCCTCGGTGGTGGTGTCCTTGTGCAGGAAGAAGATGGTCCAGTCCTGGGCGCGCGAGTGCACCTGGTCCGGCAGCATCAGCTCGGCCAGCGTGGTCTCGTCGCCGCTGATGGCGGCGGGGTACTGGTTCTCCATGACCGACCCGCGGTCGATGTCGAACGAGGCCACCAGGATGTACTCGACGTGGCGCTCGACGGCGTCGGCGGGGTACTGCGAGCGCAGGCTGGCCATGCCGGCGACGTGCGACTGCGACGCGGTGCGCGACGCGGGCTCGCCGTCGTCGGCCTCGGGCACCATGGGCGGCTGCGGCGAGCGGGCCTTGCGGGCGTCGGCGCGCGTCGACACGGACGGCGAGCGGGCGTGCGGGAACGACGAGAACGACGGCTGGCGCTGCAGGCCGCCCGCCGCCGACGAGGGCGCGCCGCGCGGTGCGATCACGTCTGCCATGGGTGTTTCCATCTCCGCGCCCGCTCCGTTGCCCGCATGTCGTGGATCGTCGTCGTCCTCCGCGCGCTAGGGGCCCCACACAGGGGTAGCGTTCCAGAGACGTCGGACGCGGCCTCCGGCTCAGCTGGCGGTAGACTGTAGACTGCGGGAATGCGTGCAGCGGCCGGCACACTCGCACTCCAGGCGCTGGGGGACGTCGGACTGTGGCGGCTGTCGGCTGTGTGGGCAGTGGTGGGGTCTGGCGGCCTCGATCGCCGCCGGGATAGGCGCCTGGCTTGGCGGTGGTCGTTGCTGGGGTAAACACGGACCAAACACGCCAACACTGCCATCCGAATCGAGCGCAGTGCGACCGTCAGAGACACAACATCATGGTATGCATGCCGCCCCGCCGCCCTGCAACACTAACATGCCGCAGTCGGCGCCCACCGAGAAGCCGTCGCCGCTCTTCTTCAACAGCGCCCGCGGGTCGCGCCAGTCGCCGTTTGGCCGCCCGGGCTCCATCCGCCAGGGCTCGCCCGCCGCCGCCCGCCCGTCGACGCCCACGAGCTCGCCGCTGAAGCCCAAGGAGACGCCCGGCCCCGCGTCGCCCGTCCTGCTGCGCCCCAACAGCGCCGCCCCGCAGAGCGCTCCGTCATGGCTGAAGACAGGCGGTGGTGACCCGCCGAGCTCGCCGGCGCTGCGCTCGCCGCGAGAGCTGAAGTCGCCGTCGCGCGAACTGCGCTCGCCGTCGAAAGAGCCAGCATCTCCCGGGCCACAACTGCTGTCGCGCGATCTGCGCTCGCCGTCCAAAGAACCGCTGTCGCCCGGCCCGCAGCTGCTGTCGCCCGCCCGCGACCGCCCCGAGTACGCCCGCAACACGTCCAGCGCCAGTGCCCCGCGTCCACTCAGCACAGCGTCGCTCGCCGCCATGTTCGACGGCGGCCGCGAGCGCTCCAGCACGCCTCCACTGGCCGCCCGCGCAAGCACCCCCCCCTTCACCGCCCGAGCCAGCACACCGCCGCTGTTCCTCCGCGACAGCACGCCCCCCGTCGCCTCGCCCCTCGCCTCGCCCGCCGTCTCGCCTGTCATCTCGCGCGCCGTCTCGCCTGTCATCTCGCGCGTCGTCTCGCCCGCCGCCGACCCCATCCCAGCGCCCTCCTTCAAACCCACCCCGAAACCCATCGACCCGCCCTCGCCCTCCAAACCCGCCCGCGCCCCGCCCCGCCCCCAGCTCATCCGCCAATCCACCAACGACGCCCTCTCCAAGCTCCCCCCGCCCCTCCTCCACAGCATGCGCGAGTCCTTCTCGGTCATGGACCGCGACGACGACGGCCACGTCACGCCCCCGGACGTCGCAGACATGCTCTCCCAGCTCGGCCTGAGCGCCACCCCGTCCACCCTCTCCGCCTACTTCAACGGCGCGCCCTCGCTCAACCTCGCCACCTACCTCAACACCCTCGCCGACCTGCTCTCGCACCTCTCGCGCCCCGCCGAGCTCAGCGCCGCCTTCGCCGCCTTCGACGATGGGGATGATGGCCAGATCGACCTCGCCGAGCTGAAAGACGCGCTGCTGCACACCCCGCCCGAGGAGGGCGGCGGGCGTCTCACCGAGCGCGAGATTGAAGGGGTGGTCGAGGGCTTCAGCGGGCGCAGGGCGTTTGGCAAGGCCGGGAAGGGGTTGGGGAGGGGGGAGGTGTTTAGGTATCAGGAGTTTATGGCGAGTCTGGTGGGGGGGCCGGGGGAGGCGGAGACCCAGGATTGAAGGGGTTTGTCATGTGGGTTATGAAGGGTACGGAATGGGTGGCGTTTGGCGCGGGTATATACCGAATGCATTTCTTGTTTGTGTTGGAGAGAGTATATAGTGCGTTGCTGTTCTATGGTGCGTGTAGGGGTGAGACGACAAGGCTGGATCTAGCCGCCTTGGTTGTGAATCACTTGAGAGTCTGAGATGGCTACAATGGATGATGACCACGTTCTCGACTACACCTCTAAAATGTATGTTAGGTCAAACATGTCGTACAATTACTCTTATGGTGTGTTGAAGCTGCTGGTGGAGATTCAATAGCACTCCATTCGCCTGCTATTTACCTATAAATAACATCATCATTACTGTCTTGATTGTTGTCAACGTCGTAGCCGACGGTCGACGTCGTCTGAGCTCCACATCGGGCTAGCGTGCTGACGCAGCGCCGAACTCCAAAGTAGACACGAATCACCTCGACTCCAGAGCTCCGCGTTCACTCATTCTCACGCCAATCATGAAGGTCTCTCTCGGCTTCGTATCGTCGCTCCTGCTCTCAGGTGCATCAATTGCCTCTGCCGCCGGCTGGAGCTTCGAAGATGCCACCGTTTCCGTTGCGAGCAAAGGCGCTGGCGTCGGCGGAGCTTCCAAGAACAAGTGAGCGCACCGCAGCTCGATCACGACGCGACTGACAGTCCCAGGCTCAGTGCTACGGCGCCCCTCAAGAAGACCGTGGCCCTCGGCGCAACCGACCTGCTGAAGCTCGACCTCACCACGGTCGATGGAAAGACGGCCAAGCGCCCGCACCAGGCGTTCCTGACCCTCACCGACCCCGTCAGCGGCCTCGAGGAGTCGTTCGTGCTCACCATCAAGGACAGCGGCAAGGCCAAAGTCTCGCTCGTAAGCCCAGCACCGCGGAACAAAGCACTCCGCACCGTCCTCTTCCCACCCGCTAACGCCCCCAGACCCAAAAAGACCTCCCGCACCAATTCCTCACCGCCGCCGCCCCAATCCCCGCCTCCCTCGTCCTCGGCGCCTTCGGCTCCTCCACCCCCTACAAACAGCACCTCTTCGACCTAAATGTCACCCGCGACCCCGCGACCCCACTCGCCGTCCCCGCGCCCCCGCTGCGCTACGCCCCGGAGCCCGAAATCCACCACATCTTCCGCGCGGACCCCTCCTCGCCGCCAAAACTCATAACCGTGGTCTTCGCCGCCGCCGTTGCCAGCGCCCTGCCGTTGCTGCTGGCCGCCTGGGCCGCGCTGGGCGCCAACGCGGGACATCTGGGGAAGGCGCTGGGGAGGGCGCCGGTCGCGCATGCGCTGTTCTTTGGGTCTGTGGTCGCAATGGAAGGGGTGTTTTTCGCGTACTACACGGCGTGGAATTTGTTTCAGACGCTGCCTGCGGCGGGCGTGGTGGGTGTGGTGGCGTTTTTGAGCGGGAGTAGGGCGTTGAGTGAGGTCCAGGAGCGGCGGTTGGCGGGGCTGAGGTAGAGGGAGTCCGGGAGGGGAAGTCTGTAGCGCAAGGCGCATTAAAGGCCTGCGTGTGTGTGTGTGGTCTGAGGCAAGGCCGGGTCCAGACGCCTGGAATCGAAGCGCAGCGTCGGTCGCTCAGAAGTAGTGGAGAGAAGACTTGGAGAGAGATGGCGAGCAGAGACACGAGCGCGCTGCTCAGCGCGGCTTGAGCGCTTGTTGTACACCATACCGTACCATACCATACCATACCATGCCATGTCGTGTCATGTCATATCCAAATACAAGAAAAGTCTCGTCAGTCTATCGTTCCCCTGAAGTCCTGCGTTCTGACTAGCACCGACACCGACAGCGGCCGTCCGGTGCGTGGTTACTGTGCTATATATAGTATAGTATTTGTGCTGCAATTGCAACCCCAGCCCAGCACAAGACTCGCATCGACCCGGTGGCTAGGCTGTGTTGCGGGGTTTCTTGTGGACGTTGGAATTTCTTGACGCGCAGAGTGCTACTGTGAGAGCTTGCAATGGCTAAGGCAGAGAGATGCTGGTCTCAGCTCCAGATTTGACACATCGCAGGCATAGGGGATGAGAAGCTGCAGTGTCTCGGCAGATGGTGTAGCAGAGCTGACCGCGGAGATTCTGATACGGCTGTTGAGGATGTTTGGCAGTGGGATTTTGGGGTGCAAGCTGCTGGACTCGGGGAGGGAGGTGGGCGGAGTACCTATTCTGGACATGTTGTCTTCTATAGCATTTCACCACTGAGTCAATTTGTTGACGCTAGCCATCTTGGTAAGTTGCGTGTTTGGATCTGCTCAGTTGTAACTATATAATTCTTTGCCTCAGTCTTTACAGGATAGGGGGAACATACATATATACAAGGAGGATTCGCAAACTAGTCGTGATAATTGCAAGACTACGAGGTTTCCTTGTGCTTCTGCTTCGTAGTTGCGCGTAGCTGATACGTCTCTAGAAATTGGCAACTGTGAGTTTGAGGTGAAAATAGTAATCATCACCCGCGGTAGCTCAGCGAAGTTAGGCGCCGATTCCTGTTTAGTATTTTGGCTACTCTTAGCACAGGTGTGCAGCTTGCTTGCTACTTGTGTTATAATGTATCTAGTATTTAATAATACTATTGCCTGTATTCATAATTACTAGTGCTGTTACTATTCTTGCACTTTACATAGCTAATTAAGCATTCGATCGCTATTAGTAAAGTGCTATGCGTTCGCCTAAGTTGCTATATTGCGCAGGATAATAGCCGCACTCGGATGTATGCGGAAGTAGCAGCTACCATCTGTTCCTCCTTCATCTACATCCTTGTTGTGCGGCACGCCCGGAAGTGAACATCAGTGGAGCCGGAAGCACGTAGGTATGTGCTTCCGGCTGGACTAGGTAGCCTACAAAGCATGCACTTGTGTCATAGCGCAGCAGTATAGAAGGCAAAGAAACCAACGGATTCCTCGTTACATCTATCTTAGCCCTATTCCACACATTCTAGTCCTTTCACAACATCTCGTGTTGGAGCTCGATCAAAGAAGCATGCCTTTCGGCCAGCTCGCCGTCACCAACGCCCCTATCCCGCAGGACAACCCTCCGTACTTGGCAGGAGACCCCGTATTCTCCGACATCCCATCCTAACGGTCCGCTACCGCACATCCTTCGCCAGCATCCGCGGCCTGGTGCCGGACGTGCTCGAGGTCGACGACGAACCCCTCGTAACAGCTACCTTACTCCGCTACGGCACCGGCCCCAGCGGCCCCTTCAACGAGCTGATCCACACAGTCGAAGCCCGCTACCGCGGCACCACCTACGCCTCCTGCCTGTCGCTGCTTCTGGACCTCGAGGCGGGCGTGCTGGCCGGCAGAGAGCCCTTCGGCTTCCCAAAGCGCCTGGGCGCCGTCTCGCTCACGCCCAGCGCGCCACACGCAGCGACGGGCCGCGTGGAGCGCCCCGCGGGCCACCCGCTCGCCGAGTTCCGCTTCCAAGGCACGGCGCAGCAGAGCCCGCCACGAGCGCTCGACAAGCCGTTTCTGAACCTCCGGGTTATCCCGTCGCCGGTTGCGGGCGCGCCGGCGTCGGTCAAGGAGCTGGTGCCGTGTGCTTTTGAGATCCGGCCGGCGGAGGTCTGGGACGGGGTTGGGGAGCTGGTGTTTCCGGATGGGTGTCCGCAGGCGGAATCGCTGAATAGGGTGGAGGTGCTAAGGTACGAGGGCTCGACGTTGGCGTATGGGGCGCGTTGTGTGCTGCGTGCCGCGGAGGAGGTGTTTCAGTTGTAAGATGGGGATTAAAATGAGGGGAGCTGAATCGAGTCTGCGATAGTAAATCAGTATAGAAGCAAAGCAGTATAGAACAAATCATTGCCTTCTTGCTGGTATGTACTTGGTACAGCAACATCTTTGACTGCAGGAGCAGAACGCTAGAGGGGAAGTCACAACAGCAGTAATGTACAGAGTAGTTGGGCAGGCACTTAGACACTAGTATAGGCTTATATTGTGACGAACCCTTAAGGCGCTATCAATCCTCTTAGAGAGATGATGTGTGTACGCTACGTGACCGTAGCAAGTGCAGGCCGACAGTGCCCCAAAGCGTTTCCCGTAGTTCGCTAGTCTGTGGCTAGAATCTATAGTTAAAGAACATTGTAACAAGCAAGCATTGTGCACAACTACCGTGATGTTATAGGTAACATACAGGATTCTCTCCTCAGCAAGCAACAACGGGCGAGAACAAACTCGTTTCTCGACTGTCGATGCATGTTAGAAGCAGTGTACCGAGCGGTAAACAGCTCGAAGCAGGCCATGTTCAACGAGTGCCTAGTCTAGGGTACTACTGATAGGCAACACTGCCACCACAATCCGTTTCTTGTGACTGTATAGGAGAATCCCGCATCAAGTGACTCTTGTCGTCATTCCAATTTAAGAAGCTTGACGTGTGTGCGACGGATTCGACGTGTGTGCGACGCCAGGCTATATTTCAGTGCTTCGTTTGGCATTGTGCGGTCATGCATTGCTCAACAGGAGGATCCAATGTCGTCTATTATGACACTGCCTTTGCATGTGATACATGATGCGTATTCAACTACTCTATATACTTAGCAACATATTTCAAAGCACTGATAGCTGTTTTAGGTTGGTTCAGAACGCGTCTTGAAGAGTGGGGCTTCCTCGCTTACATTCGTCACTAGGCGCCTTCATTGTTATGTGTGGGTTCACCTCGGTGAAGATAAAGCAGGTGTAGAATTTAGGGGAAGCATGCACATCTACCGAATCGCGAAGACGTGTTGTAAGAACCGTCACGGATACATTCAAAAGTACCAGCAGTGATCCTGGGGATTGCTCTCGGACCGTTAGCAGCCAAGTTTCTTGACGCAGAGGGCCAGCAGGATGCCGTCACTCTTGTAGGCCGTATCCAGTTGGACCAGGCGATGATACAGACTCCTTCAAGGTATGTACCGGATCGTGATTGGGATATAGCTGGTAGTTGCGGGGTTCCAGCTACCTGCGAAAGATCAACAGGCCAACTGGAAAGGAATAGCAATTTGCCTGCTGCCGGTCATGACAGTTATGTGAATCTTCACCAGTACGTGTATCTACATCACTATTCCTCCCCTCCTGTCCTCGATGGTGATTGGGTCGTGCGTCACATGCACCGATCCCATCCTGTCGCAGGGGGTGGCGAAGGGACCTTTCTCTGACAAATTCGTCCCACGGGCTTTACGCGAGATCATATCCTCTGAAGCTGTAGCAAACGATGGTTTTGGTTTTTTAGTCCTTCTGTGAGTTGATTAATCCTCGCCTGAGCGTGCCGTGGCACAGCACCTTCGCAGGCTGACGTATCGCGCAGCCTCGCAGCTCACCTCATCCGTCATGCAGGCCTGGACGATGTAAAATGTAATGAGGATGCCTTCGAGACTGGTGAGACTTTGGTTCACCTTCTCAAGCGATATGTGTGCCGCAGTGGAAGAGACAGGAAGCAGGCGATGAAAGGGTGATTGTCCATATAGACTTGCGAGCGTCTTTCCCTCAACCACTCGACAAGTTTTTGTGATTTGCCCCGTTCATCTCCCACGGGTGATTCAATCACTCTTCCTTCGTAACTAATCTCTCCTACTGGAGTGATAAAGAAGGTTGTGCCACAGACAAAGCATTCCATCAATCTACCATGCGTCCTGTGCCGAAACTGGACTAGAGAATTGCTTGAATCGACCTACGAAACAAAACAACAGTTCATCTTAGGCATCCCCCCGTAAGCAGTCGTAGGACCATCAGTGTTCTCAGTATACGATGCTTCGTATCGGTCTTAGCCCTAGGGCCTGATTAGGAAAACCACAGCTGATTTGTAGGGCCGATTCGTAAGCAAGTTGAAGAAAGTTGGTGATTACTTGTGTTGAAGTGGTGATTGTAAATCAGATTACTATACGATGTGACAAGAAGCCTACAATTTCTAATTGGCGATCTTCGTATGAACATATGCTTGGCTTAGGGACCTCTACACGCATTAGCGTCATCATCATAATTATAAATCATACGAAGATTGGTGTATTCCCGTGCCTTTATAAGAAGGAGCAATGTCGCGCCTGTGGTTGATGTGTATGCGAACATGTCGAACCTCAAATCCATTGCCGTCGTTGGTGTAAAGTCTCCCTAATTTCCGTCCGATACTTGTACGCTGACAAGAAGACAAAGGCTAGCGGTAACCTAGGCCAAGCTGTGATACCCTTCCTCAAACGAGCGAATTTCGATGTAACTGCTATTTGCAGGTCAGACTCGACGGCTTCAATCGCGGAAAGCATCAATGTCATCAAGACGGAGTACACGTTGGGACCTTTGACCGAAGCTTTGAAGGGACACGACGTCGTGCTATGCGTCCTCGATCCACAAGCCCTAGCTGCTGAAGCGGTCGTCATCGACGCTGCTTCTAACGCTGGTGTGAAATGGTTCATTCCCAGCGAATTTGGCCACAACACGGCGGACGAGCGCGTCTTATCCTCCTTACCATTCCTAAAGGGTAAATCTGAGGTGGTCGCTAAACTAGAGAGCAAGACCGTCAGCGGTATGAATTGGGTGGGAATCATTACCGGCTTCTTCTTCGATTGGGTATGTCGTTTTCCTCCACGCACAATGCTGATCCATGCTGACCTGACTAAGTGCTTGAGTCGAAATTTCCTCGAGTTCGACATCAAGGAGAGGTCCGCTACGATCTGGGATGACGGCAACACAAAATTCCACGCCACAAACATTGGAGACATTGGCGCGGCGATAGTCAACCTCCTTTCTGAACCAAACACCCTCGAGAAAGTCAAGAACACGTATGTGTACATCTCTTCGTTCGAGCTCACGCAGAACAAGATTCTTCTCGAGCTGGAGCGGGCAACGGGGACAGACTTTCAGGTGAAGCGGGTGAAGAGTGAGGACATCCAACGCAGTGCCATGGAAAGTTTGGCCAAGGGCGATGTCAACGCTGTTTTACCGCTACTACAGTATATTGCTTGGGGAAACAAGGGGCTGGGACACTTCAACACGCTGTCTGAAGATGGAAATGCTCTGTTGCTGCCGTCTCCTCAAGAGACCTTCGAAGAAACGATTGAAAGGGTGGTAGGGGCTGCGAAGCACGGATAGAAGGTAGCTTTGTAGAGCTAATATTCCAGCAATTATCTTGGTAGTTGAGTCTAAAGAATTGTTCCTGCGGCTTTCTCGTCAATTGCGCATTTGGTAATCTACTGATAAACTAAGGTCGTAGGTGGAAAGGAATGCATACATCGATCACACAAGAAAGCACTATCTACTAGAGACTGCTGCCGACGATTGAGACCATGGACGACGATTCACATACTTATTCAACGATAGTAGCTCGAGTCGATTCACTAATTGAAAGCATATCATCGATGAATTCGGCTTTTTTGATGTTGGGTCTCATAATATGGATTCTCGTATTTCGGTAAGCGACAAGTATCTCGTATTTCGGTAAGCGACAAGTAGATTGCTGAAACTTCGTCGGACGAATTGAGGCTGACCCCGATTAACACGTGTTCAGAAGTGTCTAATTGCCTCAGACCCGAGTTATCTGTTGAAGCCTACTCTGCATCAAGTAGCATCTTCAGCTCATGCCCCCAAGTGGTTAATTGATTTATTCGCTCGAATTTGCCAAACACATTGATGGTACGCTCAATATGGGCCGTAGTCCGCTGTGTAAGGCCAAAGCGCGTCTTGTGTATGAGCTGGTTGAGCCTTGGCTCGATCAGTGAGGCCATCATTGGCCAAGTCATCGCGTCATCCGAGCTAGCGATTTTCTGAATAGTGATCATTAGTTCTCTACAACACTGTCGTGTAAGGAAGCCGAGGCAATACTCGAGGAGCGTTCGTAATTTAGCTAATGCCCAGCTGTAGCTTGCTTAGAATGGTCTAGAGCCTGTGCGGTTCAGGGCTTTTACTTCACCTTTCACTGTTTGCGATAGCCGAAATCTGACTTCCGACTCGCGGTGACTGGTATAAGTACTGGAGGTAGGGAACTCGTCTTTCAGTAATGACATTCGTTTGCAAGATATATATCCTTCCAAAGAGTTCACGCCATACCCCGCAAAGATGTCAAGAGAGCAGATGCCAATTGCAGAGCAATTCGAATTGACAACTATTAGCAATGGCGAATACGAAACGGTGAACCCCCCTCAAAGGATGGCCAATACACTCAACATCGCGTATGGAGGCTATGCGCTAGCCACTGCATGCAAAGCAGCAACTCTCAGCGTGGACGGCCCGTACCATATCTACACTGTGCTGGGCAATTATCTTGGTCCAGCATCCACGGATCGGCCCCTGCGAGCGCGTGTCCGTACAGTCCGGCAGACACGAAGTTTCGCAACACGACAAGTGGAGATCAGCCAGAGTGCAGGAGAACAGGGTGAACGGATATGTCTGATAGCTCTTGTCGACTTTCAGATTAGAGAGAAGGAGACGTTGGTTGCATACTCTCGAAGTCCCAGTAAAACCTACACATCGTGGGAGAACTGCTCTACAGAAGCCGATGTGCATCAGAAACTCCTAGCCGAAGGCAAGGTGAGCCAAGATGTGCTCGACGAAGACTCCAGGACCTTCGGATTGGTTAAGAACATTTTTGAGTATCGGCCTTGCCCTGAAGGCATTTTCGCTCAGAACGTGCACGGTATAGCAAAGAACCTAGCATTGACACAAGACGAGCTGCCACTCACACAACGATCATCAGCGGACTGGATCCGTTGCGTTGAAGATCTCCCAAAAGCTATGGATCATGTCGCGCTCATGGCATTCACTTTAGACGCCTTTATCGCGTCTCTCCCCCTGACCTTGAATCACAGGTTCCTAGACGATGCGTCTGCATGCTCCAGTTTGGACTTCGCGCTTCGAATCTTCAACACCGATATCGACATGGCACGATGGCACTTGCGAGAAGTTACCACCAACGTGGGTAGTGAAGGTAGAAGCTATGGCGAAAGTTGGCTATGGGATGAGGACGGTAATGCCGTAGCCTGTATGACTCAGCAGTGCATCTTAAGGCCAAAGCCTAAGAATAAGGGTCGATTATAGGATATTTGATAATATAGAGGTTATAGACATAGATAGTCAGCCTAACATGCCTTACAGTATACTATAGCACTAGAAATAGGAAAGTAGATTTAACCAACTTTAAACTCTGCTTTGTTTCAACAGCCCTGATGTTGTTCTTTTGAGGGCTTGGTAACTGTTAAGCTGTACGATTTGCTGAAGGTTTAAGCTCAAGCGTAGCTACCGAAATTTCCTACAATGAGCAAGACTTCTTTACATGCAACGTGTGCCAGTTGATTAGTTCTATTTGGTCTAGGAGCTAGATACCACAGAAGCTAGTATTGCATGACGTACTATCTCCAATGTTCTATCCAATATGCAACAACACCGGTGCATTAATTAGAACTAGTTTCCTTGCACAACAGCACTGTACATGTATTGCTGCGTCTTATGCGTCGCTATGTGATGTGCGTTGCCAAATGGTGGAACGCATGAGACAACTGCACGGATTTATGTGAAATGAAGTGGCGAGCAAGAGGAAGTAGGAAAAGCGTGGCGAGTAACATCAGCGTGCGCTACACGATCAGTAATCCAGATTTGTTGCTAGTGGTACCCAAAGATACGCGATACGAAGTACGGTCACTAGCGGCTCTGGTCATGCAACCTGCTTAGGTAAACATGAGAACAGTCAAAACTCCTTGGTCCCGTACATCGACTTCGGTCCTTATACTTGTCCTACAAATTATCAACAATGTCAAATCGGCACAACCTAAGCGGCGGTGGTTTCACGACTGGGCGACATTCTACGACATACGACTATATATCCCCGTTGAAACTGGACTTGACTGGTAGTCATGTCCTGATTACTGGCGCAGCATGGGAGGACGGAGTTGGGTATGCAACAGCCATGGCTTTTGCGCGTGCAGGAGCGTCTGCGATCGCAATAGTCGATCTACACGGCGTATCGGATGAGCTTGTTGCAAAGTTGAAGCTGGCCGCCACGCAAGCTGGACGTGCCGAGCCCATAGTGATAAGCTGCAAGGTCGACATTGCAGACTCAAACAGTGTCCACGCCATGCATGCCACTGTAGCACAGGCCTTTGATGGCCGTCTGGACATTGTTATAAACAACGCAGCCCACATGGAACCATATGAGCCCCTCCTCGATGCGGACCCAGATATATACTGGCGGACCTATGAGGTCAACGTCCATGGACTTTTCAACATGGCGCGCGCCTTCCTCCCCATGCTGCTCTCAGCTAATGCTAGCGACAATGGTCTATGTACAATGATCAACGTAGCCTCTTCGGGCGCATTGACTGCTCGACCCGGAAGCGGGAGCTATCGCAGTTCTAAGCTTGCGATATTGAGGTGGACCGAGACCTTACAGCTAGAGTACGGTGACCAGAGACTTCTTGCCTTCTGTGTAAACCCGGGTGCTATCAAGACCAAGATCACAGAAACTGCGCCCGAGGCAGTGAGGAATATGTTCCCAGATCGACCAGACGTTGCGGGTGATACAATCGCATGGTTAGCTGCTGAGCCAAGGGAGTGGTTGGCTGGAAGATACGTAAGCTGTCCGTGGGATATGGAGGAGCTAGTCGAAAAGAAGGACGAAATCGTTGAGAAAGACCTGCTCAAGATGAGAATGGTGTTCTGAAAGTCATCGATGGGTCGGGCCTCCACGATGCTCTATTAGGAACATAGTGGTGCTCGGTGCTTAGAAGCAACTTTCGGTTTCTTAAGCACGATACAATTCGACATCGTTCGTTACATACACCACACTGCATGACTGCGTGAGTGGTAAAAGCTTAGGCAGCAGGAGCGTACACGAGCGTACGGAGCAGCACAAGATCATCCAAGCTCATTTCAGGGCAACAAACACGTATAGTGAGGATTTAGAGTACATGGCTATCTAGTCACTGTACTTCCATTATAGGAATCTTAGCTGGGACATCTGGAGTTTCTAATGCTCTGTTGCGGCTCGATGTTCCTAATCTTTAGGTCGTACTCCCTACTTACAATCTAGATGCTACAGGATAGCCACGGAAGCTACTCGGCCGATCTGATGGTACGTTTGCTATTACGGATAATGGTGCAAAACAAAGGCTTAGCATATACGATGTCCTCTAGGGATTGAAGACGAATCAAATCCCTCTTCTGACTTCAAACGTCACATCACGATACAATTAGGTAGCATCTAGCAACATAACACTTTAGACGAGAGCCAGCAACCGCGTCTGTTGTCCTCTTTAAAACCGTACACAAGTCGTATGATTGTATCCGGAAGAACTTCCGTTCGCTCTACATCTCGCCCTAGCTGGAATGGTAAGCAATGCACGCATTCCATGGTACCAGGCTGCCCCGCACACGATCTAGATGTAAACAAGCACGAGTCGAAATAAGATCTCAAGACCTATCTGGTCAGATCCTCGGAAACCTTCAACCCACTTTCTTTGCAGGGTCATCTTACCTCCCGATCGTATCACTCATCATTCGGTCTTTCATCTCGATTTCACACGCCATGTCTAGCTGCAACAAACAGGCCATACATACATCCGGCTTTGACGCTGATATTACTGCGCTCACGATACAACTAGACGAGATCAGACTGTTTATTGAAGGTGACAAAGGCAAATACGCTGCCAATCAACCCCCGGATCGTAACATCGTGTGCGCCGCCTTCGAGGAGGAATTGAGAAGATATGAAGTTTTTATTACAGATCAGAGGCTCGCTCATAGTATGGGAGCTGCAGTACATGTTGATGGCGAAATCATTCTGGAGTCAACAATCGAAGAAACCCAATGCCAAGAAGACCGACTGCTTGCACTTCAAATCAGCAACGACGAGCCCGGATATGAGGATCCGCCAGCATCGGGGTCCATAATAGACAGTAGTCAGGTTCAAAACTGGCTGAAAACTGCCACTCACAGCCAGCACGCCGGCTCTGTGGTCGACTTTGCTATCGACGACAGTGACGATGGAACTGAGGCTGGCCCCTCCAAAACGTTTGCTGAGCGACAAGCGGACGTGCTCGAAAAACTTTCTCAGCGGCTTCAGTGTGTCGTTTGCCGCGAGAAGGTCTTCTCCAATCTTACGGTGTCATTGCCTTGTGGCGATCGCTATTGTATCGAGTGCCTGAAAGGGTACTTCATTCGGGCGACGAAAGATGAGATGTTATTTCCTGTGAGGTGCCACAAGAAGCCCATTCCACTAAATCTCATCGCTGCACATTTGTCTGTTGACGAATTGGCAGCGTTCGAACGAGCTAGTATTGAGTTCTCCACCGTCGATCGAACGTACTGTAGCAATCGCGCTTGCGGAGAATTTATTCCACCAGAACAGATCCAATCAGCAACCCACAGAGCCTCTTGCACGTTCTGCAGTACCTCCACTTGCGGACTGTGTAATCGCAGTTATCACGGTGGCTTGGATTGTCCGGATGATCCTGAGCTACGCCAGACTCGCGATTTAGCGGGTGAGCTTGGGTGGCAGACATGCTTCTCTTGTGGAAGCATAGTCGTTTTGAGGAGCGGTTGTAATCATATGACGTGAGTATCCAAGCAATGTGACTCATACGTCGATAAGAGCTAACTATCGAACAACGTAGATGTTGTTGTAAAGCTGAATTCTGTTACGAATGTGGCACTCAATGGAAACAATGTCGTTGCGAACATGCGGATGCAGGCAGGATTCTCGAGAGAGCTGAAGAGATTGTGGAGCGCGATGCTCCAATTGGAATTCCACAGAGAGAACGACGGGAGCGAGTGCAACAAGTCCGCGCCGAACTCGAGCTGAATCATGAGTGCGAACACCCAGGCAAGTTTCAACGCATATACGAGTGTGGGAGACGCGGCTTTCGTTGCGAGATGTGTGATGTCAGGCACTGGAAGTACATGCTACAATGTCGTCATTGTTTCATTAATGTATGCGAAGATTGCCGTCGATGGCGAGTGTAATCGTTTCTCTACAAACAGGATGCATGCAGGAGAGTACATTGTCCCGACGCCTTAGCTGAGTCAGCCTGGCTCCTCACTAAGTTCTTTAGCATAGTATGTTCAGTCACGATCTTCATTGTGACATTCAAATTACTTCTATCTTCTCCCAGATGCAGTTTGACTCAGCAAATCTGAGGGCTAAACATCCTGGTCCTTGATGTAGAAAAAGATCAGAGTCTAGCCATTGTCACGCATTCTAGACCGATGAGAACCCACTTAGAACGACAGCTTACGAGTGATACATAAATTCAAGGTTTCTATTAATCTAGAGCATGCGAGAGTGGTATTGAACATCAAAACATCAAATCAAAGTCCTAAGCCTCCTGAACACGAACCACAACCTTGCCACGAGACCTCCCAGTCTTCAGCCTGGAAAACGCCTCAGGCGCAGCGCTAAACTTGTACTCCGAATCAATCACCGCCCGAATCTTCCCTGTCTCGAACCACGACCCCAAAAGCTCGAAGTCGGCTTTGTTAGGCTTTGTGATCGCGAACACGTACTTCCCTCTGCCACCGCCAAGGAAGCCGGGCAGGAACTTGTTGCCCATGAACTGGCGCAGCGCAGCGAGGTCCATGCCCAGGCCGACCTGCACGAAGGTACCCTTGGGCTGTAGGTAGCGGCCGCCGGCGCGGTAGAGGTTGGAGGGGTTGCCAACGTTGTCGATGATGGCCTCGAAGCGGGTCTCGCGCGCGTTCAGCTGCTCGACGATATCAGCTTTTTTGTAGTCGAGGACCTCGTCTGCGCCAAGGCTCTTGCACAGCTCGACGTTTGCGGTCGAGCAGGATGTTGTGACGTGGCAGCCGAGCTGTTTGGCGATCTGGATGGCCAGGGTGCCTGTGCCGCCCGAGCCTCCGTTGATGAAGACCTTGTCGCTGGCTTTGACGTAGGGCCTGATGGCTTGGAGGGTGGTCATGCCGACGGTGGCGACTGCTGCTAGGTCTTCATGCCTCGCGCCTTGGGGGGCAAGGGCGATCATATCCTGCGACGCCTGGACGTATTGCGCCATCGCGCCATGTTCGAAGACGCCGTTGCAAGCGCCATAAACAATGTCTCCAGTCTTGAAGGTGTTGACTTTACTCCCAACTTCAACAACGCGGCCACTAATGTCTAGTCCTGGCGTGACAGGAGCTTTCAGGGCTAGTCTCGGGATCAGACCGAGCTCTAGGATCTTGTAATCGATGGGGTTGACGGAAGTGCTGAAGACTTCTACGATGACCTCTGTGTCGGTAGGAATTGGCTTTGGGACGGATGTTGCTAGATACAAATTCTTCTCGACTGCGCCTGAGAACGTCTTGCATTGCCAGGCCTCCATGGTCGTCATGATGGCCAAAAAAGGGTTATTAAATTTCGGTGGGTGTGTAGTGTAGGTTTGGTGATTTGTGATTCACATCTTCCAGCGTCGCCGTGTCCTTTTTGACTCTTTTGCAAACATCTATCCATACTCAGGATCGGACGTCGGACGATGCTTAACTGAGGTTTGTAAGAGTCGGCATGTCGGAGAGCGAGCTGTGATCTCGCTCTTTGACGTCTAATTTCTCCGAAAAAGGCCCTTGCGGCTGACTAGCACTAATCGGTATTTAGAGATAGTCAAATCCCTCTCTATTGTCTGTTGGCCACGCTTCACCTCATTGGTAGACTAGCAGCCGGAAGTAAGTCCGCTCGGGCTTTTTTCACTGCACAGTCCGAACCGCTTTGTTGCTAAGTCATCAGCAGAATATCTTCGACAAGGAAACCCGACAAGCGTCGATGAACAAGCATGTCAACTTAAAGCACTTTGACAATCGCCGTAGTACTAGATCAAAAGACGTCCTAGACGCACCAGCCTAGCCCGTGAAATGGTGTCAGGGCTCTTCTCATCCACTGCCTTCATTAGGCTCCGCGAGGCTTTCTCGCCCTGAGGCGCGCGGTTGAACCACTGAACTGCTCGTCCGCGCGAAACATGCCTTTTAGTCCGTGACTTATCAACAAAGCTGCGCGACAAACTTGCTCAGGCACCACACGACTCAGACTTTTCAGATGAGGAAAATCGTGCTCTTCTTCCTTCCAAACGGGCACGCCTTGCCTTCATCAAAATTATAGTTCGACGTATTAGTGTACCATCCCACTCTCCTCCAGAACCCTGGTCGTCCCTCTACAGCGACAACAACGATTCCGAAAGAATCGTATGTGCCGCTCGCCTTATATGATTCATGGCCTCCGAGGATCTGAATAGCCCAGAGGGGGCCTTCGCAGACGGGTAAGGTATCAGGGCACCACAAGCCGTGCGAAAAGCGATCAGACGACTCAGAATGGTAGGAAGAGTTCGACACGGTCAGGCTGCAACTTACGTGGAGTTCGCTTCCGACAAAGCCAGATTTGAACTCGGCCATGCAGGCTGTGACCCGGAGGATGGTGGTTGGCCCATCCGTTGATGTCGATGATGTTGACGAGTCTTCCACGGTAACGTCGGCGTCACAGTGTTTGAACGCGGCCCAAAAGAGCTCAATCCCACCTTTAATGTTCAGCCAGCTCCAAGATGGCTCCCTGCAGTCTATAGTCCCTGGCCCTCGCGATGTGACTTTCCAGAGCAATTCTGTTGATCCAAGCAGGTGGTGGCGCAGACCGTGGACAATCTGCCAATCTTGCGCCGTTGAAACTTGGCTGGCGAGACCCTGAAAGGCGGGCCACCTGTCTTTCCAGAACGTCACCTTGCAACTTGAGTAGGACTGCACGATAGCTTCCCATGCATCGGAAGCGCTATTCTCGTCCACTCTGTCATCCAGTAATTTGGAGAAAGCATTATGACCTAGCTTCATGTGGTGAGCATTGGGTCCTTCGCAGCACTCGCCATATCTGCAGGTCCAAGAAACTTTATCAGTGCCAAAACTGAGAGTTCTTGGGGATAGATAGCGTTCTTGTACCGCCCATGCTCTTTTGTTCAAAGGTTCGGGCCAACTGCGACGAGGACTAGCGTAGAGGGGCATTTCGTCTTGCCGTCTGAAGAGAGGGCAGGGTGTAATGGCCAAAGCAGACCTCTCAAAAAACAGCCCTCCACTACCGTCCTCGGCACCGGTTGCAGCTAAAGTGCATGTAGATTGCCGATAAACGTCACCCATCGTCGCTGCTTCTTTTGCCCAGTCCCAGTCAGAGTCTTGCTGTATACACAGAGAATCGATCCAGATATATTTATATCCAAGCGAGGCCGTAACTTGGAGGGCATCTCGGAAGGTTTTGGACAGAATCGACAGTGGAATATCCGAGCGGAAGGCTTGATAGGTACTCCGTAATAGAACTGCCACCTGAACTTTACCCCAGCAGTGCGAGAGTGTCAGGTACTGCGTGGGTCTGGGCAGTTCATCTTGGAGAACTAGACGAGCTGATTGTACCATGCCCCCTGCAGTGGTGATTTGAACGAGCCTGGAAGGCAGAAACTCGGATGACGTTGGGCAGGTATCCTTGTCTTTTTCAAGGCAGCGCGCCAGCCAGCACTGAGCCAATGCCATTATCTCTGGTGAGGCTGTACTCGAGCAGTGGAGTGTCGACGGTCCTACTTCAGGTTGTTCCAATTCACAGTCCATTTCGATCAACTTCTGGCCCGCTGTGTGTACTTGAAATGAGAATGAAACATCGTAAAAACATTTAATGACTAAGGAATAGGTCGCATTGCAGCCATCTGTGTTCAAGACTCCCACAAGATGAGCGTCAAGCAGTGAGCATAGATGGCAACCTGCGCTCGCAGATGCGTGCAAGGCGCCCAAAGTCTTGTGATGACCAAATACATCCCATGTTAGTTTCCGTTTCGAGCGAATTACACAGATTCTTTTTGCGAAACCGCTCACGTAGCATACCATGGAATTCGTGAGTACTTGTTCGCACCTTGAACATAGTTGTGCATATCCGGGTATATCGCTGACACTGCCATGTCGGTCTTGTAGCTTTCTGTGTAGCCACTGCTGATAGCCGTATGGTGCAATAACCCCGTTTTCTGGAACCAGCCTGTCGATGATCTCTGCAGCGCGGTGCAAGTCAAGTTTTGGCTCTTGCCCGGATTCGCGCAAAAGATCATCAGAATCCGATATGCTATTGCTGCTGGTCTCGGCTGTTCTTCCAGAAGGCTCGATCTCAACGTAATACATCGTGCTGCCTTGAGCATCGTATACTCTTGCAAATTCGCCTGGATACCAAGATTGGTCGTTACAACCTGACTTGACGTCTTGCCAGTCTTCATCGTCAGGCTCTCCTAGTGCAGCCTTGGTATCTGGCTGGTATTGGGGGTTCCGAAGTAATTGCCGGGTTTCAGCTCTCGAAGCGCCCTGCAATCCATTCAGACCTTTGGTCAGTGTGTCGAGGACTTCACCAGCGGCTGGATCGAGGCGTCTCATGTCAGGAAGGATGGTCAAGTGTGTGGATAAAGACAACAATGAAGTCAAGAAAGTTCGAGTGCGGAAAGAGCCAGGCTTACCTACGGGCTAGGCAGTCGTTTTAAGTGCTGCTTCAACACAGCCTTGCGCCACAACTGAATGCCACAAATAAATTTCCTCGTATCTCCACGCAGGTCATCTTTCCGGTACAGTCAGTTGCATTCGGCAGTTGATTACCAGCAGTCAAGTGCGCAGAGAACAAACAAGATCTTGGTTGCTGGTGATCGAATTTGCCTACACGGATTACCCCTCCTCGCCTTCGCATTGGGGACCGCACCTACCTCACATGCGCACAAGGCCAGCAGGCTTAAACAGCATCATGCGTTCGTCATTACTTCATAGTCATCCATCTACGCTCCTTGCAGCGACTCCCCATTCCCACCCAGCGTAACTGTCTTCGTCGTAATATACTCCTCAATACCCAAGAAGCTGCCCTCGCGACCAAAGCCCGACTCCTTCACGCCGCCAAACGGCGCGGCTGGATCGGAAATCAACCCAGTGTTCACGCCAACCATGCCGACCTCCAGCGCCTCGGCCACTCTGTACACGCGCTGGATGTTCTTGCTGAAGAAGTATCCCGCAAGGCCCACATCCGCTGCGTTCGCGAGCTCGACAACGTCAGCCTCGGTGTCGAACTTGAAAAGGCCGGCGACGGGGCCGAAGGTCTCTTCTTGCGCGAGCTGCATGTCGGCGGTCATGTCGCGGATGACAGTGGGCTGGTAGAAGGAGCTGCCCAGGTCGGGCAACTTCTGGCCACCGACCAGGACCTTGGCACCGTGCTTGATGGCGTCTTGAACGTGATCGTCGACCTTCTTTGCAGCGCGTTCGTGGATAACGGGGCCGTGGGTGACGCCCTCGCCGAAGCCTGCACCGACCTTGAAGCCCTTAACCTTCTCGGTGAACTTCTCGGCGAACTGATCGTAGATACCAGACTGGACGTAGATCCTGTTGGCGCACACGCATGTCTGTCCCGATGAGCGGAATTTGGAGGTGATAGCGCCAGCTACGGCGCTGTCGAGGTCGGCATCGTCGAACACGATGAAAGGCGCGTTGCCACCAAGTTCGAAAGACAGCTTCTTGAGGGTCGAAGACGACTGCTTCATCAAGAGCTTACCGACGCCTGTGGAACCTGTGAAGGACACCTTCTTGACCGTCTTGCTGGTGGTCATGGTCTCGCCAACCTCGGGTGTGTTCTTCATGGCTGTGACAAAGTTGACCACACCCTTGGGGATACCTGCACGATGGGCAAGCTCAGCCAGGGCTGCTGCTGTGAAGGGGGTCTCGCCAGGCGACTTTGCAACAACGGTGCAGCCAGCTGCCAGAGCAGGACCGATCTTGCGAGTGACCATAGCAGCTGGGAAGTTCCACGGCGTAATCAGACCGCAGACACCGACCGGCTCCTTGACTGTGAAAACCCTGTTGGCAGCCACGCTCGAGGGGATTGTGTTACCGTACACCCTCGGCGCCTCCTCAGAGAACCACTCAAAGAAGCTTGCCGCGTACGCGACCTCGCCCTTTGCGTCTGCGAAGGGCTTGCCATTCTCCCATGTGATAAGTGTCGCGAGATCCTCGGCGTTGTCGGTCATCAGCTGGAACCACTTTCGGAGTAGCCGTGATCGCTCGCGGCCGGTCAACTTGCGGAACGAAGGCAGAGCGGCTGCGGCGGCTGCGATTGCGGCTTCGGTATCGGCTCGGTCCATCTCAGGCTGGGTTCCGATGAGCTTGCCGGTCGCGGGGTCGTGGACCTCGAAGGTCTTGCCGGATTTCGCATCGATCCATTCGCCATTGACGTAGCTCTGACTCTTGAGGAGCGAGGGATCTTTGAGCTGCGGCTGTCAGCGCTGGTACTCGTTTGCCGGCTGTTGGCGTATGCGACGCAGGATTTCAAACATACGGCTGGCACGCTGTGACTCATTTTGCTCGAGTATGCTCTCGACACAATAACTGGCAATGTTTGTCGCTGGAAGCTGTTTCGGCAGGTAATCTGCTGGCGTGCGATGGATCGTGTTGCGGCAGCAAAAGAGCGCATTGTATGTCGGTGGCAGATTCAATTACTCGACGAGACGTCAGAAGGCGAAACTGAAATTCGGCCCGCTTGGTAATCGCAAGCCAATCTGTCAACTAGTTGATCAGCTTGGAGTGCGGATAGTGCTGGAGCTGCTGCAGGGCGGTGACGTAGGGCCGAAGCTATGACCAATAGTCGAGGAGGGGAGGTTGTTCAGCGCTCGACGCTGCGAATACAACAACACACAAGAGCGAGATGCAGGCGCGAGAAGTGAGGGCACGCAGCAGCTTTGAGTATCTCGCACCGAGTGTTTTGCGCCGGCGAACGGAGCTCACAGTGGATGTCTGCGCGTCTGCAGCGCGTCTGGAGCGTTAGCAGCGTCTATCGCAGAGCATCGTGAGTCGCAAACATCTCGAGAAACATAGGTATCATATCGCATTTCGTTCGTAAAGGTATTATGATCGTGAGACAAGGAGATCTAGCGTGAGAAAAGACATGTGCAGTAGATATCAGGTAGGCATCCCGCCGACCCACCACGCCCACCCCCCCTTCGCCTTATAGAACGACGTGTAAAACCCCGCCGTCGAGCTGTGATCGTATTAGTACTCCTCGACCCCACGTTCGTGATGCACATCGCCTACCCAGCTTTCCTCTCGGCGTTTTTCGCCTTGTGCCACTCCTTCCACCGCTCCTTCTCGCTCAGAGACGCGTCGCGCCACTTCTCCTTGCCGGCGACTGGGGGCTCACGGCGCGCGCGCAGCTTCTCTCGCCACGATGCTTTTTGCACTGTGGTATTTGAGGGTTCGGGCTGTGAGAAGCTGCGGGTCAGTTTTGGCGGCGAGGGATTGTTCACAAGGGTCTCGGTGGATGTGGTGGCTTTTGGGACAGTGGACATGATATGGAAGATATGGTATGTGGATTTGTTGTTTATGAATTCAGTATATGCATTTATTTTGTTGTTATATGTGATGCTGCCAGACACAGCCCTGTGGCTGGTAGGGCGTCCACCGGAGGTTACTCATGCACAGCCATGCCGATCTCAAGGCGCGAGGCTTGGCTTAAGGCGGCCACAGCGTCATGCGCTCATTGGTGTCTTGGTGAAGTGAAACAACATGGCAGTGCAAGACTTCATTTTGCTGTCTTGGGCGTGCTACTCTGCTAGGTCTACTTCGTCGAGGTTCTTCCTGACGAACTTGGTCACCTCGTCGAGCCCCTTTTGCACAGTTTCTGTGTCGTTCACGAAGCCGATTCGCACGTAGCCCTTGAATTCCTCGCCAAAGCTCTGCGAGCCGGGGACGAAGAGGACACCGGTCTTCTCGAGCAGCTTCTTGCAGAAGTCCACGGAGTCTACGGGCTTGCCTTCTCTGTGGAACTTGAGGAAGGCCGTTGTGCCTGCTACGGGCTTCACCCACTCGCACTCGTCTTCGTTCTTGATCACGAATCGGTCAAGAAGCGCGAGGTTCGTCTTTGCGAGCTGGATGTTGCGGGCTAGCAGACCGTGGACGGTTCCCGGGCTGAGCGCGTATGCTGCGACTTGTTCATCCAGACCCGAGACAGAGATAGTCGTGTAGTGACGGGCTGAGGCAATCGTCTCAATGATTTCGGTATTGCGAGACGCAATCCACCCCACGCGGATACCAGCCAGAGAGTATGCTTTGGACATGGAGCCGGTGACGACGACGTTGCTGTAGCCCATGGACAGCAGTGACGGAGGGAACTCCTTGTCAATTGGAATGATTGAGTGGAAGATAGGTCGGTAGACTTCATCGCTGTGGATTGTGATGTTCTTCTCCTTAGCAATCTCGATGAGTTGTTCGAGGAAGGTCTTGCCCAAGACTGCTCCGGTGGGGTTATTGGGATTGTTGACGACGATGACCTTCGTGTTGGGCTTGATGAGTGCCTTTAGTTCTTCCAGATCCGGCACCCATTTGTTCTCTGGCTTGCCCTTCCACAGATCGACTTCTGCGCCTAGCGATTTGGGAACATCATACAAGGACTGATAGGTGGGATACTGGCAAATAACATGATCGCCTTCACCCACCAAAGAGTATGCAGTGAGGTAGTTTGCCTGGATAGCACCGGGGGTAGTGAGGATGTTGTCCGCGCTGAGGGGTGTCGTGACCTTGGCTGAGTACAGTCGAGCCAAGTTGTTCCTCAAATCTTCTGCACCTCTGATGGCACCATAAGTGAGCACTCGGTCTGTCTTTAGCACCTCCGCCGTCTTGTTCTCAGACAAGTCGCGGAGTTGGTCGATCGAGATGGAGGCGCAGCATGTTTCTGCAAGGTTGTACTTGCAGTGATGCTCATTGGCGTCCATCCACTATGCACGAACGTTAGCCTGTCTTGTCACCAAGGCTAAATGTGGGGGAGAAACATACGGCCTCGACGGCAAACTCTGTAATCTTGACCATGGCGAATTCTGTGGTTTGGGGAGGTGATGAAAAAGCAATGTTTGCAGCTCTGGTAGGTAGACGTGCTGTTTTATCCTTTCGTCCAGTCGGCCATACTAAAGATGGCCTCGACTGACATAGGGCGCAGTGTCTGGTGGGGCGGAAGTACCTTACGCTAAAGAGGGCAGGGCAAGCTAGGCCCGCGGAGCATGTTTACGATCGCGTGCTCTATGAAGCTCAATTCACGTTGACATCGCTGGGTCTCTTATACTGAAATTACGCGATCGCAGTGTATGTACTGAGCAGCCGTGCGCCTTTCGCGGGCCTTGCGACACTCGATCGATGACGGAGGGCGCGTGCGCCCCCGGCTGCGCTTGCCTCGGTTGTCCCGTGCGCCCAGCCAAGCGTCATTCGAGCGCGATAGCATACTTGGTAGCCTTCACCTGCATCTGGCCACCTTGACTGCACCTCCACTCTTTGTTCCTGCACATCAGCGAGCTTTCAGGCTCTTGCGCTGTTTCCGTCGCTCGCTCTGCCAGTTTATCCAACACGGCTCGAGGCTGTCAGTGAATACAGAGCTCGGCACGAGCTCCAGTGGAGCTATCAGGCCGCTGCGCCACCTCGTTCGCGATGCGATCAACACCATGGACGGCGTCGCTAATGGCTCTACTGAGTGTCGCAGGGTCATCTGCGGCCTACAAGACATACGCGAATTACTCCGTCGCTGAAACGCCCGATTCGCTCTTCTCCATCTATGGCGACCGCCCAGAGGGCTGCCCACCATGCTTCAACTGCAACCTCGAGGACTTCAAGTGCCAGCAGTTCGCCGAATGCAGCAAGGCCAACGGGCGTTGTAGCTGTACACCGGGCTTTGGTGGCGAGGACTGTTCGGAGCCACTGTGTGGCTCTCTGCCTAAGGGCAAGGACAGGTCGCCGCGAGGAAGCGAGAAGGAGTGCCAATGCGACGATGGTTGGGCTGGTATCAACTGCAACGTCTGCGAAACAAACGATGCTTGTAACGCGATGATGCCCGAGGGCGAAGACGGCGTCTGCTACAAGGACGGGCAACTGGTGAAGGAGAACTTCCAAATCTGCGACATTACCAACAAGAAGATCCTCGACCAGCTGAAGGACAAGAAACCACAAGCGACCTTCTCGTGCAATGCCCAGACTGAGGAATGCAACTTTCAATGTAAGCCGCTACTATGCTCCCACCGCCCTTAAGCTAATAACTGCAGTCTGGGTCGATCAGCGAGAGTCGTTCTACTGCTCTCTGGACACATGTACCTCCGACTGGACCGCCGAGTCTGACCGCAACACCACTCTGTACCGATGCGAGAACATCGAGTGCGCCTGCGTACCGGACAGAATGCTGTGTGGAGAAGCTGGCTCGATCGATATTGGAGAGTTTTTGAAGGAGTCTATCCAGGGTCCTGCCGAGTTCAAGTCCATCGCCTCTGAGCGCAGCGGCGATTCTGGCAGCACCTTTTCAGAGCCCGCCATGAACGACCTCATCTCCAGCATCTTCGGTGATGAGAGCATCACGCTGCGCTGCAACACCGGCGAGTGCTTGTACCAAAACCAGGTGCCAGGGTACGAGCGGCCCATTAAGAAGATCAACACGCCTCTGATCGCAGGTGTAATTGCTGCCGTTGCTCTGTTCATTGTTGCTGCCATCCTTGCCACCTGGTATCTCACACATCGCGCGGACAGGAACAAGTACGGTGCCATCCACCTCTCGGACGATGAAGAAGACGACAACGCAAGGTTGTTGGCGGACCACAAGCCGGCTGCTCTGATGTTTGAAAACGTCGCCTATAACCTCAAGGGCAAGCAGATCCTGTCTGGCATCTCTGGTGCGGTCCATCCCGGTGAATTGCTGGCTATCATGGGAGCATCAGGTGCTGGTAAGACGACGTTCCTGGATATCCTCGCACGCAAGAACAAGATCGGTTCAGTCAACGGTGACTTCTATCTAAACGGCGAAAAGATCCGCGACGACGAGTTCAGAAGCGTCACTGGCTTTGTCGACCAGGAAGATACTCTACTGCCTACACTCACTGTCCACGAGACCATCCTCGATTCTGCCCTCCTCCGCCTCCCTAAAGACATGAGCCGTGCATACAAGGAACAGAAGGTGGATGAAGTCGAACGTCAGCTCGGAATCCACCACATTCGCCACCAGCCCATTGGCTCTGAGGAGACCGGACGTGGCATTTCTGGTGGAGAGAAACGCCGGGTTGGAATCGCTTGCGAACTTGTGACCTCCCCCAGCATTCTATTCCTGGATGAGCCTACCAGTGGGTTGGATGCCTACAATGCATTCAACGTCATCGAGAGCCTTGCCTCCTTGGTCAAGAACTACAACAGAACCGTCGTCTTTACCATCCACCAGCCGAGATCGAACATCGTTGCGCTTTTCGATCAACTGGTTCTTCTCGCCAAGGGCAGGGCTGTGTACTCAGGGCCATTCGACAGCTGCCAGGGTTACTTCGATAACATCGGTTACACCTGCCCGCCCGGCTTCAACATCGCCGACTATCTAGTTGATCTTACCATGCACGCTAGTGCTGTCCACCGTCCAATTGACGAGGACAGCTCTCTGTTCACTAGGGATGGTGTTTACACCAGCGCGAGCAGCGCCATCGCAGTCAAGTCTATTCCAAGCGTCACCAACATGAGCGCAAGTGATCTAGCCACGAGCCCAGCGAACTCCAGCATACGGCCCAAGGCCAAGCGGAGGACGTCGATCAAGCAGCAGCAAGAGCGAGAGCTCTTCACAAGAAAGAAGAGCTCCGCGCCCGTAGACGGTACGCAGTCCCCCAAGACCGACGATGAAGGTCCATACGATCGTCAAGAAGCTGCCAAGGCGCAATGGCTAAAACTTTCGCGTCAATCAGGTGCACCGCCGGCACAGATCCTCGACGATCTCGACGAGCTTCCTCCGCCTGCGGATGGTGGCACCGGAACGAACCTGGATGCTCTCATCATGGCATACGCAACGTCAGAGATTGCAGCTGGAATTCACGAAGATCTCACCAAGTCCATCGCCAGCGCAAGTGAGGCCAACGGTACGAACGGCCATGCCGAGACGAACGGCTTCGTTGCCGCCGGTAAGCTCAAGGGTTACCGCAAGGTCGGCCTGGTTGGACAGTTCAGGATCTTGTCGAGGCGTACGTGGCGCAACCTGTATCGCAACCCGATGTTGATGCTCACCCACTACGCCATCGCCATCGTGTTGGCCGTGTTCCTGGGCTTCCTCTTCTACGGTCTTACCGACGACATCAGCGGCTTCCAGAACCGTCTTGGTCTGTTCTTCTTCGTGCTCGCGCTGTTTGCGTTCAGCAGTCTGACTATCCTGACTGTGTTCGCACCGGAGAAGCTGCTCTTCACGCGTGAACGGGCCAAGGGCTACTACTCTCCTCCGTCATACTTCGCGGCCAAGGTGCTGTTCGACATCATTCCTCTGCGTCTGCTGCCACCGATCATCCTCGGTATCATTGTGTACCCAATGACGGGACTGATTCCAGCCTGGCCGAACTTCCTGAAGTTCATCCTCTTCCTGGTGCTGTTCAACTTGTCGGCGGCTGCCATCTTCTTGTTCATTGGGACTGTGTTCCGCAATGCTGGTGTTGCAAACTTGGTCGGTGTGCTTGTGATGCTGTTCAGCCTGCTCTTCTCTGGATTCTTCCTGAACAAGGGCAGCATCCCGCCGCTCGCGAGCTGGCTGCAACCGGTAAGTCTAATCGTATCGTGAAGCACGACATGCAGCTAACATTGACAGCTGTCAATCTTCCACTACGCGTTCGAGGGCCTGATTGTCAACGAGGTCAAGTACCTGTCGCTCGTGGACCACAAATATGGCATCGACATTGAGGTACCTGGATCGGCGATTCTGAGCTCGTTCGGGTTTGATGTGATGGCGCTGTGGACGGACGCGATTGGGCTGGGGGTGTTTGCGGGAGTGTTCGTGGTGCTGGCGTACCTGGCGATGCACTTTTTGCTGGTGGAGAAGCGGTAGGTGGGTGGAATGTTTTGTGCATGCGGCGTTGTGTGCATGCGTGTTGTGTGCATAGGCGGCGTTGGGCGAGGGCCATTATACATACGCAATTTCATACTCGGCAATTATACTAAGCAGTGAGTTATATAAGGCGTGTTAGTCATCGTGGATGTGGTTGTGACTATGGTTGTGGCTGTGGTTGTGGTGTGGGTGTAGGTGTGGATGTGGTTCTGGCTGTCTGCGTGGCGTGGCTGTCATTGGCTGAGTGGCTGTCAGTCCTACGGCCGCCGTTTGTATGGGCGTGCCTGTATGGTGTCGAATCGCTGGCCAACCCTGCCGCCCCACCACGCCCACGGCGACTCGTGCTCACAGTGCTCCACCACACCGCTGGCCGCAGATCCTGTGCCCCTCCGCACAGCTCGCTCCCGACTTCACGACGGCGTCACCTGCCCCCGCCCGCGACCGCTCCCCCTCGCCGCCGCTCCTCCGCATCGCCAGCCAGATCACCACCGCGGGCGCCGAGCTCTGGAAATACAGCGACCGCCCCCCGCGCGGCAGCCTTAAGCCGGCCCTTGCTGGCTCGTTCGCAGTCCCCTTCCGCACGGAGTCGTCCATCTCGGTGCGCAATCTCGGCGACGGCGAGGCGCTCCGGCCCAGCATGGACTCGCGCCGCAACCCCAGCAGCTTCCAGCAGCTCGAGAAGCTCGGCGAGGGCACGTATGCGACGGTAGGCGCCCCGCCCGCGCCGCGACCGCGCGCTGACGACCCCAGGTGTTCAAGGGCCGCAACCGCCAGACGGGCGAGCTGGTGGCCCTGAAAGAGATCCACCTCGACTCGGAGGAGGGCACGCCCTCGACCGCCATCCGCGAGATCTCGCTGATGAAGGAGCTGCGCCACGAGAACATTGTGCTGCTGCACGACGTCATCCACACCGAGAACAAGCTGATGCTGGTCTTCGAGTTCATGGACAAGGACCTCAAGCGCTACATGGACTCGCGCGGCGACCGCGGCGCCCTCGACCCGCCGACTATCAAGTCTTTCATGTACCAGCTGCAGCGCGGCATCGCCTTCTGCCACGACAACCGCGTGTTGCACCGCGACCTCAAGCCGCAGAACCTGCTCATCAACAACCGCGGCCAGCTCAAGCTCGCCGACTTCGGCCTCGCCCGCGCCTTTGGCATCCCCGTCAACACCTTCTCCAACGAGGTCGTCACCCTGTGGTACCGCGCCCCCGACGTCCTGCTCGGCTCGCGCACCTACAACACCAGCATCGACATCTGGAGCGCCGGCTGCATCATGGCCGAGATGTACACAGGCCGCCCCTTGTTCCCGGGCACCACCAACGAGGACCAGCTGCAGAAGATCTTCCGCCTGATGGGCACGCCGTCCGAGCGCTCGTGGCCCGGCATCTCGCAGTTCCCGGAGTACAAGAGCAACTTCCCGGTCTACGCCACCCAGGACCTGCGGCTGATTCTGCCGCAGGTCGACCAGGTGGGGCTGAACCTGCTCAACACCATGCTGCAGCTGCGACCCGAGATGCGCGTCTCGGCCACCGCGTCGCTGCAGCACCCCTGGTTCAACGATCTGCCGCAGCGCCAGCAGGAACACGCGAATGCGATGGCTGCGGCGCAGCAGGCGCAGATGGGCTACCAGCCGTCGCAGTACTAAGCCTCGGCACACTGCCCGGTGCAATCAGAAGCACGGCAGCAGACACTCGCCGAGCCTCCAGCGACAGGGCATCACAGCCATGACCTGCGTACACACTACCTGCCGTCCGTAGATGGCACTGCATCGCGTCGGTCGGGAGTTCTCATAGACTGTTCGTCTTGGAATTCACAGCACCAATATTAGACCAGGGAGAGGTGCGGTTTTAGTAGTCTGGTGTGGGACTGCTGGTGGGAGAGGAGTGTGTAGTGTACGTAGACTCTGAACGAAAAATAACGATCATGTCCCCTTACCATCAATCCTCCATTAACATTTCGGCTTTCCCCGTGCTTCGTACCTGGTGCTGTGGTATCTCAGCCTGGCCATCTCGGATTGACCCGCGAGATACCTGACCGAGCGTGGCAGCTGTGCTCAGGTCGCTCCTGCCTATCCGGGTAAGCGCGTAAACACGAGCCCTAATCGACATGACGTGATATTCATACACTCAACTCGGTGACTTGATGGACAGGCTCAGACAAAGCAAGACTGAACAAGCATTCAACGCAGAAAAACGCTCGTGATTCGTTAAACGTAAACTATGTACAACGCAAACATGTGGTATATCCCCGCTGCCCGTGTCCCGTGCCGGCCTGCAACGGCCTGTATACAATTTGCGTAGACCTCATCAGTCCCTCACCGTCGCCGTTGATAGCGCCTCGTAATCGTAGTCGTCGTATTATATCGTAACCCCCCTCTTAAAACCATTGAAATCCTCCCTTCGAAACGCCCCCGTAACGCCCTCCACAGGCACCATCCATCCATCCATACATACATACACGCCCCCGCATCACGACCTCACACATAGCTCCTCCGGCTATAGCTGTTCCGCGAGTGCGACGTGCGCGGGCTGCGCGAGTGGTGGTGCCGCGAGCGGTGGACTTCGCGCTTCACGACCACGCGGTCGCGGCTGTTGTGGTGGTTGCGCGCGACGAGGAGGGCGAGCAGGCAGGTGATGAAGAAGAAGATGCAGTTCCTGGGGGTGTGTTAGCCGATTGTCTGGTATGTCACATGACGCAACTTACATGATGCCAAACGCAAACGACGCCTTGAGCATCGCGCACTGCCGGTCGATGTTCAGACTGTACGTGTTGCCGGAGATGTTGAACAGGCCCAGATCCGCACTGTACGAGCCGTTGGCGGACCAGTTGGAGCAGTCGGCGTCCGCGATACCGCGCAGGCAGTACACGCCGCCGATGAAGGCGCCGACGAACAGCAGGTCGACAAAGGCCACAAACTTGGCCGAGTGGCGCGCCCGCGAGTACAGGAACAGCGTGCCCATGGCCCACGCGGCGCCGAGCACCGACACGATGAACAGCACCAGGATCGAGCGCGGCGTCAGCAGGTTGCGGTCGTCGTACCACGCCACGAACCAGGCGAGCATGCCCAGCGCCGGGATCAGCGTGACGATCTGGAAGATGCGCCAGAAGACGAAGGACAGACCGGATATCGACATGGCGGCGGTGTCTGGCTGGAGTGGAGGGCCTTGTGTGGTTGGTCGGTCAGTCGGAGTGCTGGGTTGCCCAAAGCAGCAGCGTGGTGAGGTGCAAGACAGAAGACGGCTGCGCGCAGGAAAACGTGGACGGGGCAAGTTTTTAAGGCTTTTCAAGGCGCCGACCGGGATGCAGCTTGCTCGAGCTCGTTCGCAAGTACAACGCAGCGGTGCAGGAACGACTCGTGGTGGGCAGCAGCATGACGTGTGGGCCGGGCGCGCGTATATGGCCAGCGAATTGCGGGGAGGCTGGTGTGGCTAACACCCAGCCTCTCAACTTTGCAACACCTTGATTTTGCGCGCCGCGCGCGAATCATCGACATGGGCCAAGGCGTTGTCGCTCGCGCATTGGATGGTAATGCCGCCGTTCAATCTCGACGGTGGTGTGGCCATGGGTTCCTCTCCCAGGACCCTTGCTGCAGTCTGCCGTGGTCCGATTAGCCTTCTAGATCGCTTCCATCTGCTATGACAACAGAGGGCGCACGTCAACATCGGCGCGTTACCCAATTCCTTCGTGCGATGCCAGCCCAAGCGAGGCAGATTGTGAGCTTCGGTAATGAGCCCCGTTGGAGCTCGCGCGCCTTCGGCACGGGCCCGTTGGCCGTTGACTGGAGTGTTTAAGGCAAACCCTGAGTGCCTTTGCGGACTCACGGCGGTGTCTTTGCCCAAACACGTGCGGCGCAGGCACGAGCAGCACCCGTTGTTCCGTCAATGGGACCGCACAAGTCATCTCGTTCTGCAGGGTGACAGGAGTGCTGACGCCCAGAATCACACGATTCGGCCATCCCTTATCACCGCTTGGACGGCTCCGCATCCTCCCCTGGCGGCCATGCTGCTTCTCCAGATTCGCGAGCTCGCTGTCGCGTTTCAGTGTTGCACTGCATCGTGCCCAGCCGCAAGATCTCCAAGCGGAGCCTGATCTGCCCTTGCTCGGTCAAACAGCACTCGAATGTCAGAAACCGGTGGGACGAGCATGGTTGCTTATCAGTCCAACGCCGTGGAGACGGTCCACCATGGCCCGTTTGGGACGTTTGATCTCCACACAACCCGACGGGCGGGACTTCCGGACCAGGGTGCTCGAGGACGAGGACTTATATGGGCTCGAAGAGGACGATTTTGGATTATAGGGTGCTCTGGCCTTTCCCCATATCTTCTGTCTGAGGTCTGCGTATCGGTGATTCTTTCTTCGTCTGTCTTTCCGACCTGCCGTTCTAGATCGTAATTTCACGGTAACACTCGCTTGCTAGGCCTCGAATTGTAATAAAATATCGCATCGCAAAAGTTGTGGAAAAGGGTTGCTCTCTCTCCAACTTGACACCGGTCTTCCGCGCCCTCACATTTCCTTTCATTGACCACATTTTCATAACACAACCCCAATCGGAGGATCAGCGTGTACAAAACTACTTGGCCTTTCGCCAAGCGTATTTGTGCAAGATGTCAGCAAGAGGAGCCCGAAGCCGAAAGGTCCAGCAGAAGGACATTGAGAAGAAGGACAAAAAGGTAGCAGTGAAAGGGAAAGCCCCAGAGAACCCCGACGCGTTCGCAGACTGGCGGGCGACACCGAGTAGCAATGGGTCACGCAACACTGGACTCACCCGGTCCATGAGTAATCGCAGCCACGGGACATCGCACAGTAGCGGCAGCGCGACCAGATCGCGTCTGAATACCGTATACTCGAACGAGTCGTCAGGCTATGGAAGGCCGCCGAAGAGTTCGGCAAGCGGCGGAGCCTCGATCTCAGACCACTCGGCCAAAGGCAAAGAAACCGCAAAGTTCCAGACGAACGGGAAAGAAACAAAAGCGCCCCGAGGACGAGGCGGTGGCGTCCCTATCAAAACCACAGCTGCGCCGCCGCCTATGCCTCCACAGTTTCGCAGCGAGTCACCTGCCCCGCGGCTCCCAAGCCACAAGAAAACGTGGCTTGACTTCAGGATTTGGGAAGGCCCCAAGGAAGACATGCGTCCCTACGGCGGGTTCGCCTTCGTGAGTTTGTTTGGGATAGGTGTGGGTGTAGTCTGACTTGTTGCAGGACGAAGACATGCACAGTGGGAGCGTGCTGATCTATTTCAAAGAAGAGCAGCTGGACGAAGACCATCCAATGACTTCCATCCGCGCCGAGTTGGAAGTTCTTCAAAGCTCAGGGTCGAGCTGGCTGAATAATGCACTCATGATGGGCCGTGTGGACGATGATGACGACGACTGGGCTCTGACAGCTGCAGACGAATTCGTGGCGCCGCCATCACAATATGGACAGGACAGAAGGATGCTCGGCCCAACACATGGTAGCATGTCACCACCGCCATTGAATATCGACCATGGCTCCTTACGAGCTCCGTCACGAAACGTTCACCGGAGTCCACAGTCTATTGCGATTGACCGGACGCGTTCGCCCTCCTCTGCGCTTCTTCGACAAAACAACCAGCGCAATCCCACACACGAGATATGGTTCACTGCACCTACAGAGTTGCGAACCTCGCAGGCACAGAGACTCCATCATGTCGCCATTCGCAACTTCCTGGCATTGTTGCACGGCAAGCCGATCGTGGGAGCAGATGTGTTCGACATGCTCACCACGCTCCAAGCGCAGATTCAGGTCATGTACGATCTCGACGGCGACAATCAATTTACATCGGCAGAGCGCAGCGTACAGATGATCACAGATTATCTGTCACAGAACGGAGTTGATGATGCCCGCAATGACATCAAGCATGCCCTATCACTGCTTGCGTGGGCTGAGCAGGACGGTGTGAAGTGGCGACAAGGATATCTGGAGTGTTTCACGCATCTCGCGGGAGCAATGACACCACAGACCGAAGAGCTCTCGGAGTTCAAAAGACTATCAATCGTTACGAGACGGAACCTTGGTATTGCCGCGAAGACCCTCCAACTCAGGGTGATGGAGGCGGAGGAGAGACTAGCGAGCTTCGACTTTGCCGATCTATGGAAAAGCAGCCCAAAGCTGACGAACGGACCTGTCTACCAGAGCTACCAGGCGTTCAGGCAGTTCTTGATCGACCATTACGGGCGAATCTACGGCACATGGCCGCCGCCCTCGGGTACCTGGCTAAACCGCAAGACCGTCCTTGCAATGCAGAACGACTTCGGATCTCTCTACGACTATCTCGTGAACAGAGACGTTTACTGGAACCCCCGGGAAGAGCGCGCGAGCCGAAAGTGGGAGATGCAGCACCGCAAGTCCGATGACTTTGAGGCGGACCTACCGGAGCTTGGCATCACAGACATGCTTGTGGTGTTTGATGCGCAGGCGGGGTATACACACATTCCGCATCCGTACCCGCTGTTGCCGAGAGAGGTTTCGGGTTCGTCGAAGGAGAAGGAGAAAAAGGGGTTCTTTTCGTCACTGAAGAAGGACAAGACAAAGAATGTCACCAAGGACGCCAAAGCACATCTGCAGCTATCTATTGTGTTTAGTGATGCGACGAATATTGAGAAGATGGATATCAACTTCAATGGTAGGACGACATTCGCAGCTGCATGCTCAAGACTGACCAGTCCAGGATCTACGTTGATAGACAAATTCGAGCAGTTCGAACTTGCGGCTGACCTCAAGAATGTCACTCCACGCGAAGCCCGCTTGGGTCGCTGGGTGCTTCTCTACGGCATCTTACAGGTCCTTTCTACTCTATCCGTCGACGTCCATAGCCTCCGACACACCGACGGTGTGCGCTACTTCCTCTGCACCGACCTCAAGAGGTGCCCCGAATGGGTCACCAACGGCCAAACCGCCATTCTCGAGCCCACCCAGGAGCGCTCCTGGTGCTGGCAACGCGCCTGGGATCCAACCCCCATCCGTGCCGCGCCCGTAGAGCTCGACGCCACCTCGCCCGACCGACACACCTTCCACCCACCCCGCTCGAACTCAGTCGCCCAGTCCCGCCCCGCCGACTATCCCCAAGCCTCCAGTCCGCCACCACAGCGCCCCCTCCCTCCGGCCCCACTCGACTTCGACGGCGCCACTCTCATGCAGAACGACATAACCCGCATCAGCGAGAAAATCGACTCCCTCTCTATGAACGCCAACGCCTCGCGCCTACTACGCACCGAATACGAGCGCCGCCGCGAGAACGAGAAAGTCATGGCCGGCGAGTTCAAATCCCCGCGCATCAACGACGTCGGCATCGCCCTACGCCACCTGCGCGCCGAAGAAGCCCAGCGCGGCATCGACACCGACTACGCCCAGCGCCCGCTGCCCGCCCCGCGCGACCGCGACCACTCGCGAGAAGCACACATGTACGCGCACCGCCCGCTGCCGCCGCCACGCAGTCCCCTCCGCAGCCCCGGGCTCAGCGACGCAGGCACCGATCTCGGCAGCTACCCGTTCAGCGCGGCCGACTCGTTCGCCGCCGACCTGCGCGAGGCTCGGAACCTCGACCTCCGCGCCGACTCGCGCACCGCCGATATGCGCGCGGATCTAAGGCCCCTCGATACTCATTCCGTCGCTGAACTCGGATTCCCCAGTCCGCCCTCGTATCCCGCGAGTCCGCGTGAGCGCAGCGCGAGTCGGCCCCCTGGGTACGCGCCGGGGTATCCCGCGGGGTATGGGAGTGAGGCGCTGGGGGCCGGCAGGGGCAGGGAGCGCAGCGCGAGTAAACCGCCCGGATACGAGGAGCGCGTTGGGCGGCGGGAGAGGGGTGCGGGCGTTGGGGTTGGTGCTGGTGCTGGGGGAGAGTTTCAGGGGGGTTGGTAGAGTTGTTTCGCGCTTGTCGGGTTCTGTGCTGTTTCGTTCTGTGGTTTTGTGGGCGAGGTGGTGTACAACAATAAAATAGATGATACGGGGAGCGGGGTGGTTAAGACAAGAGAAGGGCGTTAGGACAGGGGAGGCGAGTCGAGAATGCCACTGCACCCGAACACAGCTTTAATTTCGTACTGTAAACTCGCACTTAGTGTTCCTAGGTACTATGACTGAAAGGTTGCTGAGGTTGTATTTTAAGGGGGTACTATAAGTACGAGTTTACGGTATATCATCCTCTAATCGGTGTTCCACAGCTTTAATTCACATGTATCACCGCCATCACCATTACTGCTGCCCCCCCTTCCAGCTCGTACCCTTGTATGGTATGTCCATTTCGGATCCCTACATAACCGTATTACCAGCACGGCTCCAGCGCATAGTTCCTCTCATATCTTGCTCCCTTCTCACATCCGCTTTCCTTTAGTCACACCCAGAACCAGTAGATTTAGAAAATCGATGTCGTGGGAGTGTGTGAGGTGCGGGTGTATATCTACTATGAGCGAATAGTATCTAAATTACTAGCTACAAGAATTTAATCACTACATCGCCCTGTCTCTTGAAATTCCCAGCGGCCACTTTCAAGACAGATTTCTAACTGTCCTCCCCTATCGGGAGGATGAGCATAAGATCTAGGGAGATATTCTTCACTAAATATAGGTGACCAGAGAGCTATACGTACCACGTGTATGTTTAAGCTCCGCTGTATAGCAATACCATCTCTACTTATATGGGTCTTTCCTGTATGCTCTAACTCTTCTAAAACCTTGTAAAGCTTTGCAAAATTCAAATGGAGACCGTTTTGCCCGCACTTCCGGTCTTGAAGCTTCTTTTGCTCAGTGTCCAGGATAAACTCAGCAAATGGACCCAGGCTATAACACATGGCTAGACAAGATGCGCATGACTTGTCGCGTCCAAGTTGGTCAATATCCTTCAGGTGATTAGCTGGATGCTCGGTAATTGAAAATCTATGATCTCCAGTTGACATACAGTTTGCGAAGATCCTTCTGTGGTACTTTCCCATTCCGCATCGAGTAAATTGTGTTGCGTCTCATGGGAGGCTGAGCATTGGCGAACTGGAAGGAGATATAATAATAGCCTTAATGAACACCAACACAGTTGCTCAGGAAAAGCGGTGAATAATTGATGAATGACTTTTGCATTCGAAGTGTCATAGTCAATAGAGATCGCACTGTACTCGTCCCCTAAAGACCTGATCGAGTAGATGTGATCGCGTGCAAGCTTGCAACTGTGTCCCGAGAGGAGACCCAGTATAGATGTCAAGGGCCAGGTACCGCCGTCCATGATCACAAGTTTTATCATACTAACGTAGCTAACGATCTTTAGATCGCCATTGCTGTCTCCCATGTCATATATTTCGTCATACGGTAGCGCGCAATCTCCCATTAGAATGACAGGCTCTCGGGCTAGCGCGACTTCTTGAACGATCCAGGCCCGATTCCAGTATGTTTGAGCATCCACAGTCCTCAAGAGTTTTACTCTGTTATTCTTGTGTTCCGCTTCCCAATTGTGTCCAGGTTCGCCCATATGACCGAGCCAGATCACCGTTTTGGAAGCTTGGGCATAGATTTTCCCCATTTTCGCGACTTCACGATTCTTCACCTCTGTATCGTCTTGATCGATAGACAAAGCATCGATCCAAAATTCTGAGTGGAAATCGATGAGATTCGCCGCTTTGCTCCCGCTCAATTCGTTCTGCGCAACTTCGAGGAAACTGTACAAATTTGGACCGATAGCGCCAGGGCTGGAAGTCCCTTGTGATTCATTGATGATCAAGATGTTTCGTAGCAGGTCCTCATCTTGGGGGCCGCATTCGTATGACAAGCAACAATATTTGCCTATGTCTTCTGGTGTCGCGTTGCGAATCGAAACTCCGATGTCACCAGGCGCTCTGCCTGGAAGGATTTTGACGAGGCAAACTTCTCGAATCTCTTTTTCTGTCAACTCTAGACGTTTGTATAGAGCTGTTTTTATCGCGGCGTCTTCTTCATCCTCTGTATCCGATGACATCCTCGCTAGCTATACATGTCCTATACGGAGCGCAATCATATCAAGTGATCGGTGAACGAGGATCGGATGATGATAAAAGAATAGTTTCAGAGAATGGGGTGTTTGGAGGTTTCGTGATACTTTGAGAGACGACGGGATAAATGAAGTTGCCGACTTTTTACGCGGGCGTACATCATCACGCGACATTGACACAGGGATGTCAAAGATATCAACACGCACATCCCCTAGGCACACATGACGGTGCAGTCTAGATCATTGTTATTGTGTCACATACATGCCTACACAGTAGACTCGTCTACTGGCACTGCATACTCTCGGATCGTATTGCATGACGCGCCAGTCAAGAGCTGCCACGTTCGAATGGCGAAGCCGAGCGCTGATGCACTGCATGTAACACTGAGACGTACCGTCACCAATAAGGGATCTGTATGGATGAATTGCCGCTTAAGTTACCCGCTTTTATTTGTTGATTCGAATCCTACTCGCTTCCAGCGGCGTTCGCCTCACTCGCGCAGCTGCAATGCATGCACGGAGCCCCAACAGCGCATGGAAAACTTCTGTTCCTTCTCCACTATTTCGGGGGTGAGATGCAAAAGATGAAGATGGGATTGTGCTCCTGCATCCGGGGAAGTACCATCATCCCAAAATAAGTCCATCACAGCAGCATCCCCTCCCCGACTGGTTGGCAACCCGGTTGCTCTGGGCCTTATTCCGGATATGGGGGTTATCCAATACTTTCTTTTTTCGGTTATTCTGCAAGGTCTTTTCGTCATCTTACGGGTGTCGTACTGTCACCACCTCATGGCCACGATGGCAGGCCATTCTATTTCTGCCTTCGAGAGTCACTGGTCGCTTTCCCCAACGGAAAGCTAAGCCTCTGAGTAGATGAACGAGATCTGGACGGATCATTGCTCTGTCACGTGAGCGCTTCAGTCTAGACAAGGAACCTTTCGTCTGCTCCATACTGGATTCGTGTCAAAGTGGACCATCGAGTCACTGACAAGGGCCATCGGTTTTTCAAGATTGGTAGGCAGTAAAGCCCGCTAGCGCTTTCTGCGGTGCATGGGCTGCACGGTATGCGGGTCACGAAACAATCTGATGGGTTGGTGTACGGTCCGGCCCGCTCTAATAAGCGTGGTCAAGTTGTGATTACAGGAGCCTCCGTTACAACCGTCTTGTACAGCTTCCTTGAGCATCCTTTCTCTAACCACGATTTTTCTTTGTCTTCTGTTACGATTTCTCCGTTCGACCATGTATCCCTGGAAAGACGCCGTCGCAACGTGGGCGGGTGCAACACAGCTTCGCATCGACGCGCTTGGCATCGTCACGATGCTAGGGGCTGAAGAAATCAATGCAAGTGTCGGCCGCCTACTGCCCAGCCGCTACGTCGAGTTCCTCCCTTATCTCGGCGCATTCATACTAGCAGGCGACCGCTTTCGGACCAAGCCGCCCGGCTTCACAGTCTACGAAATGAGTGGGGGTGTCAAATCTACCGAGCTCTCTGGCTGGTTCGCTCGATGGCTCAAAGCACAAGACTTCCATCAAGTTCATCATCGGGTGGACTGGGAAGTCCTCGACGCTTCTGCTCAACGTGCCATCGGACAGAAACTGAGACGCTCTAAGGTCATGTCTCTCTGCATTGGTTTCATTTTCAACGGTATTCTCGTTGCAGCATCTATCCTCGCAGGAGACTGGTGGGGGTTCGCCAATGTTTTATCCATGGTTTTTTCGGTCGCGGTGAGAGTGTTTCTCCTGCACCAGAACCGCTGCAGCATCGACAATGCAGTCATAGATGTGACAAGAACCAGTGGTAATCCTCGCAAGATCCAGGATGAAAGTTCACCGGAATCTTCAAATGGCTCGAAACCTGGTCTCAACGTGAGTGGGACTATCAGTCCGGCTACGCAACGTTGCGATTCTCTCCAAAACAATACAAAATCGTCCTCTGAACTGGCGAGAGCTATCATCGTCTTGGATGACTCCAAATGCGTCTACATGGAAGCACCAAAGCGCTTGATGGCAACGGTCTTCGCTAAGCCCCTGGAGGTTCCGAATACGTGGGCGTATCGGGCTGTGCGCTACATCGGATGGATTGCTTTTGCGGTGCAAGTCATCTCACTCGGTATGTCAACCCTGCTGATCCAAGTTGGCACGGTGATTTTACTGCTCAGTTCCAGTATGCTTGTAGTAACCAAATTCGGTTGCGAGGACTCGAATTTCTGGAAGACCGTGCATAGTTATGTTAAGTCGTCAAGCTTAATGCGGTGCTATCCCAAGGCGGCCCCAACAACGGCAAGCTTTGATCCACTTGATGACATGACCTGCGTGATTGGATCTTTATTGCAAGCTAAATGCTCGCAAATTTCCAGAAAGTGCGTCTGTGGGGAGGATCCTCATCAACAAAACTGCACTAAAAGCACCAAAGATGCAGAGGAACAAGATGTTGTGACATGCAACTCATTACGTCGCCAGGACCTGTTTGTGTGGCTCAGGCTCGAAGAGTCGGAAGAAACCCTATTAGAGAAATGGGCGTTGCTACCGTCCAAAGAATGGGATGAGTCTTGGTGGGCAGTGTATAACAAAAAGAAAATATCATATGGAAGAGATGAGACTGCAAGTTGTACAAAAGCGAGAGAGCGATAAAGTCGGTTGGAAATTGCATTTGTTATATCTCATGCCCTCGCAATTTCTGCCTTTGGTATACCAGCTCCAAGTAGAATGTCGGGTCGAGCAATGAAGTCTGGGTCCGATGGTACTGCTTTCACAACAAAAAGCAGGTTTCGCTCTAAGACGCTTACAGAGGGTGAACCTCCAGGCATCTCCAAGACGCGCGCAAGATACTGAAACATGATGTGAAGCACTTCTTTTTGCTTGTCGCTGTCCTGTGACGCGGCAGCTGCGAGTCCTCGGGTAAGGAGCGCCGGCATGTACGTTGGCTGCATGGCCGGCTCCACGGTTGAACCTTCAGCGTTTAGCGAGGTCACCAAGAAAGCCCTCACTGGCTCTTCAAGTTCAACCCAAGTGGTTTCGTAGAGTTGCGCAGTATGCGAATTTGCAACGCCGCCCATGCAAAGTAGTCGGCACAGCGCACGATCTTGCTGGTCTGTGATCGCGAGCAGGCGGAATCCGAGTTTGGACAATCGTTGTGCCCTTCGCTCTAGTACCAAATCGTAAGCTTGGGGCAGATTGCACTCGCTAGTGATAACTCTCTTTGATGCATCGTATACATCCCGATAAGCGATACAAATGGGCTCGATCATTTTTTTGGCACAGGTCCAGTCCATGTGGCCCGCTGCGCCCGCGATGTCCAGAAGCTGCTCTTGAAACCTAACATCAAAGGCCCTTTCGTGACTGGACATGCTGCGAAGTCTCTCCAAGCATACCGGTGGTGCCTCGGCTTGAGCCAGCTGTCCAAAATTGTACTCCGCGCCCAGCTCCATGCCTCTGATGATGTCTGCCTTATGTGCAGAAGGCAACCGATTGAGACATGGTACAAGACCTTCTCTGACAGCTAGCAGAAGAATCATATCGTGGTTGAGGTGGGAGACGTTCTTGCCTGTGCGCTTGCGGTAATCAGCCGCTAACTCTGGGTCTTTCCCTAGGTCATTCACGATGACAGACATGACAAGCGCGAACAGATCTTGAGGTGTCTGTATGCCTTGCAACACAATATTTCGAAGCCATTTGAACGAGTTCCGAGTTAACTTGACATCTTTGGGCTGATTTTGCACAAAGGTTTCGTAGTCGTCATTGTACAGCCAGCGGAGGGCGAACACGCTGGTAAGCGTACGGTTTACTTCGTCGTAGTTTTGCCCGAGGGCGATCTGAGAAGGGGATTCTGGAGCGTTTGGGTTGTCATCTTCTGGAGAGCGGATGGAATAGGCACGAGTAAGTCTCGCCAGTTCATTGCCATATTCTTTGAGAAGGTAGTCAACGAGCTGTTCGTCACTCCAGTGAAAGAAAACATCGACTTCAGGGTCTCTCTGCCTCGCGTTAAACATTTTCTCTTTAGGTCGGAAAGGTTGAAACTTGTAAATGGCGTATCTGATAGAGTTGAGATTATGTAGTTGTAGGGTAAGCACGATGCTGCTGAACAGAGCGAGACGATTCGTGCTACCGGCGGTACAGTGCCCGTGCACGAGATGCGCACATAGAAGGGCCCATTACGCTCTAAGAGGCTAAAGCTAAAATCAGAACATAAAACATATCCTAGAGGGATTAGGCCTTGGCTATCTATATCTTTATCTAGCTCTAGCATTAAATTAGAACATAAAAAAAAGATTTACTATGTTATTAAAATTTAGGAAAACCAAAAGAGAGGTTCTATGTCTCTTCTACATATGAGTATCAGTTTAAGCGTATTGAGCCAGGCTTTTGATGTTACGAGATTGGGTCCCGCGCAGTCACACTCCTTTTATTCAGACGTTTATCCTAGAAGACTATCACAATACCTACAAAACGCCAAATTACTGCCATAGGAGGCTGTGGCAGAACTAGGCACGAGTCGCAACCACTAACATCTAGCAGACATCATTTGAGCGATCACCTGTATCCTTCCTAGTTTCTCTCCACTTGATTTAGCTGCACCATCAGCGGAATCTTTTCCCAGACTGTGTAAGATCTCTGTACGTCTGGCCAGTGAGCACTCTCGGGCTGCAGCACGAAGTCGAAGTTCCAGAAGAACCGAGCAGCGATGAGTCGTAGCTCAGCATAGGCAAGATTCTTGCCGATGCAGTTTCTCGGACCAAAAGAGAATGGTTGAAAAGATGCTTTGTTGTCTGCGCTGAATTGCGGGTCGTACCGAGGGTGGTCGGGACTGAGCCATCGCTCGGGCCTGAACTCATTCGGCAGAGCGAAGTTCTTGGAGTAGCGGTGGACGGCCCATTGATGAACCGTAATGAATGTCTAGATGACCTTGTTAGTTTCTCATCACTTCAACTTCTACAAGCTTTACTTACACCTTTGGGAATATAGTGGCCGCCCACCAATGCACCGGGAGAAATACGAGGGGGCGTCTCTACAACGGGCGGATACATGCGCATAGCCTCCTCGATGCAAGCAAACAGATACTTAAGATGCGCAGTGGAAGCCATCGTGATCTCATCCTCGGTGCGGAAAGCCGCTCTGACCTCTTGCTGAACCGCCTCTAGCGCGTGCCGGTTCGTTGAGATGTAGTATGTCAAACCAGAAAGTGCTGTAGCTGTCGTCTCGCTACCGGCTACGATTAAAAGTTCGGAATTACTTATAATCTCTTGGCGACTCATGCCTTTCTCGTCATTGTGGCGGAGGATGTAGGTCATTATGTCTTTCCGGCCGTCGGGTGCTGGGCCCAGTGCTAGTCTTCTCTCCACCTTCTCTTTGCTCATCGCCTTGTGTTCAGCCAACATTCTAACGTTCTCTTTAGAGACTGTCAGTGATTGGGCCGCACCGAGAAGCGGCATTCTCTTGAATGCAAGCATCCCGGAGCCAGCTTTGATGCTACCGAAAATCATAGCGACCCACGAATGATAATTGCTGCTGGCGAGACATTCAAATGGTTCTCCGAAGACTAGATCCCCAATGATATCGAAAGTTGTGAAATTGTACCATTTGACCATGTCTGATGGCGTTTGCTGCGCGGCATGCTTTCGTAAGTGGTCAAAGAGCATGTCAACGTACTTCGTAACTAACGTCTCCTGCTCCTTGATAGCGGCATCCGAGAAAGCGTGGGCCATTAGACGGCGATGTCGCCGATGGTTCTCTCTATCGGCTACAAAGAGAGATTGGTGGTACTTGTCTCCACCTGTGTAGAAGTCCCTCCAGTGAGAGAATTCAGGTTGGCCGCTGCGACCATGCCCAAATACTTCAGGCCACGCAATGCTTCCATTCAAGGACAAGTGATTCGGCCCAGTACGAACAATGTCACCATACTTTTCGTGTAGCTGCAGCACGTCCTTGTTGAATAACCCTCGTATATAGAGTTCGATCGCCAGGGGAAACCCAGATACTGCGAAAAGCTTCGGTCCGGGGATGCTGCGGAGAGGGTGCACATAAAGCCTGTAGATTGCAAGGCCGAACGCATAGGCAATTGCCTTAGAGAATAATTAGAAAGGAGCTGTGTGCGCAAGACGGAAACACGTACAATTTCGAGAAGAAGCCACGTAGCAGCCAACGCCTGATGTAACGACATGGCAATCAAGATGATGGAGGGGGTACCAGATCTGGGATGAGCTGAATCGTTGATCTAGAGACAGTGTTGCTGCTTTTCAGACACAAGTCGCAATCGGTTGCGAATGTGTAGAATGGTGGCAACAAAACCATCCAACAGATGGCAACATATTATATACCATAGAGGAACCCCGTCTCAGATGCCAAGCCGCTGATCTCTCTCTGCTAATCTATATCGTACATAATGTAAGGATGCTGCATGTCGCGTCTTGCGTCTTGCTTTGGACCCTGTAAGTAACAATCATTTGCACTGTCCGAGTGGTTGAGGCTGCCTAGGTATAATGCTCGGAACATGAGCATACCCGAGCCGCTAACCGTGGACAACGGCATCTGTCAAAAATCTCCGAAAAAAACGCTTAGGTAGTGCCGGGCCGTTGCGGCTCCCGCTCCGTTCGCTCCACTACGAACAATTCAACTATTGGTTAGTCAGTACAATCTGCGTGTCGTCTACAGGACCGATGCGAAACCTATGGACCCATAACTACTTGGTAGTCACTCATGCCCTGCGGATCGCTCATATGCTCAACGGAGGCAGCGGCACAGCTATCCGGTTGCACCCACTTTTTAAAGGCAGAGCTTTACCCTGCACTTGGTCTGTTCATATCTTGGCACCTGTCGAAGTACCAGCCCTTCCCCCACCAATCTGAGGAACCGCATTGCAAACAAAATCACGCTTCACCACCCCAAGATGTAAAACCGTTCTGTCGCCGAACGCTGAATTACCAATCATGATTTTCCCTCCTTCTCATCCTTGGACAATAGAAACTACTTCACAGGCTTACCCTCGTGTTTCATCTCAGTGCTAGACAGAGTGTTGAAACTCGGTCTTCAACCAACTCATCCCCGAGCGCCACCTCGTCTCTAACCGGCACCATCCTAACCTTCTTTGCAATCGGAATGTATTCCTCCTGCACCTGTACTGCATCGTCTCTGTCCTCTCGATCACCAGTCTCCTTGTACTCCACCACTCATACCGTGTTTTCCGCCCGTGAACACGAGCTACCGAGCGTTCACCCAATTCCCATGCAGGCCTGCCCTAAGCCGGATCGGGAGATCTACGATTGCCTGGGGAGATTCGAAGTCCCTTGTGTCCACGATATGTAGTTCGCTGGACATTGTTGAGTAATTGTTCACTACCTAGGTAGTGCTAGAACCCTATCGTCTGCTTCAGAAGCATCTTCGCCTTGCCTCGCAATAAAAATTGGTTTTTGAACCAAATGTGTGCGACCCGGGAGATATTTCTCCAGCCTTAGGGACCGGTAGTCTAGACGAGCAAGACAATTGTAGGGAGGGAACCCGCCTCCCGTTCTTGGCAGAATATTCAGGAATTCTGTGCCAAGGCTTGGGTCCATCAGATCCATGAATGCGTGTTCGTGCTTGCGGCCGGAAAACTTGTCGTTGATCCGAGGAAATTTGCAGTCCTCTCTGTGAAGTATCTCAGGCTTAGGGAGTTCGAGATTGTCACTGTGAGGGTCGAACGTGAATCGGACGAGGTCTGCCGCTATCTCGGGCTTTGGCGCATTCCCATTGATGTCGGGCCACCAAAAGAACACGTTTTTGTCAACCAATGGTAGATCAAAGACCACATTGCCGGCTTCATCCTCGTATGCATTGACTGTGTGACCTGGAAAAGCGTTTGGAGCGCGGAACCATTTCACATCGCCTCCCGATGCGCCACGACGCGGGATGACGCCCAAATAGAAGGGGACGTCAGGATCCCACTGCCAGTGCTCACCTCCCTGCTTCATGCGCTCAACATCACAGGTCTGTGGTATGATGGGGAAGAGTACCTGCAACTGTATGCCCAACTCGATTTCAAAGTCTGGGACGAGCATACCCAATTCTCTGTGATTGCAAAGTCATGAATTTTAGCAACCAGAGGACAAACAAGCCACACTGTCTCGACAACTTTCTCTTCTTTGTTGACTGTGAAACAGCACACGTCTGGTGTGCCATCACCCTTGGCTCCAAAACCGAAGCAAACGAGCTCTCCCGTAGCATCGTCAAACTTTTGGTGGGCAGTAAAGGTCAGAGATGGTAGCTGTCCGTCAAAGTCCTCTAAACCAATCGTCTCGAGTGACTCGGGATCGAGCGAGTAGGGGGGAGCATCTTCCTTGCATGCAAGAAGGCGACCATCAAAGTAGAGCACATTGGTATTTGCAGTTGTGCGAATCTTCAGTTCCACAGCGTCCGTGTACTTTTTGCGATATTTACCTGCGTGTGTCAGTTCATCAGATGCGACAGTCGTGTCTGTGCCACGTACAAACAACCGCTTTTTCGGCCTTTCTTTCCGTTACGAACTTCTCCGTTCTGACGTAGCGCTGCTTGAAGTGGCAATGCCCGTCCCTGATCCGGAACGGAATGACAATTCCATCACCATTAAACCACTGATAGCAGAACGGCAGATTATGGTCAATAATGGCGGCTTGTTCTCAAGTGCTCTCCGGATCATTTTCGAAGTAGGGAGGGAATTGTGGGTCAGGCATCACACGATAGAACGTGCCGTCGATCTCTTGCGGGATCTCACCTCGAACCTCGAGATGTTGTATCTCTCCCTCGAAGCGACATGACTTCATGAAGCCCGAGAACTGCGGTCGCTTGGGAAAAGCACTTAGCCCTTTGGTTGATTTGAAATGGCCAGACATCGTGTGACAGTACTCAATACCTAGGTAACACGTTCAATGTGTAGTCGGTAGGAATACACATGTCCGTGGCACTTAAGTATGGCTGGGGCGCGTGGCCTGCTTTGGGATGGCGTGCGGCAGACGAGTAAGGCAGAACCAGATTAGCGCTGTGGTTCCTAACTCCCCGGTGGCGGGGTGGCCATCCGGTCAGTAGCGCCACGCCAATGCACCGAAATATTGCTCTTTTATGAAAACGAAAGATTCAGAAACAAGTCATCTGTATTACACATGGAATGTCCTGGTATGGATGGACGATGATGATCTTGGTCTGATTCCCAAACCAGAATCGGCCTCATCCGCTCTCCATCCGGCCCCCGTGTGTTAGCGTTGCGTCGTCGTAAATGGTGACTGAGTCTAAGTGAACAGCCCAGGTAGCATTTTTTCGCCATTCGCAGTCCGTTGAAGGTATTACGGCTGAATATCGCTGCTGACAATTAGCTGAACATTGACTGATTCGGCAGACTCACTATGTCATCTTCAACGACAACCACACGAGGTGGTGCAGTGATTGGCCCGTCATCAATCAGATCACCTCAGCAGACTTGGACATAAGGCAATCTAGTAGTATGTCTATCAAATGGCTATCCTTATTTAAGAAGCTGTTCACAAACAAGATGGATATATACCCAATATATCTCCTCTTGAAATTTAGAGCAAAATTAGCAATGTTATGCTAACGTTATTGCTCTGAACACATGCTCTAACCTTTATTCCAGGGCTGCTCGCCTCATCAAATTCATGGCGGATGGATTATTGCACACCCTGGTGACGATTGAGTCCAATAGTGCAAGACTCTCTACCCTCCAGGGGTTCACCTCTCGGTTACAACACCTTGGACAGAAGCTGAACAAAGTCATTGAGGGCCACTAAATTATATAGCTGCGCCTCTCTGTACGGCGTCACTGATAAGACCATCAATCCTCACTTCGCTATTGCCGTTTATAGGCCTCACAGCCTGTTTTGACACTTTTGTAAACTTCTAGTAAAGGATTATGGAATTTTTGTTCCGCTGGTCGTGGTACCAGAACGGCGTCTATTTTTATACAAGTTCATCCTGACTGTTTGCTGGAGTAACTCTGATACTCAAAGCTGACATTGACGACTTACGCTTAGGAATGTGCCAAGTAGGACTCTGTCTGGTGCCTTCTAGAAATCTGCATCTTTCAGCGTGATTGGGGAAAATTGACTGCCAAGTTCAAGGCTCACGAGATTCAGGTACTGTACCGAGGGTTACGCTATGTATCAGTGTAGACCCCGTGAAATTGCATTTTTGCACGGCCGGGTAAGGATTCATGGCTCCAAAACATGCAGAAGCAGGTCTCTGCACACGCGTTTTGAAGCTTAAACATCTGAAGGATGCCTGCCTCTTGATGTAGCTATGATGCTTTGAAGTGAATCCTGGGGCTTATCTCTAAGCTCTGAAGCGCAGACAGTGTTCGTCAATATCCTAGCCACATTGGATGCGGGCTTCTCCGCTTTCATGGTAGCTGTATTATCTGCTCCGAATGTTGCAGCAACGGCCCTAAAACTTAAGGTTGATGGCGCATTCTATTGTGTAGTGCCAAGGATGACTTTCGACGACTCTTTGACCACTATGTGGCGTACACATCTGCATCCTTTGCGGTCGGGATCACATCTGAAAGTACATATATTGTTAAACTTATAGCGCGCTATGAAATCAAGGAAGTTGTGTTCAAGATACTTAGTAAAAATTTGACAAGTACGAGTAATGGGAGGAGCAGCTTACTGTCTGGCCGACTTCTCCGCTTTTCGCGATAAAGCGAACTTCTCGACATGCATGCCACCAATAGGGTATGCGTGGTTGTACTCTCTGATTTCTTTCAGGAGCTGCGCTCTTTCGAGACTCGTTTTTCAGATGCTGGAAAACTCGGAAGGAGTCCTGGGGACTCTACGTTCCCAACCTGGTCTCACCACCCCCTCCTCGGGGCTGATCATAGATGTCAAAAAGTCACTATCGGTCTGTTGATTAGGGCAGAGTATTCCGAGGTCTTCGAAGTACTTCTTTGCGTTCTTGCTAGGACCAAAGTATATCTAGTGCCTGTTGTAAAGTAACGTGACTTTGTTAAACACGGTGTATGTAGCTTCAGGAGCCCGGTAGATTGGGACGCATGCGGTTGCGCCTATGAGATCTGTGGAATGCTTAAAGCATTTTACAGAACTTGATAGCGTTTGCTGAATCGAGACTGCGGGTACTGTTGTCCCGGCATTGAAGAGGTGCTCCACTAAGAGCTGCCTCATCAATACTGACTCGTTTTTGTTCTCCTCCACTCTCACCACGGTTGAAGTCGTCTCGAACTTGGGTATCGAGCGTTTGAAGAATGCCAAACATGGCCATCATCATGTCTCTCATGTATGTTGCATATATTCACCTGTAAACTCTGCCCGGAATCTTTTGAGGAGCTCCTGCGAGTGCGGCGAATGGTTGTGTCCCCAACATTGAACGTCGCGAAGTGAACATCCACTTCAGCTGTATAGATGGCTTCTCCTCGAAAATGAGACTGCATGTGTTCGAAACTGATACCTGTATAAAGTGAGCAATGAAGCATTGCGACGATCTATGGAGGGTTACCTCAATAGGGTCGAACAACCAGACCCTGACGGTCCGAGAATAACAAGCATCTCTCCACTCCTGACGAGGCCGTCAAAGTTCTTCAAGATCTCGATCGTCCGGAGATTATCGGTCCCCGTGAGTTTTCGCACCAGACCAGTGGTCTGTGACCACACATTACCGACGGTTTTTTGGTAACCGGTAGGTGCTCCAAATCCATGGACATTGAGGTTCTGAAACGAGATCACAACTGTTCGTTGTATGTAGCCACTCGGATCCTCAGATTTCAGACTGACAAGCGCTTTAGCCCAATCTCGAGAGCGAAAGGTTTCCGAGTGCGGGTCCAACGACGAGCCGATTTCTGCATTGAAGAATTGTGATGTGAGCCGGGGCCGAATACAGATCGTTCCGTTATCTCTCTGGCCAGTTCTGTTACATCTTCGTCGTGCCTGATGTTACCGTTGGAGATATCTGCGTCCGTACCATCAGTGGTCGGAGTTGCGGCTAATGTCACCGCATAGAAAGACATACTGGAGCGTGTTAAAGAGTTGTTTTTGACGCTGTATGATGAAATTTGTGGGATTCCCGTCTACTTTATGAATATTTTGTGAATGGCACTTACCATGGAAGAAGCTGCATTACTCAAGATACAGTGGCACAGTCTCCACAGAAGCATGAGTGATCTGGTACCCATGTCCTGCCGATATTTCTCAGTCAGAGCGTTTCATACGGACCAAATCTGAATATCTTGACATGATGTTTTGCGGCGACCTGCGACAGCACTAAGCGGACGAACCGAAGGGCTTGATTAATTAGTGATCAGTTTCCGAAATGAGAACGCAAAAAGAAAAGATTGATCTGGGGAGAGAAAGGGTCGTCAGCTGTACTTCCAGACTACTGCACTACTTGTGGGTCACTAACGCACAGTAAATCTTAGCCGGAGCAACTATTGCTCCGACTCCGCTAGGTGACCGGATCTGGAGTCCAGCATCTCCTATCAATAAGCTGGAATTCGGGAACTCCTTTTCTCATTCCTACAGTTTGGTCTACTTGATGGTAAATATATATAAGTAGACGCGTTTGTGTGGAATGACGGTAGCACTAAGCTATGACTTGTTATTAAGTTATAGGGACAAGTGCTAGTAAAGTATTTCTGTCGTTAACGCCTAAAAGGGCTCATGACTCCCTAGGTTAAGCAGCTAAGCCTCGTCTCGCGATGCTTGATGTATGTTAATTGTAGATCAAGCTTCGAACTTAATAACCGCTCTTCACGTAACTATATACGTTCGCCCAGCTCTGGGGATTCGAAGAAATCAAGAAGGTATATATGCTTGTCAACGTAGAGTCGAGAGCAGGAATGTGCACCATACATAGCAACGTCTTCGACATGCACACTGTAAGCGCATCCGAAGGTTACTGCAGAAGAATGGAGCCGGATAGAAATTGGAATTGAGAGGCGAGGTCGTGATGAGTGGAAGTCCGGAGTCGCTTCGTGTGACATCATCTTGCTTGCCAACCTTGGAAGTATTGTGTGAAAGTCATTAGGCTCTTTACAAGGTCAGATGATTGGAAAGAATGGCTGACGTCCGTAACTTAGTATACCTAGTGACTCGCTAACCAACAATCCGAAAGATGCCAATGACCTCGTTATGACCACCTTCTTGATAGCGAGGTGTGACTTTGCCGTGTTCAGGATCGCCATTGGCCTTTTGACGGCGGGTCCTACAATATCGGTTAAAGCGGGTCCTGGGAGAGGCGACGTAACGTGAAAGACATGGTAAACCCTGTGTCACGCGAGATAGAACTTTGGGCTAACAGTCTGTCAGTAATTGTCACGATTTGTATCTAAGACCGATCGTAGCTGGCAAAAGCGTCGCGATATGGCTGCTCCTGCGCTGCCTGGCGGACTGCTAGACGAACTTCGCAATCAGCGTTGGTCGAGTGCGCAGTGACCGACTCCAGCTTGAATGCGAAAAATAAATCGATCTTGGCGCACGTAGCGCCTGGAAAACAGACACGGGCAGCATGATGATCGCTCAAGACTTCAGTGCCCAGATGAGCAAGGTAATGCGCTACGTCTAAGATTCATCTGGTCGACCGACGGTTGGTCAGCAAATCTCGTAGCTCAAGCGCCGTCAGAGACCACAGGGGACACGACGGACACATGGCATATGTCAATTTGCGGCCTGCGATCGGGTTGCAAACGTGCGGTGTATGTACTTACTAAATCACTTGGTGAGCTTCATAGCAGTAATTGGTACACGAAGTTTCAATCACAGAGTCCGCGTAAGACCAGTCTAACGGAAAAAAGTCGATATAACAACTTCTTTGAACAATCTGCATCTATCCTCTACACCTTTAACTCTTGTAGGTGCTTGCGAACGTCGGTCAGACCAGACACGCCTATCGCCTCCGGCTTGATGAGTCCTAAGTCTCGTACTGCTTGTTCGCCGCCAAAATAGCCAGGGTCACTCATGTACTCAAGCATCTCGCCAATCTCCCTACCAACGCCTCCTGGGATGATCTTATCTATGGCTTCGACTGTACTCCGCTGGAAAACAATCTTCTGTCCAAGCTTCGCGCTCCAGATACTGGCGAGCTCGTTGAAGCTGATATGATCACCAAAACCCATAAGGTTTTTGCCCGGTGCAGACTCAACCAGCCCCTTGACCAACGCCCCGGAATCGTTGCGTGCGTGCACCATTGGAATTTGCTTGTCCCCGTCAATCGGATACGCGAAAACGTACTCGCCGCTGGGCAGCTACGCTTGTCAGATTTTGGAATTGAGGAATAGTAGAAAACATATGTACCTTCTTCGGCGCCATGGCAGTTTCCAGATTCGAAATAAAGAATCCAGCCTGATACAACGAAGTCTTTGCGCACAGTTCAGGGTACGCCGTCTGCAGGTACTTGACGAACTCCCACTTTCCGTCAAAATGATAGTTCCACGTGATGCGTCCTTCAGAGTACTTCTTGCTTTCTGAGAGTACACTGAGGATCAATGTTTCCAACGACGCACTGGTTGCCTGTGCAGCATCGACGATATTCTTTCCTTGCTGCACCTCGATGTCATATGCAACGACGTTGATGGTTTTGCCTGTCTCGTGGGCTTTCTGAAGATTGCTTGGGTTCTTGACGTGTTGCCAGAAATCGGTGACACCAAAAATAGCAGTCGAGCCACTGAAAGCCGCTTTCAGACTCTCAACGTCGTCAAGATCAGCTTGCACCATATCGACGCCTTTCTGGACCCAGTCAAGACTAGCGGTACTACTTTTGTCGCGACTGATGCCTCGCACGTCCCATCCTGGTTGGTTTAGGAAAGCATCGGCAACAGAGCCGCCCTGGGGTAGCGTCAGTTTCTTTGATTGCACAGCGCCAGCAATCATGTTCAGGTTCGCCACAACTGACCTGATTTCCAGTAATACCGACAACAGTTATACGCTTATTAACCATGTTTGAGAATGCTTAGAAGTGCTGCTTCGGTGTGTAAAGAGTGAACACGAAGTGCAAAGTTGCAAACTATATATAAGCTTAGGCAATTAGTCGCCTCGATTTACTCATCATACTCCCCCGTTAAAGGACAAAAACCGGTGATCTAGCAGTGCTTACAATAACAAATGGAACAACCGAGATGCAATTGGCATTGAATGCATATAGTTTCGTCCGAGATGTGGGCTGGCGTTTCCCACGATCACTAATCATTTCCTAATCTCAGTCGGAGTAAACTCTCCTCCGCGCCTGTTAGAGCGCTAATAATAAAAGCTGCTTGTACTGCGAGTGTTAGTAACGATAATTCGGCGAGGTTCCTTAAGTGAGCGGCTAATATAGTTAGTGAAGTTACTAGTGGTAAAACGGCTAGTAACAGCGACGGCATGGGTGTAGGTAGCGAACTTAAGGATAGCGCGCTGTTTACAGGGACGGCTAGAGATAACACAGACTACAAAGGTAATCGCAGCTTATCTGCTATTCGCGTATGTGTAGATTAAGTAAGGAGTATTATGTAAAAATGTTTTTAGCTAGAGATTAGAGGTATATTATATAGAGCTGTCTATGCGTATCTAGCCTTGGTCTAAGGTATTTCAAGTAGCAGGCTGAGGTAGGCTTTGTAGGAAACCCCTTGAATAGATACTCTCTATCTTAGTAACTACTTCTACTCTCTATATACCTACTCTGACCCTATAGAAGCCTCACCTGCAAACCGCACGCTCCTTTAGTCTTGATCTAATGCTTAGCAGTTGATGTAGTTGAACTCGACATTGTGACCCCAGAACTCTCTCCTACCTCCAGCAAATACAAGCCCAGTGCTGTCACTTCTCTTGAAACATTTGGCACGGATGATCTGGACGTCATTCGCGATGTCCTGGCAGTGAACACTGATCCTAGCGTGCTTGCCACACAACCACATTCCACAATCCCAGGAGCAGCTCACACGCGCACAGCTGTTAGCTTCGGCAACGCATGCACCCGTTCCGAGGCGACGAAGGTAATTGATACCTTCAGTGCAACCGGGGTAGGTGGCATATCGATCAGGATTCATACAGTTGATCTACCGGTTTGCGTTAGCACATTGCCCCTTTCTATGATTTATATTTTGTAATGGAGGTACTCACGCCATCCTGACGCTTCAGTACGTTTCGAACCTTGAGAGCGGCAGTAACAGAGACGGCAGGAGGAGCGGGGACGTCAGTTTCGCCAATGTTTTCCCTGGTAAAGCCTTGGGCCTCAAGCTTGGCGGCAGCGGATGGGAAGTCAAAGACGTCGTAGGCTGGGTTCAGTGCCATGATTTGTTCGTAGATGGCTTTGGACGTCCCAAAAAGATGAACGTCTGGTCCGCCGGGGGTAATAGGGCCAATAAATTCCATAGAGGAGATGGCACCAACTGCATTTTTGGAGAGAATGCTTTCTTCACCCGAGAGCATGGTGATATCTCGGGTCTTTATCTCGCCAAGAGAAGTCTCAAGAGGACTGGTGAAGGCCTACGACAACGTTCTGTTAGTGATGTGGCAAGATGGAGAGCTGAAAGGGGGAACGTACAGTAGACGCCAGAGCCAGAAGGATAAGAAGGGAGTTCTGCATTGCGAAGGATGGGAAGTTCAAATCGAAATGGAGAGCAAAGAGTCCGTTTGTATTGGCTTATAGGTGAAATCGAACACTGGAAAGCTGTTTCTGCTGTGGATGGTGGATGGAAATACTTTTGGTGCGTCCTCGACTACTTTATATACGATTTGAAGCAGACACAGGACCAAGACTGCGAGATTTTCTCTGTTCAGGCGCTCCATCATCTGCAACCGAGCAAAATATACCAAGCCAACGCAGCGGAGACCAAGACACGATGTTCTCAAGCGGCTTGGACGTGGGCGTCTGGTGGTTGTTCATGTTACATACGGAAAAGGTGGGGCCATTGCTCTGTCGGGAAGGTGAAGTGATAATAGGTAGGCCACAGACCAGAGGCGGAGATTTCCACGATGATTCCGTAGGACTGGATAGGCAAAGAGGTAGAAGTCCGGTCGAGGTCAGGTTAGATCACGTGGTAGCCCTAACTTGAACTGGCAAATGGGTAGGGGTTTTGTCGGGGCTACTCTGGCCTCACAATGGCCCTGACCTAAGCCTAACCTGACCTATGCTAAGAAATTACCAAGACATGCTCATACGCGATGGATTGTGCCGTCTCAGTAGCTCATAAGCAGCTGCAGGCTGCGCCTCAGTCTGAAGTCAATTTGTACGATGGAGCGGGTAAACACCATCTCGCGACACAAAACGGGCATAACGGCCACGCTTAACAACATGGTAAACATGCTTCTGTATTTTTGATACCCAAGCTAGCCACTAATAGTACATGTAGCTTACTACAGGTGCAAATCATACCTAACCGTGGTTGGTACAGAAACGGCGTGCCGTGCTAAGGGGGACAGTCATGCGCAAGCGCGTGAAAGAGGGTACCCTATGCAGAGCATCGCTTCTTGAACCGTGCTGAACCGTTCGATTGCTTTCTGGGGAATCTGGTGTTCAGTATTCTGCAGCTGTCAGAAGGGTCAGCGGCATATCGATCAGCGTTCAATTTATAGAAGTAGGATAAGTCGTTTAGGACATAATACATAGTTCGTGCGTAAGTGAGGTCTGGCGCATTGTATCAGTAGTCATCTGCTGGTTTGCCACGTCGCGGGTCGTGCCGCGCCCTGCGTCGTGAATTTTGCCGCGATGCATCGCGTCCCATCGTGTTGCCCCGCCGCCCCGCAATAGCGTCGCTTGGTACTGTACCCAACGGCAGCTCTTTGGGCCCAGGCTGTTTATGCACAATCTGCTTGCTCAGGCAATACCACTTGTTATGTTGTGATGACAATGGCCCAGAAGTTATGTATAGCAGTGATATGCGCATGCATTTCCTGCTGTTGCATTGGATTGGCAGCGCGGACACCGAGTTGCCAACCGGAGAACAATCCGGGAAGGATGATTACCTGTGGAAATGAGGCTAGGTATAGGAAAATGCCTCAGGACCATCATTGTAGTGGTGACTGGGATTATTTCTGGACGCACTCAATTGCGCGTGTTTGCTTGATGTGCGCTATCCTTGAAAAGCCTGGAGGCATTAAATAAAGAAAGTGATCGCCACATGGCAGTCGTAGAAAAACACAGACTGAGCTAGGTATGTAGAGCGTACATAGTTAAGCGATGGTGGCACGTTTGGGCACGGTCCAGGCAAGGGCGACACCTACCTAGCAGTAAGGACAGCATCTCCAAGTCGCAAGGCTTACTATTACGCGAACGTTGCTACTTAGTGTTGTTGAAAGAGCACCTACAAGCAACCATTGCAGCACTTCTTGAGCATGGTCGCGGAAAGCTCTCCCGGTCTTCGGGATGCCCGGACCGCCAGGGATCATTTCTGGCACCCAGCACCGTCCCAAGACGCAGATTGCTTTCACTTTTATAGTCATGATCCCTTCTGATTCCAGTCCCAATCAGTCCATTATCTGCATCACCATGAAACTTGCCTGGTCTAGATTGATCAGCTTTGTCGCAGTTGATGGTCGCGTCCTTTGTGGAGAACCCATCCTTCCGAGCCCTGACTTCGACCTTGGCAAAACGACTGAAAAAACGAAATTGAAAGCCAAGATCATCGTTGGTAATGACATTTCCGATGATACTGGAGCGACCAAAGTCTCTGATGAGATTGTCACTGTCAAGAAACTCCTCGGCCCACTTACCGCCGCGGACGTGGACATTTTGCGATGTGTGGGCTTGAATTACGGCACGCACAGTACGTTGGAAGAGTTGAATCAATAGAAGTCTCACTAACGTCTGACACTTAAGGAAGCTGGTCGAGTGCCACCACCATTTCCATTCATCTTTTTCAAGCCTACTACATGCATCCACGACCATAACCGCGCAGTGGAAATACCCAAGATTGCTCAGGATGATCAGGCTGACTACGAAGGGGGACTTGTGCTCGTCATTGGCAAGGACGCGAAGAACGTACCCCTCGAAGAAGCGGGAAGATATGTGGCTGCATACACAGCCGGGAATGACATCTCATCGCGCAAACTGCAACGCGACCCCAAGCTAGCTGGCGGTGTACCTCAGTGGGGATTTCTCGAAAGGCTTCGACACATTTGCGCCAATTGGTCCTGTTCTTGTTGCTTCTGACCTGGTCCAGAATCCGGCAGACTTGCTTCTCAGAACGATAGTCGATGGGGAAACCAGACAAGAAAAGCATGTGAGCGACCTTTTGTTCGATTGTGCTTACCTTGTATCGTATTTGTCTCAGGGCACAACGCTTCGCAAGGGATCAGTGATCATGACTGGAACACCAGGTGGTGTTGGGGCGGGTCTAAATCCGCTAAGATACCTTGTGCCTGGGACGGTGATGGAAGTCCAAATAGACAGGATTAGAAATCTCTGGAACGGTGTATATTTTTTGTAAATATCTTCATTACGAGGGACTGAAACGAATTCATATGCGCAATCTGCCGATCGTCTGGATGACCAGCAAGACCCAATCACAACTACAGGTATACTTCATTGTGAATGGAGAGGATTTGTCAAGCACTTCTAGTGGTACTTTAGAGTGATTCGATTCAGAAACTGCCAGACTCGATGTCAATGTGGGCTGGCTGCGCTCAAGAAAGCATGCGTGATTGTAACACCAAGCTGTAGAGGAAAATTTTCTAACATCCGAGACCCTCATTGTGGGTCAAAACACAATACCGACATGAAAAAAACTATGCAGAAGACTTCAATGCATTGATAGACCGGCAAAGTCGCCCACGTACAGTCCAGTGATTACAAGTCTAATAACTCATCTCAATATGCGAAAGTTCATTTTGACACCAGAGACTCAATGTCTTGACCAGAATAGCGGTAGAATCCAAGAGACCGCAACATAGGCTCATCATGCACTCGATACAGATACACCGTCTCCTTACTCTCAGCGTGATGATGAAATTCGTGCCAGGCAGGAACGCAAAACGTGTCATCCCTTTTCTATACGAATCGCACTCCATTAATGATAGAGTTTCCTCAGCCTTGAATAACATGAAATACGGAAGAGGCCGTTTCGCGGATAGCTGGAGTGAACTTTCTGGCTGAGATTTGAATGGCGGCAGCACCTAACGTGCAGCTTACTACAAGTTATTAGCATTGCGCGCGAAGGGAGGCAGCGCTGCATACTCTCTAAACTATTATTCCTTAGGTAACTCCTCTATACGCCGTCCGCAGTGCAGTCGTCAAGCAAGAATTTTATTTGTGACCATGGGAAAACAATAGGAGATGCAGAAGTGTCTACGTCCTTAGCTAGGTACCTCAGCTCTGCATATATAGTGCTCTACAAAGTGTACTAGGTATTAAACAAAGTTTAGTAGGTCTAGACTATCAAGCTAGATTATTAGACAGTTTCTATCCTTACTATAATTATGCTAATTCTAGGTAGGCGTAAGTATTACGTTGCTATAGGTTATCTAGATGCAACGCCTATGTATAGCAGTAAAACCTCCTTCTCCCTCTATAATAAAGTAACAAGTAGAAGCTGTATAGTAATAAGCTAGCGCAGTCTTATTTAGTATTACTAGTTAGAGCCTAGCATAGATTATATCTATAGTAAATAGTGCTTCTATATATATATAGGTTAGTAGTAGTTATAAATTAGTTAATATCTTTATATACCTTAATCTAGGTTTATAAGTATAAGTATATAACGTTTAGCTTACTTTTCTATAATAAGCTTACCTACTTCTAATAGGCTTAGCTATATTATATTATAGTTCTATATATATAGTCTATACTTTAGATTTTAGAGAGAAGAATTTAGTTAATTTATCTATACCTATAAGGGCTTTATATAGAGTTATTCTACTATTCTTAGAAGCTTAGTAGTAGTAGGCTCTATATTACTTAGTATATAAATAGCGTGCTAAACTATAGAGACACTTAAGGAATTTATAATAACAAGGTAGGTATAGTCTAGGTAATTTCTTTAACTTTACCTTTAAGTAAGTTATCTAGTCTATAGTTCTATTTATATAGATATAAGGTATTAGATATAGGTAAATAGCTAAAGAACTATAATTCTATACTACTTACTTCTAAGCAATACTTATATTTAAGGCCTAACTTATATTTTCTCTATAGTTTAGCCTATTCTTGCTTCTACTTTAGGCCTTAGCCTAGTTCCTGCCCCTTTTTACCCCTATTTAGGCTTAGCTTAACCCCCTTATAGTACTAATAGAGATATATAAAAACTCTACCTATAGTAGCTATATTACTTTATAATTATCCTTATATATATTTATAAGTTATTAAGTAGAAAGCTATACTTTTTTAAGCCTACCTATTTTACTATACTTAGATAATCTATATCTACTAATTCCTAATAGACTATCTATATAACTAATCTAGCTAAGAGTAAGCCTCCTAAAAGTGCACCTATATCTTTATCTTTAACTATTTATACTAGAGCTTTAGTAAAGAAATAGATAGATATATAGCCTTGCTAAACTAGAGCCTTTATCTATACCTTTACCTATTACTAATAATTTATAGCTAGCTAAGTAAGAGATCCTAGGTATTATCTTATACCTTATATAGTTTAAGTACCTACTATATAGCCCTTATAAGAGTATTATTCTTATAGCAATATAGGTAATAAAATCCTCTAATATAGTTCTAATTCTACTACAAGGTATATAGGAGCACTAAGAAAGTTAATAACTAGAGAGAATCTTATTCCTATAGGTCTTATATAAAGAATACTTAAAAACTATCTATCCTAGAACTACTATAGGCTTACCTTTTATACTTATAAGTCTTGGTTAGCTATAGATAGATAAGAAATAGTAATAGAGGTAAGTTAGGACTAAGTTAGAGGGGAGTTAGAGGTTATTTAAGTTAGGTAGTATCCTATTTATAAGATTTAAGATTTTAGTAGTTAATTCTTATATTACTTCCCTCCTTTATAGTTATATTATCTTTAATATAGTTAGTTAGCTTTGCACTTATTCCTATACTAACTTAGTTCTAAGCTAGCTCTACTCTACCTTACTATCTCTTTATTTATACCTTATTATTATTTATTTATTATATAATTATTAATAAAGGACTCTATATTTATCTATAGTGCGCACTTAGTAGTAGCTAATAAGGCTATACCTAGCTAAGTTAGAGGGCTTATAGGTCTATAATACTATTTATATAGTAATTTTATATCTCTAGTATAACTAACTAGGCTTAGTACCTAAGCTAGTAGTAAGGTATAAATAATTATACCTATATACTAACGTTCTCTAATAGATACTACTTTCTACTATAAGTTAATATCCTTACTTTTAACTTAGGCCTCTACTAATTCTTCCCTAGGCTTATTTTTTAGTTACTATACTAATACTAGTCCCTTCTAGCACTTTTATAGTAGCCTATTAGGTTATCTACCTTTATTCTATATATGCCCTAGTAAAGGGCAATTAAATTAAATAGAAGTTTAATTTAAGAACCTTATTCTAGTATATATACTATATATAGTAAAATAAAAAGTATTAACTAGTAATATTATAATATTCTTATTCTACTTATAACTATATACTAACCTAGGAAGGTTCTAATATATATTAGTCCTAAGTATACTACTCTTAAGAAGGCACTTAATATATAGGTTAAGGCGTTAGTAGAGGATAAAGAGAGAATTTTAGCTAGAGAAGCTACTACTATAAAGAAGGTATATATAGATATATAGTATAATATTTATTAGGTAGTACTTAAGCTTTCTAGTATTATATAAGTAGTAACTATATAACTTAAGAAGGTATTAGTAACTAGTATTCTTCTATACTACTTCTATATATAATCTACCTATAATATATAGGCTTAAGAGATATTAAAGAGGCTTACTAAGGAGGTAGCTATCCTAATAGAGGAGGTCTAGGTATTAAGAAAGGTAGTAGTAGACCTTTAGTAGATATATAAGGCTAGGGCATCTACTTAAAGAAGTAGTTCTACTACTAGTAGGAGTTAAAGTTATAGTTTATAATATAGTAGAGGTAGTTATTATATATAAGGCAAAGTAGCATAATAAGATAACCTTAAGATACTAGATAGAGGGGATAAAGAGAGTAAGCTCTCTAATATCCCTTCTAACCTATCTAATAAGAAACTCTAGTTAGAAGACTTACCTAACCTAGCTATATTATAGCTCTAATATATATTAATATTTCCTTTATTTTAGGTATTTATAGGATATATTTAAACTAGAAGTACTTAATACTATAGATTTCCTTTATTATAATTAACCTTACTATTTTCCCTATACCTACTACTTTCCTTACTAGGTTAATAACTACTATAAGAGTTTAGGTAGAAGGCCTAGCTATTATAGGTACTTCTATATTAAGAGTCCCTTTACTTAGCTTTTCTCTAGTTATAAAGATAGTATTTACTTTAGATGCTTATTAGACTCTTTATAGTCTAGGGGTCTTAGTAGAGAGATAGAGAAGGTCTATAGAATAAAGACTAGTATAAAGTTTAGCTAGCTTCTAATATAACTAACTAATCTTATAGGCTAATACTATATATAAGTAGTCTAATTCTAACCGACTTTTCTCTAAAGGTAGAGGTTATTCTTAGACTAAACTAGAAGAAGGTTTATAGGACCTACTCTTTCTAGACTTAGCTTAAGATCTAGTTAAGAAACTAGCTATTATGCCTAATATTATATTAAGTCTAATTTAAGTAGGTTATTAGTAGTCTCTATATCTCTACTATAGTATAATCTAACGCAACTTTTCTAAAGTAATAATCTAAACCTAAAGGCTTTAGTTATTAAAAGGTCTCTAGTATCTTAACTAGAAGTAAGTAATCCTAGAAGTAGTATAGTTAGATATATATTAGACTACTTACTTATAACTAAATACTAATATAATATTATTTAGAGGCTATTACTAGCTAGGATAAGTTTTTAAGTATAATATAGTAATATAGGTAATAAGATTCTTTAATATAGTTCTAATTCTACTATAAGGTATATAGGAGCACTAAGAAAGTTAATAACTAGAGAGAATCTTATTCCTATAGGTCTTATATAAAGAATACTTAAAAACTATCTATCCTAGAACTACTATAGGCTTACCTTTTATACCTATAAGTCTTAGTTAGCTATAGATAGATAAGAAATAGTAATAGAGGTAAGTTAGGACTAAGTTAGAGGGGAGTTAGAGGTTATTTAAGTTAGATAGTATCTTATTTATAAGATTTAAGATTTTAGTAGTTAATTCTTATATATATACTTAATTATATATACCTAGCTAAGCTATAACCTAAGCTTATAGAGTAGTATTTCTAGAGTAGCTATATATAGTACTAGTTTCTTACTATTACTAAAGAAGATCTAATTACTATAGATATAGACTTTAATATAGAATACTTGCCCTCTAAACCTAC